TAAATAATATTATATAGACTTTAATTAGTAGTATATTACTTTATAAGTTAAATTGCTAGTTAATATAAACTTTAGTTATTTATTATATTTATAGAGGTTTAGCTATAAAGTCCTTGCCTAGAAGAGCTATAGCTAGTAAACCTACTTATTATAAAATAGATTAAATACATTCAGTAAGAAGCTAGCTGCTAATTATAATCTTATTATAGAGTTTTTAATAAGCAAGAAATACTTAGCTAGTTACTTAAATGCCTATAGCTATAGGCCTTTAATAGAAGGTTCCTTTTAGAATAATCTAAAGCTCTTATACCTCGAAGTACCCGACGAAGGTCCGTAGTTATGGCGTAAGTTCTTCTAGGCAAGAACTTTACAACCTATCCTCTGTACAATGCAAACTATCACATCTCGTGACTACGGCTTTAGTAGCTCTAGGCCAATTGGCTATGTCGAGCAAGAATCACGTGAAATTCTTCAATCGGAGCTAGCTCCATTCAGCATCGAGCAGTGATACATTTACACCTTGAGAGAGCTCTTTTATGGATGCATGTTTCAGATTCTGCCTTATCCCGATTCTGTACTGCAACCCCGCAATCACCGTTGCCAGAATTTATAGGTAGTAAGATCCACAGGTCAGGTTGCTGAAGTCTGCAAGGAAAGTTCCTAGAAATCACGTATGTACTTTCCATGGCCCAATGGCTATCTCTTCTGCCTCCTCCCTGGCGAATCCAAGTTACGTCAAATTGGTGGTCCGTCACGAATGGTCACACTTGACTCCACGCTCTCTCCATACGGGGCAAAGCTTCCGCTTAGCGTCGATAAAGTAGATCAGCTGCTCCATCGATATCTTCGCTAACCTTTTCAAGTTAACTTAAAGTTGTTTGTCCCTTCTTGCCCCGCACAGGATGTGGTAGCTCAACGCCCTTGGCGGTAGCCTAACGCCTTCGAACTCTGTCTTGACGAATGGAGGGCGAGCTCCTCAGGCGATCTCCTCGTATCAGTTCTTAAGCCTAGACCGCTATTTCCAATGGCTCAAGTGGCGAAATGACCGAGTGTGACAGGGAGATCCGTCGGTAGTGTGCACAGGGTGTTGCGATGTGTCAACGGTTTCCAAGCCAAGAGTGTCACATCGTGGTCTACAAGGATCATCACTGAAACCCTCCGATCAGGCTGCCACACTCAAGACAGGGGTTATGAAGTTAATTGTGTGATAAGTAAAGATCGAATGAAAGTCTCATGTTACTGAAAACACATGACAAATAAACCCAAAAGTCCTTTGCAGGTTGTCCCTCTTTTATCGCTTCAAATCCATTAAGCCTTTGTAGCCTCATCCGAAATCAACAAAAGGAACGCCCAATGCCCTCTGTCATCCCGCAAGCTGTTTTTTCCTTGTGATAGTTACTAGTAAATGAATGACTGTGTCCAAAAGATGACCTCAATGCGGTAGTGCTGGCCTTTGTGCATCAATGCGACGCATGATCGCCTCAAATTCGAATGATAACCATTACTGGTGGGTATGGGTGAAGGGACTAAGCCATTAAAACCTGGGTGAGGCGTCTCATTTGTCCAGCTGAAGGGATAGACAAAGACTGCATGGTTCTCGATAAGCTGGCGTGCTTCTTCATTGGTAGGTCCCCGAGAGACGAGTCGTAGTTCTCCAATGAGGCATTGATGCAGGACGTATGCGGCATCTTGAGGGGTCTCAATGGCCCTGTGACAAGTAATTTGCAGTTCAAGGCTATGATGTTCCATGTTTGTATATTAAGATAGCACTTGCAACGAATTTGTGAAGACGTTAAGAGAAATAGATATGCCTGATTGCGTTAAAAGATTCGTTACCTATGCCAGAGGAGAAACCGCTTCCTTTAAAAGCTCGGAAGACAATAAATGTCTGTATCGTAAATGCTCAGCATTTTCATCACCAACTGTCACATCTGCATTGAGCCATGGGCGCTTAAATTGTGATACGATGCGCAAGGCTGAGCACCCTGGTTGCTGAAGAATAATGTTTCTAGCAGCTCGCTCAACTTTCGCCAGGACAGCCAAGTCTCCTCCCATCCAAATGGGGAAATCAAACCCATTGTCAAGGGCGAGGGGAATGCCCGGTACTATTTCCCGGCAGCAAAACCACCATTAGTCTGATGTGGGAGGCCCAGTTTTAGTAATTGTCTCTACATCATTGGGTGCGGGTGTGATTGTAGATCATCTGATCCGCTGGTGGTCGGATTGGCGAAGGCTGTCTTGCAGCCAGGATGAAACAAGAAGAAGCGGACATGGATCTACGACTTACAAAGCAACACGGGTAAATCTTACAGTTTTTCGTGTGGTGTGAAAAGGATTAAGGTTCCTGTCAGAGCTCTGTCGCCTCGCGTAGGCAGACAGGGGTTGATCAGGCAGCCAGCCATCCATGATTCTCAGGTAGCACCAAGTCGAGACCTGAATGTCTCACCCTCCATTCCTCACGGCGTCATAAGAAGGGGGTTGGGGTCTTGGTCCAAGCCATATCGGTAGAAGTAACTGCGTTGCCGTAGCAGATCGAATATCTCCATAGCCGGGTTTGTCTAGCTTAAAGATGTTCGGAGAATAATAGAAGAGACTGACTGCAAGGCACTTCATTGACAAGGTTAACTTTCAGTTGTATCAGCCTCAGGAGAAGCAGTACTCAATCAGAGATGTACGTACATGAGTATAGCCGGATTTGGCAAAGGTCAGTGTTAGAAAGTTTGGTATCCCAGTCGCCGAAACGGCTCGGCTCTCCGGGCTCCATGGTCATTGACGCTGAAATCTGCGTCGGTCACTCGGCCTGAAAGATAGCCAATCCTTGCTTAGTCGTTCGATGACCCTCCTTCACCAAGCCCTTGTCATTTTCCACTGGCTAGTTAGCCTCGGTTGGACGACGGTCAGTTAGAATTGTCGCGATAGCTATGCAAAGAACTCACGTATATGGTCAGGTAATATAGGAGGCAATAAGTCACTACTACGAGTTTTACTCAAAAACATGATGGAAAGGAGGAGATCAAGGGTTGGGGAGTCACTACAGAAGAGTTCTGTTTTGCCATCTTGTCTTGGCTTTCTCATTGTATGTGTGACACTACAAGAGAAATGGACCCCCCTAGGAAAATGAAACAAGCCCTGTGGATCTCAGTTAGTTGATCACTAGCTTATTTAAGTAAAGTCATCTATGAGGCTGCCCTTTCCCAACCACCTTACGCGTGATCAAGACTTGATCTTGTTATTGTGCTGGATCGGCCCAAACGTCAATGCGTCTCTCTAGCCGAAATAAACCAACATTTTTTCATCGCGGGAAGAGATCTACCAAGGTAGCACTTGTTTATTACATTCAATACGCATTCAGTCTGAGCAAATGTTGTTCGTCGGTACTTTGACTATCAATTGTCTTTTACCTGTCGGCCGTTTTCATTAACATGAGGACGTTCCTGGTTACTGGAGTGCATAAGGTCCGACGTTGCCCCGCTGATGTGCAGCCTAATTCCGCTAGCGGAAATTTAATCCTTGCCAGGGCTGCGATCTTATCGTGATTGACAGCACTTCGCTAAGAAATTACGCACGTTTGCATGTGAGACATGCCGCTAAAATACCCTGTAGCATACGTCACCGTCAACCTCGGATACTGCGTTCACCTTCCTTTATCATCACACTTTCTTGGCATACAATTGTTAAGAAAGTGGTCCTATCGACACCAAAAAATCCTTAACAAGGAGTAGACAGGTTGGATATGTGGGGTACTGTCATTGTTACCCTAGTACGGAGGATCGCCTAGTACGGAGGAGGCTTTGCGGGAGTCAGTAACTGCGATCCTTCAATGGCTACAGTATTGCTTCCATGAGTTTCCATGAATTTCGGCGCTACAACCTTCACAGCCGGCTAGGATCGGGGGAGATATTCTTCTTGCCGATGTTGGCCGCCTCTCCAACCCAGCCGATAAAACGTACTACCGTATGACTCATGACAGTTTTTCAGAGGTACTGGTGTGAAGATAGAATTGCTTAAAACCGGCTAGCTCCACTCAGCATCTACAGTAACAGCGTTGGAGAGTTTGACGTAATCGACGATCGCGGCACTGATATCATGGCCGTGGCTGTGAATCTGCCTGGCTGTCTGTGTTGTTTTGGTTTCTATGGTAGTTGATAGGCTCGGCCCCCCAATCAAGCTTTTAACCTGAAAAGATTGTTTCTGTTTGTCGTTTGGGGTTTCCTTCTCTTGATGTTCGTTTGGCGGCCATGCACGGAAGTCATCGAATACAGTGGTTTCCTTCCTGCTCTAAACCCTTGTCAATCTTTGATATACAGTGTTTAGCTAACGACTTACAATTCTGTTGATATAGTGAGAAAAGGTTTGTCCAACGGAGATACGCTCGCCATCGTCGGATCTTCTCTCGTACGAGCCGATGAATGATCGATTATCGCTGGTACTAGTTCAGACGCCGTCACAGGCTGTGCTCCATTACCGCCGTATTCCCCATGTTTGCTTAGAGAATTCAGGATCTCTTCGACAAGTAAATCAGGGCTGCCACCTAATGGTGATGCGGTAGCTGTAATGGCCCATTCTTTGGGGTTCCGTTAGCTCAAGACTTGTTCGAGGCCATATTTAACCTACTTGTTGAAATAGCCCAGATCCAGACTTGGTTAACACGTACAACTGTCCACTGATTAGGCTCTCTCTCAATGCCCATATCCCCTGCTGTCTCATTCTCTCTGAAATACTTGCTCACAATTTGGCTCTCATTCCTACAGCTCTGGTCGTTTATGGCTTCGTTATCTTCTTGAGCGAATTGGCAGTACCATTAATCAAGAGTTGGCGAACCGTGTTGCTGCTTATCCTTCCCCTTATACGTATCCAACAGCTCTTCGTACTGGTCATGTCTTTGTTTTAGATCCCACTCGTGTGAGAGTAGTCTCGAATCCCAATCTCTACAATGAGTAGAATAGGAAAGGTATGGCATCTAGAAGAGGGTATTAGTGTCTAGAAACTTAGATAGATGTTCAAAAAACATAGATAGCAGACGCAGGCACAAATTCGTGAGGGTTCTTCGGAAGCTGACCAGGCTTTGAGTCCCAGTCGTCGTAGATCCTCTGATCCTCTGACCTCGAGTCGTCAAGTCTAGTCTCGCTCTCGGTGGCTTCTGAACCTCTACTTCCATCCTCATCTTTGTCCGTTTCGATGAGTGTAGGTGATTCCGTTGCCTCCTCTTCTCTTGACTGGACGTCCGTTGACTTCTCCTCTGGTCTGATCACAGACCGGGGCCTCATCATTCGCGAACGAGATTCCTTGTCAGGGACTTCAACCCAACTATCACGGAAGAAGGACCTGACTTGGTAGTAGTCGCGAGTACGATAACGCTCATGTGACATGATTGTGGTGAGAAGGTCCTGGGAAATAATGTCAGTATGACTTCTGCTCATATGTTTGCCATTCAGCTCTAAAATCGCAAATAGGACACCAACATTCATCCAAACCATCTATCTCGAGTCAGCGGCGGTCTCACTCAGACTTGTACTGCTACTTACATTGGTAGAAGGCAATGAACCCAGGTGAGTTTGAGGTTCTCTTTGGCGTATAAGTTGCTGTTGAAACGCATCGATCCTCTTTTAGTCATATCAAGCAGATTCCTGATTGCCGTTCCCACTACTTCGGTAGGTCCTGGATCGTAAACAACTTCCTTTATCGGTCGATTTCTCCTAATTCTGCCCGATTCTCCATTAGCTTTAAAGAATGCCACAACAGTGGCTTCAGCCGCTTGGACTATCCGTTTATTATTTAGTCCAGGCACTGGAGGCTTGTAGTCCACTTCGTCTCTGTGCGTTTGAGATATCTGTGCAAACGGCGGGTCCTTTAGAATGTCCTGCAAAGTGCCCAAGGTGGTAGGTCTGTTTACTGCTTTGCTTGTCTCGACCCCTGGCTCCTTTCCGAACTGCCTCTCGCGTCTTTCTTTCTTTTGCCAAGGTTCACGATCTCTCGGATGTAGGCTTGCCTTGAGGTTGCTATTATCTTTGAGTGGACTCGACTCTTTATCGTGACGGATCAATTGATTTTGCCTTTCATTGTGATCTCTGAGATGGGATGCTCGCCTCCACAATACATCACAAGGCTCAGCAATGTGAGACGTTGTTGCCCCCATTTGACTAGCCGCACCATCCCGCACGGCGTTCCAGGCAACTCTGACTGCTTCCACGTTCTTGGGCGTTCGTTGAGAGTTCGTGATAAGAATCCACATGACTTGGACCAGGACTTCGCAGGATAACTCATGCTCCAGTTCGTTCGAGGTTATCGACTTGGATGTTGCTTGCAATGCTTCATGGACCATCATACCAATGTCTTCAGAACGGCCAGCGTCGTCGATAAGCTTGGACAAGACACCTGGAAGTCTTTCGTGTGCTGCCCATTGAATCGGACCCCAGTTATCAGATTCAGTGACTACAATTTCGCGCTCGCTCGGCAGCTCACAGAATAGTAAACCCAGAATATCAAAGGGCTTAATCATTTTAGCTGCCATCTCGATGACTTGAAGCTTTCCACCATTCTTCCAAAAAGGCGCTTCCTTGACTTCCTGTTTGGCGAGCAGAGATCTCATGGCAGCGAGCGGATGCTCACCCAGAAGCGCAGAATAAATTGGGCTTTGCTTCCAGTCTCTCCAAGAAAGGGTATCTGGTTGCATCAGCTTGAGGAGCTTCTCAATATTCCCTTTGTACGCAGATATCGCCGCATTATGTAGGGCTGTGTAGCCGTACTCATCAATTATGGTTGGATCGGCTCCATGTCGCATCAGAAGCTCAATGACAGATACATATTGTCTGGGCGAGGAGTCCCAACACCGTTTCACGGATTCTGAATCTTCGAAAGAGTCGCGATCAGGTTTTATCAGATCCCGTTCTGCTGTTCGTTTTCTCCATCCCGGCTCGTAACCACTAGCGAGATGCAATGGAGTGCTCCCTTCATCGTCCTTAGCATTTATATCAGCTTTTCTTTCAAGTAATAACTTGACGACACGCTCACTCCCTACTAGGCTTGCAGCGTGTAAGGGAGTTCTCCGATTCTCTGCTTCGGCATCCACCTCGACCCCTGATAATGGTATCTCTGGTAACAGAAGACGAACGATTTCGTCTTGATCATGGAAGCAGGCGAAATGCAATGGTGTCCATCCAGGATCATCTGGACAGTCAGGGTCAGCATGACCGATTCGCCATCTAGCATCGCAATCTGCGCCAGCGCTGATCAGCGCAGAGGCTATTCCGCAAGACCCCTGCATGCTGGCTACATGGAGAGGAGTATAGCGACGCTCATCAGTTATTTCCAAGTAACCGTCTCTCCATCCAACTTTGTGCCCAAGTATCAACCTAACCATCTCCAAATCCTGTTCTCTCGTTGCCGTCATCAAAGGAGTAAAATCCATTGAGTCCTTGATGTAGAGATCCGCATTGTTCCCAAGGAGTAGATAAACGACATAGTGATAGCCTCTTTCTACGGCTAGATTGAGCGGTGTCTGGTTCATTTTCGCTTCAATGGCGTTGATATTCAATCCATCCACTTGAAGAAGACGCTCAACAATGTGTTCCTGATGCCCCCAACAGGCCCAGTGGAGTGGCGTCCACCCATCATCATTAGAAATATTCGCGTCGGCCCCGTTTTCAAGCAATAGTCTAATAACATCCATGTGGCCCATCTCGCAAGCTGCGGCCAGCGGAGTTTCGTTGTTGATATGTGTACCGTTGATGTTCGTAATTCTCCCAAGCAGCGATTCCACTACCTCAGTTTGCCCGTCGAGGCATGCTGAGTGGATAAGTTTCTCCTCGTCGAAGCTACTCAGGGTGACGTCCGCTCCAGCGAGGACAAGAGTATTTGCTTCTACTATAAGATCAAGCTCAAGGGCAACCTGGAGTGCTGTTTTTCCTGCTGCATCTCGAAAGTCAACCTCAGACTTCTTCTCAGAAACCAAAGAATCGAAAGTTTTAGATATCTCCCGAGCCTGTGATATTCTGCGTAGTTCCTTGTGTAAGAATGGGGTCTCATGTGTATCATTCCCAATCATATGCTGGCCGCTACTGGTTTTCTTGGCGGAATTGGATGCTAGAACTGGTCCTGCGTCATCCGTGATCGTTGTAGCCTCTTCCCGGCTTCGGTATTGAACAGTCGTGATAGACGGGCTTGCTTCGGCTGTCTCGATCATGGCCGGAGGAATCTCATGAATGCAAGAATACAATTCCACGAAGAACAATACAGAACGGCTTGGGTTGGTGTTCAAAGATTTCAAGCAACTGTTGGGTCTCCGCAGGTGTTATACAAACCCCAACTTGTTCCTGTTGTTTTCAGCCTCGCGATTCATCGCAACATAACCCAAATGTGAAGGTCGTGTAACTTCGGTTCCTTTCGTCCACTGTTGGCTCGAATGCTACTATCTCCACACTCTTGCAGGATTCGAGCTGTTGTATCACTGTTGTCCTCGAATAGCTCTTAGCTGATTGGTGTGCCACACGACGGTAGCCTGATCATGGCATTAGAAGGCTTGAAATAATATGATCCCCCATCCTTCCCATATTATCGGATCTCTGTACATATGAATGGCTTCATACGCTACAGTGCCTCTCCGTTCGGAAAGGGGAAGAAAACCGAGAGATAATGAGCCCGGTGGGGTCCAACGAGTCTTTCGAGTAATCATTTGCAAGCATGGCCATATAATCCCACCTGCATGGCACTATTGAATCTGAGACTTGTGCCACATAGCACATGTTTCACTAATCACTACACACAGCTTGGATCAGTTCTGATGACGGTATAATATTATCCTTCCCAGAGACCTAGCCACTACCGCTCTGTAACGGTCCTTCACCTTATGCTTTCACACGATACTTACTATTCTAACGACACTATCAATTTCTCTTCCTGAATGCGCAGCTTCAAAAGACCGACGGTAGCTTTCAAGCTGCTCAGCAGGCAAACTTGCTCCAATGCTCTCCCATTTGGACACCTGGCCGATGATTCGACAAGTTCCATCGTCACTTCTCCGTATAAGGAAAAGAGTTGAAAGCCCAGGAAATACACAGACAGCATCGCCAACGGCTGCCACCGCGCCACTGTGAAGCAATTGCCCCGCTGTTCCATCTTGTAGCACAAAATTACTACACCCAACCATACTCTGCTGAAAAATGGGGTCTGTTACCATTCCATAAGCACCTTGCAACTGTTCTTCCGTTCCGAATCTTGTGCCGAGTGAGGAGAGTGGTTGGCTGTGAACCATGCACACATAAGCCATCATGACTCTCTGCACAATGATCGGATTTTGAGTTAATCTCTCTTCGGTATATATGTCAGACAGATGAAACTTGAGCCACTCGGTCATAACCTCCATGCGAGTAACTCTTCGGATAGCTGCTGCAACTTTGACTATAGCCTCGTCAAACCGCAGGAACTCTCCTGACGATACTAGACCAGTGTCGGTATCAGGCGTGACGGGCTTGTAAACAGACACGCATTGGCCAAGAATAATCGCCGGCATGGTCAGAGTCCTGCCATCCCCAGAAACATTGAAGCACTTCCCAGGACTGGGTGTCAAATTGGACCTTGCTGTCCAGCTATTTCGCAGATCTGGTGTCCATGATGGCACAGCTGGAAGATTGCCGACAGTCCCTAAATTCAATACACGAATATCTTGGGTCTGCTCAAGAATAAACATTGTGAACTTGTAGCAGAGTTCCTCGAAAGATTGGGTGTAATCTGGCTGAAGAGCCGGGGGTAGAGGATCGCAAGCCAAGAGCCCAATCAGAGCATACAAACGATCATGAGCAACCGTAGCTTCCAGCTCTGTTGTTTCATTCAACAGCTTAACTATGTCAAGAGCACACTGCTTTTCCTGACTCACAGAGCCTTTTGCTTGTTCCGGGGCCATTTCACTTCTGGACTGTAGGATATTCTTATACACCAGCTCGATAGCTTTGAACCTGACTGGATTCTTAGCCATGAATGAGTAAAGTAGCTGACCATCCTCAGATGGATCCAGCATCAATACCCAAGTCTTGAAAAAGATCTCGTACCCCAGCTCATGAGGCCCACAAAGCAAGATCGGCTGTTTCTTTGCCAGGACAGCTTCCTGAAGAATCCAGACCCGTCGGAACCATGGGCGATGGCCGATAGACCTTAAGGCGTCCCGAACAGACTCAACCTCAGTTGCGGGGCTTTCATCAGAACGTCCAGCCTGCATGAATGCTGTGATTCGCTCATCTTCCGACAGGTCTTGACTGCCAGAATCTGCAGGTGAGTGGAAGTGCTTCAACCTCTCGGCCAGTCTGGAAACATTAAGTTCCTCATCACTGCCAACCGGGCCCAGCCAAGCCAACACACGCTCACAGTGACCGTAAATCTCTGACATGCGGGGAACTTGGATTGATTTTTCGACCTGATCATTCTGATTGATACAAATGGCATCTACCCAGATCATTGCCTTGTCACTGTTGTAGCCATGAAATGCATGACGGCGATACTGATACAGAGCATTGTATAAATTCCTCGTGATGCTAAATGGCTGGTCGTTGAGAAGGATAGTAGCGGGGTTTTCTCTCGCGCCCCAGACGTAAGACAAGGCCCAGAACCGTTGCGATGTGCGGGATTTGACGGTTTTAAGCTCAACACGGATTAAATCAGTGTCGCCAGGTTTGACAAGTAGCAGTCTCAGCTCATCGGATCTGAGGGGTTGATATGGAAAGGGCGTCAAGGGTTGCACGTCCATTGTGAGGTTGGTGAAGATGTATGGAATTTCTCCTCCCGTTTTGCCCCGCCTTGAGAAGTCTCCACTGGCGCTCACCCCTGTAAGTCCCTGATGGACATGGATGATGAGGCTGATCAATATAAGCGAAAAGGAAGAGGCGCTGTGATAGACTTCAGGAGCTGAAAAGGGCTTTCAACAATTGTCTTATTATATAGCTAGATCATTGAATGACAACCTGGGCAATATTGATTACTGCCGTTATAATTCCGTTCGTCAGTCTCATCAATACTCCATTATCGTGAAATCTTATTTATACATCATCCACTGCTAAATAAAAGGTTAAAGTCTGGCAGCTTTGAGCTGAGTTTCTCTGCATCTGAAAAGGTTTCAAATAGACTCCAACGCTCTCTCCTGACCTATAAATATGTGGCCGCATCTTGCTGCGCTTCTGACTCCTGACTCTACGCGCAAAACACAAAGTAACGGTGGGTTCAACACAAAACAACCACAAACCTTTCCTACCGCAAACATGAAGGTCACACCCAGCCTCAAAGCCTCCCTCCGCACATCCCTCCAGCACCTAACCCAGTTTCCTGATCTCCAGCGACGCTTCAACGTCTTAAGGGAGGAACTAGCTACTCTAGGCTACAGGCTCTACTCCTATGGAAACAGCGCGCCGCCACATTCCAAACTATATCAAGATATATGGGCACTGAGAAATATTATCCTGGGACACCGCAGCGCCATGAAAACCCTCGTTATCGAGATGAACGACATGTATAAGAGTGGATGCATCACTGCAGCTCAGGCTATATTTACAATTCGTGAGGGCGAGTTACTGCGAAATGGAAGCCCTGAGCTGGAGGCTTTGGTGATGGTTACGGGGTTTGATGCGAAGTGGGGACGGGTGAATGGGATGTGGAATGAGGCCATGGGCTTTTCGGCACAAGTTGATTATCTTGGAAATTGTTGTCCTTGAGGTCAGTGATGGTGAGCTGGTATACAAGGCTGGATTGGAGTCTGGGACACAAGTCTGAGTTTAATTTAACACCTGCATGATATTACAGTTGAACATCCCGCTAATACAATTCCCATCTCATTTACGTTTACTGCTCTCACTATGTGGCGTCTAGTTTTATTCTGAATAGACGCTGGGCGCGTCGATATCCGCAGTGATTCCATTCGTCTGAATATTCGAGTCAGTCGTGACGAGTGCCTGGACCGCAGACAAAGTATCCTGAAACTATTTCACAGCCTTTGCAATCCCCGCTTGGATAGCCGCCTGATTCACAATCATAGATGTTCCAATAGATCTGTCCGCAAAGGCCATCAGAGTTTCAGTATGGCGCAGGTTATTGCCTATTGCCGCAGAGGCCGACTGAATCTCATGTAACGCCACGCCGACACTCCGCAGTCTATAGCAAATAGCTTCGTTCTGTAGCCAGAGTAGATTTACTGCACCCACAAGACCAAAGGCTGTTTTATTGGCGTCAGTGCTCTTATGCGCGATGTGTCCTTGGTACTCAGCCCATGCCATTCCCAAGTCCCTCTGCTGTGTAAAGATGGCGTTTGATCCAGGGATCCATCCAGCAACGGGCATCCAGATAGAAGAGACGGCAGTGCTAGCCTCCACTTTTTCGTGGCCCTCACAAGTAGACATTACTTTGTGACAGCACACGTAAGGCATCTGGTAGCAAAGACCTCTGTTGCATAAGGCTAAACTAGCCGCCGAGACTTGAGTGCCGCTAGCTCTCTAGTTCACACCCTGGCTCAAATTCGAAAGCATGGAACTGGCGTTCTGAGCAAGACTTTTGAGCTCTGAGTTTCCCTCGGGGTCAGGCTGGGAGTATGTCTGGCTGGTCATCATGCTTATCATGCCCTATACACTATCTTCCCCCACGCTAGTGAGCTGATTAATAAGGTTCTGACGCAGCAATTGCGCGTCCCGTCCCTGTAAGTCTGTTAGCGCCCGCCATAGCAGTACTTTTTCAAGTCCACCCGTCCAGAACTCACAGAAGCTGGATATTCCGTATTGATTGAAGTCGTCACAAGTATTCCAAAACTCCAGCACAGCAGTTTCTCTCTCCTTTCGTGGTATGTAACCAGATACGTTCAGTCATTCGCGCTTCATACGGAACTGGTACAACAGAGGATCCATACGCCAATTCACATTAAAACTCAGCATTAAAGGCCGTGCAACCGTCCAATTGAAATGCAATTTTATAATCAGTATGCGCTATCCGGTGGCTTAGCGAAAATCCTGCGTAATTCTCCTCCGCGCAACGCAGCGCAATCAATTCCGCCCTCACACCCCCTTCCAGTGCCGAAATCCGATTATCGACGCGGTGCGGGCCGTGCAAAGACCGCTCGCTGCTAAGGGGAATGAAACTGCCGATGGGGGGTAGGCGATCACCCTTGGCATAGCCAATATGGTTAGACTGCTGGTCAGCTGCAGTGCTGCGGCGCAATCACATAGCCATCCCCGTGATGATCTGACGTAGATAAACTTTGGAGTTATTGAAGTTTATCAAACAGTTACGGCTCAGAGTTTACGCTGATCTTGATAGAGTTCGTCTCGAAGTAATAGCCCCTATCAATGGTGCAGAAGCTGTAAGCTTATCGTCTACTGGAAGTTTGTCTCACTCTCCACGACATTTCCCCTCGGTTTTCCATAACCGTTTACTCTCCACTATCCTCGTGTTTCACAACCGTTATCATCGTCATCGCATGACTCGTCCTAATCTCCTTCAATACACCCCGTTCTCCGTCCGCGGAGTTTCCACGGACCCTCCATGCGCCCCAATGCTTGGCTGTCGTTAAAAGTGTGGGTTACGAGGGTCCGTGAGGCGTGGGCGATCTAAACAGGAAACGTTTGGCGAAAATCCCGGTTATAATCGTATACACCTATTATCCTATTGGCTCATGTACTGCATGGCTGTACAACTGTAGTGTTACATTGAAACGAAGATATTCACGGGGTTGAGCTCTTTCCAGCCGATATGATGTGTCATTTCGTTTATGCATTGACGATGTGTGGCATTTTGGAAGGGACTCGGGCTCTCGGGGTATCAGAAAGTCGAGAGACACCAGCTGGGGTGACATAATCGCCCTTGTAGAGGTCCAGGCACTGATCTGCGCTACTCGTACTACTTGTTTTTGACACGTTGAACTGAGGCGCAGTTATTCTCGTACCCTCGTCGGCACTCGCGTCTTAAAGCTCCGGTGCAATGGACATTGAGGCCAAGTAGAGAAGAGCAGCATTTTATGTCGATCCTTCTTTTGAAATATACCCTCGTGGATGGTATAAGTATAGCTTCAATGCCGTGAAGGATTCAGATCCATCATCCCACCATCGGCAGTTCTCCGAGATGTCGACATATATCGACACCATACTCCAGAATCCGCAATATGCGGTTCTTTCTGCGATTTCCCTCATCACAATCTTAGTTGTGAACTTCTCTTTCTTCGCTCATGAAGACAAATACCCATTTCTTATCCCCAAGAAGCCTTTAGAACTGACCGACAGGCGAGTGGTCAAGGAGTTTCTCGCCAACAGCAAGAGTCTCCTTGCAAACGCTCGAACAGTCTATAAGGATCAGCCATACAGGGCTTATACCGAGATAGGCAACGTTCTAGTCATTCCTCCTTCGTGGGTTGATGCTTTAAAGAGTAACAGACAGCTCGACTTTCTGACCCCGGCTAAAGATGCAAGTGCCGGTGTTGAAAATGGTGGTTTGGTGCTAATTTTGAAAAGGACTCTCATGAATATATCCCTGGGTTTAACCCTTTTGGATTCGATCCTAAAATGCCAACCGTCATCAACAAGTATATTACAAAGGCTCTGAGTTAGTTTTGCGAGCTCCTCTCTCTACTGCTTATTAACCTTAGTCCTCTAGCCAGATTAACGGGCCCCGTCTCTGAAGAATCGTCCTTAGCAATCCGCGACTGTCTCACCGACTCAACAGGTAATTCCTTCGTCTTCCAGTTAAGATGACAAGACTAACAAAGCCCAGAATGGCACGCGATCCGACCCCAAGCAGACCTCATCCGCGTCGTATCCCGCGTATCCTCTAGAATCTTCATGGGCGAAGAGCTCTGCCGGGATGAAGAATGGAACAGGACTTCAAGCGAGTATACGCTATTAGCTTTTAGCTACGGAGGCCATCTACGAGAATATCCCAGATGGCTCCGTCCGTATATCCACTGGTTCCTCCCTCAGTGCTGGGCGATCCGCGCGAAATTGAACGAAGCACGACAGTGTCTGAAGCCTCACATTGAGCGCCGAAATGCTATCAAACAAAAGGCGCTGTCTGAAGGGAAGCCGTGTCCTTTCGATGACTCTCTTGAATGGTTTGAAAGGGAGTATGAGAAGCATGATCCGGCCAAAGAGCAGATTGCTGTTTCGATCGTGGCGTATCATACTACATCTGACTTACTTGCCGAGACGCTTCTCAACCTTTGTCAACACCCTGAGCTGTTTCAGAAGCTTCGGGAGGAGATTATTGCGGTCTTGACTGCTGAAGGGGGTTTAACCAAGGCAGCGATGTATAACTTGAAGTTGATGGACAGCGTGGTTAAAGAGTCCCAAAGACTACGACCAATTATACTCGGTATGTCAAAGTTGTAGTCCTCGTTCCCATCCGACCCTCTAACATTTTCGTCAAGGCGCGTTCAGGAGAGTAGCCACGGCGGATGTCACGCTCCCCAACGGCGATATCCTCAAGAAGGGCGACAAGATCATCGGAAACATGTCGCACATGTGGGATTCCGACACTTACGACAACGCACTTGAGTTCGATCCATATCGCTTTGTCAAGATGCGTCAGACAGGCGATGACAAGAAAGCTCATCTTGTCAGCACCAGCGCTGAGCATCTTGGTTTCGGACATGGTATCCACGCATGTCCCGGACGTTTCTTTGCTGCGAATGAGATTAAGATCCTGCTGTGTCATTTGCTGCTTAAGTATGACTGGAAGCTACCAGAGGGTTGCACTCCACGGCCTTCTCACTCGGGGTTCAAGCTTCTTGGCGATTACTCGACGAATCTTCTGGTTCGACGTCGAACTGAAGAGTTGGACATTGATTCTCTTTCTAGGTCATAAGGCCACAGTGGTAATTTGTTTGCTCCATCCCAATTGGGGACACTGCGAGTTGAAGTTAGGGTGGGGTCATTTGTATACTACGTTTACCAAAATTGACAAGATCTATTTTTCATCGCTCTTTCAAAATCCCGCTCGTCAAGTGATCATCTAGTCCCGGTCCATTATCGCAAATCAATACGCGTGCCGAGTGAAATACGAGGCACCAATCAGAATTCTCCAACATCCACAGATACGAGGACAAACCCCCTACAATCACTAAGTCTTTTACCTGGCCTCAAGGAACAAAATTCAAGACTTGAGAAGAGGACTCTAAATGAACTGAGCAAAGAGCCCTCTAAGCCTAGACTAGATTTGCCTAAGTAATTTTATCACTTAGAGTCAAGGTCCTGGGTGATTTTCCTCCACTAGCCTGGAGCACAATCCTTAGCTGTCTTCCCAGAGTACGACGGGCCTCCGGGGTCTTGGATCGTACCGAGACCAGGATTTTCGGGTCATGACGCTGGACCGTTCTCGGCAGTTGATCTCACAACCCGATCTTACACGGTATGGTTGAGTATAGGTCAGGATCCTGTCCAATATTTAATACAATAAATATTAGAACATTTCGGGATCATCCATCGATAGACAATACGAAAAGCTTTGTCACATCCTTCTGTTCCATTTCATCATGAATATTGACTACTATGGACGCATCGCGGAGAATCTCCAGTTCAACAACACCCCAGTCATGATCGCAACAAACGCATGCTTCATAGTCGGCTTTCTACAATACACATACGCTATAAGACTCCTCATCCGCGAAGGTCAAGGCCCTATACCCTTCTGGATGCAGACCTTTTACGTCGCTCACGAATTGACATTTGTTTACCTCTTCGCCGAGGCGGCACCCCGCTACAATTACCACTGGTTCTTCGTGTCAACCTCATTTTCACTGGCAGTATGGGCAGTTCTTGAGATATTCTGCATGTGGTATACCATCCAAAGCCCAAAAGACCGCATCGCTACCTTTTCACCTCTCTTTGGAAAACAACCCGCTACTTCCTCTATCCTGACATACACTTTCTTTCTGCAGCTCGCCATGTTTGCAGTGGTCTGGATATTGATCGAATTTCTTGGTACCGGTAGCTTCATGCTCACAGGAGCGCTCACCAATGTCCTTATGATCGTCGGGCCGACGCACGAGTATCTATCTCGTGGTTCACGAAACGGTCTGTCGATCGGGTTCTGTCTTACCAATGTGGCCTGTGCGATATAGACGTTTGCCCCGTTCAGCTTGGGCGCTGCTGTATTACCTGAGATCTTTGATCGGCCTATCATGTATGTTGCGGGATTTATCTTGTTTGCATACTCTGTATGGTTGACGACGGTGGTCGCGTCTTATCCTCCCAAGACAGCTTCAAAGGGACAACCGACGCCGATCTGGTAGAGGCTGCACCGATTTGGAATGATGATCAGCATGTGAGCTTGGGATGACTTTCAACCTCTTTGTATTCTGTTACTCCGACTATCCTATAAAATCACTCCGCTCCAGTAGCATAAATCCCATCCCTAATAAGCTGACTCAACTTCTTGTTCGTCGCAACATACCGTGCCAAATCACGTCTCTTCTCAACCAACAAATCCATCACAATCCTTCCAAAGACCAGTTTTCCAGAGAAATTGAGGTGAGTGCGATCTCCCTCAATCTCATTATATTTGTGGGCATTCTCCTGTCCAATAGCGTTGACATACTTGGTGCTCGCAGTATTGAGATCCAGGTACTTGACGCCAGATTTATTTGCAACAGCAACTGCTGCATCACGCTCGTTGCTAAGATTCTCGATCACTTTTCCGTCCTTGAAAGTACGGCGGGTAAGGGACGTAACGATAATCTACCAAAATCAGTCACTGCACCAGAATTACAAGGTCAAGCTTACCGCTGTTCCTCCAGCCTCTTTGACCTCACCAATCATAGTAGAAAGGTTATCCGAGTACTCCTCCAACGTAAGAATCTTCTGATCATTGTGGCCAAACTGAATCGTGACAATAGCTTCGTGATCTTTCTTATGACTCCTCACGTTCTCGAGAGCAGTATCCCATAAGCCCTGAGATCGGAAAGATACAGTCGTTGCGCCGTTCTTGGCGATGTTGATACCACCTGCGGGCTTCTTGGTGCTGTTCAGAAGGGCATCACCCCAACCTCCGCCGGTGGCAACGGTAGAGTCGCCTGTCAAGATGAAGAATGGAGACTTCTTGGCTTCAGCGCCTCCAAAGAGGGTTAGGATGCTTGCAGCGAGAGGTAGGAACTTCATAATGAGATAAGAATGATCACAGAACTTGACCGCTGAAATGAACAGATGTGTCCCCTCAGTGAATTATATACCTTCATATCCGGCAAGTTCATCCAACCATTTTAACCCTAGCAGGTATTTCAACAGCTCAAATAATTCCGCCAATAATCGTGTCTCTCTCAATGTTTGGGGGCACGACAAGGCACCCCGGATTTTCAAAGCTTAATGCGTCAACTCCATATCGAGCCGTTGGGGTTAGTGCGGATCTCCACGCTCCGTTTTACTAGGGTAGCCGATTGGCATAACTTACGTATGGGCAGTACCGCTCGGGTCTTGTTGCCCCGAGGTCCTCCAGACTAAAGCATGATAGTTACGTTCCAGGTTCAATCGACAAGATAATAAATTTTTGACTCAATGCCTCCTGGCTTATTGCCTCTTTTATTCATGACTGGGTACCACCAGCCCTAAGCTCTATTTTCTTTTCATCTTTCACACTTCCTTAAACATTCAACTCAGCAGCCTTGGCCTTCTGGATAGAATCCTGGTAAGGCGCAAGCTTCTTCTCCAGCTTTCCTCCCGGTCCACAGAACTTGTCAACCAACTGCGCACTGCGACCAATGTACAGCTCTGGCTTCATCATGCCATCGAGATCAGCCCAGATAGGCTTGAAGAACTCGGTCTTCTTGATCCGCTCAACAAGATCGTTGGACTTTCCGAGGCTCTGGACCTGGTGCGATGCTTCGAAGGAGAGAACGCGGATTTGCTCGTGAGCCCTAGGTTGGTCAGTATTTGATGGCTAGGCTAAGGTTGAGGTTGGACGTACTCTTGTCGGGACACGCCCATTGCGACGAGGCGCATGATGATGTTCTCGGTGATCATGAAGGGGAGCTCGGCCATGATGTTGGAGTGAATCTTGAGGGGGAAGACGACGAGACCCTCTGTGACGTTCTGCAGGGTGATGGCGACGGCGTCGGCGAGGAGGAACATCTCGGGGATGTCGATTCGTCGCTAAATCTGTTAGGATGTGCCAAAGATTGAACAATACAAGTGTACTCACGCAGGCGGAATCGTCAAGTGATCGCTCCATCCACTGAGCGGAGTGGGTGCTCTGGTAGGTAGCGGCCTTGGACTGGAGGACTCGGGCGAGACTGGCAATTCGCTCAGATCGCATGGGGTTCTGCTTGTAGGCCTGGCAGTGCATTAGTATGTCGTCAAGCTCGCAGACAAGTATGACTGACCATGGCGCTGCTTCCGATTTGACCCTTCTCTCGGGGCTCGCCGACTTCCTTCATGAAGGCGAGATGTCGCAGATCCGAGGCGATCTTAGTGACGGTGGTGCCGAGGCCTGTGACGGCGTTGGCGATGAGACAATCGACCTTTCGGGTGCTGAAGGATCATTAGTATCAACAAAGGAAGCCAGTTGCATCGTCAAGCTTACTATGTCTGTGTTGAGATCTGAAAACTGTTAGTCAAGTACCAGAGAAATAGTATCATCAACTTACATCGTAGCACTCCTCAAAGCCAGCCTTTTGGCAAAGCAGCTCATTGAGCTTATCACACTTCTCATGATCACCACCAAAACTAAAAATCATCAGAACTAGCCCAGCCACACCGAAGGAGCAACTCACATCTCGAGGAAACTGGCCTGAGTACCAGTAGTGCCCTGCGCACCACGGAACTTGAGCTCAGCTCGCACGCGCTCAAACTCATTAAGATCCATCAAGAGATCCTGCGCCCAACCCGCAGCTGCATACCGTCAGAACACGATTTGTCCTCCAGAGAAAAAGTACTAACCTCGCTTGCCGACGGTGCTGATCTGCGCAGGCTGAAGATGTGTGAAGGACAGGGTGGGCTCGTTCTTCCACTCGAGGGCGAAGTTCTGCAGGTTGTACAGAACCTTGGCGAGCTTGGGGATGAGAAGATCGAGAGCGTCGCGCATGAGGATGAGCTCCGTGTTGTCGGTGACGTAGCAGCTCGTCGCGCCGTAGTGGATGATACCAGCTGCAGCAGGGGCAGCTTGGCCAAAGGCATGAACGTGCTGTATCTCAATCAGCCTTGGATAAATCGTCATTCAAGCATGCTTCTTACAGCCATGACATCCTGGTACGCTAGTCAGCTCGCTTATCCCCACGACACTGTATCAACAAAACTCACATGACGTCGGATCTTCTCCTCATGACGCGCAACCTCAAAGTCATCGTCAGTAACAGTGAGATGAGTCCTCATCTGCTCGAGCGCCTCGTCGGTGATGGTGTTGATGCCGAGCTCCTTCTCGCTCTCGGCGAGGTAGAGCCATAGCTTGCGCCAGGTGGAGTGGCGGGAGCGCTGGCTAAAGAGCTGGGACAGCTCCTGGCTGCAGTAGCGGCCGGTGAGGGTTGTCTGGTAGGTATCGAAGGCGGCCATTTTGGATATATCAAAATGCTGTTACGTATGATGAAGTTGGTAGGGCGGGGGATCGGTGATCTTTTTTTTGACGTGAGCGTGGAGAAAGAAAATTTTAGCCTTTGGCCCGGATAATTCTCTAGCCGTTTGTTGTTGTGCACTTCTCTTCCAGCGCCGCCTGCGAGTGACAGCCAGTGGTTGGAATGTGTGTTTTATGATTGGTTAGATTATGATACTTAGTGGGGCATCTTCCTTGAAACCGCTCATCAGCATCAGTCCATCAGTGCATGGCAGTGCACAACAGAAACAGCTGAATAAATCAGTCCACTTGAGACCTCTCACCTGATCTGATAATATTGTTAATGTTCTATTTCAATTATTCAGAAAAGGTAAGGATCACCTGCTGATCAGCATGACGCTGGGCATTGGGCTGAAGCTTTGAAGATGCCCCACCACTTTTACTTTTGTGTTTGCCAGCAAACCTTGTCATTCAATGGCAGATCTCATCGAATCAAACCATATGATTCATTGTTTGACTTTTTCACAATACTCCCCTATGTACAAGGCAAAGTGTTCAATCCTTCATCCTTGAGCAATATTTTTGCGTTGTTCTTGTTGACTCTTCGCCCAGTGGCGCTAGCCCCGCCCTGTGATTGACAAATGGAGCTCATCTGGCAGCCATGATGCTGGCAGCAGATGTTAGACAAAAGCATGAGCAGCATGGACCTGGATACAAACTTTTAAGGGCTGCCTAGATTCGGTCATGGAAGCAGCACAAGACAGACAAATACTAGACTCAAGCGCTTGCATCAGATGAGGATCCGAAGCTTGGCACGCTTAATGTTTGGGCGTCAATGACAATAACATTCATTTGAGAAGAGAAGAGAAGCCGATGAATTTCTTGGCGATACGGTAGAGATGTTAGGGTCTTTTTTTAATCTCCGATTTGCTTCGAACATTTGTATGTCGAGTATTTTGTTACATCACCGACTGTGATGTGACAGAATGCTGTGCCTGAGGTTTGCTCAAGACCGTAAATTCGTAATTGAAAGGCACCCAGGTTGACCCCTTGCAAAGCTGACGCGCGAAATGTCACAGTATCATAATCTGATTGCAATTATCTTACTATTAATGAGTGCTATTTATATAAGCCATCTGTCCAAAGATCCAAACCAGTGATTGGAATGAGATAGAGGTTTAGGGTATGGGCTGATGAGTACCTATGGACAAAAGTGTTGATCCGATAAGATAAACTGATAAGATAGATCTTCTGATATGTCGCGTCACAAGCAAGCCACTCAAAGCGTATCTGCATAACCACGGCACAGCGACTAACCCCATATCATCAGATCTCAAATCCTCCCATCTCGGCAATGACGTAAACGACATTAATTCATTCAATTCGCATTAACATTCATCTGATCTTTAAAATAACCCAAACCTTACCAATCCCCATAAAACCCGTCCCTAGCGCCACGGAATCACCGGCGCATCTTCAAAAATAGCATCACGCTTACCAAGAACCGGTCTAAAGCGTCTTGTAAACATGGATCAATTATCAATACGAGGATCCAGCGGCAAAAAACCAAGTCTACCCCTGCAAGGAAAAGGGGGTCGATTCATTTAAAATAAACAGCCGCTCCTTCCCCAAACTTTTTTTTCTTGTCCATCTCTTGGCTGTTTATACCCGTCACTCGCTTATTCATCACTTTCGTTATACTTAATCTTTTCTCAATATGAAGCTTTTCGGATCTATTGGCGCCGTCGCCGCGGCTTTGATGCTACTTCCTGGTCAGGCTTTGGCTGGGCAGTACAAGGGCTTCAGTATGGGTGCCAACAGGGCGGATGGCGCTTGCAAGTACACTGCGGATTGGAAGAAGGATTTTCAGACGATCAAGAGCTGGAACAAGGGTTTCAACGCTGTGCGCCTCTACTCTGCCGATGACTGCAACAGTAAGTTTCACCCCTGCACACAACATGATCGACATACTGACCAACTTTAGCACTGGTCAAGGCTGTCCCCGCCGCCAAGCAGACCGGCATGAAGATCCTTGTCGGCGTCTGGGCAACCGACGACGCTCACTTCGGCCGCGACAAGGCCGCTCTTCTCAAGGTGATCAAGCAGTACGGCACCGACTGGATCGCCGCCATCTCCGTCGGATCCGAGGACCTGTACCGTAAGGACATTTCGCCCGATAAGCTGGCGCAGCAGATCTACGACGTGCGCGGGATGGTGCGCCAGTTCAACAAGAACCTCAAGGTCGGACATACCGACACATGGACGGCGTGGGTCGACGGCCGCAACGACGTGGTCACCAAGGCGTGCGACATTGCCATCACCAACGGCTTCCCCTACTGGCAGGGCGTCGCCATCAAGGACGCTCTGCAGAAGAAGACCTTCCAGAACTCGTACTGGAGTGTGCAGCAGCACGTCAAGGCTGTTAACAGCAAGGCTGCTGTTTGGGTTGGCGAGACGGGCTGGCCTACCAAGGGACCTAACTACCAGAAGGCCGCTGCTACTACCGCTAGTCTGCAGAGCTACTACAACAACGTTGGGTGCTGGTTGTGGCAGCAGAAGGATGCTAGTGGTTTCTGGTTCACTGCTTTTGATGCGCCTTTGGCTACGCCTGAGGTTGAGAAGTACTTCGGGATTGCGAACTCGGACCGCAAGCTCAAGTTCACTCTTACTTGCTAGATGGAGCGTATCTGATTTCGAGTATCTATTTTTGCGCATAGCATCTGGCTGGGAAATGGGCGCTGGAAACTTGCATATATACATTCACTCATAGACTATTTCATTCAAAAGCCAGCGGGGTAAAATATAATGGCATTGTAATTCATTGTAACTATCCGACTTGTGCGTTTTCTTTCTAAGCCTCAAGCCTTGATTCCAACGGGAGGGCCCAAGTAGCTCTTGGCTACACCACCGCAGTCAACCACAATCTTTTCAAGCAGCATATTCGCATGTCCTAACCTGAGATGTAGCGTATGTGCACCGGCTGCCAAAGTGACCTCATGCTTACGAACCCATACGTTATCCGACGCAGCAAAGAACCAGCCATCAGCCGACGCCCATCCTTTATCGGCAGCGTTCTTCTCACTCTCTGGAGTTCTCTTCTGCAGAGAATAACTTTGGGTTTGTTCCTCGTCGATTCGGACGTCATAAGTCAGAATGTCTTCTGAGGAGAGATCCAGAGTGGTACCGAAGTAAAGTACCAAAGTAGCCTTGGGCGTCTCGCTGAAAAGGTAAAAGGGGTATTGAACGTAGGGTGTCGAACTGTCACTGTCAATACCTGGGGCGAGAGTCAAAGAGCCAGTTTCTAGCCTGCCAGCATCGGGTAAAACCAGATACGGTGTCTCGAGATGACAGTCGGTAGCGGGAATAGACACAAAACCGTCCTGCTCAACGAAACCCTTGAATGAGTCTGGTACCCGTCTGCCATTGATCGGCAAATGGACCTGTTCAAAGTCACCTTCCTCTGACCGAACATCGACCAGGACCTCCTCTTTGAAGTCACCAGGCACTTGATCCCAGTCAATCGAGATCTCAACCCTGGCATCATCCTCTCCAGGCACCAAGACCCCCGAGACCTTTGACAGCTGAACCCAAGACTGAGGCGCAGAAACAGACCAATTAATCCTCGGGACTCCCCGGGTAAAAATATCAAAGTATCGAGCCTCAGGTCCATACCGACTCATAGGCCGTAAAGTCAAACCAGGAACAAGATCCCGTCGACTCGGATGCGTTCGCTCAGACTCTTCATTGATCCGACCTGGCCTCACGCCTTCATGGCCTTCCACAGCAACACCTATCTGTCCAACGATAGGATTGGAGTTCTGACGTTTCTGAACAAAGCATAATCCACCAATCATGTCTCGCGAGGGAGCATGCCATGTATCTTCGTAGCCGTAGTGGGGCTGCATGAGGATATGGTTCCACTTCCCGTCTAAAAGGCTGTGATATTCTTCCGAGAGAGTAAAGTCCTGGTCAAACGCGTCCAGAGCGATTTGAGCGTATTTGTTTGCCGAATTTCGTCTTTGGCGAGCGAAAAGCTTGTTTAGCGCTTGACTCCAGCGTACCTTGTTGTAGATGTATGATGCTTTGGTAGGATGGAGAATAAGCTGGAAAGATGCTGCTTTTTCTTCTTCAGAAACACGAGCATGTAGCCTTTCAGCATCATCAAGAAGCTCCTTCCATCGACTGTAGACGGTGTCGGCTTCTCTGTAGTGCAAGACGGAGAAAGTATCAGGCTCAATATGCTCATGCTTTCTTAAAGAGAGCAAGCGATCATGTCGATGCCAGATTGACCCGACTTCATCCGCGAGTTCAGCGCCAAATTCTCGTTCAGCAGCTTGACGGAAGAACTGCGGGAGGGTATCGTGTTTGATACTGCTAATGTCCCAAGCTAGAGCCATTGCAAAGGAGATTGGGATTTCTTGAGGTTTCAAGTCGCCGACGTTGAATACCCAGATTTGACGAGCGTTGTGATGATACGCTTGTTGAAGTTGATGCCATACTTTCCCCTTGTAACATGTTAGCTCTTGATCTTGGATGAGGGTACCTAGGGGGCTTGCCAGTGAGTTCGTGTTGATCCACTTATAGCTTCGAGGATCTCCGACGTATTGAAGATGGTAATATACCTAGGCGACAGTTAGCGAGTGCTGACAATTGAAGGGAGGAACTTACACCAGCCCCGCCCTTCCTCTTGGCCTCTTCCTTTGTAGGAAGTCGACGGATCGTGCCAAAGTTATCATCCTGGAACAGCAGCGTCACATCGTCGGGAACACTCAACCGGCCGGTTTCGAACATCGACTGAACCTCTTTATAGATCGCGAAGAGCTCTGCACGAGTTAGCCACTACCAAGCCTCACCTTGGACAAAACTCACGTGGCACCGCGTCTTCCCGTCCGTAAACCTTCTTAACAACCTGCCTCTGCGTCTCAATAGCATCCTGCACCACAGCCGCTGGATCCTCAGCCAGCATCTTCTTATCATATTCTCCTCTGATGCCCAGAGTGAAGTACGAATCACAGCCTTTGGCTCGACTAGCGCCGTGTTCAAAGAATTCGGTGATTTTCTGCTTGTTCGTCAACCAATTCCAGCTTCCGTCGGGGTTATCGGCAAACCATTCATTCGAAAGTCGTTGCATGGGTTCGTGGTGAGATGTAGATATGACGATGCCGTATTCGTCTGCGAGCTTTTGGTTCAGTGGATCGTCTGTGAAGAAGGATGCGCCGGGATTGGGATAGCCGGGCCACATTGCTGGCCATAGAAAATTGGCCTGTTCTTGTTAGTGGTGTCGCAGTTGAAGAGATACAGCACATACTTTGAGTCTGAGTAGAAGTTCAAAGACTTTGACGTAAAACTTGGAGTTGTATCCTCCGAAGTTTTCTCTCACCCAGCCTGTCAAAGCAGGTGCTTCATCATTGAGAAAGATACCGCGGTGTCTCACAGATGGTTCGCCGTGGACCGTGTGTTTCTCAATGGCGTAGATCTCTTTATGGTGTTTTGAAGGTACATCGGCCCACCAGTACCATCTTTTCCGTGTCAGCGAATCGCGTTGAATTGACGTAGTGCGGAATCACTTACGGCGAGACCCCAATCTGTTCCGAAAGAGTGTAGATGCCAAAGATGGTACCTCGCTTATCACTTCCAGCTATTACTAGAGCCTTTTCACACTTTCCCAAAGGCTGCTCGATGGTACTCGTGCTGAATGCCTCCCATTTTCCCTCAATTCCCTGGGTATCAAGCTTGCCCTGTTGTGTAAGCGTCTTGATAATTCCACTCGAAGCAACACTGCCGATAACGATGACATTCTTTGTCTGTATCTTCTCGTAGTCCGAATGAGACGATATCACGATCAACGGATTAGCATCTCCCTTCGTCACGCGAGCAAAATCTTCAGCGAAGTCTCTTCCGGCGCGGATAACGCCAGGGTAATCTGATTGATCCACCACAATCGAAGCACCGACCAACGGGATTGACCCGAGGGAAGGCTTGAAGTCAACGATCTTTTCTTCAAACATGATCAAATGTGTTTGCACCGATGCATTTGTCACTTTGGAAAGAGTTTAATAACTCACGTTGAGAAGTCGGTATACCCTCCGAGATCTAGTCACCTGATCCTCACTTTCCCCTCATCGTTAGCTCGGTTTAATGTCATCCCGAATATTCCGCACTTAAAACGACAACATCGTGGCCTTGGCAAACACGACATCTTTCCCCTCATTTGCTTAAATCATAGTAGTTTTTTTTTAAGATCGGCGAGAAGGCCGGTTTGCGATTCGCTTCATTTCAATTCGCCTTGGAGTACCAAACATCACTACCTGGCTCTCAAATACAGTAAAATTTCTATAACTTGGTTTCGTAATGCCTCAGATCAATGCCCGCTGAATCGCATCCATAGCCATGGCAGTGACAACACCTCGGCTTCCAATCTTTAGTGGCTTCGTCGCATAACTCCACAGCCATACCAACTCCCATCCGCCATCAAGCTGCTGACTCTCCAGTAGAATCCTGAGATCTCGGTCATTCTTCAGACCCAAAGATTGAGCACTCAAAGCTCTCATTGCAGCCCCGAGAATATTGTCATCGCATCCCATACGCTCTTCTACACATTCAACAAGTAAATCTCTCATTCTCTGAAGCTTTTCGTCAGATGGACGCCTGGCACAGAGGTCTGAGAGAATGTACAGGAACCAATCTGGAATTTTGTAGTAACGACTGCCGTGGAGAAAAGCTCTGGTCTCTAGTACGCGACAGAGATATTCGTAGACATTGGGGAGTTTATCGGACCAATCGTTGATTGTAAAGAAGCGAAAGACATTGGCGCAGACGCAGTGACAGAATCGCGGACGGTTCTTATTGAACCAAGCCTAGAAAATCATGAGAATTGAGAAGAAGTTCACTGCATCAGCACTTACTTCTGGAAGACCGTCTTTGTTGACGTATGATAATATGACGTCCCTCGCTTTGAGCTTTTGCTCCATGGAAACATCTTCCAGCATCGTCATTGCCAAAGACGTTGTGTCGGGATCATCCGGGTATGTCGTGCCATCATACGTAGGACTACCATGAAAGTAATTCCACGTATCACCCTCGTTCTTCAGCACAATAAGATCTCTATAACGAGAATAAGCATAAGGCAATAGGGAAAAATGCCCGTTCCAAGGACTTACCGATCTCCTGTATGATGCAAGATAAGCAGTTGAGAAAAGTTATCCGGCTGAAGGTTGCCTGTATTCATCGTGCAGAAAAGGTTCTTTGCATTCTGCTTCAAGTAAATCTTTGCGCGAGCAACAGGATCGCCCAATAGATTGTGGAGAACTCTTATCAGCTCATCGGTAGTGGTAAAAACAATGCCTTTGAACCCTAGGCATTGCGCGTTGACCACACTGCCGACTTTGTCGTCGATGAAGATGCAGTTTTTTGCTGACTCCTGTATCTTCTCCAAAAATGCAGTATAGACACCCATTTCTGGCTTTCTCTGTTGTAAATCGGAAGAGGCGACGAATTGATCGATCATACCACAGCTTTCGATCTCATCTTTGAGAAGAGCAAGTTCTGGTCCTGGGATATTGGACAAGCAACAGATTTTGGCTGCTGGATAAGCTGTTTTCAAATCTTTCATGGCAGAGACCAGGGCTTCGTTTGGCTGCATTCCATCTTTCATCTGTTCCAGGACCTCGGTCCAAGTCTCCAAATCAATGTTGAAGGCTTGAGCGACTTGGTTATAGGCCTCTTGCTTGGAGACTTTGCCTTTCTCGTATTCATGCCAGTATGGAGAGTCGAGAGCACTCTTGATCTGGGTTGAAGTCAGACCGACTGTGTTCTTGGAGCTGTAGTTAATTAGCACTCCACCCAAGTCAAGGACGACGGTTGTATAAGTTGAACGATGCATTTCAGTCGTAAAAGTCTGTATGATAGAGCAAGAGGAAGCTTGGATCTAGCAGATAAAATCCAGAAACTAAGCTTTTATATATCTACAGGAAATTCATGTTGGGTCAGAATCAATTATTACGCAAAGTCAGGCCATTGCTGTCAGAAAGCACATTCCAAATGTCATTAAGGATGCAGGTGTGATATTAATGTAGGTCGCTTAACCAAAAACGCATCATATCTAATCACCCAAGAAGATTTCATTTACCCAAAAGGGCAATGGATGTCACTTCCCGTCACGGATCAGTAATCATTGATGGCTAGTTATGTGCCGCTGATTGGCTTGAAATGCGATTGGTCAGGAAGGATTATCTCACCAAAGCCTGGCGTTGCAGTGAGCTGACTGGACGTGAAGATCAGTTACGATAAAGGCAAGGGCCGAGTTGAGATGTCGACTGTCTGTCTTATATTACAAAAAAAGGCTGTAGGATTAAGATATGGAACAGAGATGCTATATGATATGTAAGTTACATGCTGACCTTCTATGTTAAATACTTAATTATATAGAAGGCCCTGTGAAGTGTAATAAGACCAAGAGGTCCATTCTAATAATTAGTCTATTAGTACCTTTCCTAGAGGCTTGAGGTTATGTAGCATTAGTAAATAGCAAGAACTTTTATACTTACCATGTCCTAGTTCTAATTATTATTATTTAATCCTTATTTATATAAATTATCCAATACTATAACTACCTCTGTATTAAGTCTTTTACGTAGCGGCGTTAATATATTTTATATAACTGGTATTATCTTCTAAATCCATAAAGCTACAGTAGTAAGGCTGGAAAACTTATACAGGTAATATACCTCCAAGCTGCGTATTCAAGCCATAAGACTTTAAACCTATATCAATAAACAATGATTTCACCTTACCACTGCTCTGTTATCGCTACATAGCTAATATATTCCATATTTCAGCTACGACTACTAAAACACAAGCTGGATATATGAAATGACCCGACCATCATTGCGATTCGCGGGCCTCAATTACGCTTTTATCCCATAAGTGGCGGTGTAACGAGGAGCTGGAAGTTAATGACGCTTGGCAAAGAGGCGTTCCTTGGCATGCAAAACAGCTTCGAGAATACGAAATATAAACAGCTAAGTCTGGAGAAAGAAAGCTAAGTTCTTTAAGTCTTACTAATAATACAGTACGTCGATAAGATGCGCTGTGAACTTAAGCTTTAGAGGAGTACTCAAAAGGAGGACTCTAGAAAGTTAGCAGCAGTCTCAACTATTGCCAAGAGGATTCGGTGCCTGTTTCTGGCAGTAAATTCGGGCCCCCAATACACGGCTTGAGTCTAGATCTCGCGGAAAGAGCCACGACAGGTCCGACAGTCTTGGCAGGTTACATGGCATCTTTTTACCCCTGCCATCATTGGGCCTTAGACCCTTTGCCTTCTTGGCTACCGTATATTTGCGCTTTTACATTTCAACATAGCCTCAAAGGCCTCAACTCATCCTTATCTATTGGGGTCCAAATTGCAATGCATCGGCGGTATGGCTTGATATGTCAAGTCGTAAGTTATTGTCAAAGCGTCGTGCAGCACCTTGGAGTCCGCAAGGTTCGAGAACGCACCTGGGAGCTTAGATGTTACTTTGAAGGATTCGGAAGTCTTGAAGCAGAAGGTCGCTTCGGGTTCTGCGTTGCACAACATGATGGAATCACGTTGATAGGATATTGCCTAAAGGTACAGAAACATGCAATGGTATATGGCCCCCAAGATCTTGACAAAAGTGTTCCGTGATCGTGCGATACTGCCTGGCCCCCAAATGAGGAAACTCTTGAGATATCAGGCGCAAAGGGAGTGACAGAAGACATTGTAACGAATATGTATAAATAAGACAGACCGGGCTGGTGGTGGTTTAAAAGTAAGAACCTCGACTTTACCAGTATCTATCACAACATCCCAATAACTATGCATTCTTTCAAGATTATTCTCATCTCTCTTGTTCCTGTACTGGCGATGCCAGCGACAAGCCTACAGGACATGGACGATGAAGAGCCTTTTGACTTCGATCAGGGCTTCCTTGTCCCTGCGAACGTTTCAATCGAAGACTATGATTTTACTCCCATGGTCTCACTGTCTCATCTCAAAATACGCGACCTTGGAACATGGGAAGAACCTCTCGCTCCTGAGATGGGCAACATGACCGAATTTGATCTCGATACCCGTGCACCCAAAGAGACCAGACTCTTCTTCGGCAAGACTCAAGTTGACTATGGCTGTGAAGCCTCCATCAGAAACCCCCTCGGCACAGCCATCCACTCCATCTGCGGAAATGGAGACTGCGACAAGAGCGTCGTGTACACCCGAAAGGTCAAGCATATGGCTGGCGGTGGCCGTAGAAAGGACGCCTGGCTCCGTATCTCAGTCAGAGGCGAGTACTTTGGACGTCACACGCGAGGGTACATGGCCTCTGCTGTTCAAAAGTCAGTCACCCCCAAGACTGCCAAGCCAGCTATGCGATACTATCTCCCGACAAACCCAAACTTCCAGGCTCAGAGCTGTAAGATGTCCAAGTTCAGCAACTACATCAAGATGCGCAAGAACTTTGGGGATACCATCTATATGGAGATTGAAGTTAGCCTTCAGACTAGTAACAGTGAGTCATTGAATCGTGATGATAAGAAGGTTTAACTAATGCAAATATAGCACACTGCTTTACACCAAATCTTCTCAAAGAGGTTGCCGGTGCGCTCGGAGGGATTGGCGGTTCCTTTTTTGGTACTTTCGTTACTGCCATGATTGGTTGTTAAGTGAACGAATAGAGGGATTCTGATAGGCAGTCTTCAAGTTGCCATGGATATAGGCACTCAACTCCTATATCATCAATGTTGCGCGGGTCTAGATAGTGGAAGCATAAGTTGTCTGGTTTCCCATACATGCCTGATCTGGCGCTATCTAGATACCTAGTTCAGGCCCATCTGTAATCCTTTTCGTGATAATGCCAAACTTGCTCATGCCTGTATGTAACGTCGAGTCGTTACGCTTTTCATACTGCTCCTTGGTCCAAGGCCCTCTGACATCTTCCTCATCCATGTAATCCTTGCCGATCATCAGTTCCTTACGGTCCCAGAGAGGGTCAATGATTTCATTGTCCGAGTGCCAGCGACCAAAAACCTTTCCGCATCCCATAACGAGACCAACGATAGCAAAGCCATCGTCGGGACGGAGATGAGTAGGACGTTTAATTGGAAGTCGAGCATGCTCATTCGTTTCTCCCCCATTTTTGTCCCGTTTCATGTCTACGCCCCATAGAACTGAGCGGCCCCAATTGGTATGGATCTGGATTACAGGTTAGCTGGATTTCCATATAACTGGTCCACTTACCTCGATTGCCGTAGGCGCGGGATCATGATACGGGCCATGGTAAACCTTGATCTCTTCAATTCTTTCGCCGCCTTGGCCATCAATTTCGAAAGTATCCCAACGTTGCTCAGGCCAGATTGATCCATCGTCATCTCTGTCTCGTAAGTAGCGAGTCTCCCTATTAGTTACAAGGCGCAAGTTGCCCACGTCACAACTATGAGCTCCCGAGTAACTCAGGCTGTACTTATCTCGTATAAGGTATGCAGAAATGCTGCAAATCTGGGATAGTTGGCCTGTATCATTTGTGAGAATGAGGGTATTCAGGGGAACAAGGCTGTGCCAACGCCCACTATACCGAATGCGACCTTTCAACATCTGTAATCTCATATCAGAGTCAGGCGCGAGCAGACTCTTGAACATGTAGGTATTTCCAGCCCAACAAGACCCCTCGTGGGGTCTAGCTTCGGGGACTTCTGAAGGCTTTTCTCCACCATCGGTGCGGGCTTGTAAAAGCCACATTTTCTCGATGAAAGGATCAACACCGTATCGTTTATGTGCCTTCGAATCCAGATCAGTTTAAACTTCTAAAGGAGCCTGCAGATACTTACAGTAAGAGTACCTTTAATACCAATTATGGTCATATTCTCTGCAACAGCGAATGGCAATTTGAATAAGTGCGGATCGTCTTGGCCATACGTATGCTCAGAGCCATCGGTGAGATATACCTGCTATTGCGTGAGTATGTTGGAGATGTTTCCAGTTACCCGTTAACTCACTGTAACGCCCCTGCATGACGAATAATTCCAGGAACAAGCCTGCCAGGGTCTAAGGATAGATGAGGCATAGATATGGAAGACAAAGCACTTGATCCAGACGCCACCTGGGAAGGATCCCGTTGTCTGATATGAGCCTCTTTCCTGCGGTTCATGTCCGAAGATTCTCTGGTCTTCTCCAAAGCTGATAGCTATAGCTGACAAATCTCCTTCCGAGTTCCAGAAGAGGTCAAATGTCCATGGGCGTAGGAGTTCGTGCCAGCCCCGCAAGAAACTCGCTGAGCTAAAGTACAAGCCCGGCTCTCGCGTATCACCCAGTACCTGGAGGCCACTTTTGACAGCTTGGTATACGACGTAACCTTTTTCGGTAGGTGGGCATCGTGGTTCTCGAATATAAAGACTCTCAATCTGCTCACAGACCTTCCAGATTCTTCGACGATTGGCGATTGACAACATGAGTTTTGCGACTCCCGACCGTGGCTTTGAAGCATACTCGGCCCATTGGAAAATCTTCCTGTAGTCCCTGCCCTTCAGAGCTTGAGACTGTTCTCTCAAGCATTCGTGTAGCTCGGCAAAGTAAGGCAAATGGGTCACTATGCGTCTTTTCCAAAAAGAAGCATTGTCCCTCAAGCTCAAGAACGTAGTCCATGAGGCACAGGACAGATTTAGAAGACTTGTATTGTCCAAGAATTCCGAAATTATAAATAGGGCTGTTTCGGGAAGAGCCCTCAGTGGGTTTGACACCGACTTAGCTTCATAGCAGAACTGAAGAGCTTGGCTTTTAAATTCAGAACCTGAAATTAAAGAAGCAATCTTATCTTTAACTTCAGTACTGTATTGCGGGTTGGAGACTGTGTACTCTCTCCCAGGAATGCATATCCAGTACCAACTCGAAGCTTCATTGACATCCCCATAATCCAGAGAAAGACACCTTAGCTCTGGCGGCCGGATCTTTCTAACAACCGAGAATTGGTCGAAGGCTCTATAGAGTGCCCCTTTGTTGATCTTGGTAGGATCAGGACCTCCGGTCAAATACCATGCCAAAGTCTTATAGCATTCTGGGTGGAAGGGAATAACTCGTTCACGACATTTCTCGTTCTTGTAAACTTTCAGAGAACGCACATCAATACCCTCAAGGATGGGATCTTGTCGCGTTTCAGAAGACAGGTTCAAGAACCGCTGAACTCTGACTGGCCCTGATACATAGAACCTGATCAAGTTAGCATATTATATGGGAAGTAAATTACAAAACAGACTTGGAATTTTCAGCAGCAGAAGGATTATAGCCCAGGACCTGGGTTTGATTTGCCCACTCGACGTCAGCTGGACCGATAACATCTGGATCATACTTATAGCAATCCTTTGGGCGATTATAATAGGATGCAATGTTGTACCAAGCGACTGGGCCTCCGCAAATAGCGCACCACACATTCAAATGACTTAATTGAGTCATTTACCATCGGACGTCTGGCGAGCGGTCTGCAAAAAGCTCCAAAAGTGTGCTATTATCCAGTAATAGATGAGATAGCTGGCGAAGCTACTAGAGATATACCAGGGACCGGATAAAAGATAACGTTGATCAGTCTTGCACCTAATGATGTGGAGTTCAGCTCATCATGGATACGATTGACGTGTTGGTTGCAATCGGAGGTTACTGGATTAAGCCAAGCTCGAAATATGGCCTGACAACGTGGTCAGTTATTACTATAGCCGTGATAACATTGTAAGAGAATTTATTATAAAACGCACGCTGCACCCTGTTTGTCGGGCCTGCAATCTCCGTGCAGACAACACACACAATTCCTCAGATAACATCAGCTACCGATATCATCATAAGCGCCAATATGTCGGACATCTCAGAAATGATTGAGTTCTTATGGCGACCGCCACGAATAAACACAGGGCCTATAGTCAAACATCTGGTCAATGACAGAAAAGCCCCGGCGAACTTTCAGTATTATCGAAACTGGGGTTTCACGGTTTACCGTACTTTCTATGGCCCTGGCTCGGATACACACTGGGACACACTGATTGACGCCATAACTCGACAGACCTTGCTTGCACTCGGCTACCACGAAGATGACAGAATGTTCAATGAGGATATCAAAAGAAACCGGAGAAAATATAATGATAAAAGCGAGTACCTGGAGGATATAGATCGACTAAAGAAACTTTTTCGCCTCACCACCCGGGAAAATGCATTGTTACTCGATGGTCTCGACATCACCCAAATCCAAGAAATCTGCCGCAAAGAGCTTCCCCCGGCCAGGGAAAATATAGAAGTGGCCAAACATTGCTTTGCATTGGTTGCCGATGAGAGGGTACTGAAAGATGTTGCACGTGGAGTCTTTGTAATCACGGCTGTTGATTATGATGAGCATGAGGATCGATTCTGTCCGGAATGGGTTAGAATGTCAACAGGTGACATACTGAACCTCTGGGAGTCACTTTTTTTTGAGAGTTCTGGTTTTCGTACTATCCACTGTGCGATGGGATGGGAACTATCCAAACGCGACCTTGACACTTATGTCTGGAAGGGACTTGAATGCCTTGAGCCACTTGGCGATTGTTCTGAAGCTCAGACTGCAATACCGGGGTGGGACCCCAAGTTCACTCGATTCAGGTACGACTATTAGTCGCTGATGGTTTAAAGACGATTATGCCAAGCTATAGAATCCCAATTGTCTATGGAAGAGTGCATTATGAGTATCTATCGCGTTGTGACAATTCCAACCGCCTGTAATTAATGGATTGACATCATCTATTAGTACAAGAGCCGGCATCAGAGCATCTTGATTAAGCTGTACTGATTTCGCCTTATGACCAACTACCTTCTAGGGCGGGCTTGGATTGAAGCACCTTACTCGTCAGCAAATAAGACTACTGCTAGTATGAAGGACTCCACCGACACAGCATAACATTACGGATACACTGGGAATCACATGTTTTCCCTTCGCCCATGATCTGTTCAACCGCATTCACCGCTTTCTGAAAATCTCATAATTTGCATGTATCGCCAAATTCGCCACGATGCGGCCGCCCAGCCAAGTGTCAGCCTGTAATATCTTTTTTGGCTTAACATTGGCTAGTATCCTAAAATATGAAAAAGGCTGTGAGCAAAAAGCATGGAAACTCTAAACTAAAAGCACAAGAGAAGCCAGTATTTATGTATGGTACAGGGATCAGGCTAGCAGTGCCTAAGGCCACCACAAAACGATAAAAAACAATAAATGGAGAACACCTCCCCTCGATCATTTCCCCTCTACAGGTAACAACATCAATGAAACCGCGCCCGCATTTTCATTTCTTCATATTGTATTTGGCATACAAAACGCCTCGACCACATGGCCAGGCCTTACGAAATGATCGACATGCTATGGCAGCCTCCCAGCACACGTCAGGGGAGGATTATTCGCAAAGCGAAGGTTGATAGAACCCTTCCCGAAAACTCAAAGTATTACGCTCATTGGGGTTACACCATCTATCGCACGCACTATAGTCTCGAGTCCGATAAGCAATGGGATACGCTGCTTGACGCGCTAAAGCGGCAAACTATGCTTGCAGTTGGCTACTATCAAGACATGCCGTTTGAAGATGAGCTGATGCATCAACAAGCTGGTTTCCTGCCAAAAACCTGGTATTACGAAAGCCAAGAACAATACTCGGATGATATCAAACGAATAAAAGACTTGTTCCGTCTTGATATTCGTGAGGATCCATCACTCGACGGCTTGGGGGTCCATGAGATCCGCGAAATGTGTCTTCGTGATAGACCCGAGACACAACAAGCCATGGCAGGGCATCGGTTCAAATTCGTTCTTATTGTTGACAAAGCAGTATTTGAAGCCATCGAAAGAGGCGAGTTCGTCGTTAAGGCAGTCTCATATGACTGGGAGGACGGCTGGAATAATTGGGGCTGGATGAGAATACCAACGGGATATCTGCTTGCCCTTTGGCACTCGCTTATGAGAAGGGACGGTAAATACCATACGGTGCTATCTTTCGATGGTCCAGAAGAGGACTTAGAAGAGTACATATGGCCTGGTGCCTGGGACACAGACCCGACAAGTGAATGCTCCGAGATACGAGAATGCATTCACTACACCAATCAAAAGTACACAGGAAATGATACATAGATTAAAGGCACTTATTATGCTCATAGTCACAAAACAGCAAGTTAACCTCACAAATAATAAATAACTGATTACCGGATGTCTCTTTGTCAAGACAGTCTAGCCCGACCGTATATCTGATGCAAGCTATAACCACTCTCCCAATAGCAGTACTCGTACAGCCACGGCAAAATTTAGTAATAACCCGCGAACGACCGACTTCGCTACATATCCCAAGTGCATTGAATTCTCATCGTCAAGAGCAATGCCAAAGCACAAGTGAATCAACTCGAAGCTATGGAAAAAAACCCGAGAACAAGAAACATCACCCGAGATAAGTTCCTTCGCCACTAAGCCTGAAGTGTAATATCCCAATCTGTGAGGATGTGAAGGAAAGGAATCTTGGCTTCCAGTGAGTTGAGCGTTTCCAACACCTGATCTGCAATAGGGTCATCTGTGTGCTCCCAAATATTTCTCATCTCAGCTATGCTCGCCAGTAAGAAGCTTTTGGCGTTGACAACTGCCATTTCGTACCAGTCGGTCAGCCACTCTCTAAAGAACACTGCGATGTCGGCTTTGACACCTGGACGCGCGAGCTTCCACATGGTTTGGGCTGTGTGCAACTGTTCATACATGTCATTCAAGATATTCGCCATTTTGCCGTGAATATTTGGGCCGGTCTGGGTATTCATATAGTCAAATGAAGCGATGGCTGCGCGCATAATTGCCAGGGCTTCGTCAGGACTTGACTTCATTTTTTTCAAACGGTTGTCGTACGCCATGGGGTTCGTGTGCTATATTACCTAGAAGGTGTCAGCTAGGCATGACATGATGTCGAAATCCTCTCGGTGTTTCTTGTATTGAGGAACATACAGCGCCTTTAACCACGTCTAGGAGGTTCTGAGTAATAACGAAGTTTTTGTCATTTGTATAACTACCCAGGCACTCAAATAGACGACCGAAAAGGTTGGCATTGTCGAAATTGGGATTGCCAACGATAGGGCACCAGAACTTCCGAAAACGGTCTAACTCCCCTATTGCCGGTATGTATTCCTCTGAGGCTTCATGGCATAATATCCGATATCTACAACTCTCAGTATCGTTTCCATTCATCTTTAAGATATCATAGTGCGAGGTAGGCCTTTTAATCTAAGACATCTAAAAGCATTACCAAATCTCTATCTAAATCCTTCCTATGGTAAGTTCGCTACATAGTATAGCCCAAGTAAGTACGATGCCTCGAGTCCTCAGTAAATATCCGCTTAAAAAGTTTCTTGATTTCGCCCGGGTGCTAAGGAGGCCTTCATACAAGCTTAATCATACCTAGGCTGCGACCGTTGGCATCGTAGTAAGGCTAGCAGACCTCTAGTGCTTGATGTCTTTGCGTTATGGGGCGATAGGTGGAGGTATCGGGAAGCTTTGTAAATGCTTCAAATCTGGGAAGGCCGTAGTCTCAGGCTCGGTCACGATTGCCGCGTTCGGCAGGTCGCTTATTTCACCAATGCACTTCCTGACAATTCCGCCGTTGGACTGACAAACTGTTTGTCAGTTCAGGGCACTGGCATAGGTCCACATCCGGCACTATTATTATTCCCTGAACCACGGGAGAGGCCGAAGCGGCTTGCCAGGATCTTAATTCTTAACAATGTTAGTGACTAATTTCACGGCTTCTCACCCGTACGCGGGCTCGGATCATTTGGTCCCCCGCTAGTCCCGTGGAGCCGTGGACCCCTAATTTGACACTAACAGAACCAACAACAAACATATGCTTCAACCAACACAGCGTTACATACGCCGCGGAGGGAATTCATCCTGCTGAAAATTTTTCTCAGCCGTATCCGTCTTGGCAGTAGTGCAGGGCAATGGACCTCGGCAGATTGGAATGAAGTCAGAACCATCAGCGACTTCATCAAGAAAGAGAATTCGGATCCTGGTGAACCCTGATTGTCGATTACCTGAAGCTAAATTGGGTTCGGTAACATCCGAAGGATGCAGATCATCCCGCCAGCCACATAAGTGTAGCTTACAGGGCTGTTTAGAAGAATGGTCATTGGTGACATCCAAAAACCCCCATGATGCATCTTCATTATAATTCGCCCAGGACACTTCTGGTACAACTTCAAACCACCCAGTTTTTATTGGCTGGGACACGTTGTCCTTACGACGAGAGCATCAAAACTTCTGAGCCTCGGTCAGAACCCACTCAAGCTAATTAGCCGGAGAAAAGTTCCTAGCCCGTCCTCAGAATAAGGTTCCAAAAATACGGGTGATGAATCTTGAGTCAGATTGTAATTTGACCGCCGTGATTGTGCCCAGTTTAGGAAGGTGTCTCGCGATTTGACTGTTGGTTCATGCAACCAGTGACATTCAGCGTGAACGAAGCGGGGATTTCATGGGTGTGATGGACAGGTCAAGGGTGAACCGGACGAGCTCAGCCGCAACGGGACTAACTCGCCAGGCCCATCAATGACCCGCACAGCGTTCCCCCCGTCGGTCGCCCTACCCAGATGAAAACATACTTCTAAAGTCCTTGGCTCGGCTCGGTCTGTTCCGGACAGAAGCCTTTGTAGTGCCGAGCTGCGAAGTTCGACAAGACATGCAGGGGCGTAAATCTGCCCGACAAGCTTGCGCCGAGGTTTCAGCTCATGGCATCAAGTGTTCTTGGCAATGACTCCCCAATGATCCGATTTTCTGCAAAAGAACCTGCATCACGGCTGTTGGTTCTCGTGAAGCTGCAAGAGTTAGGCAACCGTGCATTGGCTTGTTCAATCGTTCGAGTTTTTGTTACACGATGAACCAGGCAGAGAAATGGCCGTGGTTGACAAACTTGGTGAGGTATTATCAAGAAGTGAAAAATGCAGTCAACGGTGGTCGGTGAAAACGATCGCAGTGAAAAGGATTTATTTAAATATCTTAATGACAGCAAGAAATACGTTAACATCATCTCATTCCACTCTTCACTTAATCTCGAATTGTCACTGGCTTCACTGTCCATCATGCACTTATCGACTGTCTTTATTCCCGGCCTGTTGGCCGTTGGAGTCACTGCATCACGAGGCCAAAGGCTTCGACGACAAGACGGTCAGGTTGACCCCGGGCAGCCATCTGACTGCACCTGGTGGGAAACAAAGGAAGAGGACTACCAAGATTGTACTTATCTTGAAGAGGGCTGGAATCTTAAGCACTCGCAATTTGTCGAATACGTACGTGACAGGCAAATCGGGAGAAAGGCGTCGCTAACGTACGTGTTATAGAACCCCAGCGTCAAAGATGATTGCAGCGGCATGCAATTTGGCCACTCATACTGCGTCGAGGTCAACAACGGTATTCCTCGCAAGGGAGAGACTACGACAACTCAAGCCGCCGAACCTGAGCCTACCAAGGACTCCAAGCCTAGTCCAACTCAGGCTGGGCTTATCGATACGTGCACGTCCTTCTACCAGGCCAAGAAGGGAGATTCGTGCGCCAAGATCATTTCTGACTACAAGACATTTGACTTTGATGACTTTTACAAATGGAATCCGGCTGTTGACAAAGACTGCAGTGGGATCTGGGCTAACACTTGGTATTGTGTTGGCGTTCCTGGGACGCCTACTTCTCCCCCAACACGAACAGCTGAGTCTACAACCAAGCCAACAGGCCCCACAAAGCCCACTGCTACCCAGGAGGGGATCATTGAGAGCTGCACCGCGTTTCACCAGGCTGCCAAAGGTGAAACATGTGCAAAGATCGTGGCTAGTTACGGCACATTCGACTTTGATTCCTTCTTCAAGTGGAATCCTGCTGTTGGTAAAGACTGCAGCGGTATTTGGGCCAACTACTACTACTGTGTCGGCGTCCCTGGCACGTCTACTATGAAGCCCTCTGCGACGTCGCCTAAGCCAACAGCGACTGGCGGCATTGAGACCCCTTCGCCCATTCAAGAAGGCATTGCGAAGAACTGCAATAAATTCCACCAGGTCGCAAAGACTACTACCTGCTCTTCGATCGAGTCATATTACAAGCTGCCGCTTGCGCAATTCCTTGCGTGGAACCCGGCGGTTGGAAAGGACTGTAGTGGCCTCTGGGCTAATTACTGGGTGTGTGTTAGCGTCGATGGGTACAAGCCAGCCACTACGACAACCGCTAAACCCACTACTACCAAGCCCGCGAACGGGATTGAAACGCCTTCACCCATTCAGGATGGGATGGTCAAGAACTGTGAAAAGTTCCACCAGATCAAGTCCACCACTACCTGCACCTCCATCGAGAACTACTACAACCTCCCACTTTCGACATTCCTGTCGTGGAATCCCGCTGTTGGTAAGGACTGCACGGCATTGTTAACCAATTACTGGGTCTGCGTTGCCACTGTCGGTTGGAAGCCCCCCACCAAGACCACCACTAAACCCACTGCCACTACCACCAAGTCTCCAAACGGTATCTCGACGCCACCGCCGATCCAAAACGGCATGGTGAGCAATTGCAACAAGTTTCACATGGTGACCAAGACCACAACCTGCGACTCCATTCAGAATTACTACAAGATCTCAATGGAAGACTTTGCAAAGTGGAACCCTGCTGTTGGCTCGAAATGTACGGGTCTCTGGGCTAACTACAATGTCTGCGTCGGTGTAATTAGCGGTACCCCGACCAAGCCCAGCACTGGTGTCAAGACGCCGTCGCCTATCCAGTCAGGCATGGTAAGCAACTGTAAGAAGTTTCATCCAGTCGCCTCCACGACAACATGCGACTCGATTCAGAAGTACTACAAGATCACCATGGCCCAATTGGTCAAGTGGAATCCGGCGATCGGGGCCAAATGCACTGGGCTTTGGGCAAAGTATTATGTATGCGTTGGGGTTTAGATGAACATGTACATTACGTCACGGTATGTTCGCAGCTAGGCCATTGGGGTCTTAGAACTTAACTATGTATTCTGCATCCCACTGACTCAGTTTTCTTACTCTCTTGGACTGGGACGCTATTGTATATTACCCTTTTCCCGCTACCTGTGTTTTGTTGGAGCTGCTTTGAGTTTGAGATCAGTGAAGTAATCCTCACAGAGGCTCCAAGACCCAAACTTCTATTTCCCGCGAGCACCATCAAGCCACTCCGCCCTGGAATCATCATATATCTGTCGAGCCGATTTCCCAGCTCCGTTTTGGAGGTCCATCAGTTGCGCCCCTCCAGCTTTCACCACTGTATCTAGTATATCATCTTGTGCTCTCATAAGCTCATCCGCTTCACTGCGTGACTTGTCTCGGGGGCAACGAAAATAAGCAATTGTATGGATAGGTGTGTCTTGCTTGGAGTTTCGCAGAACAGGGTCAGCGCCATACTGGAGCAAGAGTGAGATAGCATCGCTACCAAACTTTACGCTAGAGCACGCAGCATGCAGTGGCGTGTTTCCAGCATCATCAACGTCTGTAGTTTTGGCGCCGTGGGTGAGCAAAAGCGATACAGTGACTGGGTCAATAGGTGCGTCGTCGTTATAGCTCTGGAACAAAGTATGTAGAGGCGTCTCATCCTTGTAATTGCGAAGGGCGGCATCCGCACCGCGGCTGCATAGGAGTTCGAAGATAGGTGTATACATCTTGCCATTCTTGCCGAAGTATTGGGTGGCGTAATGTAATGCTGTATTTCCGTCATTATCTTGGGTGTTGACCGTAGTGGGAGCGAAGTCTAAGAGCTGTTCAATGGTGCGGGTGATATTTCCAGCTCTCTCATGGAGCATCAATGCTGGGATAGCACTAGGCGCATCCGGTAATTGGTTTCGAGCCGCCCAGTGAAGAGGGAGGCTTCCAACGCAGTCTGGAGAGCACACCATGCCGGTGATACTAACTCCATCATTTCTGCGATCAACCAGAGTCTTGACGCCGCTGGGGTTTGCTCGGAACGATGCAAGAAACAGTGCAGTGACCTCCACCTCGACGGGTAAATCACGTTGAGACCCAAAGCCCAGGTCCCATGAGCCTGCTGCTACCTTGTAATGGACGTCGGCGCCTCCATCGATGAGCCTTTCAAGTAAATCGGTACTTGCCCACTGCGCAGCCAAAGTTAGAACACTAGGGCGCTTTTGACCCTTATCGTTCGTCGGGTGGACAACATCAGAAGCGCAGGCGCCATGATCAAGCAGTAGATTTATTACCGCCTTATTATTCTCATAACAGATCTCGTTCCAGGGTGGGGAAAGATAATATGCAAATGAAAAGAGATCCGCAGCGGCCGCAAGCGCTGTAAAGCCTCTAAAGTCTCGATCGTGAATACTGGCGTACAGTGGCTGGGTGTCGAGGAGCCATTGCACGATCTCAATATGCCCGAATTGGGCGGCCACATTCAAGAGCTGGAAATTGGCCCTCATCAACCTGATAGGTTTCGTCTTATCAAGTCCTTTCGTTGTGTAAGCCAAAAGCGTTTGGAGTGTGCCGAGACTGCCACTTTCGGCTGCGAAACGGAACCAATCGCCGAAGTCACAAATGGCTTCGTCACCATCAGGAAGCTGGAAAAGGTTTGGGATGGCCCGAGGGTCAATAGCGAAGTATCTCTCGAGAAATTCAACGTCATTGTGGGTAACTATCGTGTAAAGTAGTTCCTGGCCTTCTTGCTCATGGATAAGTGTACCATTGCGATCAGTTATAGTTATGGGGACATCGAAAGGAGATCTGTTGATCGGTTTCTGAGTGAATTGCCGATAGAGTGAGTCGGTATTGGAGGGAGGAGAAGTCGCCATGACTGGGTGGATGAGTTCGTTGTTGAAGGAAAGAGAAAAGTGTTCGAGGGAAGTTATTAAGCACCGTGCGTAGCTTGATAATTGGTACCGGGAATAAGTGGAGATGTGCAGGACTGATAACAGCCAATCAAATACGGTAGACGAGACCTTTCGGCGAAGAGTCAGAGCAGAGCCCATCTCAAGCTTGAATTATCAGAAGACGCCCACACAGTAATGTCTAACTAATTACACGCCCCGCCAAAACCATCCACCCAGCCGCCCACTAGCGCATCCACACCCCTAAGTACTCCAATTAAATTATCGCTCAGGATGCAACTCCAACACAGACGTAGTAGTGCAGCCAGAGACCCGAACAGTCATTGCCAACCTTAGAATTCCACTTGTAAAAGTCTGCCAGGCTGATATGGGACTTCTCAGCGATAGAATAGCAGCCGTCGCCGTTATCAACATAATGCCACTTGTTGCAATTATCGACAATACCAGGTTGTGTAGGGCTGGGCACCTTTTCGCTAGTTGAAGTCGGTGTTGTCGAAGCAGTGACAGCAGTTGCTTTGGTACCGGTAGGAGATTCGGTGCCCGTCGCTCGACTGGTAGCAGCCTCGGTAAGTGCAGGTAGATCCCATCCAGTAACAGGCTCGACACAGTAGGCATTGCCGACAATCAAATCTTGGTCACAAGTGGTCTTGTTCAGAGATGGGTTGATCTCAGTAAAGAGGTTGATGGCAACGTCATTTGCAAGACAAATCTGCGTACAGCTGAGGTCACCGTCGTATGTGAACCAGTGGCTACACTCTAAGGTAGTGCCGTTGGCAACGGTCGTACCAGAAGGAGGGTCAACGCGCTGAGGTTCGACGTTCGCAGTGTTGTTGTTAAGTGGCTGCCCAGCATATAATCCTCCCGGTGTTGAAACACACAAGGTACTGCCCCAGTAGGGATCCGCGTCATGCAAATTGGTGCAGTTCCAGTTGAGTTGAGAATTGTACGACAGGAGCTGGTCGCTCATGATACCATTGTTCAAGGCGATATCGAGACAGGTATCACCTTTCTGCACCTGGTAAATGTTGGTGCATGTAAGCGGAAGGCAGAGGTTGGTCCCAGCGGCGATCTTAGTACAGTCGAAAATGTTGGAGTTGATGTAATACATGGTCGCCGCGGACACTCCCTGAGACAGCGCGATCGAGTCGCAGCTATCACCAGCTTTCGCGTCGTATATCTTACCAGATACGCAGATATCGCTACTGGCATCGGGGTTCGTGACATTGAATGCACTATCTGTGGCGTTGAAGTTGTCTACCTTCAGGTCACATGTCTTTGCAACGTACTGATAGTTAGATTGCGCATACTCATCATAAGCTCCCGTATAAGCGTCAGCTTGCATGATCTTATACTGTTCCACGTTGCAGTAAGAGCACAAGTCAGACTTTGAGAGTTTAGAGACATCGTCAACCTCTGGAAACGCTGCAATAACGTCTAACAGAATTAGCATAAAGCTAAAAAGGATAATTCACAAGGACACTTACCGTGGCAGAGCTTTCCAGTTTTGGGGTCGGTGAAGCAAGTCTGGTTCCAACTGCTCCATAGCTTATCAACCATGTGGACAAAAGACATGCCAGGGACCATCTCTTCGGTGCCACAAGCTGAAGCAACTTTTGTTCGCATGTGTCCAATAGCACCTCCACAGGTTGGGCGGCACACTAGCTTGGTGATTGCTGGATCATCACTGTCGAGATATCCATCAACCGCCAGGCCTGCAGTCTCATCAGCACAGTTGATGGACTGGTAAAGAGTGGCTTCGCAGACAGAAGGTAGTCCCGCACTAGAAAGAGAGCCTTCCGGGAACATGGAGAGACCAGCTGCATCAGCCAATCGGGTGACGATGGCGAGGCCAGCAAGAAGGACATGGCCGAGGTTGAGGGTGGCCCTCATCGTGTAGTGTAAAGAAATATGAAAGAATGACAAAAGACGTCAAAGGAGTGACTAAAAAGCAATAGGTTCTGATAGATAAGTGACACAGACGAAGAATGAACAACCTTTATGAGATTGCAGCGTCCTGAACTGAATAATTGTCTCAGTACGCTCGTTTCTGTTACGAAAGCAAGCCAGTATGTTCGCGGCACGGAACGCAAAGGCGCCTTAGTAGGTTCTTCGAACCCGATATGGCAGTTCTGTCCTCAAAAGTCGCCCCTGGAAGTTGTTGCCGGCTTGGCATCATAAGGCATGTCACTCGATGAATCGGAAAGCAGAAGTACCTCGCATGAGGTTCCACTAGATTCTCTACTGGTGGTCAAAACTATCCGAGGCCCTGACATGACCTGATCATCCCCACTCTGATAAGCGGCGCTCGTGATTAGTGTAACGTAACTAATCAGGGCGGTAATTTCTATTACTGTCTGTGGACCTGGGCTAATGGATATCGTGAGAAGTTTTACCCATGCTATTTTACCTATAGACCCCAGTTAGTATCCTTGTTGGGGCGTGTAGCAAAGAGGGCCATGGATCTTCGATATCCACTTTTGCTCCATCGACCAACATCTGTCCAACCATAGACAAGTGTCCAACAAACAACTCGAGGCAAACATGTCGGACATTTATCCCGCTAAGACTAGAATTCTGATCCCCGGCCCTGGAGGAGACTAGTTTCACGACAGAACCAACAGATATCCATAAACGCAACGACTTTAGGCCGAAAAAAACAGTGAGGACCAACAAAAGACGCACAGAACAGCGTTTTTCAGATCACAGGCAGGTGAACAAGGAGATGGCCTCGCCAATCAAGGCCATGTTCGGCACGTTGAAGCCGATTACTAGGGTGTGAAATTGTTTTTACCCAAGGTTTTTGCTCAAGATAGTGGAACAAACATACCTGGTAAAAGACCCAACTGCAGAAATTACTGTTTCAGCTTGCTCGCTGGGTAAGTTAGGCATGAGATTAACCTTCGACTCAAGCATGTACCCGCTGTAGGGGCCCGTGACGCGCCGAGGCCGAGGGTACTCTTCTATCCGAAATAGGACGCCACATAGGGCCTTCTCTAGTTGTGCTCAAGTAAAAGTGTTATTGAAGATAAATGCTCTACTACCTTTGTAATTCTTGTCTATAGCAAAGCAATGGTCAAATCGTAGCTGAGCACTTGCCTTGTCACTCGTTATTCTTTACTTGTCTATCCATTCACTCACTTATTGTCACTCTTTTGATACACGTTTCGACTTAGACATCATCTTTCTTTTGGTTACACAACACTCCTTCTTATCATCACTATGAGGTTGACGTGGGTAACCACTCTGGTTGCTCTATTGCTCACCTCGACCCCGTTCACTGTCGCAGAAGACATACACTGCGACAAGAACAAGCCTTGTGAGGTTGGTTGCTGCGGTACCAACAATGTTTGCGGCACTGGTCCAGACTACTGCAGCAAGGCCAAGTGTATCAACAGCTGTACCTACAAAGCTGAATGCAATCCAGGCAAGTGGGATTCGCAGTACTTCAACGCTACCAAGTGTCCCCTCAATGTGTGCTGCAGCAAGTTTGGCTTCTGCGGTACCACTGAGGAGTTCTGCGGTAAAGAGACTGTCAAGAGACCCTCCTGCAACATTGGGTCTCAGTCAGTCAAGCGTGTGATCGGTTACTATGGCTCTGGTGGTGCAACCCGCAAATGCAACCCCATGATCCCCGACGCTTTCCCTCAGGGCATTTACACCCACATCTACTTCGCATTCGGTAGTATCGACCCCAAATCGTTCAAGGTCGTGCCCGCCAATGCAGGAGATCAACAACTTTACTCTCAATTGTCCTCACTCAAGACTCGAGACTCGGGCCAAGAGCTCTGGTTGTCTATTGGCGGCTGGACCTTTTCTGACAAGGGTTCGCCAACAGCGACAACCTTTTCAGACTTGGTCAATGCCGACGAGACACGTCAGAACGTCTTCTTTGCTAGCTTGACCCTCTTCATGCAGACTTGGGGCTTTACTGGCATTGATATCGACTGGGAGTATCCAGTTGATAAAGACCGCAGTGGCCGTCAGTCTGACTTCAAGGCCTATCCAAAGTTCTTGAAGCGACTCAAGTCCGCTCTCGGTGACTACAAGTACGGCCTTTCTGTTACTCTTCCTACTAGCTACTGGTATCTGCAACACTTTGATCTAGAGAACATTGAACCATCTGTGGACTGGTTCAATGTTATGAGCTACGATCTTCATGGAGCATGGGATATTGGTAATAAGTGGACGGGTGCATTTGTTGGAGCGCATACCAACTTGACTGAGATCACGAGCTCGTTGGATCTTCTCTGGCGCAACAAAGTCTCTCCGTCCAAGGTTGTGCTAGGCTTGGCATTCTACGGCCGATCTGTTACACTGGCAACTTCATCCTGCTCCGAGCCAGGCTGCCCATACCTTTCGGCTGGAGATGCTGGATGTAGCGGTGAAGCTGGAATTCTTTTCAACAGTGAGATCTCAGATCTCATTCGAGAGAAGAAGCTCAGGCCCAAGCTGTACAAGGACGCTGCCATCAAGACAATCCAATGGAACAACGACCAATGGGTTTCGTACGATGACAGAGATACTTGGAAACTCAAGGCCAACTTTCTCAAGTCTCAGTGCCTGAGTGGCGTGCTGGTCTGGGCTGTCGACTATGACGACGACAAGCATTCCTACTCCAACGGACTCGCAGCAGCACTTGGTATCAAGGTCAATGTTGACTCTGGCAGTGGCCTTACTATCAAGCTACCTGATAAGAAGGAGGAGTCCCAGGACTTCTGTTACTTTACAAACTGCGGTCAGACCTGCCCCAGTGGCTATACAGAGATTCCTCGCGGTGACAAGGACTCACAGATCATGCTGGACGCGACTGAATGCTTGCCGGGTCAAGATCAGGTACAGACACTTTGCTGCCCCAAGTCTTCCAAAGTGCCGAAGTGTCGATGGCGAGGCTACCAAGGCAATGACCACTGTCCAGTTGGCTGTAATGCGGGTGAAGTCGCCGTTGGCACGCATCACCAGGGTTGCAAGAAGTCCGGGTGGCAGACCGCTTGTTGTGATGCTACCGATTCCACTGGGCCTTGGTCCAAGTGCGGATGGACAGCGGATTGTTACGACGACGACGACTCCACGTGTCCCAAGGGCTTCTCGTCTTTTGTTGTGGGATCCAGAGGCGGCTTTGGTGGTCAGAAGAGTTGCAAGAAAGGAAAGAAGTACAACTACTGCTGTACTGAGACTCCCAAGGCTTTCAAGAACTGCGAGTGGGTTGGTCATGAGGTATCCTTCCCTAATGAACAGGCCTGTACCAATACCTGTCCCCATGGGTCCACTCGCATCGCTGCGCAGGATATCAGCACGTCATGGAGTACCTCTGGCTACCTTGCACATACTGACCAGTGTACCTATGGCTTTGAGGCATATTGCTGCGCTGGCGACAAGGAATCCGACAAGGACGAGCGCGACATTATAGAGTACCAGGATAAGGACGCAAAGGAGTTTGACTATGCGCTGCAAAGGTTTCTCAAAGATCCTGTCTGTCCTGATGAGGAGATTCAGTTCAGTGACGATGATGGGCTCAGCAGCGATGAGGGACTCATTGCACGGGACCTTCTCCTGGGCCGTGCCACAGACAATTCAGCAGTTCTAAATGTGCTCCTCCCCATCATGGGGGTTTGGGTTACGTCTCGAGAACCACGACTGGATTTGACGGAAATTTACAATAGAGACGTTAGGGCGGCTGGGTTTGCCGACACTGCTGCCAACCTCACCACGTTTCGAGAACTGCTTTATCAAAGCGACTGGAATGGCCGACCCAGGTACTCTGGCAGAGCTGTCGCCAGAATGGCGCTTTGCGATCTCGCCGAGTCGAAAGAAGGTTTGGAGAACCTAGCTACTGTTCCTGCAGCACTGTGTGAGATTCCGTCGAGCACCGGCTCTGAAGCTCACAAGCGAGATGTTCAAGCTCGGTCGATCAACGTCTGGATTATGTCAGATCGTGCTAGGCCCCCCGCCAGCGACGCCGAACCAAGCGCTGCATATATTTTCAAAGCCATCGCGGCTGGCCATCTGAGCTTACATTATTTACGCTGGCTTCCGCCGAGCCAAACGAGCCAAACGAGCCAAACGAACCGTCAAATCATTCTTGAGGTAGCTTACTGGATTGGACCCTCTCCTGGTGTAGAAGATCCAGCCCACTCGTACCGAAACCAGTACCGCGATCGGAATCACCACAATGCAGTAGATCGATGGGTTGTCTTTCATTTCCATATCCCATTAAACTCGAACACATTCTGGACGGAGCCGAACGGTGTAAACGACTACTACCTCGCTGTCTCTTCCTTCGGCATGTATCACAGTCAAGGCGTTCGCCGACCAAATCCTACTCGAGGCTACAGGGGACCAATTGATTCCCGAGCCGATTGGGTGTAAGTATGCCTTATACATGATGGGTCGTGTAGTGCTAATGTGCTTCTCACTCAGATTCACCAGCTCGTACGCCAGTGGCAGTTTTAACACAGGAGCTCTCATGAACTACAACCAGCGACGAGAACCTTTCAACTGCAACCCGCGAGGCTCAAATAGAGTGCCAGGGCCTGCTTTTTATCTAGGCCGCGACTATAGTTCTCAGATCATGGATCTAAGAACTGGTCGTCGGCCTACACAGTTGGCTACTCTTATCAATCAGTTTGTAAGTATCTTTCTGTTCCATCTACTTGTAGCGGGCAGTCACTAACTCAACATTTGTCAGGGCATTGACCTTCATCGAGCGGGCGTTTTCAGGTCAGCTAACCTGGCGAGGATCTGGCCCATCGCCGCGAACGGAAATTTGCCCCCGGCAGGTAGCAGCTGGGGTGATCAACAATACCGACCTGTTGCACAGGCTTTTCAAACCAACTTTGACCTCAACGGAGCTCGGGTAAACAACGTGCAGAATGCTGATCCGTGAGGGCATTTGTATGTACTGTAGTGTCACATCGTATTTACAGTCAGTAGGCAGTTATGCCTAGAACATAGAATCATATTAAACCCAACCTACAACATACTCGCCGTGATCAACGTGTTCGACATTGAGGAATATTAGACTTCTGATAGTGTGACTTGCGAATCGTGCCATCCAGCCATAGGTCGATAATGGAAACTGGAAGAAGGATGAATACGGCCACTAGCAGGGTTTCAGAGTAGAGAAGCAGTTGGTGTTGCATTATACCTCTGCCTAAAACTGTTCTCTTCCCTATCACAGCTGCCTTTAAGCTTTAAGGAACTAACTCACGCATATCACTGGACCGAGTCGATTTTGAAGGCCGAGGGTGTAGATGATACATGTGCCGACCAATGACAGGCTCCCATGGCACATTTCGAGGAGACGGAAAACTATCCCGTTCTGACGAGTGTAGATTGGTACATGGAGATAGGACGATACCACTATTCTGGGGTATGAGATTAGTTGTGTATCACAGCCTAGGTCGAAAGACATGGCCGAATGCAAAAGTATCCTCTGAGCCTTTTTGTCGCATTATAATGATGATCGACGTGGGTATTGGCCACTGTAGTACTTCAAGAATTGGCGAATCTCAGAATACGACCCTGTGTTGTTGAGGACCATATCCCCAGGCCAGACATAATCATCGAGATCCTCTTCAGGTCCAATGAAATCAATGGCAAACTCGGTTCGCGCCCAGTTCAGCATTAGCAGTTGCCATAGATCCAACAAATAGCCTGTTGGGATCCTTATCCATCCCCAGCCCGCATGCCCTCGTCTCCAGACTAGGGACACCGCTTTCACAACAAATTCGCGCTCAGAAACGTCATTCAATACTGATTCGTCGGCAAGTAATACATAGTCATGTGTACTATCTGACATAACTCGATCCTTGTCGGTGTTTTCGTGTTGGCAGAGCTTTCGGATGCCTTGGATATCAAGCCCATCGAGAGATTTATCGGCACGGCTATTGAGATAGAACAAGTTCTTCAGTATATCGACGTGGCGTTGATCGGCATCCTCTTGACCGTCGTAAAATCCAAATGCCAATCTCGTCTGGTGTTTCAGAGCATACAGAAGCGTGTTCCAAGCCTCGTCGGAGCCTGTGCCATAGTATGTTCGATAGATGGTGAATCCCCATTGCTGGTAATATTGAAGAATGTCGGGATCTTTGCTCTCTATCTGCTGCATTGCAGGCGGTCCGGGTGAACAGTATTTAGAAATCAGATCGATCATACGTTCAATCATCTTTGCGGCCATTTGGCTGAGCAAGGTTTAGTGCCTTTAGGTGTATTAACAAAGAAAAGAAGACAGCATTCCGTGTCTGGCCGTTGATGTCGCAGTGGTAAAAGAGGGTAAGTTGGCCTGTTCCCAAGGACCAACAACTTGACTTATTTGACGAATGATTCTCGGAACAGTGTTTATCCGCAGGTTGCCCACTCCAGACCTGAGGCCCCATTAAATAAAACATTTTCTCGATTCTTGAACTAAGTTCTAAGTTCTGTCCGCTGGTTTAAGCTCTCAGCCACAAGTCCCAACTGCCTCGATTCTTGAACATCTACCTACAGTCATGCCTTCACCGCCACGCCGTAACTACAAATTCCCTATCAGCAATTCACTGTGGATCCCAACCAAGACTCCGAAGCTCATGGGTTTGGACGTCCTTACGCGACACCTGTGACGTTGACTAATCAGGATGGTTGCATTCTATATGAAAATGGACACTTCAATCTACTATATCAGATCGTCTGCTCGAACGATACAAAGACCCTTGAGCAATATCTCACCGCTGCACCTTTCATTATTCCAGAGGTATCTGCCGTTGTGATAGGAACGCGTGGGATCGATGATAGCGAGGATTGCTTTCTGAATGCAGCGGATAGTGGATGCCTCGACGTACTCAAAATGCTTCTATCCCACTTTATGCAAGACAAGAATCTCGAGGCCCATACTAGGTTCAAGCAGCGCCGCTACAAGTTGCTAAACCGTGCGGCCAAATGGGGCCATTTCGAGATGGTGAAGTACTTGCTCGACAATCAACCACTGTACGCCGACATCCATGCACGGGGCTCCCATGGCCACACTGCATTGCTGTGTGCTGCAGATCTCTACAATACTCAGTTTCTCGTTCCTTATGGTGGAGAAAGAGCTAGCGCCGCCAAAAACGAAGCAGTGATGAATTTGCTGCTGGATCGGGGTGCATGCGCTTCTGATTCTATTCCATTCCGGAATGACAAGGGGAAGCCATGTGTTACAGTCTTGACTTTGTCTGTACAGTGGTCAAGCCCAGAGCTAGTTAACAGGCTTATCGCCAGCGGCGCTGATCCCAATACCATGGTAATGAGAGGCCCTGGAGGACTGAACTTTTGGAATCAGTATGATTCGTTTAACGAGTTACCCGCGTTGTTCGACGCCTGCACTCACGCCAACTTCAAAGCCGTTGAAGCTCTGATTGATTGCAGAGGCGCTGCCGTTGCTGCTGCCGACATATTGTCCTTTCGCGACGGTCGAGGAAGTATTCCTCTCCACTGGGCCGCTCAAGCTGAACTGCCGAGGGAGTTCAACGGCTTCCCTGACCTTAAAGAAATAGCCCGAAGAATCGCAAGCACCATCGGACTACTCCTCAGTCTCGATCCCACGGCAATCAACGTTCAAGATAATGATGGAAACACACCTTTACACTACGCTACAATGTCACTGAGCAGGCACAACAAGCTGTACACACCTGTCTTTGAGCTTTTATGCAACAAAGGCGGTGATGTTAGGACATGCAATAACAATGGCGAAACACCTCTCCATACCTTGTTTCGTCTCCAACGTGACCGCACTACATTCAACGACCAGGATCCCGTCGACACAACCGCTATATCAATCATGCTCGCTCACGGTGCGAGCCCTACGGATGCTGATAATGCTGGAAACACGCCATTACACCTTGCGGCCTCTAACCTCCACTGGACCAAGGCAGTATCGTATCTCCTTGAGCGTGGTGCTGATCCTGCTCAAGAGAGTTTGAAAAAAGAGACAGCTCTTCACAGAGCTGGTTGCGGTAGTTACAAAGGGTGTAATCTCCTTACTAGATCTCAGGAGAGGATTAGCGCTCAGGAAGATATGCTGGCAGTGCTGGTGAAAGCTGGAGGAGGAGAGTTGATGGATCGCGCAGATGCCGAGGGGAAAACTCCGCGCCAGGTTGCCAAGAACACGAGAGATGAGTGGATAGCCAAGGATATACGTTCAGTCAAAAGCATGCCTGCAGGTTTCCTTCCAGGACTATGAGAGGGACTTGACTAGGGGTCGTATTTTGCAAGGGATTTGGCTGTGTTGGCATGATGCGATCAAGCCTCTTGTAGATTCTTAATGTGTACTCGCGTCAAAAAATCCGCATTTCCTTGTGTCTTGTTGAAAGTCCTTCCGCTTAGGTCTTCATCCTTCCTTAGTACATCTCATCATCCTGGTTCCTGTAGTGACGCCGCCTCCGAATTTCCGAGCAACGTCCAGTACCGTCAAGTCCCACGTCTCCAGGCCAGACACTGTTCGCAAGATCTTCTTCAGATCCTCGGAAGCTAATGCAGAACTCGGTTCGGTATTTATTCCACATCAGAAATGTCCACAACTCCAACAGATAGCCCGTCGGGATCCGAACCCATCCGTATCCGGAGTGACCATCCCACGACAATGAGATAGCTTTAACGATAAATTCACCATTTTCTATGTCTTTCAAAACAGCTTCATCAGCGACTAAGATATAACTGAATAGATAATCTGCCATAGCTCGACTCTCGTCCGGCCTCGTGCTCACGCGGAGTTTCCGGTTGCCTTTCTCGACAAGTTCAGTCTCTTTGAGCTTTTCGGCGTTGCAGAATTCCCGAAGACCTCGAACATCGAGACCATCCAGCCGAGCGGGATCCTCCCGAACATCCAGATGAAATAGTTCCTGAACCCGTCGCCTATCATCTTGGTCTACTTCCTCGTCGTCCTCAAAGCCTCCAAATGCCAGCTTAGTCTGATGCCTCAAAGAGTATAGGAGCGATTGCCAATGCTTATCAGACTCTTTGCCATAGTAGGTTCGATAGATATTAAAGCCCCATCTGCGATAGTGGTGGAAGTTATCAGGGTTCTTCCTCCCTCCCGGTTCCAGCTTGGTCCCACGCCGGATCTGCCAGATCTGATCCATCGTTTCTTCGATAATTTCGGACATATTGGCAGAGCTTGGTTATGACGATACGTCTGGTGAAGGTTATGATTGACCCAGATGTCGGATGTGTTGATTGACGGGTGGTGAAGACAAGGTATACGCACGGATGTGAGTTTGACAAGAAGGTTAGAACAGAAGCTTTAATCGACTGGTATGATATGACTGAAGCGAGAACAAAACCATGTTGGTTGATATGTTTTAGATAAGGAAAGTCACGTTGAGATAGCATGGTGCTGTCGATTCGGAGTATAAATTTCCCGACATCAGCGAATGTAGAGTGTAATAAAGTAGAAAGACATGGCAAATTCATCCTCAATTACAAAAAAGCCATGAAACTTCCAAATTGTGCTGTTTACTGGCCGTATGTTTAAATTCATATACAAAGACTAGATATTACACAGGTAACTGCTATGTATATAATTTAATTTGCCGGTGCACTATACTTGCTTACTACTTGCCAGCTCCACTTCACATACATGTCGATAACTCATCTCCAGCAGCGGATGGATTCTAATGATAGGTATTTACTGTCCTGTTCTGTGCAAAACACCATTCAAGTTCTTCTTCATCGCTTGAACGTTTAACAATACTGCCGCCCAATGTGCCTGAAGATAAATCACGTTACGGCAATTTCGTTCGGGGTTCAAACGAGTATCATGATGAAGAAGAACCTCCATACATACCAATGACTATGGTTGATCGCAATGGATCTGTTCTGTGAGAAACAGATCTATTTGACCTCTTTCTTGCAATCATCTGTCAGAATGACGTGACGACTCTTGAGCAGCATCTCGATATTGCGCCTTGGGCTATTGAGGAGAACGAGGAGCTTCCTCACTATTATTCGTTCTTCTACAACGCCGTGTCATATGGAAGCCTCGATGCACTTAGAACCCTCCTTTACTACTACGAAAAGGTAATGGGACCAAGCCAAAGAATCAGCTTTCGAAAACGCGGTTTCACCTTGCTCAACGAAGCTGCTAGACGCGGCTATCTGTACATAGTGGAGTTTTTACTTTAAAACCAACCACTATACGCTGACATCCATGAGCGGGATTATACCGGCTGTACTGCTATTGCTGCTGCTTCAGATCTATATTCAACGCGATTCATTGAGGCGTTTCATTGGTAGCCTTCTGTTGAAAAGAGCGAAGCTGTGATGAATCTATTGCTGGATAGGGGTGCCTGTCCTACAGACGTGGTTTTATGGGCTAACCAATACTCATTCTGGAAACCCGAAACGGTTCTATCCATGGCATCTGAGTGGGCGGGGGCAGGGATGATAGGGAGGCTCATTGGCAGTGGCGCAGACGTCCATGCTCGGTTCACGAAAGACTCGCCTCAACTACGACTGGGCGACGAACCAGACCACATCGTCGACAACGTTACTGCAATTCACATGGCCTCGTTTCGTGGTAATTCCGTGGCTCTCGAGAGTCTACTTGCGCACCATGGGGACGCAACGAGTGCCCTAGAAATGATATCCTCGTGTGATAGTCGGGGGAGCACCCCTCTTCACTGGGCTACACGGAACAACCTATGCGGCCCTTTAGACGAAAAGGCACAAAATATGAAAACAACTATTGATCTTATTTTGGATATAGACCCTGCGATAGTCAATAGTCAAGATATTGAAGGGAACACGGCCTTGCACTATGCTGCTTTCTACTTCCCTGGAAATGGAGGCGTTTTTATGCCAGTTTTCGAAACCCTTTTCGAAAAGGGTGCAGATGCAAGCATACACAACAATCAAGGAGAAACGCCGCTACATAAAGTCTTCGCCATTGCGAATGGGACAATCGACAAGCAGATCTTGTCTCTCCTGCTCGCCCATGGCGCCGAGATTAACGATATTGATCATGCTAGAAATACCCCTATACATATCGCAGCTAGAAGACTGGATAACCATGACGCAATAGCTTTTCTTATCGGACAGGGTGCTGATGCTACTATTAGCAATTTGAAAAATGAAACACCTGTCCATGTAGCCGCTTCTGGCCGTGTATTTACTCCAGGTCTGGCGCAGAGGGTTGAGTTACAAAACGGGGTTCTTGCAACTCTGACGAAAGCTGGAGGAATTGAACTGATGGACCTGCCGAATGCAGAGGAAAAGACACCAAGGCAAATTTGCAAAGCGCACAGGGACAAGTGGAGGGAAGATGAGGAGAAGGCACGCATGATAAATAAGCGGCGTGAGCGAAATTTGGCAATTGCCGCGTCTTGCTTATCTAGCTAATGCTCAACGGTGTCATGGACGGAACTTGGAATATTACACTTTATGCTAAAAGCTTAGTCATTGGTTGTAGACCTCACAAAAGTAGAAGTAGTGCTGTTAGTGTCTCAGCTCAACTCTTAGCTTCTCACTCTAGGGTATGAGCCTACCTACCCCTCATCTTATCCCAGTCGCCCTCCTGCCTCCTGAGTGTAACATTGCAACAGCATGCGAAATCACTTCCTGGTAGTCCTTGCTAGGGCTATAACTTTTGCAAACGGTGAAGTGTGGCCATACACCCGCTTCTATGGCTATCATGATGCTGGCTTCGTCACAAATCCGTCTCGTCACCCATCGCCAGAGTCCTTCGGACAGCCTCCTGACTACTTCGTTCAATGGCTTGGTGACCTTGTAAACAAAAGGGATAAGTACCAGTTGCAAGGTGTTTTCGAAGACAGTTCCATCTCGGACAATGTTACCTCGATCAAGGATCTATCAGGCCAGATTGCCACGCCACAACAACCTATCATTGGCCCGCAAGTCCCAGACCCAGGTCCTGAGAATGATCCAGAGATCGAGGCCAGCCTGCTTTTCAGAAATCTGAACTATGAACTAGAACCGGATTGCCTCCGTAACATATCAACTTGGTGGTTCCGAACATACGAAGGGCACTGTAATTGGCTAAAGAAAGGTGAATCGGGCGAAGGCTCAATTGGATCGACCAGACCACGCGATTACCAACAGTACTCGTATGTCGATGGTATATCCAAGCCACGAGAAGGTCCCAACCCACGAGCTGTTAGCAATGCATTCTTTAAAAGGAAAAAGAAGATTTATTATGATCATACGCCACTCCTTCTGGGCCTCATCGAGGTGAGAGTGGTTCATCCCTGACGTCCACATTCGCGATTCTGACTTGTCCAGTTCATTATGCATGACGTTACATATAGCAAAGACTCTATTGATGAATTTATTGAAGTACCTATGCCAGACGATGAAGAGATATTCTCCCTCAACACCACACTCAAGGTTCCAAGAACAGCGTCAATGCTTGGGACGGGCACGTCAAGAAGCAACCCTCGGGAAAACGTAAACATGGCGACAACATGGCTTGACATATCGTCTTTATATGGAAGCTCTTCCGATGTAGCACACCGACTACGATCCAAAGTTGATGGTAAACTTCTTACCCAAGAAGTCCAACCCACTGGCACTAGATCAAAAGCCTCTTACCTTCCCTTCAACACCATGGGCATACCAACCAACACGCGTCCTGGTGTAGAACCTGAAGAAATATTTGCTGGTGGTGATCCCCGTACTAACGAGGACTGGCTGCTGCTTGGAATCCACACCCTGCTACTACGAGAACATAACAGGCTCTGCGACATTCTGAGGAAGCAAAAGCCGACCTGGGACGATGAACAGCTCTATCAGACTGTGCGACTCATCATGTCCGCAAAACATGCATTAATCGCCAACGCGTACCAAATGGCCTACTGGACGGAGGATATGCCATGGCCAAGAGATGACGGGTTTCCACTGTACCGCCAGATGTTTGGTGAGAACGCATTGGAGATAAACCCTGCTCACACGTATCCTTGGCCGCTTGTCACTAAAAATGGAAAGCCAATGACGGTCTCTGCAGAGATGGCCGTCGTCTATCGCTTTCATGAGTTCATAGTTCCAAGTTTCCCAATCAAGGGCCAGAATAATAAGACGCTATGGGAGCAGAATCTGTTTGATACGAGCTTCAATAGCACCGGGTTTCTCAACGTTGGGCTGGAGAGGATTCTTGCTGGCGCTCTTTCGTCGCATATTCCAAACTTCAAGTCTGGAGTAGACGAGAGTTTCAGAAGCGCTGGACTCTATCGCGGGCGCCCCTTCGATATTGTCGTTTCAAGCATCGTGCATGAACGAGAGCAAGGGCTGCCGACTTTCAATCAATATTTCCGTGCCTACAACGATCAGGATCCAGAGGTCGTTGTTCCGATCCGTGACACCTGGGATCAATTTTCCAGCGATCCTGAAGTCATCCAAAATTTGGAGAAGCTCTACAAGCACCCGGATGATGTTGACCTCGTCGTGGGCTGCCAGCTAGACGAGGAATGGTTCCCGGGCACCACTGTTCCCAAGTCGGCTCTTATCATCAGTCTCTTCAGTCTCTTCGGCATGGGGAACTCCGACCGTTTCTCTATCGGCTTTGCTATGATGCGCTGTCTTCTCGTGGATCGCCCCTGGGATTGCCATCCGAGCAACGCGTTGGAAGACTTGATATGGGAGCGAAAACCCGTACCTGGCTTTCCCAACTTTAGGTTTTATAGTGACTTTTGGGTCAAGGAACTGGATTTGCCAGCTCATGGTACAAATCTTCTATGGCGTTTGATAGCAGAAAATTCGGAGATCAATTGCGTTCAGAAATCGCCTTTGTTTCCGCCTGACAAGGATACCAACCCGATTCTCTGTTCAAAGGAAGCAGGCAAAGCTTCATCATTGGCCGTCCTGTTTAGCTTCTTCCAGATTGCTCTGTCGCTGTTAAAACAAGGCCCGTATAGCTTCATTGCCACAGTCATTATCAGTGCGGGGAGTAGCATGCTAGCAGTCAGGCACTATTTGGGACGGAAGACTTCGGTGAGACGCAAAGCTTAACATAAAGCACTCTCTTATCTTGGGATGATCTTTGCATATCCCCTGAGCTGTCTTGTCAGAGGAATGGCCCAACGATTACTATCAGATCGTCATACGGAACTTGAGTAGATTTCCTTCAAGAATCTCCTTCTTCTTGTTCTCTAGTTCCTCCATGTCCCAATTGACCGTAATGAATCTTCCCGACAGCCACTCCCTCTTCTCACGAGATAGCCAGACCATTGTATCAGCAGCCAACTCCACCGTATCGTTCAAGTGAGAATGCATCGCTGGGGGCATGTTCAAAGCTAGCTCAGTCTTGATGCCCCCGGGATGAATCGCTATGGCCACTAATCCCTGTTCGTAATACTCCTTGTCGATGAACTCGGTAAAACGACAGAGGGCGAACTTGCTCGTCTGGTACGCTGACGCTCCGGGAACGATGATTTGAGCGCCGACACTGCTGATATTGATGATGGTTTTGATTGATGACTTGAGGAGCAGTGGGATGAAGTAACGAGCTGAGAGATAAGTGCCTTTCATGGTGACCTCCCAGGTCCACCACCACTCCGATGGGTCAGACTCGACGACGGGCTTCCACTCCTCAAGACAGCCGGCATTATTGATCAAAATGTCTAGGCTGCCGTCCAGTATCTCATTGGCAGCCTCAGCTGCTGCTTTCACCGACTCCTCTGACGTGATGTCCAGCTTGATGGAATGAACAACTGGTTGGGGCCGATTTGCCTTCCTCGCGGCATCTTTGACAGCCGCTTCAACCTCGGCCATCTCAGAACGGGCAGCGAGGATGATTTTCGAACAGCCTGCCATGGCGAAGCGAATCGCGGTTGCATTTCCGATTCCTTTAGAGGCGCCAGTGATTAAGACTGACTTGCCCCCCAAGTTGGATTTGCACGGATCAATGAAGGGATAAGTGTCGTTATGGGTAGAGACGTAGCCGGCCAGAGTGGGCCAATTGGTCTCACGGAGAGAAGAATCCTGAGCCGACATGATGAGTTTCCAGGATCGCGGCAGAATCGATTATGACTTTTGCTTTCCTAGTTAATGTATTGTCGAATTTATATCTCTGTTATGGGTTAATAACTCATACGTCGTAGTGATGCCGAGAAGACGGAGTTAGGATCGGGAATCGGCAGGGCATCGGAAATAGCGGGGATGATATTTTATCAATACCCGCTAAACCGCATCCACTGACTGGATCGTCCATACCAAAGTCCACTCCATATTCAATAGACCAACTGTATTTGCTCCTTCTTGCCTCTCAGGAGGTCAAGTTCGAAGACATTAGCCGCGGGAGAAGTGTACAAGGTCCTCACGGGACCCATCGGAATCCTGGGGCGTCTGGGGTCTTTCCATGGACTGCATCTCCAGATCCACCTGAACATGGATCTTTCGACCAGATAAACCTTCACTATCGTCGAGCCGCTCCCAATTGTCGTTTCTCGCGCTGGCTGCCACTGATTGTGATGTTACTACAGCTCGATTGGTCCCGGAAAACGGTGTAGCACAAGCTGTAGGAGTGCCTTGAGTGGTATCAAAAAGGAAATAAGAGCTGAATAACTTCCTTATGGCGTTTAAGGAGCCAGCAATAGTTCCGACACTGGTTTCTACCATCGACCAGAAATAGATGTATGCGAGATTATCTGGGGACAAATCAGAGTCTGGGAAGAAATGTGAATTATGAGACTACTAACAAAAGAAGTTCTCCGGAGTTGTAATACCCTTATAATAAGGTATTCGAATAAGAGTAAATATAGATGCACTAAAAGAACATTAGTACTTAACCTATGAATCACAGACTTGGGAAGAGACTTACAAAACTGCTAGCCCAAGAATAATACTAACAGAAACCCTGGTTGCTTTTTGCATATTAGAATTATAGAGCATAAAAAAAGGCAGGATTGAACATATCCAGTCCGACAGAATTGCACTGATAGCCAGTACATAGCCTGTACTAGTTCTTAAGGTTGGTGAACATGCGTTGTAGTTTTCCCAATTGTCACTTATAGGAAGACACACAGCAAGCAACCCAATAGTGGCATAAAGCAGAGTGCCTGTAATGAAGACAATCGTGCCCCAGATAATCCTGCGGTGGAGACTTTTAACAGTAATTCGTAAGAAGGTAATGCAGATAGAGCATTTCAGACATATTAACGACAAGATATAAATAAATTCTCCAATCCATGTATACTAAGTGTTATCAGTTACTGCATTAATCTCAAGCTGTAGATCGAAAGAACTCAATACCTTGAGAATAGCTCTCTGTTGGTAGCTATTTAAGCTGGCTTATTTCCTTCCTAAGCCATGGTAAATAGCTTGGATGCTCACAGCTCCATGAGCGACATGTAATAGCTAAATGATTTTAATATCTTGCATCTTGTGTTGATTATAAGTAAACTTACCCAGCCTGCAAACATAAGACCGTCATCTACGCCGAAAATTGCAAACTTCAAACGAACAAAGCAACGTAAGAGTATGACTATTGCTGTGAGAAAAAGGAACACAATTGACAGCACAAGCATGATGCGCCCTAGACCTGAAGGCTTCACCCATGTTGCGCTTGCATCAAGCATTATGTTGGGCGATTGGTATTGCGAACTGTAAAGTGAAATGATTTTCTTTTGAGACGCGTTGCCTTTTTGAAGCGATCAATTGCAGTACGTGGTATTAAGTCTAAGCCATTCCCGGCACTTTGCTACACCAACCTATCGAAAGAGTCTAACGAACTTTATCGATCGAGGATCTCAACTCTAAATTGTGGCTCATTAAGGATCGGTAGTTAGGTACGAGAATGCTATACATTCCTGTAGAACCCGTCTTCCTGGTTTAAGGTAAGAGATCGGCAGTCCAGTCAAGGCCGTCGAACCTTCCAGGCCCCCAGCAAGTAGCTCACTACATAGCCGTATGACAAATATCCATTGAATCTACCTTCATCGTATAGGTATTTTGGAGAGTATAAATAGGTAAGCAGCTTCGCTGCAGCGGGTGGTCTGTCTTTATATGACGCTCAGAGCTGGACTAAGTTCTCTCTGCCGGTTTAAGCTCTCAGCCACAAGTCCCAACTGAAAGTAGAACATGTAGTTCACAACTTAGACGCATATGGCCTAGATATCTTTCAACATGTCTTCCGTACTGTAGTGTCAAGCTAAGTGTTTAAACCCTCACACTATGGAGTGTTGGTGGTCATAACCCCCGTTTACCAAGGACCTGGGTTCGTCCACCATAACCGTACTGCTTCTTCCAAGAGGTATTGAAAGAAAATATAACCCAGCGATATTTCGGGCGAAATTAACGCGGATCAATTAAGTTTACTGTTATCGGGGGCAGCCAAACTATAAGATCATTAAGTAAATTCTTAGAGTCAATGCTATAGCAATTTAGCTTCCCTGACGATAGATAGGGCATATTATTGTCTTATTAATAGTATTTCTTTATTTTATGACGCTCGTAACTACCGTTGTTTTATTTGCTCTGCATACCGTGATAGGTTAATAACTTATACGTAGTAGTGATGCCGAGAAGACGGAGTTAGGATCGGGAATTGGCTAAGCATCGGAAATAGCGGGAATGATTACAAGGATATACCTACCAAGATCTTTGGGTGAAGACAGCTTTGATACCAATGTAAAGGTTACAAAAGGTCATGCTTTCGATTGTCAGCGGAATACGGTATAGGTCGATTCTGGATCTTCTACTTTGAGTCCAAACAGCTAGTTTGTGTTTACTCCATTTGCAATATCTCATACTACGGTATGAAATAATACCACTTGTGATTTTGAAGTAATTCCTTATTAGGGAACTTATTCTCCAAGTACTTAGGATGTCACAGAGGGTTTTTAAGAGGTTGAAAACGTAACGACTAAAAATATCCCAATGTTAATTGAGCACGTAAGCCTCCCTGGTTAGGAAAATGCCTTGCCGTCACATTATAGTGTCACATTTCCATTATCATTCGTCGAACGCGCCAACCTCGTAACACAGATAATTACCCAGAGCCTGATTGCCAAGACTTTGTAGCTGCTGGCAGGCGTTGCTGAGCACCCACCACAGGATATCATGTAGTCAGCAGCGGGGGCGAAATGTCAGTAGGCATATCAGAGCTGATCACAGCTTGCCACTTACCTGCAAAGTCAGCTCTTGAAAAGCTCCCCAGATTCCATAAAACACCACTTGTCTCTCAAGTTCCGGGGTATTTTTAACAACTATTACCGCTCTCTCCTTTAAACCCGTCAGATGTCTCACTACGAAGCAGTTCGCGATAGCGATGGCATTTCGCCTCCTGGCACACCGATATCTGAACCAGACTACCCTGTCTCTGTCATTGACACCGAGACTTTACACGAAGTACTGGGAACTGCCAATCGTTCGGCGGGACCTAAGTCCTTTGTCAATACTGACATGGGCGTGGACTCTTCTGTGCCCCGGATTGATCCCAAGTCTCGCCCGCCAGGTCTACGATGGTGGAGAAGACTGGGGTATATGGGTCTTAGTGTTCTAATCGCCGGTACAGTGTGTATCCTGATATCATGTTCTGTTCTTATTTTCCTCTGGTTCGGGGCCGCCAGGGCGCGGGTTCATCAACAACGCCCCCAGCTATGGAACAGTATCATCTTCAGAGAATGGTCGCTTTCTATGGTTACTATATGCTCAGCTACCCTTCGCGTTGCATTGAGCTTCCAAACAGGTGTCATTGCTGCCGCGATGGCTGCGATTATACTTGAGACGTGTGACGTCAGATTTTGCGACACTGCTCTGATATCGCTTCACAGAAGTTCAAGCTCCGGCCCTTCAGCAATTCTTCCCAGTGTCATAAAACAGTGTCGTTCCAACAGGCTGTCTAGTATTGCCTGTTGCTTAGCTCTCTTTATGACCTTTGCCATTGCCTTGGTTTCGACTTTCACGTCTACAATTCTTCTGTCTGATTTCGCAATCTATAAGATTTCTGGATTAAACACAACCAGAAATATTCCGATGGCATTCGACAATACAGCGCAAAGTCGCGACTTCAAAGGCATTTCATTCTGGCACTCACCTCCCTTGGCTCACTGGAGATTTGCCAGAGCAGAAACAGGAGAACCCATCTCCTCCAACGATGTCATTGATACAGGTGACATCTATCGAGCGACGATACCGTTTAATGAGTCGGATGATAGAGCATCCATGGAGTTTTATCGCGGGCCGGCCATGGTAACAAACTCACGAACTGCTTGTGTCGGGCCAACCTTCAAATCTCTCAAAATCGACTACTATTCAGTCAGCAACCTTTCGTCACCGGAGCTCATACTCCGAGCGGAATTTCAGGCCTACATTGACAAAATATTCGACATGAAAGGGGACAAGTACCTTCCTATGACAGCTGAGTGTAAACTCATCAACGATTGGGACCTCGGGAATTTGGAGTGGCCATTGACCATGTGTAGAGTCATTCCCCAGACGTCCCCGTATCAGAAGATTTACGATTTCTACCCGAGACTTCTTGTTACCTCGAAGGATCCTTTGAACAAACCTCTAGATATGAGAGATGAGGATCATGATCCTCTAGATGACGAGAAGACATATGAAGAATACCTGGAGGACTATCTTGCCCCATTCGCTAAACTGGAAGCAAAGAAAAATGGCTCCTGGACAAAGGTAGTTAATGGAGACGGCGACGAGGTCTTCGATGCCACGGTCTGTTTCACCCGACAAATCCCGGAGCTTATGTATAACGTGACTATTCTGGGACAGGCTGTATTTTCGGAGTCCGACTATGGAGAACGTGCAGATGAAGTTCTACCGCGTCGCTCGCATCAGGCAGACGATAGCTACGGCTTGTATCGCTCGACCGATGTTGGGGATCTGCATTTATATGACTACAAGAATCCGACGAAATACAGTGCTCAGGAGCATGAACAAGGGGTTCGGTACGATCCATATGGCTTTGCAGATGTCCTTGATAGTATCGAGCTAGGCGGTTGGAGTCTCAGATTATGGGGTGTTGGTGATCATACCCCACGGCTGTCCAGGACCTGGTTCATCCATCCCGACCATACCACATTCTTCCAAGAGGTCTTAAAAAGAACAAACAATCCAGCAACAGCCCTTTTAGAGTTGACCTACCGAATCTATCAAATGTACTTCTACTATTGGCAGCCAAACTACGACATCATTGAGCAAGCCAATACAGTCAATACTCTAGCAATACAGCTTCCCCGCCGGTGGACAGGGCTAGCGATTGTCTTGCTGATCATCTTTCTTCAGTTCATCACGCTCGCGCTGACCGTTATTTCATTCGCTCTATATACAGAATCTTCGATTTTGGGGGAGCCATGGCAGGCTGTGTCGCAGGTTCTATCGCTTGAAACGGAGGAATTGATACAAGAGTGCAGCAAAGGACCTAGCATGTCAGACAGATACGTCAAAGAGTGGGCGAAGGTGACAGGTCGCAACATGGGATTTTATAGCCTGGTTCAGCATCGCGAAGACCAGGAAGCTAAGATCCAGAAACGTCAAACTCGTGGGAAGTAATACTGGTTGTATTTTATTTAAACATATTTTATCGAGTTGTTAGTGGTAAAAACAACTATTTTTATTACTTGCAATTTGCATTTGAGAAACATGAGCTACCTATGACAGCATGTGGCGGTTGCCGGTCCATAAACGGAAAGCCGGGAACCTCGGCCGACTAGTTGACAGCGGGGTAGATGCCTGAGCAATGATCTGATCAACCCAACGAAGGATCGAACAAGATTCACTGCAATACTTGTTTCAATCACTACTACAAGAAATTGCACCTTGTGTTAACTGTTGAAGCCCTTTCAACCACTCTTACAGCTGCCATGAAGTCCGTGGTGTTCAAGGGAGTCAAACAAGTGGCTCTCGAAGATCGGCCGAAACCCACCATTCAAGACCCAAAAGACATTATTGTCAAGGTCAAATACACAGCTTTGTGTGGAAGGTTCGATCAAATCTATGAGACACTACTATTTATCAACTACTAACTATTTGACAGCGAGCTTCATGTCTTTCGCGGTCATCAACCTTCCGGAACCGGCTTCATCATGGGCCACGAATTCACTGGCGTCGTTGATGAAGTCGGCTCCGCTGTCACCAAGCTTCAACCCGGTGATGCGATCGTCAGCCCTTTCACCGTGAGCTGCGGAGAGTGTTTCTTTTGCAAACACGGATTCTCATCACGATGCGACAAGAGTCTTCTCTTTGGTACTGTTCCTCTGGATGGAGCACAGGCTGAATACGTGAGAATCCCATATGCCGAAAGCACGGTCGTAAAGGCTCCCGAGGAGATTGACGACCTGAAACTATGCCTGATGGCGGACATCTTTCCGACCGGCTGCTACGCTGCATCTAATGGTCTGAAGGACCTAAGTAAAGAGCAGGTCGAGGACAGTGTCGTCGTCCTAATCGGTTGCGGACCAGTGGGTATTTGTGCGCTCATCGCCGCGCTGGAGTACAAGCCCAAGGTCATTCTCGCAGTTGACGGTATCGAGTCCAGACTATCGCTCGCCAAGAGTCTTGGAGCCGAGCCTTGGAATTATCTCACACAGAAGGATGAGCTGGAAAAGCGAGTCAAAGAACTGAGTGACGGTCGTGGCGCTGATGTGATCATCGAGGTTGTCGGACATAGCTCGGCTCTAGATATGGGCTTCAAGCTTCTTCGACCATGGGGCATCATCTCCAGCGTCGGTGTACACAATGGAGAGATTCCGTGGACCGGAAATCAGGCTTACGGGAAGAACCTCACCATCAAGATGGGCAGATGCCCTGTTAGGAGTAAGTCCACGTCTCGAGCATCAGAAGTGACAGTCTAACGATTACCCTAGGTATCTTTGAGGATTCTTTGAAGCTGCTAGCAAAGAAGCAACATCTTCTAGAGTAAGCTGCCACACAAGTTTATATGGCTTAACTAACCTGTCTAGTTTCATGACCGCAACGGTGATGCCGCTAAGTGATGCTCTTGAAGGGTACGAGCTTTTTGACTCGATGAAAGTTCAAAAGGTCATATTCGACGCGCAAAGATAAGGGATGTATCCAGGGCCAGTTGTATCCAGCTTGCTAGCTTATTACAGGTGGTGAAACTCGAAGCACTAGCCTCTGATTGCGTATCGTGCACAGATAATCACAAGTACTTCAATCAGTGATGATTAACCGGTTCTGCCCGTTGACCGCTCCTTTGTCTAGCTAAAATCTCCATTGGGTAAATACTTGATATATTGAATGTGGGGATCGAACGACAAGGCTGACCCGAGTGCGGTACGGAGTCAGTATACATCCGTATACGGAGGGCCTGATTGTGGGGCTCTAAACCGAGTTTCCAATTGCCGTTGTTGTATTCGGGAGTTTTACTTCTACGTATGTAAGTATAAGTGGTGGGATATTTTGTATACGGCAGTTTGACATGTAAGGATTAACCGAAGCCTTAATGTATCTCATTATAATATAATATTTAGCCAAAGGCTAGTAGATTAGTTAACCTTCAAGCTCTAGCTGCTGAGGGACAATAATTGTCTGGAATGGGGTGGACTTTCAAGAGATCCCTAGATTTCCCTTTAATAGTTAATTTATAAATTAGACAAGAATTATTACTAAAGTTAGTAAAGACCTCAGAAGTAACTTAGTATCATTATTTATATTAATATATAATGATCTCCAGTAGCCAACTTCCTACAACAGGACAACGGCACTAAAAGAAGGTTTAGTACCTCTCCACATGTAGGGTATATTAGCTAGTACGAGCATAATACAGTTTACAAGTCAGACGATAAGTCATTTTAATTTACAATAGCGCTTATACGAAAACCTTATTCATACTGATAGTAAGTAGCTTAGTATTAAATTAAGTCATATATAAAGGTATACATAACTCTCCAGCTTATCACTCTTATCCCATTAATCATTCATCACTTCTACATACTCGCATCCACTTCTTGGCCACCATCAAGCATCTGTTCATTACGATGAAGATCGCAATCATAGCCGCTATATTCATGCTAGCCATGGAGCCCGTCCTTGCACGATACTGCAGCCAGGGATGGATCGAATGCAACTGTAAGCTACCCTTCTGCTCCCAATTATACCACCGCTAATAGATCGAAGACAGCGGGTGGCTATGTACTTCGAGCTGCCCTAATAGTGGTCTCACTGGCTGCGGATGTGCAGACGAGTATTTCGGATATGGGGATTTGACTTCATCTAAGTGCATCGGCAGTCCTCTTTTTGGGGGAAGTGGCACTAACCCTCGATGCCCTTGGACTGGTCACCATGCTCCCTCCCGTTGTGACCCTGATTCCTGTTAAGGGTTTTACCACTGATGGTTGAAGTCACGTTGTTATAACTTGGCGTGGCATCTACGAAGTCGAGTCTTGGGGACTACCAATATCAGATGGTTTGCAATTACTGCTGCGTATATAACTCTCAAGTCACTTGCCGCTGAAAATTATATTTGTTCTTCAATATGGTATTAGGTATTAATACTATTCGATGCTTTACATTGACGAGTAGGTGTAGCACAGAGGGCCAGCGCGAGTATCCATGTAGTTCTTTACAACAGGCTCCTCATCAGCGAGACGCATAACCGGCATTTTATCAGTGATATCGGCAGTGTTCCATTTGTTGGGGTCGTTGAAGCCAGTGTAGTCAGCCAGACGAGTGGCGTTGCGGCCTTGCCACTGGAGAAAAGTTAGTAACTATGAAGATCAGAGTGGCATGGAAAGTGTTCTTACTTTGGCCCAGACTCGATCGACGTTGGCGTGGTGAAGGAAGAAGAGAGGCTCGTTGGGCGAAGTAGCGGGGCCCATATCACCGAAGATGATGCTGTGAACTATTAACCCGTTAGTATTTGTGGATCAGGGGTCCTTCGAGATGGCGTACTCTGAGCGTGAGGCAGACCCTCAAGCATATCGGACATGGAGTGATAGTTGTCAAAGCTGTAGATGGTATCCATGACCCGAGAGTTGTAGGCTGTAGCTTGCATATCGCCAAGGATCTGATTCCCATCCTCATCTTTGCCAAGACCTCCGTTGAACTCGCGAGTAAAGCAGTGAAGACGGTTACCCGGGGTGTTCATGTCAGGCCATCCCATAGCCAAAGTCAGGTTTGTGTTGGCAAAAGGTCCATCGACGACACAACGCTTGAAGCCGGGGACATCACTGCCAGTGAGCTTCGCATCCCCGCCAAACCCAGTTTTGGGGTCGAAGAGAGGAGAGTTGACGACGTCATTCTTATCAGCGTCAATCGTCCAGTCCCAGTATGGCTGAACACCCTTATAATCACACTCATCGCGGAGCATATCCTCATGAAGCTGGACATACCAACGATGCCAGGGGAGGAAATTCGCGACAAAGTGGATCTCTGTATTGAGACTGAAATGAGTATACACGAGATCATCCATGAGTGTTGTCACGTCGTCGACATCTTTGTATGCCTTTTTGGGGAGGTTGCGAAGACACACTGCGGCGCGGAGATATTCTGTCTTTTCGGCGCTGGTGAGTTCGCGCCATTCTTTGCGGACAACGGGGTCGGAGCATGAGCCCTCTGCGCGGGCTACGGGGCTGGCGATTGATAGGGCTGCGAGGGCCAGGCTGGCGAGGAATGAGTGGGCGAGCATTTTGTAAAAGCGAATGTATTGAACGAATGACTATTGAGTTCGGAGAGTAACGAAGGACGAGCTTGGCTGTTAGAGTGAACTTTGAGAAGACGGCCTGAGAACTTAAATAGCAGAGAGTCCCTTGCTCGGTACATCATGGGTTATTCTCCTTTCCGGAGCTACCGTCTAGCGGCTTCTTCTACTGCCGGCATACGGGAGAGAGGCTGTCCATTAAGAAAAAGCACAGCCGGCAGAGTGGAGTAAAACCGTTGTAAAAATTACTAAAAAGAGTCAAAATAGGTAAATACGAGCTTTGACATGTTCGGTCATCTCCTCCTTCGAGAAGCCAAGAGCGTTTTCAGTTGTCGCTAAGAATTAGAATTCCGGGCCGTTGGGCGGATTTTCCACCAAATGCATCACTCTGAAACTCTTAGCGGGGTCTTTGGCCCTTGCTCAAGTCTTTTTATAGCGATTGAGATCGAGAACAGGGATTGAAGGGCGGGATGCCACGCTAGATTGGGACTAGTCAATGGACACAGACCATAGTGTAACTTCATGCAATTGTTATTGCCAAGACATTAAAGGGTTAAGTTCATCTGAAATCCCGTATAGAATTGTCGATCGAATCCAGGGAGATTGAAGGAGATTTTAGATGGAATGCCACTGGGACGCGGTCATTGACAAGCGCCCATACGATGAGGCCGAATGGTGATACGGAAATTGTTTAGCTACTGGCCAATAGATTTCATATCAGGCTGCGTGCGGGGCCTGTCCAGCTGAGAGCCTGATTATGTCGTGAGCTAATCTTGCTCTGTTTACGAGTTCACCTATTAACTAATTATTTCAGCTTAAGACAACAGCCTACCCATCATGAAGTCCTGGTTCCTTGCCCCTGACTTCACCTTCACCCCCGACGGACCCCTCCAGCTTGGCGCTGTCATCCCTCATCCCAGTCGTCCGACCCAGACCCTTGCATCACCCCGCACCGACGCAATCACGCTCCCCGAAGTGCAAACTCTGCTCGAGACGAACCATACTCACTCGGACGATGTCACGCGCACAGCTGGTGTCAATCTCTTTGCTAAATTCGTAGAGCTTGCTTCTGCTTCTATTGGCTATGAGACTAGTCGGCGTAATGCGCTGGCATATGGGACTGTAGATCATGAGGTTCGGTCTTTAGCGGCACCGTTTACGAGGGAGTTCCTGCAGAGCATCGTCGACGCGGAGGCTGTTAGAGAACATATCGACTCTGGAATGTTTGGGAAGCGAGCCGTTTACTTCGTTTCTGGGCTCAGAGTCGCCACCTCGTCTTTTACGGTCACGAAAGAGAAGGGGATTGGACATAATACCTCACTGTCCGGTTCAGGCCCAACAGGTCCTGTTCCCGTCGAAATCGGCGGCGGTATCTCTGGCGGAAAAGAGAGTTCAAAGACCGATTCATACGAAACTGCACCAGGCATCATCTTCGCTTACCGTCTTCACGCCATTCGTGTTCGTGGTAGCGGCACCGTCAGCTCAGAGATGTTTTCGAGCAGAAAACAATTCATGTCTGGCCGACCAGTCCCTGATCCTGAGCCCTTTGAGGTCGTTGATGTTGACGCTGAAGTGTTGAAGGCTGATAGGAAGGAGGAGGAAGATGCGCCGAAGTATGAGATGGAAGACCTTGGAGATGAGGAATACTGTTTTTTGGCGGAGGCCTAGTTTTGTGTTTCTTCATTCTCGATACGATTTGAAATGTTAATATTGCTTTTTCGTATTACCGGTACATAAATGGTGATACGGCATCATACATAGCAGCCCACGCCCTCCATGCATCCGCCTTCTCGCTCCAGAACCATATCGGATTTATAAACCTATTATTGCCAGTCTGGTCCGGTGCCATCTTCTCCAGCAATCTTCTCATACCCTCAGTTCTCTTCAAACACTTTACCGGGCTTTGCTCCGTAGGTATTGGAAGAACTGTCGAGAGAACCTCTGCGTAAGCTATTGTCGACGCTGCTATACCAGCAGCCACCGCTGTCGCTATCGATGACCCAGGATGGCATATATGGGAACCAAACTGCTTTGTTATCTCATCACTGAGACGTGTTGGTAAGTTGTCCCCGAACGTACCGAGCGCGACCGTGCTTCGATCTGTGATCGGAGGATTACTGGCATTAAAGGTTCCCTGGCAGTCTGTTGCTCTCATCGATATGACCGATCTGTGTCTCGCGGGGAAAGCTTCTCTTTGATAAGCCGCACTGTTTCCTGCGCTAGCTAAGAATGTGATGTCGCGATTCCGCTCAACGTCTTCTATAGCTGCAGAGATGACATCGTCGTCATGCGGGAATCCGAAGGACATGGAGATGATATCCGCTTCTGCTTCGAGTCCGGCCCACCGAATTGCCTACTAACGGTCAGTCTCTTGCTACTGCCTACTAGCGTAATTTGTCTTACCTGTGCTATTTGATTACTGCTGAACTCGAGGTCCCTAGTATTCTTGGCAACTCGGGCCACATATATGTGAGCCAGCGGAGCAGCTTCCATTATGAGTCGGGTCATCAGGCTGCCATGGCCATATTCATCTTTCATTGTGTCTGGCTCAAGCTTGTCTTCGCTCCCAGGTCTCGTGAAGTCCTTCCAAGCTTTTATGGATTTCTTCCTTCTAGGTATCTTGTTAAATGGCAGGGCTGCATCGCATCCTGTATCTAACACCGCTATCTTGACAGGCTTGAAGTCGTGATCCGGCTTTTCCTCCCGTAGATTCATGATGTGCATGCTGATATGTTTCAAGTTGTCCAGCCATTCTTCAGGAACGATTGTCTTGCCCGTATGGAAAGAGGCGACTTGACAGTGAAGCTTGTTATGATTTTCGACCTCTCTGCATCTCGCCAAGTAGGATACGTATTTTGCGTCAGCTTTGAAGGCGATATTGACGAGTTTTGACAGCGGTTCGACTACCTCAGTATAGACTTTTCGCCTTATGCCATCTTCGCACGCGCTGACGGTAAGGCCATCTTTTGTAGAACCCTTGATTGCCTTCGGTTTCGGGGTAGTAGTTGTGAACGTTCTGGGATCCAGACAATTCGCAACGGCTCTTGCAAAGATATCTCGGTGTGTCGACCTCGCCCATTGTGCCTTTTCTAGCTCACCCAATAATTGCCTCGCGGCACCATGGTCTCTGTTCAGTCGAGAGATAAATGGCAGGTGCGTCATTGACTTGAAAGGCTTTACAAGCCCAATTTGTAGGAGTATCAGTCCCAGGCCAAGAATGTGCGGGAACGGGTGCGTCAACATTGACTTGTCTTCATCTTCTGAGTTTCTCTGCTCATCTTCGAAGTCAAGTGGCATATACACCCGCAGAGCAAGCTGATCTTTGGGTAAGTGTTGGTGATCCATCTCCTGCATGAACCAGATATCATCGCTCGTCCAGCGGTTTTTCATCAAATCTGATTCGTAGAACTGCCAGAAGGAATGTGCAATGGCATGAGCAAGTAGTATCTTATCCTTATCTGTAAGCTTGTAGCTCTGGATGGCCAAGGATAGTGGAAGCCCTTGGCCCGGGCATAAGAATCTCTCAAGAGGTGCAGGTGGCGGTAAAGATACAAGGCCGATACCTTTGACAAAGTTGAGGTTGACTTTGGCGAATAATTGATGTTTTAAGACTTGACAGAAGTAGTCAGAGTTAATTCTCTTTAGACTCGGAACCTTGTCCTCTCCATCTTCGTCACTAGAAACGTTTGCGAACGTAACACCGCCTCGACGGCCTTTTGTTTGCCTTGCTATGTGAGCTAGATACCAAAGTCTGTCACAGTGTCAAACTCACATAGGAATACCAAGCCATAAATGCTGCCAGTAACTCATGTTTTCAGAGGATATCACTACTTCGAACTGCGCGTGTTTACTCTGTATATACGGCGTTGCATCAAGGTGGAGTCTAATCGGATGAGCCAGTTTATGATGATGAGGCTTTGCCTTGTTTGATTTCCTCAGCCAAGATTTGTCTTTTGTCATTTCGGCGTGTTGGCAAAATGCATGCTGGCGAAGAGCCTCGAAGAGATTTCGGCTGACATGCTGAGGGTAATCGTCTGGTTCTGGCAACGCCGATCCTGTTGTGAGCTGGTCAAGGCCAGTCTTTTTCTTTGGCTCATCCTGGCTGAGTTTGGCCAAAAACGCGTCGCACTGCTCTTTAGCCTGTACTGGGAGAGTCTTGTCGGTGATGAAGGACATAGATATGCATTTCTTCAGTCGCGATCTATTATCTGGTCTTGACAGCACCACAATCTGCATATAGTCCTGCCTAGGAATTATCTGACTTCCTGCTGGAGTTGGAAACTAAGTGTCTTAGTCAGTGTCTCAAAACCGAGAGAGATAACTTACCATGCAGATATCAAGTAGTGTATGCAAAAGCTTTGCGGCTGTATCTTCAGCGTCTTGGTCAAGCTCGTAACCAGCGAACGACTCTTGAGCAATCTGCCCCAGCCTCGTCCCAACTTCCCCCGCAAGTCGTTGTCGCTGGCGTATACCGCACTCCATCACCAAAGCATACACTTCTTTGGCTACTTCAACGACCAGTTCGCATGCGCTAAAGCGTTCGGACGCCATATCGTCACTCGCATGTTTTGGACTTTGTAAGGCTGAGCTATGTTGAGTGGAGGTTAGAGCATTGTGCGGCTGAGTACCCCTGTTGCTGAGCTCACGTGACGATAGTCGACAGGGAAATCCTCCACCGTTCGCCATTCTGCTGCTGCCTTATCCTCTCTCCCTCCTCTTCAAAGCATCTCCTTTATTGTCTAACGAGCGCCAAAAAAAAGCGCCTTTGTTCAATTCTGGCGTCGAAATCATGGATCTCATGAGTCTGACCGCTCGAGACCTTTCCAACAAATGTCTCGAGGCTTTCCAAATATGCTTGACTTCTCAGTCTCCAAACCCCGGTCTGTCCAATCAACACGCGTCTCATGATGAGCGATTTGAGTATCGCTTAGCAGACTTTAATCTCTGGATTGACGGTATCGGTGCACTGGCTCCTTCAAAAGCGTCACTCGACGCGAGGCTTAGTGAGCGACCGATTGACCTTTCCCTCGTCAAAGGAAACCTTGTCATACTGTTTCAGTCACTGGAAGACTGTTTAAGTCTGCTGCAAGCCAATGAATCGCTCGAAGAAGTCTTGCTCGATATTGACTCGGCCTTGGAAAGTCTCGTCACTCTGTCTCTAGCTATTCGTAGGACAGGGCGTCGGTCGCGCCTTCACAAAGCAGATCGTCTTTTCAAACCGGAAGAACATGCTGGATTGAGGAAACACTTGGAAGCCATTATTGTTCTCCGTCCTGGGTCTGGTCCAGGCCCTAAAGACGATGAGTTCAGAACTAGGATGGAATCTTTGACATCACTTCAAAGTCATCTTGTCACAGCCAACTTGAAGCGGAGGAATCGATTCATACAAGCCCAACTACATTCTTTACGTTTGAGGAAAAGAAGTGCTGGGTTTGAACTCACGGTGTCGGAAGTCCCTGTGAATAATACTGCTTTAGCGCCTAGTCCAGAAAATAGCATGGGGGGAATCAACATGCCCCCGTCTATCCCTCCTACGCAGACACTAAACAGGCCGCTGCCAGCGCCAATGTCAGTCACCTCAGCGTCAGTTCCCGAGAGTAAGCTGCAATACAAGGAACCCGTTTCAAAAAGAACAGAGTCTTCGCCGATGACAGTCATTACTCAAATCACTGCCTCGGCCATATACCCGCGCCCGAGAATATCTGATAATGAACAGAAAGTGGTTCAATGTCCCTGTTGTTGTCAGATACTACCTGTATCTGAGGCCAAGAACAATGCCCGATGGAGGTAAGGATTCTTACCCTCGCTTAATGCTCATAGCACCTAATGTATTAAGTAGAAAACATTTAGCAGAAGATATTCGTCCGTATACTTGCATCTTTGATAGGTGTCCAGCTCCAGATGTTTACTATAGCAGCCGGTCGATGCTGGAACAGCACTTTCGACAAGATCACCCGCCAGTCTGGGTATGTCCTCTGTGTGACAATGGATCAGTCTACTCGACCATGACTGGGATGGTGGATCATCTTCATGATACTCATGCACAAGATGTTGGTGAGGATATTCCAGCGATCATATCATCCTCCGCTCAGACAAGGATGGGTATAGAGAGTTGTCCCCTCTGCGAAGTCAAGGGCGACGCCGATTCTCCAGAACTGATAGACCACGTCCTGGAGCATGTCCATGACTTCTCTTTACGGTCTCTTCCTTGGCCTAGACCTTCAGAAGTTGATATCGGCGGTGAGGTCGGGTCTTTCAACCCGGAAGATGGCGAAGCTGCTGCTATCACTCAAATGGCTGGATGCCTATGAGCACGAGACAGAAGAGATTGATCCTACACTGAAGCTATCGACTTGCGACCATGGAAGATTACCAACTATAACCGAGCAGATCAGGTCTGAGGGAGAGGACAAGCTTGGTCTTGACATCGGCTTTGCTGACGAGCATGGCGACGAATCTGCCGAGGCTGAGACTGATATTTCCCAGCTTACGCAACATACAACCGAGTCAGTGAACGATTCAGCGGAGGAACGTAGTTATCACCGTTGTCTTGACTGCTCTACTATAATTGTATTGGAACACGGGGATGATCCTACATTGCAATGTGCCAAGTGTCAAAGCAAACGCATCGAACTTGTTGGTTCCCTCTTACAAATGCGTCCTTCCCAGAACACTAACAACGTTAAACAGATTAAACCCGCAAATGATCCTGACCGCAAAGCCCACTACGCCGCCGTTCTTGACTCGTTAGAACCGCAGCACTCCATACCGACCGCTCGTGAATCTACTTCTGGCTTTCGAAGGTTCACTGACCGCCTCTTCTCCCGCAAGAAGGCTGATGATATTGAACCTCAGCACAGCTCGGGAGCCACCGAGAATTTGATTCAATATCTTGGTCTGAAACAGAAGGCTGTAGAAAACCAGAAGGCCTGGAAGATTCTGATCAGTGTTTACCATAGGCGTTTAGACTCTCCTACGAAAACACAGTCTATGTTTGATGATTTCATCAGAAATGTTCAATATCAGAATAGCCTGCCAACTCTTCAACCAGTATCTGATCCGCGTAGCTTCTTAGAAGTTATGGTCAAGTTCTACTTGGATCCACTCAAACAACTTCCCCCGAAGGACCTCACAAAACCTATATCGAACTACTTTATCAACAGCAGCCATCGGACGCCCTCACATACGTTGTCAGAGTCTCGCGATGCTTATGATGCAATAAAAGAGGTGAGTCCAACAAGCGTTCCAAGATCAAGACACGTTTGTCTCATGAACAGGTACTTTATTTTGGGCATCGATCTATTGATTTGGATGTTTGGAATGGTGAAAAAGAGCAATCCAGGCCTGGACAGAACTCGAAAGCAATTAGCCGGTTCTTCGGCCTTACCAAAGGAACTGGCCCGATCATACCTGCGTCTCCTAAGTCCCCAGCATCCCAATCAGATCACTTGAGTCACCCCACAGAACCAATAGTCACAGATGGCTATGCTCGTATGATACCCTGCGGCTTCATGGAAGCCTGTCAAGTGATCAGAAAGTCTGCCTTTGTTAGTTCTGATCTACCTGTGATCATAAATCTTGAGGTTCACGCAGACGCTGAACAGCAAGAGATGATGGTCAAAATAATGAAGGAAGAGTGGCATGGTATTCTGGTTGATGAGCCACTCGAGGGCTACGATCCACGATTTCGACTACCGACATTGGAGGATCTTCGAGGTCGGATACTTGTTAGACTCGGAGCGATAACAAGTATTTCTGTGCCCAACCCTGATCAGTCTGACAACGATCTGCATGGAGGCGGCCACCATAGACTAGGGCGTATCTCCATTATACAACCGCTGGCTGAACTCGGGGTTTACTTACGACGCGAGAAATTTGAGGGTTTCACCGACATGCATACCAGTTCCCCTGGTCATCTTTTCTCCCTGCAGGAAAGTAAGGTACAGGAACTGATTTCAACGTCGCCCACTAAACTCTTTCGACACAATCAAGACTACTTCTTTCGTGTCTATCCGAGCTCGGCAAGACAAGGCTCTTCAAATCTTGATCCTTTAAGATTTTGGAGATACGGCATTCAGATGGCTGGTATTGCCCGACACCACCTAGATGAGGGCATGATGTTAAATGAAGCAATGTTCGCCGACGAATCAGGATGGGTTCTCAAACCCAATGGCTATCGAAGTTTAAATATGTACAATCCAGCCGATCCAAAAGAAGCTCCCAGAAAAGGTCTCGAGCTGAATATATTCGCTTTCAAAGATCAGGAGTTTCTGACCAGTACCGGTCGAGAAATTAAGAACCTGGCGTCATTCATGATAGTCTCACTTCACATTAATGACGAAGAAATGCCTCGCGTACCAAAACAAGAACTCAACACTACAGAGAATGAATCAGGGGCTTTGGGATACAATCTCAACTTCTTTGTTACAAGGGCACAGGCCACCATTATTCCGAAACTCTGCATCCTTAGGTGATTGACCTTCCTTTATCAAAGATGAAACTAATAGTACTGTCAGGTTGACATTTGTGGAAGGCTTACAAAAGGATAATCTCTTTGCGTGGGCCAGTCTAAGACTAGATCGCCTGAATCAAGGTTTCCGGCTAGTGCAGCTTTACGACAGCAAAGGGGTGATATTGATGCAACAAAGGATCCTTTTAAAGTTTAATATCAGTTGGCGGTAGGAGAGAAATATTCTAGGAGTTAGGTAGAATCTAAATAAGATTTTTATTCTAGTACCTCCAAAGTACTTCTCAGCCTTGCTACATGCTAGCTACTCTATAGTAGCGTCAATTTCCTTGGCGACACGAGCAAGCTTATCAAAGTCTACCTTATCTAGCTTCTCAGATTTGTCAGGCAGAACAAATCCTTCAAATGGTTTACCGGTATCCTGAATCAAAGTCTCAATTCCCCGTCCATTCGCAACTGAAAAGAACTTCACAAAGGGGGATGCAAAGTCCAACTTGAAGCCTCGACCAACCAATACTACCACTGACTCGCGGTCGTGAAGCACACTCTCACCTGATGAGCCCTCTAGTTCGACTTTCAGCTTCCTCTTGACGACCAAGAGGCAGTGATCCACATCGCGAACTTAATGCTGATTGACGCTTTGTTGTTAGATAGACGTGTTATTTACAGTTGAGGCTCGTGGCTGAGAGCTTAAATCAGCAGACAGAACTTAGTAAGCGCTTGACGATTCGATGGTCGAAATGGCGAGTCTCCCTCCGTTCTGACTTGCGAGGATAGATGGATGTGACAAGACGCCGCCGGCCATCTGTGCATTTCCCGTGGCCACTGACCAATTGAATTCAAGGATCGAGATGCAAAAGAAATTAACCTCGTCGCCGAGGACAGAATGTTTCTCTATGAGGCTAAACCCATTGAATAACCTTCTTTGGCAGGTGTGAGTCGATGTCCTTCTAAAGTAGGGTCCAGGAATTTGAATTCGAGAAGAGAAACAATAATGTGGGCAAACGTAGGTTGCTTCGGTACACCACGGTCTACAACAGTCTACCCTAGACTTCTAAAATCGGCCCCGCATCATTGTCGGCCCCACGATGCATGATGGACTGTCACGCGGAAGCTTATACCTTGTTACCAATCACATAAAGCATGCCCTATTAAAGGATATGTATTTATTATTTTCAGAACTACATTGCTCTATAAGAAGTTTACTTATTATATAAGTATCGAAGATCTATCTATAGAATAGAGTGTACTGACTAATAAGTTATTTCGTAAGCTCACCCTATTCCCTAGTGCCTGATTATAAGGTAAGTAGAAGAAATAGGCCTAGAACCTGGGAGTCGAATGGTTATTACGAATAACATGGACGGCACACGGTCTTTTGAATCGCCGGGCTCCACCCCCGCAATTCCGAAAATTTAGCTTGATTAGAAATGGGAAATACCATAACCTAGACTAGCAGGACAGCTAGCACGAGGTACTCTGTGGTCTGTGAAATAACTTATATATCCTCAGGTCAGGACTTTCGGGTTTTAAGCCTAAGAGACGCGTTATTAGTACTCTTCAATCTTCACTTTCATATCGCTCATAAACTCACTACAGCAGGTCGATTATCTTCTAAGACGCAGCTGCCACAATGCATATTCTTGGTCTTTGCAATGGCTCTGTCAATGGGAACTCTGAGATCCTACTCAAAGCAGCCCTTAAAGCTGCTAAAACCACCGATTTGTCAATCTCTATGTCTTGGATTCATGTACCTACCGTTGCACTACCAAGACAACACCTGCCCTTTAGAGATGATCCATCTGTGATCCCGTATCGCGATGATGGAGAAGAACACCAATCGAGAAAGAGCGAGACTGACGACCGTGAGGCTGTGTTTGAAGCTATCATGAACGCGGACGCCATCATTATTGCTAGTCCGGTATACAGCCACCAACCTGCCGGAACCCTGAAAGCTCTTGTGGATGCCATCCTTGGCCCCTACGCTGATGTGTGCATGACTTATGATATCAAGCGTCGACAGGAAGAGGGCGATGCGTCTGTCAAAGACGTGAAGCTTGATCTACGAGACTTCAAGCCTCGTGTGGCTGGGTTCATTGCTGTTGCTGGGTCTGACCCTAAATTCCCGGAGCAGTGGACAATGGCTCTACCAACAATGCAGACATGCCTATACCCCATTCACTCCCGCGTAGTTGATCAGGTTGTATTATCAGGTTATGCAAGCCAAGGAGCGGTATTGACAGATTCCGGAGCTGCTGTCGAACGTGCTGAGCTGTTGGGTCGTCGCGTGGCTAGTCAGATGGGAAAGCCATACGACGAGGCACAGTATCTAGGGCCCGAAGAGAGTGGTAGTTGTCCTTACTGCCATCTACTCAAGATTGAGTTTCGCGAGGGAAATAAGGTTGCTTGCATCGTATGTGGCGCAAATGGCATCCTGGAACTTGGACCTGGGGGCAATATTCGACCAAAATGGGAAGAGGACTCAACGGTTAGTTGTCTGACACTCAAAGGTAAATTGCAACACAGATATGACGTCCGGGATAAAATGAGCTTGGAGAAACCAAAGCTCGCGTCTATTTCTTCTGCTTTTGCCAAATGGAAGAGTTTGGAATTCCCTCGAGTCCCTCTGCCAAGCTTACAGGAGAGATTTCCAGGCCTACTATGAGTTCCTTTAGAGATCTCAAAATATTTCTAATATACGAAACTTAGCTGTGTTTACATAGCTTGCTTGTTTATTAATTCTTTACCTTGTGCTTCTCTTACTGTCTATTCCAACAGCTATCTGGCAGTCTCGCCGCCCTCACCCAGCTTTTGCACTTGTAGTCTGCCAGCAGAGTATAGTTTTGTCTTGAAGCATGCTCATAAATGTTATGTTTATAATAGCAACGAACTTTGCGCACAGGTCTTTAACTCAAGGTTCCTCTCACTAAATCTCACAACGGCTTATTTACATGCAGTTTGCGTCAAGTCTGCTGCGCCTCATGCATCAGCTTAGAAGCCCCCGCCATGCTGGTATCAAACTCACTGTCTCTCAGCAATGGCGTTCAGGTGGCTCGCGGAAATGCCAGATTCCAATGCCCTACGTATCCTTCACCGGGTCTAGCCCTCGATCTCGGATAAACGCCGTGCCAAGTAAGCATAGACCGATTAGAGGAACTTGCAGTATGAACACGCTGTGACTTGCTGACATGTATGCATCCAATACCGCGGGAACTTGACGCATCGACTCCGGTAGCACGTATGTTGAGCTGGCGAGGCTCTTGTACTCCGTTGGTAGAGTAGCGCGTAATTGAGCTTGAAGAACTGCTGCAGAGACAGCAAGACCACACGCACCTCCAATACAACGATAGAAATTCCTGTTGGAAATGATGACCGCGCGACGGCTCTTGGGCGAATGGGCCTGTAGTGCGATCAAGGTCGGTTGAAAGATACACCCCACTCCTGTTCCGACAATGGCTAGTATCACAGCAATCACAGCAGGGCTACTATATCTCGTAAAGAGTAGCGCAAGGCCCGCTCCTCTGATAAAGCGTTAGCAACTGATTCGAACAGGAACGGAAGGGTCAAGAACTAACAGGGTCCATATAGCAAAGCCGAATATGATCACCTCGCCGTACCGGAGGCGGCGACTGATGTATTGTCCCGAACCAATAGAAGCAATCATTTGCGCTGCCACCAACGGGGTGTAAACAGCTGCTGATTTGATCGCACTGTACTGGTGAGGGTTCTGGAGATAGAGCGGGACGTAGTAGAGGTAGGATTGGTAAACAGCACCGAGCAGACAGTTCTGGGCAAGCATGATGGCGAGGCTTGAGTTCTTGTAGATATCAACTAAGATGGAATTGTCAGCCGTATTCGTCTTAGGAACTAGGTTCCTCTTACTGGGCATCATTGGAAGCTTTGCCATCTTCCATTCCCAGCCTACAAAGGCTATGAAAAGCGCACCGCCAACTGCAAGGAAGCTTATAGAGAGTGGTGAGTCCCATGAGAAGTATGAACCGCCTTGATCATAATCAACATTAGTGACAGCAGCTTTCGTGGAATTTCGGGTCTTACCTCCGGAGATGGGGATCAGAAGCAGTACAATACCAGCGCCCGATACCAGTGAGCCAACCCAGTCAATTTTGGAAATTCCTTCCCAAAAGCCAATAGTCGGCGGCTTGGAGGGGAGATATAAATAGGACAAGACCGCGGTGATGAAAGACAACGGAGTCAACAGCCAGAAGAAGGCTCTCCATGATGACTTTTGCATCATACCAGCGGCAATGAAGGGTCCAATCACATTGCCTAACCCAACAGTGCCTCCAACGACTCCCTGAATCTTTCCTCTCTGCTCGAGAGTGACGATATCCGAGATGATGATGTTGACTAGGTTCTGAACACCACCGCCGCCGATACCGGCGATAGCCCGAGAGGTGTAGAACATGATGGCATTTTGACTCAACGAGCAGAGCAAATCGGCGACGCAGAGTAACAGCGCTGCAGATACGAAAATCACCTTGCGCCCAAAAACATCAGAGAGTCTCCCGTAGAGCATCTGAAAACAGGTATTGGCGATCAAGCTTGACGTGCCAGCCCATGAGATGGTAGCCCCAGCGTCTAGGTCTTTCGCGATAGTGGGGATGATTACTGATATGCCATTTTGATCAATTATGACGAGTAGTAGGGCCGCGGAGAGGGTGGCGAGGGCGGTGACGAGTTGTCGCCGAGGTAGGAGATTTACCTGGTCGTGGAGAGCTTTTTCGTCCTTTGTTAGTACCATTTTGTTCGGTGCATTGAGAAAAATAAGTGTATAGTTAGATTTTTGAGTCAATTGGCGCATTATGACTGTTTCCCCAAGTTCGTCTTCGGCTATTCCTAAAACAGTGATGCGAGCCACAATTATATCGGACCTTGTCCGCGGGGTTTGTCCGAATAGTTATTGATATACGATATACTACAACAGAGTATAAGTAACAAAAATATAATCGTAGTTAACAAAGATAGATCCTTAAGAGCCAAGTTAAGTATATTATGTTAATCTTGATTAAATTTGACATTCATATTATCTTAACCTTGCCCCCTGACACAAGAGTAACATAAGAATCAAGAGTTCGGAGGGTAATACATATTATGAGGGTTACCTTAGTATTATCCCTTATTACCAGCCTCCTAGTAAGGGCGTCCTAATCGATATTCTACCCATAAGTCGTTCCTCCTGGCACCGTGACAAACACTGGGTTAGGCGTTACTATTGCGGCGCTGGTAATGGTAATGGCGACTGTTTGATAGTCGGTGGCAGTAAGATATTCCACATCAGTAGCGATTACAGTTTCGAGATCAGTTGTTAAGGCCGTATCCACATCGGTCGTATAAATAGTGTTGTAGTTTGTAACATCAACGGTATTGACGTTAGTAACCGTTACGATCTCTACTTCGGTGACTGTGATAATGACGGGCTGAGTGACCATAAAACTCTGGAGATCGGTGATGGTAACGGTGTTGTAGTCCGTCTTGGTTGTTGTCTTGAAGTCAGTTATACTGATAGTCCTTTGAGAGGTGACAGTGACGTAGTTCGTCGTCTTGTAGTAGACCTTCGTGAAGCTCTTAACTGTAGACGTAAATGTCTTAGCCTCGAGAGCCTTTATTGTTGTAGTAGCAGGCGCCGCTGGTTTGTTGGTGATGTGACACGAACAGGCACTGCTCACGTCGCTAGCGCCCTTCAGCGGCAAGTACGCAGGGACTTTATTACCGACTTGTGCGGCTCGTTTGACACGCTTAAGAACAGAGTTAGCGAACTTCGGAACAACGATAGGCCGGGATAAAAAGCTGTAGGGAGTTGGCATACCGTTACTGCTGAAGATGGAGGGCAGACCAAATCGTAAAAAACAAAGGCGGAAATACTATCCCTCCTGTTGAGGAAGAAAAACCTGGCAATAGTCAATAATATACTCACACGTGGAATCGGAGAGATATAGTAGGATGTATCACTGACATTTGGCTATTGTAACATCTGCATCGATCAGACAGAAACATAAAGCTCGCAGCTCCATGCTGGTTCGAACAAAACGTTTTGCACGAGTCAAAGTTAGATTGAACATCCGCTATAGCAATCTGATAGCCATTTTTTATGAAGCCCCTGACGCCACATATGTATGCTGTGAAGCATTAGCTAGCCAGTCTTTATAAACCACTTAGTCCCTAGATCTTACGGATTGCTACCGTTTCTGTGGCTGGTTCCGCTCTATTCAATGTCAGTACCTTGCTTCATCCTGAATTAGACCTCATGATGGCTTACGTGCTACTATACTAGGTGTTAGTTATCGGGGCTTCACTAACAGTATGGTTAACTCAATAACTCACGTAACAGTAACTGTGGTCGGAAGTTGCTCAGTGATCTGTATGGTGGCAATGCTTGTCATATCCGTGGTAGATGTCATGTAGATGGTAGCTGTAACGGTACTAGTAATGCGCTGTGTCACTTGCTGCGTTACCTGCACTACAGCACTCTGAGTAACCTGTGCTATGTCTGTGCTGGTAACTTCATCTGTCTGAGCGGCTGTTACCATCTGGGTTTCTAAATCGGTAATACTAGCAATGGCAGTTTTTGTAACTGTCATGGACGCGGTTCTCGTTACTTTCGTCCTGACGACACGGTTAACTATAAAGCGGACCGGTTTAACAACGACTACCCTGACAGGTTGTGTAATATATTTCGTTGTTGAGGTTGTGATGATAGGTGTAATAGTCGAAGTCTTGGTGATTTGAAGATATGTTGAACAGAAAGCGGATCCGTCTGCCTTGTTCTTTCTGAGCGCTTTAAGGTCTTGGTCGCTATCTCTACAAACTGAAATGGCACTTGGAATTAATCAAAGATTTTCCATAGCAGGCCTAGGTTATACTGCGGTTCTCCATACCTATTGCTCTTGTGTCAAGGCCATGTTGGGGCCCACCGCCGCCAGCTGGGAGCGGGCTTACTGCGCTAGCGAACAGTAGCAGCAGTATGGCTGTTAAAGTTTGCATTTCGGATGATGTGTCAGGCAGAGTTAAAGAAGGTATGAGATAGATTCACAGAAAGAAAATACAATGGCAAGGATTAAATATGTATTTTCTCACCATGTCATCGAGAACGGCCAGCCTAATCCCTAATTCCATCGTTATCGCCAGAATTTCCCTCAAAGTTAACCAAGTTCTGTCAGCTGATTCAAGCTCTCAGCCACGAGCCTCGACCCCCAAATGAAACATCCAAATCTAAAAACGGCATATCAAGACTGTTACCTGTTGGTCGCAGCTTACATGGTTGCCCCACATCGACATTCCAAGAGGCTTTTCGTCCTGGTGCCAGTGCTACGAACATTCCAGGAGGATGGGAACACCGCCGGTGCGCCTTGTCCATATCCAAGACCGGCAAATAGGCTCTCGTCCAGCAGCACCTTTGGTTCTTGCCATGGCAGCGCTACTTCCTCTCCCCTCTCCATGTATTTCCATGCATTCATCTTTTTGAACAAGGCGATCACTGTCGAGAGAATAACTGGGATTCATCTGGTCGCCGCAGTACCCGCGCCGTCCGCACAACCCGTTGCGCACGAAACGACCAACGGGTGACTGTGCGAGCGGGAATATTACTGACAAGCGACGGCGGGGGTTTGAAAGCAAGTGCGCGCGATTGTCCCATGACTCGGCAAGACGGTCAGGAACGGTTGTGAACAAAGGATATAGACTAATATATGTTTCTACATAATAGGTATTGCCAAAGTCGCGATGCAGTCAATTCTTAATTTCACACCCATTACTCAGACTTTGGTGGCCATTTTACCCTCCTCTCCGCCTCAACATACAAATTATTCGGCCGAATCAGCTGGAAGTACGGATCATAATCAATAGGCCCATCCTGCGCCAAGCTGAACTTGTACCGATAAACGAGCTTCGGTAAAAACACCTTGATCTCCTGCAACGCAAAGTTGAAACCGACGCACATTCTTGGTCCCGCCGCGAATGGGATGTAAGAGCCGGGAGGTCGGTTCTTGACCTGTTCGGTATCCCAACGATCAGGGTCAAAGCGGCCCGGGTTCTCCCATACGTCTTTGTTGTTGTGCATGTGATGTAGTGCTGAGATTACGACTGCCCCTTTGGGGAGTCTGTAACCTCCTGGGAGGATCATGTCAACTTTGGAGGTGCGAGCGGGCTGGAAGGAGGGATTGTGCAGGCGTTGGGTTTCTTTGATGAACTTATCCAGGAAGTTGAGCTTGCTGGTGGTGTCGGCCGTTACTTGGGTATCTTCATCCCAATCGTTGTCGATGAGTTCTTGTAGAAGTCGTTCCTGGTTTCCTGGGTACTTGACAAGGCTGTAGATCAGCCAGGATAGCAAGGACGACGTGGTCGTGAAGCCAGCACCAGTAGCGACGAGCAAGGTCGGGGCGAATTGGGAGGGCGGTAGCTTGCTTCCCTTGTTGTCCTTTGCTCGAAGGAAGTAATCTGATCAATCAAGTCAACTCAGTCCAAGCAATTTTTTCCCCAAAGCGGCCACTTACCAACAACATTCTCAGCTTTTAGCGCCGCATCCTGCAGCTCCAGGTCCTCCTGTCCCTTTGAAGCTCTGGCGATCGACTCGGTCATCATCTCCATAATCCTGTCCCCTGTATCTCTGACCTTCTTCGGATCACCAAACGGCATCTTGGCATACCAAGCCCCCATAGACGACACACGTTTATTCAGCTCCAGGTTCTCAGCAATCTTGAGGACCATCTCGTGTAGCGGCGAGTCCACCTCTTCAAAATGCGCGAAATCCATACCTAGAACAAGCTTACCCACTGCCTGCGAGCCAAGCTTAAGCATATACTGGTAAACATTCCACGCTTCGCCCTTATCATCCAGCTCATCGAAGACTTTGAAGGACTGCTCTACCGTTTTTTGCATCGTTGGGGCGTAGTGACGAACTGCTTTTGGGCCGAGCGCGGGTGGGAGGAATTTATGAGCGAGACGCCATTGTTCTGTGTTGGTATCTGATAGAAATACGCCTGCTTCTGGGTTCTTGATAGGGTGGAGGGGATGACCCGGGACGATGTCTTTTGTGAAGTAATCGTCTTCGGAGAGGAATATGTTGGAGAGTTCGGCGCTGTTGGTCTGATAGAGGCGGTTACCCATGCTATTTGTTACGAACAACGGTCCGTACTTCTCAAAGAGACGTTGGTTGTTGCCGAGATGATCGGGGTAAATCTCGAAGTAGTTACCGAAGTATGGGATGCCAGCTGGGCCAGGTACATCACGAACAGCATTTCCGTTGATGGACACTGCAATTGGATCGTCTTTTTCCAAGACCTCGGATATGGCATTGAGCCTTCTGTCATCGTGAACAAAGCCGACACCTAAAGCTTCAAGTCAATCACTTCTCCTGCCAACGCAGCTACGGCAGGCTTACCATTTGGTTTGACGATGGCAAAGTGCGATGCGACAATGTTCTGAAGCTCCTCAAAGTCCACATCAGATGGTAGCTCAACGTCTCTAGCGGTGGATGGTGCTTCGCCCAAGATAAAGAATTGTTTCGTTGCCATGATGATAATAATGAAGTGGTTGAAAAGCCGAAATGAGTGTCCGAGAATTGAGGTTTTGAAAGAATGTGGTTGTTATATGGAGAAATTCAGAAGGCGAAATACATCATGCATAGCACATGCAAATACTCATTCTCGCCTTGCACAACAACGCCGCTGTCCAGGATGTGAAGCCCGACGTGGAGACAATATGTCTGTTGATGCGCACTTCACCGTGGATGACGTTATTGAAGTCACGTATCATGGAAAATTTACCAATGCATCCTTTACTGTCTCGGCGTATCCGTACCTGAACATTTTCGGGTCTGATTACGACGCTTTTCACGATTGGATGATGTAGACGGGAATATCGGGAGGACCCGTATCAAGTCGGCACTCGCGCTCCGCGAAGACGGAAACAATATCGATACTCATTGCGATTGTCAAGTCCGGAAATCGACTCTGACCAATAGACTGTTGTGTGTTGCGCCAACAACGGAATTCGCATCGTTTCGCCGATTGCCTCCGGGCCAGCGATGATCATAAAGCGGGTCAGCCTCGGTCTTGGGGGTCCACTGCGGGCCTCGAAACCTCGGCATTTCAGAGCCCCACTCCGGTGAGGCGTTCCGGCCCGCTATGGGCACATGTAAATGACGGCATAGACTACTACTCCTAGATAGTCCAGCTTTACTTGTGAGTCTGATAGTATTTGGAATAGATAGGAGTGCCGGGTACGCAAGCATTGAGCATTTTCTTTAAGATCACAATCTGCAGTAGGGCCAGGCTCGAACGTTCGCATCCAAATACTTGTTAGCTACCTCGTCTTCGACTTTCGGAACCAATTTCTTATTCTACCTTATCACGAATAATGGAGGAATATACAGTTAAGCAAGTCGCTGAGCACAACAGCCAAGGCGACGCATGGTTAATCATACATGGCCAAGGTAAGCTGCAACAATTCTCGGACTAGGTCAATCGCTAATAAGATAAGTCTACGACGTCACGAAATATCTAGCAGATCATCCTGGCGGCGCCGATGTCCTCACGGAGGCAGCTGGTACGGATGCCAGTGAGGACTTTGACAACGCTGGACACTCGGAAGATGCATTCGAGATCATGAAAGACTGCTGCGTTGGCAAGATCCAAGGCTTTGAGAAGAAGAAGCCCAAGCTTAAGCCGGTTGCACCTGTCGTGACACTGAAGGATCAGACTTCTGGATCCCCATCAGTCTCAACGTTGGCCAACATGGGCTTCATTCTCTGTGCCGGTGCGGGAGCTTACTACATTGCTCACCGTGCAGGGCTCACTGTGCCAGATTGGCTGCTTTCATCTCTACGGAGTGACTCCAGTGGCTCAAGTTTTTTCAAAGGCGTCCTTGTCGGCGGTGGATCTCTTGCGACCTTCAATGCTGTTGCAGCACAGCGATTCACAAGTATGGCGATGAAGAGCAAACCCTTCACGAGCTATCCGGCTCATATGAAGATTCCCAAGCGAGCTGAGGAAGATACCTTACTACAGCGCGGGCTTCTAGATCCTGTCACCTACTCGCCTCTTCCCCTCAAGCACAAGACTCTCATTGCACCAAATGTTTACCGCTTGACGTTCAGTCTTCCAACCGCGAGCACTATTCTTGGGCTGCCGATCGGTCAGCACGTCACCATCAAAGCTGAGGTTGATGGAGAGAGCGTCGCGCGATCATATACCCCAGTGTCCAACAACTCCGACCTTGGCGTTCTTGAACTGGTCATCAAAGTATACCCAGATGGCAAGCTTACGAGCGGGTATCTGGCGAAGCTCGAAGTTGGAGACGAGGTCCTCTTTCGAGGACCCAAGGGAGCGATGAAGTATCGACCCAACCTTTGCAACAAGATCGGCATGATCGCAGGTGGCACCGGGATCACCCCGATGTTCCAAGTCATCCGTGCCATCTGCGAGCACGACCGCGACACAACCGAGATCTCTCTCATTTACGCAAACAAAACAGAGGAGGACATCCTTCTTCGAGAAGAATTGGACAGGTTCGCAAGAAGGTATCCCAAGAACTTCAAGGTCTATTACCTGCTGGATCAACCGCCGGCGGGCTGGAAGTTTGGGTCTGGGTATGTGACTCGAGACTTGATGAAGGAGAAGCTTCCCTCGCTGAGAACGGACTCCAAGGTATTCCTTTGTGGTCCACCTGGAATGGTAAACGCATCGAAGAAGGCACTTGTTGAATTGGGGTTTGAACAGCCTGGGGCATCGGCGAAGATGTCGGACCAGGTATTTGCATTTTAAGACCAGCAACCTGCCATCCGTTCATATGAGAATATTTCGATTTATACACTGCCATTTCTTAACTTTGAGACCTCCCAACTAGCATTGACTTCATTCAAGACACTCTGCGACGCATCTATGGAGAGAAAGTGATTATTTCTGCCTTAGATAGTGACATGTAGTCTGAGCGTAGCTGCTTCAGCCCAAGACCCCCACAATATGAGCTATGCCACCAAATTATCCAACACTACGGACTTGGCCATTTCACTTTGACACGGAACAACCAATCAGCTAGCCCGCCTTGTGGGTCACAGCTTGCGGTCGGTCTTCTAAAGTGTATTCAGATATCGATCCCAATCAGACCATGTAGAATGATTGGCCTGTTGTCAGCAAGTCTTGTTGAATCAATGTGGTCAAATCCATTCAATGTCGCCCATGCACTGAAAGGACGTTTGATGAGAGGGCGATCACAGCCCACAAGACAATTCTATGCGTCGAGTCGAGTGGCGGTTATATAAAGGCAATTACCCTCTCCCTCCAGTCCATCTAGAAGCTACAAGACTTTCTTTCTAGCAATCATCTACTTAAAAATTTACTTTAAACTATCCATTCCTTATTACAGCCGCCAATATGCCGTTCACTGCTGGGTAACTTATCCTCTTCGTCGCAAAGAGCATGTCACCAGACGCAGCTGCTGACCTTTTTTTCCCAGAGACATCTGCAAGATCATTTTCGCCATTATCCTCCCTCCTGTTGGCGTTTTCATGGAGCGAGGATGCGGAGGTGATTTTTGGATAAACTTTCTCCTTACAATTCTCTGTAAATCTATACGCTCTACCAGAATATCATTTGCTAACTTGGCCAGTTTTCGTCCCTGGCCTCATTCATGCCTTGTATATCATTCTGAAATATTAGGTGCTGCTAGGAAGGCAGCGTCTTCGGTACAATGGTTAAGGGCGCACAATTACACTTATTTAAATAACTCTCTGGCCTATTTCTATCCCTCTCTGTTATACTTTTCTGGATTCCGATATCTGTCCTGAGAATTTAATATCCAGTCTGGTTCCTCTCATGGTAAAGAGACAATGCGTGAGAATGAGCCGTACGTCGCCTTTAGACATATGTCTTCTCGAAATGAGAAAAAGTGAATCTTATGTTGCATATCGGACCTTTGTAGTGATATTTAATACATGAATTTTCGTTAAGCTGAATCTCTAACTAATCTTCGTAGACTTGTCGGGCTTGGCTACCGGTGAAACAGTTTTGAGTCAACCGCTCTGCCCTGTAACGTCTAAAGAAGTGGGTACCATCTGGGCGTCCCAAATGGGCTTAGGCTGACTTCTTTCGCTACTATGATTGGCTTTCCCGTAAAATTCGCACTCGCAGTGCCCGATCGCAAGTGGGGCACTCTGTTTATCCTCCCCTAGAAAAACTCGGCTTACTGAGGAGTCTCGTTGTTCTTATAGGTTGCCTCGTGTTTACTGACACCGGCATTAGACGTGCAACAATGGCCATCCAAGAACTTGTGACTGCCAAAGTCAAGTATAAGCGCGCCTCTGCTCCAAAAAGCCGTAATGGCTGCATTACATGGTATGTTTGCCAATAGTCTGTCTATCCCTTACCCCCAGTGACTAATCCAACTGCAGCAAGTAAGTGGCGTTGCGCGCTTCTCTGGATCGACTACTCATACTTATAGAACTCGACATCTAAAATGTGACGAGTCGAAGCCGATATGTAATCGTTGCTCTGAGGACAGGGTCAAATGCGACGGTTACGCGATGCCCAAACCCAAAGCACCTCACCGAAAGCACCGAAAGAAGGTTGCACCACGATCGTTGATACACTTTCCTTGTGCTTAACCGTCGATGACATTCCCTCATTGTCAACCTCTGAACGTTTATACTTCCAGCACTTCCTACAGTTCACGACTACGCAGCTAGCTTTCGTCGCATCCACCACGACTGACGATGAGACCAAAGTACAGGCTCTTGATCTCTTGTGGCGATTGAATCGACGTGAAGGTCTGCTGGATAGTCGCGATTTTGTTGAGGTGCATGAGCTTGCGAGGGCGCTTGAAACGTGCAAAAAGCCTAAGTTTGACGCGAACTGGAAGCCGACGGCAGCGGCTGGGCTACCAACGATTATCGAGAGGTTACGAAAGAGTCTGGGGTAATTGGATATCAAGTTAGTTAGGGTCATAGATGGTCTATTCTAGCTAGTTATGTAGTTGAATTTGAGAAACGCGTTGAAACCTTTGTTAATGATCAGTTTGCATCGCAGGATGGGATTAATCTAAATTCACGAGAACAGGTCTCTGATTGAATGCTTCCCGATTCTCAACGCGATGCATGCTGTGCAATTTGTTTTACTAGAATAGAAGCCTTTATTCCGCATAGGAAAGGCATTTAACTGCTATTAGGGATCTGATCTTTAATTATCTTTACACTGTACTGTTCGCTGACCCATTGCCTCTTTCATGGGAGGTTCAGGGTAGTTAGCTACTGATGAGAATGACGTCATGATCATGGAGAATTGTAAGTCAGTCTGTCTTTTACATATCCAGCATGGCTGAGTCAGCGAGAGCTCTGATGGGTCAAAACTGCATGTGGGAAGGGGAAAAGGAACCCGGAAGCTGTATGTTAAGCTTTCTGAAGTGGGAATGTGCTATTCTTCGAAGATTCTAAAGCCAGGGCAGACCCATATTTAGATGTGCCGAGGAGTGGAGCCTTGAGGCTCAAAGCAAGGATGCTGTCGATCATTTTCATGTGGTCCAGATCTTGCTAGCGGAAGAAATGCGGAAAGATGCCGAAGCTCGCCTACGTCATGACGGAGCCGCACGGAGCGGACCATGATAAAATTGCTTATCTTGTGCTATTACACGTTGAAGTATCGACGACCTCGGCTGCCCCACGCTTCAAATTAGTCCAGGCCGCCTTCCGTCGGGGTCTGGGCTTGAGGCAATTTGAAAGCCTTATCATTGCATCCTGTATCTTCCGTCATGCCGTAAAAGCCGGCCCCGATCGGAGGTGACATGCACCGACAATCCGGATCGATTAGACCGGAAATCGCCTCCAGTGTTGGACTACGTATGAAATATATTGTCTACATAACCTCTTAAGACTGACACTTTGGTCGAATTCCTTAACACCGCACTACATCACATCACCAGTGCTCTGGAAAGATCAATCTCTTTAGAACAATTTCTACCTCATTAGACATCTCACAATCATTCCTCGACGATATAACTATGGGAGCTTTTACTCTTCCTTCAACAGAAGGCCGCACCATCGCAGTACTTGGTGGCGGAGTGCTCGGCCGTCGTATCGCATGTGGCTGGGCTGCAAGTGGATTTGACGTTGTCATTCGCGACCCAAGTCCTGAGCAAAGGGCTGCTGCCGTGGAATATTGCAACACGAGCATGTCCCTGTTCTCCTATTCTGAAACAAGAGGAACTGTCGCAGCGGTTGAGGATCTTTCAGAGGCTGTTGTGAATGCATGGCTCGTCATCGAAGCCGTCCCCGAGAAACTTCCTCTCAAGATCTCAACTTTTGCAGACTTGGAGAATCTCACGCCTCACGACGCCATTCTCTGCACCAACTCGTCATCTTACAAGTCAAGAGAGATGATCGGGGGTCTCCAGCCAGATACGAGACGACGCGTTCTGAACATGCACTATTACATGCCACCGGACAACGTAGTCGTCGAGCTCATGACGGACGGCGAGACCGATGAGAGTATCTTTCCATTCCTGTATAAGAAGCTTGAGGATATCAAGTTTCACCCCTACATCGCACTCAAAGAGTCAACTGGCTTGATCTTCAACCGTCTCTGGGCTGCCATCAAGCGCGAGGTGTTGAACATTCTGGCGGAAGACGTGTCTACCCCAGAGGAGATCGAGAAGCTTTGGAAGGAGATGTGGCCTGGCAAAGACAGGGGACCTGTCGGGATGATGGATGCCGTCGGTCTTGATACTGTGTCTTTCATTGAACAGCATTACATTGCTGAGCGTGGCTTGCCTGAAACGCCTATCAAGTTCCTTCAGAAGTACATTGATGAGGGCAGGTTGGGAGCCAAGTCTGACAAAGGTGGATTACTCCCTCCAAGAAAAACTGCCGTGCCAGATCATGAAACCTCGCTCTACTTCTTAGACATTGGCTTGTCCAGCGGGAACGCAAAAGGTTATGCTTCAGCTGGCCGCGTTTTGGTCGGCTCCAGTGACAGGAAGCCGATGAAGACGCTTGTCTCAGGCCAGCGCTTGCCTGATGGTATCGACATCTCCAAGTCCACTGGAAAGCTCTTCTGGACCTGCATGGGCAACCCTTCGGCAAATGACGGTGCTGTTTTCAGCTGTAATCTCGATGGTACTGACCTAAAGGAAATTGTCCCTCAAGGGCTGGTTCATACACCAAAACAGCTGACTGTCGACAACACCAATTCTAAGCTATACTTTGCTGATCGTGAGGGAATGAGGATCATGAGATGCAACTTTGATGGCTCTGAACTCGAAGTCTTGGTCCAAACGGGTGATTGGCAGGTCGATGAGCATACGCTAGACCCTACAAGATGGTGTGTCGGAATCACAGTATCACCTTCCACTGGCAAGTTCTACTGGACGCAGAAGGGTCCGTCCAAGGGCGGAAAGGGTCGTATTCTTCAGGCCAATATCGACTTCCAACCAGGCGAGGATGCAAAGACCAGGACAGATATCGAGGTTCTGTTCCAGGGCTTACCAGAACCTATTGATCTGGAGGTCGAAGAGGATGACAATGTTCTCTACTGGACGGACAGAGGCGAGCTACCAAATGGCAACACCATCAACCGCGCCAAGCTTGACGGGGTCACGAAGGTGACGCACGATGGTGCAAGTCAATCTGGCAAAGACTATGAAATCCTTGCTCGGGGATTGCATGAGGCTATCGGAATTAAGATAGACTCTAAGAACCGTCATATTTTTGTTACTGACTTGGGAGGCTCGGTGTATCAGTTTGATATAGATGGCGGTAACAGGAAGAGGGTATATGAAGGATCTGGTGCCTTTGCGGGCATCACTGTGGCCTAGTCACCTGTATGTTAGCCCCAATGTACTGTTAATTAGATTTAGACAATGTTAGTATGGTTTAGAATTCCGAACAAAACAGTTGATGAATAACTAACATGGCGTGAGTCCTAGGGCTTAAAATTCCCATGGGTACCCATGGAAACTTTAAGCCCTAGGCGTGTCTGCTTGACGTATATATATCTCAAAGAGTTATATATAGCTTGCAAAAGGGTTTTCCCTTGGGGCATTCAAGCAAGAGTGTTATCTCCAACCCTTCGTATTCCCATAACCAGGCCAATACTCGGCCATAGCGTGAGATTTATTCCGAGGTTGAAGTAGCACTAATGAGGAATAACACACTCATTTGGAAAATTCCCCTTCTGCGCGACATAGTTGAAACCTCGGCCCTTCTATCCATCATCCTCACAAGTCTCAGTGTTCCGCCTAAAGATGCGCGATACCAACAGCCACATCTTGCCAGGAGGCTTATCCTTACTAGCCCTACGAACAAGCCACCACTGGAGCGTCATAGCCGCCATAGCACTGTTCCATACGAACGCTACCATCATGCCCACCGAGAACGATAGTGAAGTGGATATGTGTCTTGTTCCGCAAAGGCTCATAACCTGGAAGTCGTCTATACCGTCGGGCAGGGCAAAACCTGAAAGCATGAGAACAGCTTGGCAAACGAAGATATCGGTGTAGTTGACCATCATGTGCACTCGGCGCCATCTCCTGCTTATTGAAATCTTTGGTCTGAGGTTGTTCTCGATGAGGTAGACTCCTACTGCCAATGTCGCCAAAACTGCGGTAACCAGGCCTATGATCTGGAATATAGATGATCAGTACTGGAGACTCGATACAGCATACCACTTACGCCGTGTTCTGTTCGAAAATGGTCTGATGACCCCATCCCAGTCAGCCCGCATAGGATTCCAATGGCGAGAAGAGGGAGGAAGAAGACGCAGAAAAGTATCTTTTGCCACTTTTCAATCCGAGCTTTGAACAGAGGTCGTTCAATGAGTTCACCAAGAGCGATCAGTGTCGAAAATATCAGGATGATGGGGTATACAATAAAGAAAGCGAGTGTCATGGCGGCCACTGGAAGAATCATTTAGCAATGGCTCGAGCCTAGAACCGACGACCTACCATGCATACTAGTCAGAATTATCAAGAGAGATTTAGAAATCGTATTGACGTGATAGCTGTTCTTGGTGAAGTCAATGAGGTAGGTGTTGCCTGAGCTGGTGATGTTGATAGGGCACTTGGGAACCTGCATATCCGACCGATGCGTCGATGTGAGGTTCCTTTCCAGTTCTGTTCTTAGGCCGACGACGCCTCTGTTCAGCCAACATGTTGAATGGCCTGTCAAGATGTCCAAATTACGTTGCAAGAAGTCGGTAACATAAACCTGGTTCTTTGTTGTACCAAAGCAGTACTGACGACGGGATTCTTCGTCTGATCTCGGTACATTGAACTCTTGCGATCTCGATAAACTCGCTATGCTCAGTCCGGTCTCGCCATTCACATAGTCAAGATTGTGCGCGGCGACACTGCTGACTTTGGCCGAGAGCAATATTGGCACGGACCAGGCCAGAAGAAAAAGGTGCCGAATGCGAGATATCATGTTGGAAAAATGTGTCAACGAGGATATAGAGGATCAAACGAAATAAAGAAGTCATCACGCGAAATTTATCTAATATTGAAACAAAGGGCGATGTAACCGCGAAAGGGGCCGAGAATTCTACTTAGCTTACGTCTCGCATGAAGAGACGTGTTTAGAGTTAGATGAGAAACTTTGCACGCTTTCCCGCGGAATGCCGAAGTTACAGATAGCAACTGAAGCTAAACTTGGGACTAGATGGTTAGTTTTGCAGGGGTCTGGAGGATATATATAGGTCTAGCACATCCTGGCATTGAAAATGAAAAAGTCACAATTGACAGCATTACAGCTCCACAATAAGAATGAAATGCAAAAATCACATTATCAATTTATGTTCCTTCTCTTACTGAGGGATGCCTGTTTCCATATTTTGGTGTACATTCGTACGCTTGAGAGCTAATTGATCACTGCGTCCAAACAACCCCAACATCAGAGGCAAAGGTATCATCGCCATTGCCAACACAGCCTGAAGAACAGTGAAGTCTTTCATGTTGCGAGGTGGGTCTGCACTCTCAGCAGCCTTCATACCGCTGCCGAGAATGATGAAGCACCCACCGAGTAACTGACCGCCAGCCCAATCAGTAGTACTGGTTATCTCGGCGCCCGCGGGATACGAGAACTTTGTCAGAACCTCCAAAACAACGGGGACGATAGACAACGACGAGATGCCGATGCAGCAGAGAATAGCATATAGTGCACCGATCTCCTTTGTACTTGGAACCCATACCAATACAAGATAGCAGAGTCCGCCGATAACCACTCCGCATTTTATGACGAGGGTGAACTTCTTGGTTCGGTCGATGATAGGAGCTGTTATGGCAGAGAAGATGAGGCCTAGCACGATGAGGAGACCGCCTCCAATACCAGCCTGGGTATCCGAAAACCCATAGGGTGTGACGATCTGGTTGATCAGGGATGTCGTGGCGACAAAGAGGCCAGTGTAAACCCAGAATGGGATAATGATCAGGTAACATTCCAGCGATCGAATCAATATGCGTAGTGAGGGTACAACCTTGGGCCGTTCTATATGATGAATCGCTGATGGGGGAGTTGGCGGTGCGGCGGGAATGAAGAACCCAGGAATAGCCACGGCGGATGACTATGATCATGAGCTTCTGAACGACTGTCTCGGAAACAGGATCGGAAGGTTTAGACTTACGACGATGGCCACGTATAATACCACAGACGAAATATCACTAGGTTCGTTTGTCCACAACGGAACAACGATGGATCCAATCGCTGCACCAGTTGGATTCGCAAGGCTCATAACAGCCGTCGCCGCCACACGCCCCTTACTCGAGAACCACGTTTCGGAGAAGCGCGTAGGGGCACTCAGAACAAGAGACTGCGACATGCCCAGGAGAGCTTGTGCGACAGCGACGACGGAGACTGTGTTACCATCGGAAGAGAAAGATCCAGCATAACGAACCCAGTTACCGATTAAGAGAAGCGCACTGCCGCTGATGAGAGTTGGACGAAGACCCCAGTCGAAAAGCTTGATGGTGACGAGAGTCATGGCGAAGTTTGCAAAGACAAAGATGCTGCTTAGCCAGTTCACCATTGTTTCGTCGACCCAGTAGAATTTGGCGGTGGAAGAAGTGACGGGTGCAAAGGTGAGCCACTGGAGGTGTCGTTAGTATACAGTGATCTCTTTGTAGATATTCCATCCTGTTCAGGCGAACACAAGCGTTTGTGCAAGGTTGTCTGATAGACTGAGTACAAGAAAGACATACCGACCAGCTAACCATGATGTTTAGCAGTGTCAACACCACAAGCCCGAGCCAACGGATCTTGTATGTTCTGTACGGCTGTTCGACACTGCCGCGCCTGATGGAAGAGGTCGAATCATCCGAGGCCAAGACCGTAGGAGACTCGGAGGTTTTCTTGTCCATGTCACCAGCAGATTCAGCTGCCGGAGCTGCTTCGAACACAGAGTTTGGAGATGTCGATGCCATTTTGAGCATCTATTTCGCCTGCTGTGCTTCTACTTGGTAATGCTTTTATAAAAACAGCGTCAAGTTCATATAACAAGCTGCGTAGGAATAAACGCAGAGGAGCCCTGCCATGGATAATATCTCTATCTATTCTATTGCATATCTAAACGCCAGTCAGGCAAATATACATCACGTCCCTTAGTTACCCCGCATATGTATCTCTCTTTATCTTAGATATGCCGAGATCGACAATCAAGTCTAACTTCGTTATGATGAACGGGCCCGCGGGTCGCGATGCGCGGGCTGCGCGGGCCGCCTCGTTTCCCCACCTCATTTTCTCAACGTGAAGCCGATTGCGCATTGAGCGGTTACGACAAATCTCTCCGACACTCCGCTCGTATCGCCAGCTGGGGCTTCATGTTGTATCCTACACCGACTCTATCGTTCAAAAGTCTAGTTACCATCACCGAGTGAGGCACAAAATGGCCGAGGAACAATCGCCAGAGCCTGTTGGTCGCGTGGTAAGAACCTCATCTACTTCCAAGCCTAAGCTAGATGGGCAAAAGTTGAGAATTAACATCTAATACCTGCTTTTATCATGACGTAGTGCGACCGATGCCGTCTTCGAAAGGTTCGGTGCGCCCCGATTAAAGCTTGCATCGTGACTAACGCTGAAGCTACAATAAGATTCGATGCGATAGACTGTTTACGTGTTCGAACTGCCGAACAGTCCAAAAGGCGTGCAGCTTAGTTGGATCGACACAAGGAATGCGACAATCCAAACAAAGAGATCTCATATCCTCACAGTAGTACGTCTCGCCCTTGGCTGTCCATTGCCAAAGGAACGACGTAGCTCAATTGAACACCAGCGAACAAAAGATAGACCGCATAGAGAACCGTCTCGAAGGAATCGAACAGCTCTTGCGTAGGGCCTTCGAGGAACAACCTATTACTGAAAATGTCCCAAGGCCTGTCGAGTCGCTACCTGCAGACTCTTTCAATGTCTCCCAGAACCTTGCAAACAGCAGCAGAAATGTACCAAGCTATACTGACTCAGAGATGACTTTGGAGGGAAGTAGCTCCCTCAAGGCTGCGACAGTATACGCAAGCGACTTCTTCCAGACTGTGCTTGGACAATCGCCAGCCGCCGACACAAGCACGCGCGTGAACGCTGCATTGTCGTCGCTGAAACAAATGATCGAGATTAATAGCTACCGGTCTATAGGGGATCGATTATCGCGTCGAAGAAATATTCAGAATGATGAGATCAGAGACTTAGCAATGCCACCCGTGCAGTCAGTTCTCGGTATTCTGCGCGAACTAAAAGGTACGCTTCGGCTAGAGCCAAGTTTCTCACTCCCTTAGCATGGGCTAATAATCAATGGCAGAAACAAAACTGGCAACACTGACTGTAGTCACCCTCTTCATCTCCAAAGACAGACTGATCGATTGTTGTCGAGAGGTATACTTCGCCGTCGACAACTTCTCACTTCCAACCTTCTTGATCGCAAATGCTACACTCCGTTACCTGTTTCAGGAAAAAGCTCAAGCGTCACAGGATCCATTATCTCGTGAGGAATACCGCAAGCTGTCTCAGATATGTCGGGATAACCTTGAGACCGCGATGAACAAGTTCAATGTTCTCGCGCCACCCAGCTTGGAGAACGTAGAGGCTTTTCTTCTGGGGGTCAGTATTCCTATATGGCCTGAACACGTCTAGGCTGATATTGACATGCGTCAAATAGGCTATCTATGCCATTGAGGTGTCGCAACCAATGGCTGCTTGGCAACTCGTGTCTGCCGCAGCGGGGATTGCCAGACTCTTGGCTGGCATCAACTTGTTCCCAACAACGACAGAACCACCGATCGGAAAGTTTCTCTCTTCTGGCTGACTTACCTCCTTGACAAAGGTCTTTCCTTGCGCCTCGGCCGACCAGCTGTCATACACGATGACGAGATTACGTTACCTGAACGAATGGACAAAGCAGATGTACCCGGCGGATGGAGGGACTTGCTTACCCAGTGGATCCGTCATTCTCGACTCGTTGGCAGGGCGTACCAAGATCTATACAGTCCATCTGCGCTTCGAAAGTCAGCACAGGAACGTGGCGAGCGAGCAAGGAGCTTGATAGCAGCGCTGAAGCGAATCATGGATGAGTCGTTGATGCCACTTGGACAAGCACATCTTATGGAACGCAACACTGAAGACTTTGGATCACCACCCGATAGAATGATCAAGACGGTTCTGAAGGCTGATGAGGTATGGTACTGGAAGACCCTAACGTTTATACGCAGAGCTGTTCCATCAAATGAAGGTGGACATGGCGTTATTAGCCCTGCATGTATGGAATCTGCCAGGATGGCTTTTCAAGCACATGGGGAGTGCATGAGGATGACTTATCCCAGCTCAGAGACAAAGGCTCTATATCTGCTTTGGTACCTACCTGACTTCCTGTCCAAGATATTGAAGACTTCTAACGAGTGCTCTGTATGCAGGACGATTATCTACACCCCCTTCGTACCGCTAATCGTTGTATTCTGCAACGTCATCGAGACTTCTAACCCCAAAGACATTCGTATACTCGGAAAATTCTGTGAATCGTTAAAACCGCTTTGCGGAATCTTCGAAGCTATCCAGGAGCTCCACGATCTCTGCAAAGTTCTACATAATCTGGTCATCTCATACGTGGAAGCGAAAGTGCAAAGTCAAGGGGCACCCGATAAAATGGCCGAGGATGGGTTTGGCGTTCAATCTAGGAGCACACAAGGGGCAATGTCGTTTAATAGTAGCTAATTCGATAACTTCTCTACGGGATCGAGTGTCACAGCACCTCAACTTAATAGCCATGTTTCGCAGGTCAGGGATTGGATTTCGGGGAATATGAATTGGATGGATGTTTCGCAAGAGGACTTTTCCGAGTTCCTGGCACAGTCATAATAGCCTAAGTGCAACAAAGAAGTAATCTTCCTGGTGTATAACCTTTATAGTACTAAAGTGGTCAAAAGAAGTCAAATCACCGTCTGTACTGTGAGATTAGGCATACGGCAGCGTGTTAGGGGTGGACAATCGGACATCGGCAAGGTTTCTTCCCTTCATGCTATCCAAGATCCTCAGCTTCCATCTCATATATCTACTTAATACGCGTGTCTAGCGGGTTAAAGTCGCAGGCTAGCAAATAGGCAATATAGCGGTAAATTCATCCTAAAGCCTTGCGAGCAAAGTCTCTGGCATGGCCAACTAACACTTGTAAAGAGAACAAAAAACAGGATGGAGAGTAGAAGGCCAATCTAATTCAGTTGTAATGAACATCTAAGAGAATAAATAGCCGTTCCATCAACCTTGTATGTGAGATGCACTGATATAGTTGAACCATGTACGTCTAGGAAAGCCCTTCATCGACAACAAACCTCGTGCTCCTCCCGGTTACTGACACCGTTGACGGGGACCAGCACACTCTTGTTGACAGCCTGAGTGCTAGGGGGCACATCGAGAGCAGGATTGCGATCAAAGAAGTCAGCCGGTTTCAGTGCAACAGTAATAGCATCCGCAGGCATAACCGGGTAATCCTCTACCCTTGGATTATGCGTGAGTCCATAAGTCGCCCACACGACTAGATCCTCTCCTCGGACATTATCATTCCGCGCCGCGTAATCCGCCACACCGTCCTTCTCAATCATACTCTGGTTAGTCCACTTTCCTAAGGCCCAGAGATCATCGTCCTTATAGCGGGTTACCCAGATATGATGCTCTGCGAAACGAGCGCGCTTGCGAACAAGGGAGGCTTGATCGGCCATGAGAAGCTGTGCAGGCGGGGCTATAACCTTGTAGCCAACTGGATTCTTGGAGATGGGGTTGAGCTTTTTCTCATTAAATACTTTGACAGTTTTGCCGTTGTGGCTGATGGGCTGGATCAAAACGGTTCTTGACGGGCTTGATATCGAGGCGTTGAAGATGAAGAGTGCCGATCTGAATCCTGAGGAGATGAACGTTCGATGTGAGAGGCAGACTCTTCATAGGTTGATGGAGAACGATGACACGGTGGTGTTTGCTTTTAGGACGTATCAGTATCCTCTTAGGCAAATTCGGGACGAGGGCGGAGGATCGGCGTTGGCTGAAGCGATAAGGGGAATTGATCGTGGTAGTGTGCCTCAGATCGCGTGGTACAAGGCGTCAGTGTACTGGGGACAAGCTGTCGTAGAGTATCTTCTTGGTGCAAGTTCTGAATAACCTGGATGAATTTGTACATAAGACTGAAAAAAAGAATGCCTAGTTAGAGGTCAATGAGAATCCGAACCCGTCGCGGACCAAACACGCTCAAATAACACTCTGGGCTCCAAACTGGATATCTTGAACAGTAGTGACGATTACGTAGCGTAAATTAAGAACCTTTATTGAGGCTCTCACAATAGACGTGAACATACCTACAGCAGTGCCTCGTCGTTGCACGCGTTCTGTTCATGATTATGTTGACAGTCGCGCTCAACGTCAATCCTGGACATGGCTTCTGACACTGCCGCGAAGGAAGAGATGGCGACAAATGACTCTGCCACTGGCAATCATCAGCTCCCAGTGCCAAACTGGACAACAGCCAGCTGCCAGTGACAGAATCAACACTCCCAAATGTCCCAATAAATACCTGGTTTGCTCCCTCGCTTTCTCTCTCTTTTCTTTTCCTCCTTCCAACTGGTCTTCGATCTTCACCTTTCCCATCAACCATCTTCATACCTTTCATCCATTCTTCCCTTCTTCATCTACCTCGAACATCACCTTCAACAACTTACCATCGACCTCCAACCTTGCCAACTGTCGTTGTCAACAGAGGCACCCTTACACACAACCACAGTACCTACCAACACCATAAAAACATCATCTCATCAAGAACTAAACATGGCGTTTCTTGAGTTGACCGCACCTCGGTCCTCCTTTGCGGAGTCGACCTCCACCATTAACTCTGAGGATAACAAACTTGTTGCCCTCACCCCTCCTGCCCCCGCCTTCGCGGAGCTTGCCAACTCTACCTCTGCTGAGTTTGATGTCGACAACACCGACAAGGTAAGCCTCCAATTTCCAATCTCCAATCATGAGCTAAAGAAACCCAAGGCCTTCGATCTGATCATCGCCAACCTCAATGCGATGCGAGCTAAGGTTCAAGCCCTTGAGTCCGAAAACAAAGAACTCAAGTCTCAGGTTAAAATCGAGAAGTCCTTCAAGGAACACTTCACCAACAGCCTTGACGAAGCCAACCGCAACTGGCACTCATCTGAAGTCGAAGCTGCAACCAAGGTTCAAGCTCTTGAGTCGGAAAACAATGAGCTGAAGGCTCAGATTGAGGACGAGAAATCCTCCAAGGAGCAAATCTCCAAGACCCTCGATGAGGCCAAGCGCGACTGGCACTCTGCTGAGCTTGCCGTTATTGTCAAGGTCCGAAGTCTTGAGTCGGAAATCAATGATTTGAAGGATCAAGTTGAGAACGAGAAGTCCTCCAAGGAGCGCTTGTCCAAGGATCTCGATGAAGTCAATCGCAACTTGCACTCTGCTGAACTTGAAGCTACTACCAAGATTCAGGTTCTTGAGTCAGAGAACAGCGAATTCAAGGCTCAAGTCGAGTACGAGAAGTCATTCAAGCAACACTACTCCGACAGCCTTGACGAGGTCAACCGCAACTGGCACAACGCTGAGTTTAATGCTGCTGCCAAGAATGCCGAGCTTTGTCGTGTTCGTGAGCGTCTGTCCCTTGTCGAAGCTGAGGCCGCTGAACAGGCTCAACTCCATGCGGTCAAGGAACAGAACATTCAAATTCACGCTCAGTTCCGCGTTCAGTTCATTCTGACTACCTATCACCATGTCCAGGTACTCAAGCATATGATGCATGACTGGAAGGCTCAGGTGGAGCAGAAGATTGACGAGGATTATGAGAAGAACAAGGAGAACGAGAGCGACGCCACTTCCCTTGATGCCGAGTACGAGCGACTCAAGTCTTTGATTGAGGGCCACGACTACATCATCAACAACATCAAGAAGGGCAACGAGAAGTTTGTCGATTCGATCAAGGATATCCGCGAGCTCGAGAACCCTACCCCCGTCGCAGAGCTCGCTGCCGATCGTTTCGAAGCTTTCTTGCATGAGCGTGAGAAGATGGTCGCCCAGCTGGAGTCCGAAAAGCAGGAGTTTGTCCAGACGGTGAACGACAACTGGGAGTTTGACAGCCAGATGACAGACGAGGTCGCCGAAGAAATGATTGAGATTCCCATCGACAACAAGGAAAAGACCAAGGCCGACCGAAAGAAGGCAAAGAATGCTGCTAAGAAGGCGGCTAAGAAGGCTAAGAAGGCCAATGCGAAGAAAGCCAATGCGGAGAAGTAAGGATAGTGCACTTGGGATCCCAACTTGGAATTGTTGATGACATGGAGGAATGAATTGGAGGCAAGGAACGGATGAGCATGTGGCGATACGAAAGTGATACGGTAGGAGGTTATTGTGTCGATGTTTTTATCACGGATAGGTTAGGGGTTTTGATGTTTCGTCTACCAGGTCATCACGGATGACCATCAGGTCTTGTCAGTAGCTACCTTAGGAGTAGTTAGTTATACCAAGCCAAGTTGGTGGTAATAATTTCACTGTGAATCTTTCTGCCCTCGGGCAAGCTGTTTATTAACAAGGTGACGTCTGATGTCGATCTCCCCAAGTATCGCTGTGTGCAGCTTGACATGTCGTGAGTGAAATAACACATGATTTAGTCTACTCATAGAGGTTATACGCCATTCGCGAATAACTAAGCTTGGAATAGAAAATGCTCTAGGTTACTAGATAAAGTATGGATACCGTGAAGAGAAGAAATATATGTAAAGGAACGCAGCCAGCTCTTGATCGCAAGTTTGTGGGAGTGCCACTCTTGTCAGACCCTTGTCTCTCCTTCAACATTCTTGAGGCTACTGCACTTCCCACCTGCCTACCTGTAATCGGACCAAGTTCCCTATTCGCCTTATCACACTTATCCTTCGGCCAAAGCCTTCCAGCCTGCCCCTCCTCTCCTGCAAAATCACCCGCCAGCCAAATTGCACCCTCAAACGCAGAACCCTTAGTCTACTTACTCGTGAGGGCAGGCATAGCAAAGAAGGAGATGGAATGGTAGGTTTACTCGTTATATGCGTTGTGGGGAAGAGTGCACTTGTTGGTGAATTGATCGTCTCGGATCACGACGTAGAAACCCTTGACTTCAAAAGAAGAGCTTGGTTCTGTGGACGGTTGGTATATGTAATGAAGGGTGCCGAACTAGACTTGCTTACCATCTTGCCGGGCATTCACTCCATAGCGTCGCTCAAGTCAGTGAGATAGTTGTCTCCCAGCTATGTATCATAGCCGAAGCCTTCGATGGCTGACTTCGCAGCACACCAAACCAGTATGGTCTTGGGAAGGTTGGTCTACACATGTCCAAAGCCGCCCTACCCTGAAGGCATAATGCGGAAAATGCTTCTCTGGCCCCCACTGAAGCTGCCTTGACCGCGAAAGTCAGAGTTTCGTTCGCGTCAATCAAGTTTTCATTAAAACCACGGTGGAAGATGCGTCAATAGCCGGAATAGTTCCGGAAGGGCTTGAGGATCTTTTACTATGGGCTCTATTGGAGGCCCTACCCTGGCTGCTAACTCCCCTCTGGACACCACTCTGTTGTGCGTGAACTCCAGATTGTCAATGAATGGTATCGACTATGCCTGGTGCCGTGTTCGACGAGACTCACTAGATGCAGCGATGGATCTCGACTTCTCAAAGTACGATCAGATCTCGCTGGTAGGGAAGTCTTCATGACACTATTTCTTAGGACTTGATCAAAAGTGGGATCCAGTGCTTTTCACATGACTGCCACCTGAAATGTCAGCGGGGTGGTCGGCCTCCCGCATTAAACGGTTCAACCAATGGTCGGTCCTGTCGTTTATCCGTCCCGATACTTGGATAAGAGGACAAAGACTACCGAGTGGGCAAAACAGTATATTGCTAGCATCTTCTTCTGGTTTTTCCTCTTCTACAAATACGCAGGAATGCAATGACGGGAGGATAGTATTGCCTGGAGCGTCAGAGCTGGCACATGAACCCGTCTGCCTGTTATGTTTTGTCTTAGTCAGAAGCAACCAAGTCGTAGCTCCTGAGCCGAATATCTGCCGAGATCGGCTTTGTATTAGGCGACACAGTCAACCTGAATAGATACCACGAGATTGCATCCTATACGGAGAGCAGCTACACATCCATACACAAGATACTTGATCTTCTTCAAACTACAATGTGACCCGTCATAGACTGGCACTATACAAACTTCTACCGGAGGATGGCATCAGTAATTTAGTAATCTTACGCGTTATGTCATGAGAAGTCAATACTAAATATACATGTCTGGATGGCCTCATCACATGGCGTTGCTACAGATGCTCACTGTGTGTAATGAGTAAGCCATCGGCCTTCTTATCCAAGTTATAATCTGCAAGGACTTTGCTTACTTGCCGTGACAGCTTTTGGCACAACTCTATTAGCTCAATGGGGGAAGTTGAGGAGGCTTGGTGTGCTTTTGGTCTGGCGTAGTGTATCCAAGCGCATCTTGAGGTGCGGGGAGGGAGGCAATGATTCGAAAGGACCAACCTCGCCCACTGCCTTTCAAGGTAGGTAGGCAGTTCTATCACACCATCTTGGTCAAATGGACTTCTGAGGTTACAGGCGAGTCTCTCAGTGAATGTAAAGACTAGGGTCAAGAGTCTTCAACTTCTGGGGAGGAGCTTCAACACTCATGTCGTGAAATAAGGCGATTTGAAGCTTAGACAGGTTCAATATTTGGCTGCGGAAGCTCAGTAGTCTTGGAAGTTTGATGGTGTCGGACGTTGTCTTCTGGGCTTGGGACTGGAGTGCAGCATCGGAATGAAGGCTATAGATTGGTAGGAGGCTTAAAGTTGAGTCGCGATACTGCAAAAGTCAGTAAAGATCTTAACGGTGGCCGTTGCTGGTCCGAGTGATCAATCATGGGACTACCCTCTCGGCCTTTTCAAGCCTTTAGGCCTCACAGGCTCACATCTCAGGGCATCATCGAGCTCGTGTGGCCAATCCGAATGGAAACGCAAAGGCAGCATCCGGTATCCTATGCTTCAGCGATACCAAAAGTCATCAATGACAACCTGCCTCGGTAGTCGATCAAGTAGAGAGAGAGATGTGGCGGTGACAGGTTCGGAGTTGAAGCTGGGTCTCTTGATGAGTGAGAGAACGGCGTTGATCGCCAGTGAAACTTGTCAGCAGGCAACGCTGGCAAGCTCTTCTTCCTTGATCGTCATCCCTTGCTCCAAGCTCAGGTGAGGCCAGAGTACAGTCTCAACTGACCATCGTAGGTTGATGAGTTCGGGTCGGCGCTATTGGTGTAATCGGTGTGGCGACGACGAGACAACTTGACGGGGAACCCTATGTCAAAGGCGGTGCAGCCTTGCACGGTATCTTTTATGCAGTTGGACTCGCGTAGCCCATTTGGAGGCAACGATTAATTGACGAAAATGGGCGGGAGGCTTCGAGGATGGAGTGTTCATCGGCGGTGTGGCGTGTCCCGCATCAGACACGTCGAATTGAAAGAGTTGGATCCGACACTGACAACAGTAATCGCATATTGGGATCGAACGAAAGAATTTCTCATGTTTCTGGGGCAGTTAATACGTGTAAGCTTGTTCAATCGAGGTCTGCATACTTACCGATTGTAGCACTCGGAGTGGCACAGGCCCCCTATCCACGCGCGCAATCGATCTCTATTTTAGACCAGTGCTAACAGCGATTTTACATCTGGATTTACTCATGAATTTGAGAAAGAAGACTCGACGTTCCTCAACATGTTGCTTGAGGAGGCAGTCAAGGGCGGGAGGGGCAAGCACTGGCCAGTGGTAACGGAAGCGCTAAACGGACCTGGCCTATGGCACTGGAATGCAAGTGCGTCATGATTCCAGGCTGCAACCGCCTCAACTGATCACGCTCTGTCACTGATCTGCTCTTCCACTGATTCGCCAACATTTTGAGTTCATCTATGGAAGTTTATTTTTTAAGATCTCAAGTTACAACCGCCGTTTCTGTCTAGATCACGAACAAAAGGGGCATAAGCCCAAACTCTCAGTATGAACCGCGTCCTCCTCCGCGAAAACAACGCGTCACTTTACACAAATGTCGGTGCGTACTGCCACTCCCATTGTGTCCCCCTTCTGGATAAACAACAATAACGAACGCGTCCGACCGTATTCTCTCTTTCCTCGATGGCCGCCTTGACCAAATTACAAGTGTCTCAAAGCTTTCGACCAGGTTGAAAAGGAAGTACACGTAGAGCCATATCGGACGATCCAGCAAGTACACACTGTGCCTCTGTTGGTGGCGGCAATGAGTGATGAGTGCGGATTGCCAGCCGAGTCATGAAACCTTGGCGTAGTCTCCGCACCACACCAGTCGAAGCTAGGCCTAGGGCATCTGGCATTTGTTGATCATACGGAGTAAGCGGTACATTATCATGCGCTTGTAGGGGGGGAGGTCGGCTGCGGAGTAGCAAAGGCGATGATATGACCTTTCCTGTCTAGGCTACCATCGCGATACCGCCCTGCCTGGAGGTCTCGGCAGCCACGAGGCGCTCCTGCTACAAGGAAGCAAGGTTGTTGTAATATTGCTCGCATTGGCTAGATGCTCGTGTCTTTATCGTCCACCATTTCAGCAGCTGTTTGTACACAAGATTACAAAGTCAACGCGTCCGTGGAGCCATGTGTGGTACAGTTAATGTGTCGACTCGATGCCCCATCCCTACAATGATCTGACAAATGTACTGTGCTTTGCGAGGGGATAAAATGAGGCTGGGGAACGGAGAGGTGGCCTTCTGGAGACTACCTGTTTCTGGCCTGGAGCGAAAGTTTAGTTCTAGTCCTTGCCTTGTTCGACCCCCCTCCGTGGAGCTTCCCCCCGAGATTAACGCCCCGACGGGGCCACGGGCAGGCACTCCGTCCAATCGTAAGTTTACCAGGACATGGGTTCTTGGAGATGGCGCCGGTTCATGCTGCTTGTCAAACTCACACTTCGATCGATGGAACCATGCAGGAGTAGAACAAACATGCCGCACAGATCTCGCATGGATGTTATTGAGGCCTACCACACTAGCCATAGAGTGACAGTCAAGGTCAACCCGCAGCAGGTCTCACTCTCGCCTGTCTTCATCGGTTTCCACGAGTGTTGCTTTGGGTCGGCAACCTGGTCCGCGGCTCACGACACCGAGACAACAACTCGCTTGCTTGAGACAACATCAGATGGGCGTGTGCAGATACCATCCCGTAACCTCCAAGAGGTGTCGCTGACCCTCACCTTCACCGCACATTCAACTGTCTATTTTTCCCCTGACCCGCCGTCACATCCGTCAGGCTCAAGGTCGCGCTTTCGCCCGTCGGTGTGTTACCCCTGCATGCCATGTACTCTCTGAGTCTGTCAGCTGTCAAATCTTTATTAGCCTCTACGTAGCAAACACTGTCTAAACGATGTATCAAGCAGTATTCTGTATTATTTCAGCTTCTAGAAGTCGGACGCATGGTTGTAACCATTGTTTTACATCATTCTTGCAGTATTTGTCAGGAGTTTAGGTCATCGTTCCCATTTAATCACTGCACAGGGGCAAAGCGAACTACATGAAAGCACGTTCAGCGAGATCACTGACAAGACGCTTCACAGGATGGGTGTGCCAGCAAGGCTCCTGTGAGATCAGCGGCTTGGGAACCAAGCCAGCCCTGAGCCAGCGCTTACAGCCAGCCCCATCAGATTCCTAACGCCCGCACCAAGAACCTCCGGCGCCGCCGTGTACCCACCCTAGTGGGTAAGGAAATACAGCGGACGGGCTTTGGTGGGAGATCAGCGATTTTTGGTGTAAGCCGTTCCGCTGTTTTTCCTTACCCCGAGGGCCACCTGACTTTCTTCGCTTGCCTTTCGGATGATTCCACAGTGCGACAGCAAGAATCAGCGGCCAAATTCATGGCCTAGCAACGGTTACGCGTGTCGTTTGCCGGTCGTCCGAGCCAATGACACCTCCTGATGGTGTCGCTCGGGCTTAATTTGTGGACGCGCACAGAGCTGAGTAGTGGCATACAGAGACGCGTTTAATTGACGAGGCTCAACAGCCTAAACCATTTCGGAGAAGCTTTTCCTGGCTGTAAACTCCATATTCTGTCTCGATTCACGCTTTCCATTTGGTTGCAAGAAGGAGCTGTAGATTAAATTGAGTTACATGGTAACAACATGGTAAGGTAAAGGCCTAAAGTTTGTTTGTGTCTGTATTCTTGTTTTAGATGTCTCATAGCGGTCATTTGTTGTTTTTCGTTCCATGGCAGCCTTTCCATTTAGTTGGAAGTCAATATCACGGTGGAGCCATCAACAAAAGACACGTTCTTATACAAACAGTGAATTATAATTACTAGAGACATCTTCTATCAACATATAACCAGTAAAGAAAGCCCATTAGTCCCATCACTAAATAGTTACAGTAATACAATTCTCAAGAAAGCCTTGGAATTTCGTCAGATCTTTTGTGATCTCAGGAAGAGCATTGATCGCAGGGTTCTTATCCTTGAGTCTTCTCATCCGCGCCTTCGGTTTTTGCCGCCCAAATCTCATCGCGATCCTTGTGGATAGTCTCCCATTTCATGTTGTCGTTTAGACTGCCTTCGACAATAGATCTATCCAAAAGAGGAAGACCCACTGATTCTTTCGCTGCGCTTCTTATGCCCTGATCTTCAGTTCCCGAGGGGGATGTGGTGTTTGAAGATTGTCCCGATTCTGTAGGGGTGGTATGATCTCTTGACTGAGTATCCTGAGGTTCGAAATCGATAAGCAGGTTGGGTGATACATCATCCATTTCTGGATGGCAGCCGCCATAATGGTTTGGGCATGCCCCGTAACAGAAGCTGACTTCCTGGTCAGGGTCACTGGCACCTTGATGTTCGGATGCAGCGGGAGAGGATACTGTATGCTCATCATCATCGTAAGACACAGAGTTGGGTGACGCATGTGTTGAAGAGGATTCATCAGGGGGTGACGGATAAGGGCATGTGCAAGGCGTCCAGTCGTTGGCCTCGACGTTAGAGTTCGGGCACTGGCACATTGTATGCCAAGGTTCCATGGTGTTGTGCTTGCAGCTGGGATTGAAGCGGGTGGGTTTCAAAGACGGTATTTCCTGAAGCCGAGCACCCAAGATCACAGGAAGAATGATACCATGAAGCTGGAAATGAAGCAGTGTAACTGATGTCGGTCTAACTCGGTGTTTTGCTCAAGCTGCCTCGGTCAAGGTTCCTCCGATATATATAACTAATCTCATTATCTTTGCTTTTCTTTCTTCAGTATTGCTCATCATAACTTTGCTTTTCATGGAACAGCATAACGACGGCTGGCTGACGATGGTGTTCGGCCCCGTTGTCGTCGTATCCGTGAACCATGGGCCAGACCGCTCAGTGTTACGCTATCGAGCAAGGTAGGCACGCCAATCTTGCCGGCGGCGGGTTGACCCTTGACCCGCGAAGCTTCCAGCAGATCCCTGTGCACGTCCATATCTCCAATCGGGTTATCTTAAACGGTGATCATTGCTTGAAACATACTCCACAACTTCATTATACAATGACTCTTCTGAATCTTCAAGGATTAGCATCAAGTTGTAAAGGCTGAGACATGCGGCCATACCGCTCTTTGAACAGGCTGGGCACTTATTGCACGTGTTTGTTGGAGCTGTGTGAGGGGTCTGCCTATCAATTGTTCCCAGCCTTGAACACGCGTCTGCACGACGCAGGGGTTTGGGGTGACATGCCAACGGTGTTAACAGTCAATTTATAACAGGGATACAGCCATGGATCAGGGTTTTCTAGAACTATCAAAGTGCAAGGAGCACCAATATTAGCGCGCAAGCCAGGAGACGAGGCTAACTAGCTGCAGTGGCAGGATCAAGTAGGCCCGTTCCGAGTAACTGTATTAACTTAGAGCATTAGTAGCACCTTGTGGGTCTTTGCCCCCCAAGTTAAGGATTGAAGATTATGGTATTCGTACTCAAGGTTGCAAGATCCTAGGTGATAGGTATCCAAAGGGCGTGGCCAGTACCTTGAGTTACTACGGTATTTGTGCTTTTTGCCCTGCCTATGTGCTTGCAGTTTTCACTTCTCTCCCTACTTCCCCTTTGCTCTAATTTCTCTTTTATTCCTTTCTGGGACAGATGGCGCTGGTTCTGACCGTGTTTGAGACTACTGTACGGCTGAGCTTCCGATCGCGGCGTGGCTATATACGTAAGCAGAAAAGACAGCCATTGCGATTACTCCACTTAAACAGCCTCAATAACCCGATATCTATATTTACCCTTCATTACTTACATATCTTAGCATATCTTAGCAGCCATTCTACCAGGTCATTGTGGATAATCTTGGATTCTGCTAGTAGTTAGGACTAGGCAGTAATACCAAGCTTCTTTACGGTAACTGTGAATTATTGTACTCATAACGGTAGATAACCAAGTCGCAGTCTACGATCGGTGTTCCAAAGTGCTGCTATATGCGGGATATCCATTCTCTTCCCCAGGTGCATTTGCTTTGCAATTTATCTTATCCGTCCACGCCTCCATTGACGCCATGGCAGTTGACCCACCTAGCGCGACGATAAGAGATTCGTTGCCTGTCTGAACAGCCCAAGACAATGCCGTTCTACCTTCATCATCCCGCAGCACCAAACCGGCTTTGCAGCAGTTGAGTAGCATCTCCCCAGGTCAAGGGCACCGCGCCGTGCCGCCCATATCAACGCCGTGCGTCCAAAACTGCCTCTTGCGTCTGGACCCGCCCGTTCTGTATCAGGGAGAAGCTTTACGGTAGTCTTGTGGCCAATACGGACTGCCCAAATAAAGCTGTTTCCCATTTAAATCAGGGATGGGCGGATCGGCGCCATCGTCGAGGATGAATATAACGATTTCATCTTGCCCATTCCTTGCTGCCCACCAGAGCGGCGTTCGTCCTGTCATATCTCGACTATCTACGCTAGAAGCATTGAGCCTGTGAAGAAGTTTGGCGATCTCGAGGTGGCTTTCCCTGAACGCCCACCAGAGAGCTATGCGGCTCATATCATCGGGGTATTCACGCGACGGGCGCACATAACCGAGCACTTTCTTGACCATGCCAAGTGAACCAGCCCACGCAGCCCGAGCCAGAGGCCCTAACCCATGAGTGTTACTTTTCAGTGGGCCATTATATTTAGAAAGGCCCCAATAACATCGATATAACCATTCTTTACTGCCCTTAAAGAAGGTGTTTTCCCCTTCTTGTCTGCTGATAGCCAGTCAATCTAAGGAAAGCGGATTGATATCTCCATAACGCCAAGGTGGCCATCTCCTGCTGCCTATGAAAGAGGCGTGCGACTAACGCTATCTCTTGAGCCCGGCCTAACTTGACTGTCGTTACTTATGTTATTAATGAGGTCGTTATGCCTATTACTGGCTGTATAAGAGATCGGCGTTCTCCCCAGTCTGATCAGCGCGGTCTAATCTCGCCAGCCCTGGCTTACTAAGAAGTATCAGGATATCTCGGTAACCTTTCTCTGCGGTAACAGATACTGGAGACCTCCCCTGGTGGTCTATAGAGTTAAAAATTACTTTGCTAATATTAAAATATGCTTTTACGACTTATCGATCCCCTGCCCGAGCTACCTACCAGAGCGGGGCGTGGTTGTTATTGTCCAGCGAATCTGGGTGTGCTCCTCTCTCAGAAGTGCTTCTACTATGGGATATGACAATAGCCTCCTGCAGTAATGTGAAAGAGCCGTCCTTTTTTCTTTACTCTGGATATTAATGACAGCGTTAATATCTAAAAAGAACCCTGATGACCTTGTCCTATCCATTTCGTGCGGCCAGGGGCAAGGCGGCTTCGAATCTTATTTTGAGACGGGGTGATGGAATAATACAGAGAAGATACAGGGCTTTGGTCCTATTCTTAGCTTCAATGACTGGAGGAAGACGTCGTTAGCAATGTTGTTCGAGAAATCGTCCAGATCTTCGGTTAAAGAGCAAGCGACACCTGGCTGGAGGCTATAACCAACCAGGCAAGGGCCATCCTCAAATACGAGGATTCGAGACTTGATCAAGGGGAGAAAGGCGCACAACCGGGTTCTGGGAAACGAGCTACGTAAAGTTCAGCTTCGTTCCCAATCAGACCGTTCCACGCCAGAGAGGCAGCAGTGCGTGGCCTGTATGTCATTTTTCATTGGCTGCCACTACGCATCTGCACCGAATGCACTAGTGTCGCGTGACCATGATGGTGACTATCTCCTCTTCCGCCGGCAAAGATGCCTCGGCACAGGCCAGTGAGACCATGGAGGGCGGTTCACGACTACAGAACGTATGTAAGTGCAGGAAAGGCATCAAGATGTAGTTTTCAGAAACTCACGTCAGATGATACTTCCAATCCTTCTTTGCCCAACGATTCATCATGCTCACTTACACCCCCGTGGCGGCCCAAGCTGAACGATACGGACAACCTGGATGATATCTGTCCTATGGAATTCGTATTCAATGATACACACCGGCCTCACAGCTGTGCTAAATCGCCTAAACCTTTCCTCGGTAGCCTCGACGGACTCGGTTACAGCGTACACGAGACTCGGCAGCGCATTTATTGGCTCGCTTCCGGGTTCACTACACGTCTTTGGCTGTAGCAAGTGGATAGTCATTACGGTATAATGTCTAAGTTGTGAGCTGGATGTGTTATTTGAAGTTGGGATTTGTGGCTGAGAGCTTAAACCAGCAGACAGAACTTAGTCATCACTACCATCACCGCCTTCACTGTCATCGCTGCCATCGGTGTCGCCACTGCTATCGTCGCAAGCCTCGCCGATAAAGAAAGACACAATATCTTGTAGGTCTATCGCGGTGGCCCCGATGTCGACACCAGTTGACATATGATATTTAGCCGCCTCATTCGCCAGAAACTCGATGTAATCAATCTCGTCGTCTTCGGATAGATTGAAAACAGTGTCCAGATCCTAGAACATATTAGAATATTCCCATAAATCCAGGAGTGACCAACATAGGCATTCGTATTGCGGGGACTGATGGCATTGCATCCCTTGTCGGCCGCCACCTTGACACGCTTGGTGATTGTTTTTCGAACCCCTCGACTCTTCACATTGACCCATTTCTCACCGTTCGGTAAGTCCGTTTGAGTACCAATGTCCTTCTTCACGAAACTTTTCCGATCGGGATCACTGGGCTTTACAGTACCACTACTGAAAGAGCAAATAACATGCTTACCAGATTTCTGGAGTTTCTTTACTGTGGGCTTGTTATTACTCCAGAGATCTAAACCATAAACGCTAACATCAGGATCCAAGCTTTGAGGAAATTTGAATGGACCATCGAAGACGGTTTGCCAATTGTCCCCAATATCGGGCATCCAAGGGCCCCATCTTTTAGTAAGGAATGGTGGGAGGGAGAGGGCACTGAGTGTGGTAACCTCAAGGGAGAGAATTATAGCAAAATAGGTAGTCCTCATTGTTAAAAGTAGTAATAATAACGTATATTAAGGAATTAGTTTATAAAACTTTACTTAAAAGAAAACAAGATTATAAGGTATTTATAAGTAAACATCTTATATTAGAATTTTAAAAAACTAATTTATATTTTACTAAGTATATTATTATTTTATCCTATTACCTAAGACCTTAATTAACTTTATTTTATTTATTATAAATACTACAGAGGCGTTTTTACTTTTTAATCCATTTTAGTAACCTGTATTAAAGTTAAAGTTCTAGCTTAAAGCTTACCCTAAAATATAGTATTTATCCTTAATCTTTAAGTTTAATAATAATAATTTATAACAATACTTTATATACAAGCTTTTAACTAAAAAACAACATTATTCCAATCCTTAAGTCTTGACTTATATACTATGTACTACTTAGATTATATTACTCTTTAAAAATAAGGAAAAATCTATTAGAACTTAAAGATAAAGATAGGAAAGTAAGGCTAGTTCGTAATAGCGCTAAAGTCATTGAGAAAGAGAAGGGGAAAAATTAGGTAAAATACAATAACTTAAAAGTAGAAACACAACTTACAGAGAATAATCTAATAAAGTATACTGTATAAACTTATAAAATTAGGTAGTGCCTATAAATACCAAAGCCCTACTTATGCAGGCTTATACAGGCTATTAGAATTTCTTTATAGCTATAATAGGCTTAAAAAGAGGGAATATCTGCTAAGTTATTCTTTATAGCTAGGTTATTTCCTAATAAGCTAATTATATTACTTAGATTACTAGCTTGTATTAGTTTATGACCCTATAGGCGCTACCTAATTTCATGAGTTTATACAGTAGTCCTCAAAGTTCTGTTTTGCTAGCTTCCTGCTAACTGGTCCTGGAGCCCTTCGCTGGGAACCTTCCCCGGGCTAAGGTACCCCTCAGCACCAACTTGGAGGTACCTGCGGACCACGTTCTCAAGTCGTTCCCCCACCTTGAGACACGCCACTTTACATCAGACGCCATCTGGCGTGACACGTATGCCTCGACGGGAACCATCCTTACATTCTACTTTGAAGCTGTGACAGCAGAATGGTCTGCTCTTAGTAATAGCCACGGTGTCTCATCAGTTTTTATTGTGCCTGGCTCGGCAAAGTTCCTCAGTCTCAGGGGAGGTGTTGAATGGGTTGATCGTAGGTTGACATTCCATACAGCCACGCCGGCAACTGAATGCTGTGGCATGTTCTCGGTCGTTCCATCGGTAGATAGCTCATGGAATATCTGGGGTTTTTGTACCATTCTTGAGAAGCTCAGCAACCACAGGAATGTGGATTCAACGGAACCGGCTAATGTCTTACTCAACGGTAACGGCGCAACTGGTAATCACCCCTATTTAACCGGCACATCCATTCAAGATGATTCGCTAAATGGAATCCCTAATGGCACTACTACAGACCATAGCCATCATCATTTTAACGTTGTGATCGTTGGGGGTGGGCAGAGTGGTCTTTGCAAGGTCTCGGAGCATCCTGTGTTATCATTAAGAAAGACGCCCAGGTTGGTAATGCCTGGGTGTTAAGATATGAGTCAGCAAGTTCTGAGTTCTCGCACCAAACCTCGTCAAATACTTTTCGTCCGTTCTACTGGCTTGTATCTTCTCTTTAATGCATACTGCCCGCGAATATTGTGGGTCTCAGTCTAATAATCATATCATCAACTGACTTTTCTAGCCCACCTGCCTTTTGATCAGGCTCCTGGGATAAGGCAACAAGAACCCATACTCTTGACATCTTTAAGTAAGGGCATTCGATACAGGTTTCTACAAGACATGTCGTAATAGCAATAAATGCAGGACTGGACTGGAAAGATTGGCATTGTTATTAGCACTGGAAACAGAGGTCAGTGTGCTAACAAGTGCGCCGTGTTGCTATTCCTTATTTACCTTCTCCAATAGCACACGATATAGCTATATATACAAGGCCGGCATAGAAGTAACAATAGTTCGGAGGAGTCATGCTTATAAGTCCTTATAGGTTTAAAATGTGTTAGCGTAGTTGAGTATATACTCATTAGGTCGTTATGTAGTTGTTCTTCTGGCCGAGTTTATTAAAGAGCAATATAATTGCACGTTGAAGAACCCCTTTTCACCTACGTATCCAAATAAGCAATCTCTATCAAGTCATAGAATGCCCGAATTCCCATCGACATCAGTGACCGAGCAAGATTTACCCCGCCAGTATTAATTGCTCGTCTACTCTTATCGAAAATATTCCATGCCATGGCCCGGTCATAGCCAGAGACATACAAGGCCCTCGAGCGAGCTGGCTTCAAGGTTGTTCCTTTTGGAAATATTAAAGACGCAATTAAAATCCGTCTGGGTAGACATAACATGTGACGACCAGCTAATTCGCACCGAAGTGAGCTAATAAATGAGGTTTAAGAGACCTTGAAAAGGTCAAGCTAAATTGGTTAAGTTAAGGCCAATTTATATTAGTATTTCCCGACATAACACCGATGTCGGGACGTCTTGGAATTGTAGCCTATTGTCGGCCCGACAATCCTTATTAGCCCGTGTTACGGCTCAATGTTTATACGTATACGGACTTCATGGCCGGCTCAATCGGCTAATAATTATAATCGAGGTAAGACCAACATACAGGTTTTATTTATTAGTAAGGTCTTAATAACATTCCTTATTAATAAATCCAGTTCTTAATTATTAACAGGGGGATACCCAGGGTTATATATTGCTTGTAATATTGCAAGATGAAACAACTTGCCCAAAGCCCTGTTCCAAAATCTATAACTTCAATTAACTGTTACGTTATAATATCCTAACTTATCTTACGTTTAAGATTGTCAGGATTATGGCTTTCCTTAATCGCTTGTCAAAATCGCTTGCGTAAATTATTTAGAAACAACTTAGTCCCTGATTATCCGGAATAAGCCGCATAGTACAGAGTAGCTTAACGGTTTATCCTGGTTCGGTACTGAATTTGCTATGATTTCTAGAAAGGGCTAACGCGACCCCAGGAATACCGCAGGGACTGTATAATTCTGTGCCACATGCTAATTACAATAAAATTATTGTTAGACGCCCAAACTAACAGCGATGCTGCGATTCTGTCTAGTATCCTCTTCAGTGGCTGAGCCACTGGTACTGTTACAGGTGACGACCGTATTGCTAAGGCAGAAATGTAACAAGTCAAGCCTGTGTTCCTCTTAATGTGGTTGCATGGCTCGGTTGAAATACGCTCCGTGCGGGCAAAGTTTCACTCGCCAAGGAATGCCTTTACTAAATGAATTAGTTGCAGACTGATGGTATGAGGCACGGCTACTGGAAAGGTCCTGGGATGTTGAACCCTCTGATATTGAATGGCGCCAAATAGAGTTTGCACACATGGATTGGAACAGAGGACAAAGAACCAACTAAACTAAATAGAGTTAGCAAATAATGCACTGCTCAAACATTTTCAGCTCTAGCAATCGCGGCATGTGACCTTCTTGTCAGGGAATAGCGGACTGCTACTGTAATTTTAATTTATATTCTCGCTCTCTTGGAAAAACAGTACCTTATAAAACAGAAATGTCCTTATTGCTGTAGCTATATCTAGTAAAGAAGAAACCTAGGGGCTTACGTCCTTGTGAAAATCTCCTATAATAGAGAAGTTTTTCTACGTAATAACATATTAGGAAGCTGTTAAAAAAAGTTAAGAGAATTGTAAATTATCTCTGACGTGTTTTAGAATTACTAGTCTCAAACGCGTTATAACTATAATTACTAACTGATACCCGCGCTCGGATCTTACCTTTACCGGGCCTAATGTGCTTAGTGCTATAACTAGAGTAAAAGTGTGTAGTTAGGTATTGTTATGCTATGAACAGTAGATATTTTTATATATTATCCTTAATAAACGCAGCAAAGTATCCTACTAAACTTTTATCTCTTTATATCTAGTCAAGCGCTTCAGTGCTATTAATAATGTCCTGTTACAACTTTCGGAACTACTCTTGGCCCCAAAGTCCACAAACTTTTAGCAGCTTGTCTTGCCAATTCCCGGGATTGGAGGATGATCAAGTTATAAGAAGTGCCTTTGAGTCCTTGGACAGCTTTATTTTTAACCTCCCGCCTTTTACCATATGTGACGCCATGAGGGAGGATTCAGAGAGCTTTCCAGAACGGGAGCTATCATGGGACTCTTTGTCATCATCTTCATATTTCCCTATCGCCAACGGATCGTCTGGCATTAATAAAACGGCAGAACTGCGGATTTGTACTCTATCCTATCTTACGCTTATAAGCCGTCAGCAACTGGAACCTATGTTATCGGATGACATTACAGGCACCGTTGTGAATGACTGCCAGAGTCTCCACCACCGAGTTTACGACTGGCTGTCAACTCTGCCTGACATACCATGGCTGGACATTATGTGTGTGGATGTAAGTTGTAACTATATCAATCTCCACGAAATAGTATCTAACTGCTCTTCAGCCAACCTACGAGGATCCAGTCATAACAGAAGATTTCAAGGAAAAGAAATTGGCAAGCATGGAAGTAAATAACTTTCGCCATCACCTAGACTTCTTGTACGATTCCAACTAAGCCGAGGTTTTACAGATGGAGGAATATACCGGTGTCATGGAAAGAGAACTGAAAACTCAAGACGAATCTAGTGCTTTACTGGACGTTAGTGGAAGTCGAGGTGCATATCACGAAGCCCTGCTACAAATCAACTTAGCATCAACTCCTAACGAAAGGATAACCGGGCCCTTTCGGCCATCGATCCGTCGTCATTATCCTTAGGGTCTGGAGGAAGGAGGCTGTCGAATATTAGCCTAACAGTGTAACGGCCACACCTAACCACTACGCCACCGGGCAAAAGATTGGGCTATAACTGCTATTGTAGCAATTAAAGTGATGTGTATAGCTATTTATAGAAGCCTTGCAGCGCTGTTCCGGCACGAATTGTAACAAATAGTGTCTTTTAATTTAATTATCATTAAGAAAGCCTAAGTTAAATAATTACTATCAGGTGAATCTTACTATAAGAAGCAACTATATTCAAGTTCTACTATACAAGAGTGCCTGTTTCAAGCTTCGATCTCTCAAAATCAACTTAGGTTTACAGGTCTTCTATTCCAAAGTCGTAAGTAACAAACTCGTCAATGTCCTCAAGTATCTGAGGTAGTAAAGAAAACTGTTCTTGCACATCCTCGGACACTCTATCCCCGTTGTCAACAGATGCTTGATGACGCTCGCAAGCGGTGTCATCGACAGTTTGTTCGGGGGAATCAATGTCAACGGTAAAGAGTCTAGGAGAAGGTAAACGCGCTGAACGAGGTGCAGCGAGGCCAAGTGTTGAGTCTTCTGAGTATCTCCCGAGAGCTAATGAGTGGTCGATGGTTCGAGAAAGCCTGAAGTATAAAACCGGTTCCATGACGAGGACATTACCCCAGTCATTGGCATACTCTTTGTCTGTGATGAGTTGGGATTTCAATCCTAGACACCCGACAGCATCGATTGAGAAACCATTTTGTGAGCTTGTCTCATTCTCTGTATCCTGTATAGTTGCATAATCGATGGCTGTTCTTATAAAGGTCCAAACATCATCAACGCCATCATAGAGTTTCTGCATAGACTTCATCGTCTCAACATAAACATTTAGTTTCCCTTGCTTCTGGGCTATTTGTAGTGGCCTCTTTGCAAGCCTCACATCAAGGATGTGGAGCACCAGGGGAACAGCAATGTAAGCAGCACTAGAAATAGATTATCAGCAGCAGCAAAGACAAATTAGGGTAGTGACTCACATGCTGATTGGCAAGAACCTTTCTAGCCTCAGCTGAATAAGCTCTTTCAAATTCTCTGTAATGCCGAGGGCGGCATCCTCGATTTTGCTTTTGGTCTGTTGCAGGTCTGAAGTCGCTTTGGCCTGTTCCTGGCTAATAATGAAGGCTTTGTGCTGGTAAAGTGCAAAGCAAGCAGCACTGTTCGATAGTTAGAAACGCTAGATACATCGTGCCTGAAGAGAGATTCTCACTGGTAGTATATATAAAGTAAGTTTGTGTATAACACAAGAGATCCTTCGCGAGTGAGGATACCAGCAGGCGTTGGAAACTGGATGGTTGCCCTTTCGAACCAAGCCTCCAAGCCAGCCTCACAAGACTGCAGCGATTCCCTTCCCTTTTGGGTGTTATGAACAACTGGGGAATTGATGTCCGTCAAGCGGCCTGTAGGATAGACGATGTTGATGACATCAGTGAGCGGGACAGTTAGTTCACACAGCGTGATAAATAATCGGACTAGCGTTCGTTTCGTCTGTGGTGCATAGACACGAGACCCGTCAATCTCGCGCCAGAAATCTTTTTCGGTAGGCAAATAGTTGGTATGAGCCACATCAAGAGATGTGATGTGTAGTTGTCTTCGCATCCCAAGAGGCAGGATTCGGTCTCGTACTATACAGCACCACCACAGTCGTTTCAGCTCATTTACCGAAGTCAAACTCGGGTTTGTGCTGGTATGGAATTGATCTGCACCTGCGGCCTGAGCTAAGTGGATTGCTGTTGATAGCCAAATAGAATTCGTGCGTTTCTGGTCCTTCATTGTTCCATTGTATGACAGCAAAAGTGCCCCCTGGGCACTGGACACGAGGTTCCTCTCGCTGCAAAGATCAAACAACAGCTGCCATACAGGTTAGTCATGATTTGCCCACCAGCATGAGTCACCGATGGCAATGGACTTACTTTACTACGGCGGTAGTATGTGTTCCGTGCATTGTGTACTGAAGCAAACCCAAGACTTCGGATGGTTGAAAAGGGCAGGAACTAAAAGGTCAGCAACCCTTGTATCGAGATTAAAGAGCTCGTAACGTACACTACATGCAGTAAATAGCATGGCCTGGAAGACAAAGAGAGAGATGTTTGATCTGCCGCGTACAGATCGTGTATAGATGGCCCAGAACCAGGCTTCATCTAATAACGGAAGCGCCGGATGAACATGTAAAAAGTATTCTTGAACAAACTCATCTAAGGCTTCTGGAGTGGGGACTCGAAAGCATCCTTGCGCTTCGAGATAGTTTATGTCGTCAGGTAATAAACCAGAGATATCGAGATCGAGGAAAGAGTAGTATGAATATATAATGTGCGATTGACCAGACATGGTTGCATCGGAGCTTGAGGCTGGCTTGGGCTCTGTTTGATGAACCCGAGAGTTCTCCGAGATGATGCTGAATTCGGAATCTTTGCGTTGATTGAGAACCATCTCAAAGATTCCAGATTCCTTCTTATGATTGTCTGTTGGTCCTTGAACGAGTCGCTCGGTAGGGAAGTCTAACTCAGGTTGATCCCAAAGCGCCTCAAAGCACATAGATGGACTTTCAGGGCCACATTCCACGGAGAGACCTTCCTCTGCACAAGCATCGTTTGGCGAGTCCACATCATCCGACGCAGCAGAGCTTGGGTCCTTTGGTAAAATCACCTGCAAACTATTTCTGAACTGCATCCGCTGCTGTTTTTCGACCACGACGGGAGAGCGTTTGCGACTTGGGCAGGTTAGCTTGAATTGGTTCTATTCTCCCGGGAAACCTACTATTTGGTGCGTCTGTCTTTTACAACGCATTGGATGTTATCAAGGGCACAATTGGTGCACTGATGCGGTCTGTGAGTGACATCGCATCGGACCTTGCGGGAGCGACAGGCTACACAAGCTTTGCTGGCTCGCTTCCGTCGAGGATTGACGCCTTGGGACATCGTGTCCTCCATTGTAGACTCTGGGTATTGCTTTGTTGGAGGTGTTGATAGATTTTGGACCAGTAGTTGAGGTGCAAGATGCAAGATCCCCTTTTCTGAACTAATTGATGGTAACGGGGGGGAAGAGGGTCTGAACGCGGGGTAAAACGCGGGGAAGTGGAAACTTGGGTCAAGTTATGAAGCATTTTACTCTATTGCATGCAGTTATTCGCAGTGTTGACTCGACTCCGTTGAGTCAGGGCCCACGCGCTATGACTCGGCCATGTTTTGTCAACCAAGGCTATGCCCTAATGAAGTAAGGTACTTTGCTAAAACAAGATTTATATCAGCCACATCACTTGACCTCTGCGCATTTTCTACCGAGGGTAAATTCTGACCAATCAATTTATGTTTGTAAAGCCAGGAGTAAAGAGCTTAACAAGGGCCGACTATGTTAGGCATTCCATCTGAGATCTAGACGGTTAATCCTCTGAGTTACATCTCTCAATGCAACCATATCCGTAATTTCAAAAAGTCATAGTAGATACAGGTAAACTAATACGGACGCAGCAATGATTCACAACTACCAGACAATAACTGGTTTCACTGTTTTGCCAACTTTCATATCGTTCAGAGCAGTCTCAAAATCTTCTGGCTGCACAAAATCGTCAATACAGCCTCACTACTAAGAATCCAAGGGACTTACCTTGTAATAGCTGACAAGCTTATTGATTGGTAGTTTGCCTTCTCGATACCACTGTACCATTCGGGGTAGATACTATATGCAAGTCAGAGCTAGTTTGTGGTGTGTATTCTCAACCTCATACCTCGCCAGGGATAGCATCGCCTTCAATCGTTCCGCGAATAACCTTCCCGGTCTGAGTTCGGTCAGCTTTGCAAAGATGAGGATTCGGACTTCAATCATACCTGCAAGAATGTGACAAGATGAAGATCCATCATGGCATCAAGTGGTGGTACTCCAATAAATATCAATTGACCTCTGTTGGAAGTAAACTCCAGACCTGCTTTGATGAGGCCCATGTTCCCTGTCGTGTCAATCGTTATGCTAGAGCCTCTTCCATCAGTGACTTTTTGGATCTCCTCTTTGATGTCAATGTTCTCATCCGATGTGTTGATTACATGAGTCGCTCCGAGGGCCTTGGCTAGTTCCAGTCTCTCTGGTACACGATCAATACCAATGATGGTCTCACAAGCCTGCATCTTTGCTGTCTAGGAGGTATCAGCTTCTTCTTCGTGCATTGGAACATAATATCTTACCATTATAGAGACCAATCCGACGCCACCAAGACCTATGACTGCGACTCTGTCCTTCTCATTAGCTCTGGCAACGTTTTCAACTGTCGCCGCACCAGTCTGAAATCCACAGCCAAGTGGTGCGAATAACTTCAACTCCTCTTCAGTCTCGATGATGTTGGTAACATTGACAACAGACGTTTCCTTGACAACTGCCAGTTCAGCAAACGACGATTGTCCAAAGAAGTTGCCACGTAAGCCGGTGCCATTTGCTGTATATGTTGCATCCTCGCCGCCATAATTAATCTCCACGAACTTGCTACAAAAGGACGGATGGCCCTCTTTGCAGTCATAGCAGTCTTTACAATTGTGAAACGAGAGAAGGACAAAGTCACCTGGGCGAGCTTTGGTAACCTTGGATCCTGCTTCCACTACAACACCAGCACCTAAACACGAACCTCAGTGATCATAGCGCTAATGAAAATGAATAACTTAAACTGACCCTCGTGTCCTAATACTTTGGGATATGGAATCTGGTCGGCAGGCCAAGTGGCGAAAATGAGGTCAGTGTGACAAATGCCACTAGCGACGACTCGAATAAGCAGTTCACTATCATGGATTGCCCGGACGGACCCGTCCACGAGTCTCAGGTCTGGCGTAGTGCCTTTAGGCTCGTATGATGCGATAAATTTGGTGTCCATAATTGTGATTGATGATATGTTTGATTATGGAATTCAGCTGGTCTCTGCAAACAGGTCCCAATGATGATTTATTAAACAAACCGCAAACACAGTGTGGCTAGGCTAAGTTGAGGCTAGCGACAATCTGGCCCCCAAGATTTCATTCAACCGATGCGAAAAACCCTCGGCAGAAATGACAAGCCAACCGGCCCAAAGAATCTAGCCTCGTGATAGCTTGCAACTAACTCAGTATGGAGATAGAACGCGGGGTAAATACCTTGGCAAATCCTGGCACGTGTAAAGGTGACTTATATCAACCCTCAAGGCAGAAGTGATATGCATACAACATAAACAGCCTGTTACCAATTTCCCGAAATCACTTGTTTGAGTAGAAGACGCCCCCAAGCTATAACATCCACCAGCCATAGGAAAGCATAATGGCTGTCACTACTTATCCGGAGAAGATGGATTTCTCGACCTTTTCCAACATTATCAATGGCCAAGCCAGAGGCACTGCTGTTACACGACATGGCATCAATCCTTCAACATGCGAGGCGCTGCCACCCTGTCCTGTGTCAACCCAAGCAGACGTTGAGGATGCTATACAAGCAGCCCGTTCTGCATTCAAAAGTTGGAAAGCAACGCCTATTGATGTTCGAAAAGAGAAGATCAAGGGCTTGGCAGATGCGCTCTTGGCACAGAAAGCAGAATTCGCACGTCTGCTTATAGCGGAGCAGGGAAAGCCTGTAAGTCTTGAACACTTGTTACCTGTCGACTTCAGAATGCTTATTTATTCGCTGTAGGCTATGTTTGCCGACCATGAGATCGGTCGTGGAGTTCACTGGCTCACTGGGACGTGTGAGCTTAATATGCCCGTGGACGAGGTTGATGACGACCCAGAAAAACTTATCTCGACTCGTTATGTCCCTCTGGGAGTGGTTGCTGCGATAGTCCCATGGAATTGTACGTCTTGATATCTCGTCTGCAAGGTTTGATCTAACTCGTTGTTGAAGATCCCATCATGCTCCTGTGCGGAAAACTTGGTCCGGCATTGATGACAGGCAACTGTATCATTGTCAAGCCGTCTCCCTTCACGCCCTACTGTGGTATTAAGATAGTCGAGCTTGCACAGCGATTCTTCCCACCTGGCGTTGTGCAGGTCTTAAGCGGAGGCGATGATCTAGGCCCCATGTTGACAGCTCACCCAGGCATTGACAAGATCAGCTTTACTGGCTCCACAGCCACGGGTAAGAGGGTCATGGAGAGCGCAAGCAAGAATTTGACCAGAGTTACTTTAGAGCTGTAAGTATACCCTAGTTGACCTACATCTCCCTTCCCAGTATAGCGCGGCTTACATGAGACAGTGGAGGCAACGATGCTGCGATTATATGTGCAGATGCCGACGTAGAGAATGCCGCTGCACAAATTGCAGTGGCTGCTTTTATGAATGCGGGCCAGATCTGCATTGCTGTCAAGCGCATTTATGTACATCAAGACATATATGACGCTTTCAAAACCGCTTTCATCAAGCATGTATCACAGCTCAAAGTTGGCGACGGGTTTTCAGATGGCACCTTCATGGGACCAGTCCAGAACGAACTCCAATATGAGCGTGTCAAGGTGCACCTCGATGACATAGCAAAAAGTAATTATGCTATTTTGAAGGGCGGAGACATGTCAGAGGGTCTGCAGAAAGGGTACTTCATCCAACCTACCGTTGTGGATAACCCGCCAGATAATAGCAAGATTGTCACCGAAGAGCCCTTTGGGCCAGTGGTGCCTTTGCTGAAGTGGTCTGGGGTAGACGAGGTCTTGTCTCGTGTCAATTCAAGCGACATGGGTTTGGGAGGTTCAGTTTGGACGGCTGATGAAGAGCTTGGGATGCGCATCGCTGATGGACTCGATGTCGGCAGTGTTTGGTTTAACGAGCATTTAGCTATTGAACCTACAGCAACATTCGGAGGTCACAAGAGCAGTGGCTTGGGACGCGAATGGGGTGTTGATGGGCTGCGAGGATATTGCAACTCGAAGACATATTTTATTAAGAAGAGCAAGTAGACGCACTCTACAAGCAGCTACAAATGAGTCAGAAGCAAAGCTTATTTTCATCACCAAGAATAATGTTGTGAGAATGCCAACCTACTACACCCTGAATGTCTTACAGCTCAGCTTCAGAGTATCTTTTACGGCTTCCCTTCTCTGAGAGGCTGAAAAGATCAGTGGCCTGGCATCAAGCATCCCAAAGCGAATAAGCAGCTGGTTGCGTATCATTAGCAGTGCTCGCTTGCGGGTTGTTGGGTGCATGCGGCAACTCGGTCTAGGCCACCTTAGTGAGACACCATTTACGGCCCACGGCTACCGGCACAAATTGAACCACTCACAGATCAATCTTACATATCAGAGCACCTTGACCAGTTCATCCCCCTCTTCCCCAGATTCCCCGCAATTCCCCATGGCGCGCTAATCTTTCTGCTATGCCCTTTAGGATGACCCCGCGTTGCGATCCTCAGTTTGTCCCCCCTTAGCAAGTTTAGTATGACGAATGAAAGTTACCGAGGCGGAATTTCATGCCACAAAACAACCTTTTGCGTGGTTCACCTGATTTAGCCCTTGTATCACCACCACGGCCATGATATCCTCGTCTTAAATGGTCCTCCACGGCCCCTCCACCTGCATTGACTCGATTAACCTTTTCTTACGTTCCTTTCACATCGCTATCTTCATCAGACTCTTTGATCACCATGGACCACGGCATGATGGTTGAGCCCAAAAGCCCTGAGGCCCTTGCGGTCTCGTTTGCCAGTGGTTGTCTCCTACACATTCTCTTCTACCGTAGAGGAGAATGGGACTTGCTTGCACTTCGTATCTTTCAGGCATATGTTACATTACCCTTTGTTATGATTGGGCTGTTACGCTTGGCCAAGTTCAAGGGATGGCAACAAGGCAACAATATTTCGACCGCATCCGTTCTTTTGCTCGAAGGTGCTCACATACTGGGGCTTTTGACTAGCATCCTCTGTTATCGCATCATCTTCCATCCCCTGAACAAGTTCCCTGGGCCACTCCGCGCTCGTATCTCAAACTTCTACCCCACCTACCTCACTACCAAGAATGCGCATCTCTATGAGGAGGTTGAGCAACTCCATCAGCAATACGGTGATTTCGTTCGATTGGGTCAGTATCCCCCTCTCCAGGTTCCGATGTCGTACTAAACTTTTGCCTTTAGGACCGACACAACTCTCCATTACACATCCAAAGTCGATCGATGCTATCTACTCTGCCAAGTCCCCATGCACCAAAGGCCCGTTCTACAATATTCTCCATCCTCGTGTCTCATTGCACATGATTCGCGATCACAAAGAGCACAGCACCAGGAGAAAGACTTGGGACAGAGCCCTGAGCTCCAAAGGTCAGAGCAACTCTCATGGCCTAGTTATCTGTTATCCAGCTAACAAGTAGACAGCTCTACGTGACTACGAGCCTCGTGTCACGAAATATACTACACAATTACTCGATCGTCTCAATGAGATGCAAGGTACGACTATCAACGCCTCGAACTGGTTAAACTTTTATAGCTTCGACGTTATGGGTGATCTTGCATTCGGCAAGTCCTTCAACATGCTGCGTGACGGTGTCAATCATTACTTCCTGAGTTCGCTGCATGGCTCCATGAAGATGGTTGGAGCTCTTGCTCACATTTCATGGGTTATCCCCATCCTAAAACTCATCCCCGCCGTCAATTCTGAGGATCGACAGTTCTGGGCGTGGATTTCAGGTCAGGTTGAAGAACGGTCAAAGGTAGACTATTTCCTGCGAGCAACCATATGACTGAACTAACATAGATAACGAGCAGATGAAGCCTGATAACCCGGATGTCTTTGCTTGGATCCTCGAGGAGTACGAGCGCAATCCAATGACACACCAAGCAAAGCTCAATGTTGAAGCCGATGCCTATCTAATTGCGGTTGCTGGAAGGTATGTGCTTGCTGTTACTTTGACGCACTGGAGTCGGCTTGAGACTTACTGGACTACAGCGACACGACCGCTGCAACTTTGACTGGTCTTCTATTCGAGCTGGCAACCAATCCCTCTCAAATCATCAAGCTGAGGGAGGAGATTGACCAGTATTTTATGGACAGAGAACACGCAGAACATACATCTCTCTCTAACCTCATTCACTTGAATGCCGTGATCGACGAGTCTCTTCGCTTGCACCCGCCTGTCCCGTCAGGTTTGCAGAGAGTCACTCCTCCACAGGGACTGATGGTAGGGGATACTTTCATTCCAGGCAATACTATTGTCCAGGTTCCCATGCATACAATTCAACGAGGTGTGTTCATTTCGCATACCTAATCCTACAGATAGAACTAATCATGTTGCATAAGATGAACGCTATTTCTCAAGGCCATCGGAGTTCATCCCGGAGCGTTGGACGACATCTCCCGAGTTAATCAAAGACAAGACTGTCTATGCACCGTTCTCAATTGGTAATGTTACGTATGCCTCTCGTATGAACTTGTGCTAACTCTAAGAAGGTCGATATTCCTGTGTCGGGAAGCAGCTTGGTTTGATGGAGGTGAGACATGTTATAGCACATATTGTAAGGGCATTCGATGTGAGACTTGGTGAGGGTCAGACTAAAGAAGGCTTCTTGAAAGCCAAGATGGATACATTTACTCTGGCTACCCCAAACCTTCACCTTGTCTTTACACCTCGTCCTACCAAATGATGGCACTCATAAATGCATAATCCTTTAGTCACATGACGAGAGAATTTGTTTTATAGTTGAGCTTGAGACAGCAGCAGTGTTAATACTACTCCTAAGAACAATATTAAATCTCCTCCTCCTTGTTCACAATAGTTGCAGCACCTCCACCCTCTGCCTCAGCAACAATCTTTGTTCTCAACACCTTTCCACTCTGATCGGTATAGATGTTACAGTACGCACTGAGCCCATGGTACGGTGCATATGTGTACTGTAGCTCGTACTCTACCCCTTCATCTCCGGTGATTGTCTTATTGTGGCCGGTAAACTTCATGTCTTTGCTGTAGAACCCAACTTCCTTGCGACGCCTCTCGACTCCGTTATTATTAAGGTAGATGTCGTACAGAAAGCCATCTTGTGTCAAGACGCGGTTCCTGTTTGTAGAGCCTGAAAAGTCGTTGACGGAGTAGAGAATATTGTTCTCGAGACGCGCGGTGAGATCTCTCTTCTCTAATGCCTCAGCATCTTCTCCAGACTCATTACCTCCACTGCTTCCGCCAACGACATCGCCAACGTCATCGACGATGTCCTTGACAGTATCGCCGAGAGTGGCGATGATGGGGTTTAGGTCGATACTCTCGAGGACATCATCAACCATGCGCAGGATATTACCAAGGCGGGCCTCGAGCTCGACCTTGGCTGTGACGTTGTAAATGCCGAGCTTGACACGATCAATGCCGAGATCGACACCAGCATTGAAATTAAGCAGATTGAGGACTTTAGCGTCTAGGTTGATTTTGGCAGTAATGTTCTGCACCTCGATAGAGATCTCACCCACTGAGACATTGGCGTTGAGGTAGACGTCGGGTTCCTCGTTGAGAGGCGCAATACCACTGTTGGTGTTTTCGGTCTCGTAGATAGCGGACTCATCGTCGCCTCGACGATTCAGACGATAGCCATAGTAGCCGTCGCCTTTTGCTTTTGCAGTAGCGAAGCTCGCAAACGAGACCAGAGCCAAGGCGCCAAATACTGAACAATGCTTCATTGTGTGGTTTTTGCTGTCGGTGAAAGGAGTGTGATAATGAAAGAGGCAGCTGCGCGGGCCAAAATGAGATACCTTTCAGAAAGGGCACAGGTCATAGAATAGAAAGAGAAAACTTCAAGCGACCCTCCTTCACAAAGCAACTTGACCAAGCAACCCTGCTCAAGGCGTTGATACGCTGCTCAATCCAACCTGGTTGGACAGCCCTGATTAGACGGTAAGCGAACTTGAAACAGCAGCAACTCCGGTAGGAAAGTTCCGGCCCTGATCTCCAGCCTCCGAGGTTTCATTGATGCAGGGGAAATCACAGCGAGTGGAGACATTTTGGACGTATTGGAAGCCTGAGAAGGCTGTCTTCCCCGACAAACCCCTGTCACTGCGTCAATGCATGAACTCAATCTCGATCGATTACCCCGTAAAGCATATCGGTAATTTCTCTCCAATTCCGAAAATCCTGTTTTTGCATCGCTTGTAACTCAAAGGATGGATAAGACCCGCGATATAACCATCCGAATAAGCTCATAGGTCCGAGAGGTCATGATGCGACGGGAGATTGCGCTGGTTCCAAGGGCTGTGTGACAAAGGTCCACTTTATGCCATGGGGGAAATTCTCAAAGACCTGGCGGTGGACAATGATCAAGAAATGTCTCGACATACCATAACTGTCTCGCTGTCTGAGCATCGAAGATCATCACCTTCTTCCAAGAAGATTCCTAGCAACCGTCAACATGCGTCTCGCATTTTTGAAGCCTTTGGTTCTGGCTCACCTTTTCAGCCTGAGCATTGCCCAAACACCTGATTCAACAGACCCAGCTACCACTGCAGAGAGCATTGCAATCCCCCCAACATCCTCACCATCTGGCAGTGAGGATGCCACCAGCGACAGCACAACTCAGCCAACATCTGCACCTGGAGGAGGAGGAGGAGGAGGCTCAAGCAACTCATCACTTGGTCCTCCCGACGTTCATCTCAAAGTACCAGAACTCTCTGTTGGCCGCATTGAGCTGGATGTCGACAATCTGCATGCAGATATCAACCTCAACGCGGACATCGCAAAGCTTGTCCAGATAAATGCAGGCATCCAAATCGGCATCGACAAAGTCAACATCACCATCGCAGACGTAGAGGCCGAACTTGAGCTCGTTGTCCGTTTGGGCCACTTGGTCGAGATTGTCAACCGCACTCTGGCTTCCCTCGATCTGAACCCGGCTCTCATCAATCTGCTCGACTCGGTCGGCGACATTGTCGAAGGTGTTATCGGCGCTGTTGATGGTCTACTTGGATCTATCACTCAGGGCGACACGAAACTCAATTTCCTCATTGACAACCTTGGAAACATTGTGCAAGAAGTCACAAAAACGGGCAGCGATGTTGTTAGCTCGATTATCGGAAACTACAAACAAAATATGACCTTCACTGGCGATGAGAAGACTTTGCAAAATGGTCTTACGCAGAGGACATATGAGTATAAAGAGCTTAGTGCTCTTGTTAACATTGTCTTCAATAAGGCTGGCCAGATTGTTCAGGCCATGGTTGTCAAGGGCGGCGGCGGTAGTGGTTCCGGCGGTGATGATGATGATGATGAACCCAGTGGCAGTGCAACTGCGTCGCAAACAGCTACGGCTACATCTACTCCTAGCCAAGCTACAACTTTATCTTCTACTTAATGAAGGACCACGCAGTATTACATTTATACACCACAGTAACAAAACTAGCAACTACTACCATCCTCTTAGAAATCGTATAATATTGTTTCTAAATACTACAATAGCGGCAATGCATCTGAGAGAAAGCTCACACCCAAAACAAATAACCCTGTCTAGCATCCTGGACGGTATTTGCCAAGCCAACAGTGAATAAAACAGGGCTAGGCTCACCCTGTGCTTTCATACACCCAACAATCGAAAATCTCACCCTGCAGAACAGTGTGCATATGGCGTGACATGGGGATCGCTCTGACGTGCTGAGAAGACTGATGATGCGATCCTTCGCTATCGGGTTATCAAAGTGGGGGAACTAAGCGTTCGTCCATGTTTCGTTGAAAATTCACCAGTGAAGAGGACATTACTAGTATTTCCTTGACTTGACTATTGAGCACCAAACACTCGTTTTCGGAGCCTCGTGATGAAGATCGACCAATCCCCCATTGTGGACTTGGAGCTTGCAGTGACTGTACCAGCACAAGACGTTGGCAACAGCAATGCATGCCCGACACAAGCACAAGGGCCGGAAGATTCAGGTCCTGATGATCATCAATATCCAAATCTCTCCAGAATCCGAGCTTTTCTTCTCGTAACCGTAATATCCGTCGCGGCCCTTCTCACCGTAAGCACCACTTCTAGCCAAAAATACATCCCCTAACGAATTGACAGGTCCTCAACTCTCAGTCCATTGTCATCATCCTCCCTGAGCTCGGAAATGCGATGCGAATACCCTCATCTCGCCAACAACTCGTTGTATCAATTTATAACATCTCCACAGGCAGCGTTATGCTCCTTTGGGGTCGTTTAGCAGACGTATATGGTCGACGGTTAGGTTTCTTGTCAGGATCAGTCATATTTACTTTATCAACACTATGTCTTCCATGGTCTCGTTATGAGATACCGTTCTACGTATTGAGAGCCGTGCAGGGAATGTCAGCTGCGGCTATCATGCCCTCTGGAATTGGTATTATGGCCTCTACCTTTGCACCCGGTCCTTCTAGAAACATGGCTTTCATCGCAATGTCTGCCATGGCATTATTGGGTTCTGTCGTGGGTAGCCTTCTAGGTGGCTTTGTAGGATCGACTCTTGGTTGGAAGTGGGTCTTCTGGATACCAGCTGTTGCATCTGCCTTTACAACTGCCGCTGGCTGGTTTGTCACAGCTGGTCATACAACGAGAATCGCTCCTCAAGGGACAACCGAGAATGATGAGAGCAGTAAGAAACCCTATGTCGACTGGATCGGGGGAGGTCTCATATCATCCAGCCTGACATTGCTTCTTGTTGCCATCACGCAAGGCAATGTCTCCGGTTGGTCTACGCCGTGGATACCGCCGCTGTTGGTTGTGTCCGTACTACTTCTAGGGGGCTTCATCATCTATCAGCGCCGGTTGGAGATAGATCCAGACCGTATACCTCTGATGCGTATGTCCATGTTCGCGAAGAAACAGTTTTCTGCACTATTTGTGCTCGTGGGTTGTTTTTACGCGTCGTTTAATGGGTTTCTTGTGTTCGTTACATACTTGTGAGTATCCTGTACGGATCATATCACTCATGTGCATCTAGCTAATCTGGTAAAGCTACCAGAAGTACCAAGGACTGGGGGAGTTGCAGACAACACTTCAGTTTCTTCCTGCCGGGATATCAGGCTGTGAGTACACTATTATGCTGAACTGGACTTATCACTTTTCTAATTTCGTCACGACAGTAATCATATCCTTCGCCGTGTTTCCAGCACTAAATCACCTCCCTTATTTTATTGTACTTGTTGTTGGCCTTTCATGTAGCGTTTTATCTCCATTCTTATTCGCAATACCATCAATTCCGCCAATGACTACTTATTGGGCATGGGGATTTCCTGCTATGTGTCTCTGTATGAGCGTTGAAATTGTTTGGCCTGTGTTTAGTCTGCTTACTGCCAAGTCTCTAGCGCAAGACGAACAATCTCTTGGTGGTGGTCTTGTTCAAACAGTGAACAATGTCGGCCGTGCTTTGGCATTGGCAATCGCAACGGCTATACAGACTGCTATTGCTGGGGATATTAATAATCAACACGGATCGGATATATACTTAGACGGATTGAGAGCTGCACAGTGGTTTAACTTTACACTAGCTGTTACTGGGATATTACTAGCTTTAGTTTTCTTTAGAGATTTAGATAAGTAAGTTGTAAGTTATTACTTTAGGTATTATTTTTAAGGTTAAATACGTAAGCTATTATATAACATTAAAGATAAAAAATTAACCTCAATAACCTTTTAAAACAGCTATAAAAGGCTATTGATATAACCTAATTTATATACCTAGTATAGGCTAGACTAAGTACTAGTAAACATCTCCCTCAGATCATTCATACATTCGCACGTAAGGAACATGAACCGCCTGATACTGAGACTGATGCGGGCCAAAGTGGCACTTCCAGTAGGTCCGATACTTATTCGATGTCTTGGTCAGACCATCCTTCTTCGCCGTCGTGGTGGTGATTTTGGTGCACGGCATATCAATGTCAATGGTGCTCCATCGCTGGTAAGCCACGGTGCCATACTCCATCTTCCAGCGTCCATTCGTCAGGGTGAAGTCCTTTAACTGGGAGTCAGTAGCCCGAATGAGCCAGAAGTAGAGCTTCACCGCCTCAGCTAGCTCTTTCTTGATGTTTTCCTGGATCGCGATGAGACCATTGCGCACATAATAGCCGCTTTGGTCAGTGTTGTCAAATTCCCCCTGATTGACCTTCTCCCAGTCAATAGCCAGCATACGGGTGATCAATTCGTGAAGTGCTTTGGAGTCCGCAAGATATTCGGTGACAAACGATTTCAAAGGGGCAAGCTCAGTGGCCACCTTCTTAGAGGTAGTTGACATCCCACCAACGACTGGCATAAACTTAAAAACGTCCTTGGTGACTTTGATCTCGTTATTCTTAATCCTGCTGATCATTTCGTTGGCCGGAGGGATATAGGCCCCGTTTGATGTGAGCTTGTTAACGTCATTCAACAAACTCTTCGTCTTGGTGTTGAAGCCGAATATCTGTCTCCCTGTACTGAGCTTGTCGGACAAGTTGATGACGGTTTGCACATCTGTCATGAACCTTCTGATATTGGGGCGATTGGACCCACAATAGTCCATTCCAATACAGATACTATCGTAATAACCGCCAAGGGTATACTCAACCCCATTAAAGGCCTCTTTGACGTTGTCCGTAGCCGTCATTACGTAGCCAGTAGACTTTGTGATAAGGTCCAAGTTTTCTCTCCATCGGTTGAGTATGGGAACGATGGTTCCAAGGAGAAGTTTGTACGAGGCGGTAAGGTAATTGCTAAAGACAGCATAGATCTGTTCAGAGTTGCAGACACCTGTGACTCGGCAAGGATAGACGACGAAGATCATGGCACGAAAGGTTGCACGGGCCATCTGACACGTGTTAGTCAAGTCATGTGTGATATAGAATGGACACGTACATCAGCCCCAAAGACAACTTGCCAGCCAGTTGCCTTGAGTTTGTTCAGGGTGGCATCACGACTTTGTGAATACTTGAGACCTCCGTCCGTCAAACACTAGACCCAGTCAGCACAAGACAATTCGAAAGCTAGTCATTGCAGTGATACCTGTTCTAGGGTCCCGGCCTGATCGAGATAGTTGTTATTCGCCAAGTCAAAGTTGCCAGCCGAGGAGGATGCAAACTTGCCCTCGGAGTTTAGAGTGCGCAGTTTAGTGAAGCAGTTGCAAATAGGATCCCGGGCCTTCAGGAATTTGTTTCCAAGCGTCGTGCCGAGAGCTTTGCGGACTTGATCACAGACATTGACCTTGATGTAGTTGAACTGAATGGAACGAACTTTCTTGCTTGATGTGACGATTTTGAAGCCGTTCGGTATGGTGATAGTTGTTTTGCAGCCGTTATTGGCACTGCCAGTACAAATATCTGTTAGGCTGCTTTGTGCTGAGACCACGTCACCCAGCAGCACCAGAGGAGCCAAAATAAGTGAGAGTTTCATCGCTGAGTAGACCTTGCAGGAATAAAGCCCAGTCTCGGTCTTACTACCTGTGGTGAACAACCTGTAGATAAGTAAAAGCGCCTCGTTGGCAATCAAACTATTTTCTCAAATCTGGTCACCGCCAGCCCATGAAGCTGAACTCAGTGGCGCACGTAGCGCCTCCACTGAAAACGATAGTCTGGAGATGGTGCTCAGCCCTTTGGAGCGGAAGTCGCTCAAAAGAGGATTTATTAAGCGATACGGCCTGCCAGAGATTAGGTGGCGTCAACTCTAAAAGTCTAGCTAGGCCCCTTGCGACAGCCTCTGAGCACTTTGCATGATTTTCTCGTAACCATGATCATGTGCGAGGGATAAAGCAAACCGTTTGGCAGTGAATGAAGTCTTGGCAAGGTAAAATGCCAAGACGGCTGGTGGTCTTTACAGGGTCCAGACCGTAACGACTGTGGCAGACTGACTTTCTTTTCAGCTGCTTTTCCTCTTAGTACATACCAAAGTTCCAAAGTTCCAAAGTTGCAGCTTGCAGCATGTGACGTATGTAAACCTCAAAGTGGAAACAACTAATAAGCTTAAAAATAAACTTGGAATCGGCGGAATTGGCATTCTTCCATCTCACGGTCCCCTGGATTAGGGTAAGCCTCGTGTTTTATGGCTGAATCATGTTGATTGAACATTGTCGCAGGCATGGCGCAATTCCCAGACTACAGTCCTGTGAACTTACTTATTCATCTCAGCGAGTTGAAATGGGCGATCACACCTGATAGTATCTATGTTCAATCGCTGACTTGAGATTGTTTCTATGTTTACATTAAAAGAGAGAATACATTGCCTACCTATAACAACACGCTTGCTAGCGGAAGCCCGCTAGCCCGCCCTGATCCAGAGATACTGAGGCGCTCTTACGCTAGGTCCTCATCTCCGTTTCTACACGGAGGTTTATTGCTTAGTGCCCCTTGTTTGGCTTGCTAAAGCTAGTAAGACCTTTAACTAAGCTTCTTACTGTAAAGTTGAATGTTGCTGATTTGTGTGAATCTCAAGTGTCTAGGTTAGCGGGGGCTAGATAATCCGGGCCTTGGTGTTTGTCCCGTAACACTAAGGCCCACCTTAAAATTGACCCCTTATACCCTTCTGAATGCACTCACTTCATGCAACGAGCGTGATTCGGCATTACCTGCAAAAATCACTTGAAGCTAGCAGTTTGACAATAATCTCGATAAACCAGTTGATTTTCATATACCCTACGCTGAATGACCCTCTTTAAAGATTCAAGAGCGGGGACTACTTCATGGGTTGGACTGATTCTGGCGATATTATTTGATTCGCGCTAAAGTGAAAAAGGCAGGTATGGGGCTAACTCAGGGCTTATAGACCTTTGATCTCGCACACGAGCCTATTATGCATGAGGTTCTCACTTGGGAAAATGCGCTCGGTCCCATTTTGTCATGACTTACTCCTAAACCATACTAGAGCATACGCTCGGTCCTAGAGACACATTACGAAAATCCATTGAATTTACAGTAAATAACCCCAGAAATATTTTACTGTTGTTATTATCCATCATACACAGTACCCTCAGAACACCTTATCAGGGAATGAGCTAGGTAAACATGCCAATCTAAAGCTATCCACTTTGTAATAGAGGGGCATATAAATTATTATAGTTAATATTAATACTACAGGATTCCTATTATGATATTATAGGCCTTGAGTGAGTTAAATCAGAACAGTACAGTACTAGAGATTAGTTATATTGCTCCTGCCAGTACTACTGCATATAAGGCGGGTTTACGAGTCAATCCTCGGCCTGAAAAACAAGAGTCTGAAGCCATTACGTGTTGATTACCTGTTTTCATTGGCTTATTAGCAAGCCTTGACATGAGTTTAGAGGATCCGTGGGGCAGAAGGAATGATCGACAATGATCGACCTTGTTGTAAGAATTTAGTTAGGGGTAGTAGCGGATCGCCGTGACCTGTCTAGCCTGTCAGGTGCGCCATAAAATCATCTGTGCACTACTCTGTAAGGCTCTCTAGGCTCTGTAATTCCGGAGTGCTAGCACCAGACACTTTTGTCTGTAGAGATTCATATGCAGATCATTTTGCGACTCTCATACCCGTTTAGCTACATTGGGAACATTAGTCGCTCGGAAGGCAACAAATGTGCTGATCTTATGCAAAAGAAGTAAGATTCCCTTCTCCAGCTTCGGACCACTCTTTCCGCATACCCCTTTCTATTTGCATTTCTATTAAAGACAGTATTATACGGAGCCCTACAATTATCTATGCGTCCTTCTGTCAACACGCATGACTTCTCACGAGGGTGGTGATTCATTAGCTGTTCACCATGGTCACCGCATCCGCAGCATCGGCCATCAGCGCTATAGAGCGCACATGCTCAGTGCCTAGCCTTCTTGGTTCCCTCTTCATCATTGCCACCTTCTGTTCTTCGAAGCTGTTTCATAAGCCCATCAGTAGAATGCTCTTTTACGCCTCGTTCGGTAACATGATGAGTAATGTCGCTACACTCATGTCTAAGAGCTTTCTCGATCAACCAGATTCTGCTGGGTGCCAGACTCAAGCATTTCTAATCGAGACGCAAGTGTTCCTCTGATCTATTCTACTACTTAACTGCTGACCATTTTGCTAGATTCATGTTTGCGGATGTCTTTTGGGCCCTAGCCATGGCAACCAATGTATACCTCACGTTCTACCACCGGTTCGACGGCGTTAGGTTACGTAAACTAGAGCCACTTCACATTGGTCTATGTTACGGAATTCCGTTCATTATAGGCATCACCTTTATATTTATAAGGAACAAAGACGGTCATCGTGCATACGGGAATGCGAACTTGTGGTGCTGGCTTACCGTGGAGTGGGATGCTTGGCAGCTGGCTACTTATGGACTGATATGGTAACACATTCCTTGGCCATAGTCGATGAACAGTTCTGACATGATACTAGGCTGATTATTTTTATCGCCTTTTCTATATACGTCCGGACCGGGATTACTATCTATAAATGGAGGAAGCGTTTAAATAGCTTCTCAAATTCGTACGAGCGGAACACTTCGTCCCAAGTCCCGCAGAATGCAGACCCTCTGGTCATTGCCAAGACTACGAAAATCACCATCTCAACATCAGATTCTGCTCCGCCTGGCTTCAATCAGGCTTTTGCATCCGCAATGAGACCCGAGCCAGTCCATTCAGCAAATATTTACACTGGTCCCGCGCAGCCCATAGCGAATACTTCCGAGCAAAGCAACACCAGAACACAGTACTCAGATCGCAAAGGACGCAGCCCGAGTGACGAGGCAGCTATGTCATATGCCAAGACCGCCCTTCTGTTCTTCGCAGCGATGCTTATCACGTGGATCCCCGCGAGCGCGAACCGTCTGTACGTTCTTGTTGACGGCAAGTCATCCGTGCAGTTGGGATATCTAAGCGCATTTGTGCTTCCTCTCCAGGGGTTCTGGAACGCCTTGATCTACTATTACACCTCTCGAGCTGCGTGCAAACAGATAATTGCTAGTTTAAGGACTGGTTGCCGCCCTCTGGAAGAAAGCGACGCCAACGGGTCTAGCTTTGCTGGTGGAAGTAACGAGCAGGGGTTTCAGCTGGAACAGATAAAGGCTGCCAAGAGGGGACAAAGTTTTGGAGATACAGAAAGCACGACATCGTTGACGGCGAAAGTCTGAGGGTTTTTTTCTATTACGAGTTTTAGGTATTAATGTAGTTATTGAAATTTATTGTGATATTTAAAGATAATTTATATCTAAGATTCCCAAGACGACGTATTCCTACCCAGCAAACCACTAGCGTTCTTTATCTATCGCATCAGACAAATCTTGAAAGGCATGCCATCATCTAACCCCGAGCCCAATCGTAATAAGGAGAGTATTCAACTGATACGAATTTATATACTCTAAGCAATAATACTTACTAAATAAGGTGATACTCATGCATCAGCTGGCCAATCTGTGATCCTTCCAGCTTGTTAACAAGAAACCTGCGAATACGCTCTGGCAGCCACGTCACCAATTCCTTCCCATCCCTTAGCTGACACATTGCATCAAGCAACACTCTTACATCATAAGTCGAGCCAAATACCTCTGGAACGCCACGATCCACTCCAGTAAGCTGATATACTGACTCCATAGCCGTACGAACCGAATATTCTGTAGTAAAAATAGTGTCGCGTGTAGTCTCGGAAAATTGCCCAAGGAAGGCAAAGTTCTCTGCTCCGGGTGGGATGATGTTGGGACGATCCCCTGCCTTCCGTGGCATGAAGAAAGATGTGACATACGGCATCATTACCGGGACACATTTGGCACCTTCAGCCGCAAGAACAGGGATGTCGCTCTCTGGGACGCCCATATGATACAGCCATTCCTGGGTGATCTCCTCGCCAGTGCAATCTTGCATTGGCTTCTTGACGTAGTCGCCGTTCTTCTCGACAAGAAGGCCGTAGACCCAGACAACAATCTGATCCTTGGGCTGGTTCTTAAAGTGAGGCTGACGATTGACTGTCCAGCTCATGATCCAGCTAGAATCCCGGACTGTGACGATACCTCCAGTTACGACCTTTCCGCTGAATGGATCTCGCTTGCAGATCTTCTGGATATACTCAGGAACACGTTTGTCCAAAGTCGTGACTGTTGCCGACATCCACTTTGTCGCAGGGATGTTGTCGCAGAAAACCTCTGGGCGGCCAAAAGAGGGGTCTTTGGCAGCGATGCGGCGCCACAAGTCCCAGGCGGGAGCTGGACCATCATGGAGTTTGGCTGGGGTATGCTGGTCACCCAAGCCAGAGTTCTCCGTCAACGAACCAATAGTCATAAAGAGGAGGTCGTTGACTCCCAGCGACTGGCCGCCTTTCTCTCCGTCTCTGATCCAATGAATGAAAGTTGCTGTCTTTTTGTTCTCCTCAATGTTGAAGTCTACATCTTGAACTTCGGTGCTGTACTGAAATACAACACCCTGATCCTCAAGCCATTTATGCAGTGGCAGCACAAGGGACTCATACTGATTGTACTTGGTGAATTTGAGGGTCGAAAAGTCAGGCATGCCTTTGATATGGTTGACAAAGCGATGGAGGTAGAGCTTCATCTCTAAAGCAGAGTGCCAGGTCTGGAAAGCAAACATGGTCTGCCAGTAGAGCCAAAAGTTACTCTTGAAGAAGTCCTCGCTGAAAACTTCGTCAATGCGCTTGTTTTCAACTTCAGCTCTAGTAGCAAGGAAAAGCCTCGTCATCTCTGACTGGGCCTTTTCGGTCAGAGTGAACAGCTTCCCAGTCTCTGCATCTTGGCCCTGATTGATGGTAGCGCGCTGGAGTGAGAAGTTGGGATCTCTCTTGTTGAGCCAATAAAACTCATCAAGGACACTAGCTCCCTTTTCTTCAATCGAGGGAACAGAACGGAAGAGATCCCAAAGGCACTCGAAGTGAGATTCCATCTCGCGGCCACCACGGATGACGAAGCCTTTCTCAGGTTCTTTGATGCCATCTAGGGCACCGCCTGGGATCTTGAGTTCTTCAAGGACGGTGATGTTCTTGCCTGGCATTTGAGCATCGCGGACAAGGAATGCGGCAGTTGAAAGACCAGCAAGGCCAGAGCCAACAATCCAGGCCGTTTTGGACTCAATGCCTTCAGGCTTGAGCGGTCGCGCAAAGGCTTCATAGTTGCCTTTGCTGTAGTACATAGTGAATAGCGAATTGGTGTTTGGTATGTGAAATATAGTGTAATAGTTATATATGTTATGATTATACCAAAAACAACTTCCCCAACCATGGCCAACTCCTTTTATTTATCTTCATTTCCATCTTGCGTGACGCAAGCAAATCCTTCCTCCCGATATGATCTGATTGTTGAGAAGTCCGTTGGTGATTTGTTAGTGCCCGAGGTTTTGGTAGTCTAACCCGAGCGTCACATGTAATTAGCTTCTGACAGTGGGCCGACTTGACGCTTTCCAGAAGATCGTGACTACGTCACATTAGATGGCGCTGCGAGATAAGGTATCGAATTGTCATAATCGGGTTACCGGTAATAATTGTCACCGTCCTTAGACTTTGCATGCCATTTCGCAAATCACGAGGCTTGTCGAATTTTTCTTTTTACCTCGCGCTAACTCTATCGTTGCGTGATAATGACAGCTGATGGATATGGGCGGGTCTACAATAAGCGCTGTTATAGGTCACGGCACATTCCGTTCTGGTAACCTACGTTGAGTCAATCGGAGCTGTGAAATGCCGTTTCCCGATGTCATTGTTCAATGGTGCCCGGTACTACCAATTTTCTCATAGACTATTATCACCAACAAAATAAAAACAATAGCCACCTTGCAAAGTGAGACTAGTTTACATTGAAATCAAAGGGAACAAGTGACGCGGGGTATTTGTCCTGCAACAGGTCGTTCCCATACATGAGACTGTCTTCCCAATTGAAGTTACTCAACGCCTGATCACCTTCGTCATCCGCGAGAGGATGCAAGAAGTCTGTTGTGACATGTATACTGACGTAAGGGAGACCTTCTGTAGGTAGGTCAGAATAATCAGTGGATAGTCTGGCATTGTGAATGATCGGATCGAGAAGTTCCCAAATCATAGATGGTGGAAAATTAATCGTGGTATCAGCTGCACCAGCTTCAGGTGACTTTCCAATGACAAGGGACTGGAGTCTTTGGAGACTTTGGAGCTGGGATTATGGTCAGTAAGCACCGGGTCCACAGTGGAAAACATACTTTATGTGACATGCATGGCCAGGTTTTGGACAGGCGTTGCAGCAATCTCTGTCCCTTGGCTAAATTCTGGCTGGCTTTGTGAGCGACCTTGGCATTCTTCACGAATTGGTATAGCCACGGAATGGTCGATGTTGCTGCAACGGCCAGCCCAATGAGAGGATTCGATATCTCGATATTCAAATCTTCAAAAATCCCAATAAGCCAGAATACCCATCCAGAGTGAAATAGAGCTTGATCCACGACCTGTTGCAAGAACAACCTGGACTGGCTCATACCTTTATTGCGGCGTAAAGCCACCAAATGGATGAAAGGATGGTTCAACAAGGCGAGAGACGCATGTAATACTAAATGCGTAGTCAACCATGGATTCCAATACTCGCGGTGTGCCTGTATCTCGTCTGGAGTTCTTTTGAAGGGGAAGAGGCTCCTCATCAGGTGTCTCTGGTTGAACTGAGCCTCGTACTCAAAAAGAGCAAGATTGAGCTTGGAGTACGTGGACTCCGGCAGCCAGGGTATCTGAACCTCTCCACGTCTGATTTCATGAAGATGGCAAGCGACTTGACTCCAGACTGCTACCATTCTCCCCGCGTGCGTGTTGATTCCTAGGTCCTCAGACGAGCCAACGGCATTATCGAAGTCCGGTGCATTGTAGTCGTTCGCATCTAGTGGGATTGGTGGCGGAGGCTCAACACTGGGTGGATATTTCCGGCTCTGATCATTTGTTGGGGCCCGTGGCATGTGAGAGAAAAAGACGGCCTCGATCATATGAATGCTCCAGTGACATCTGTTCTCCTCTGCTGATTCCTGATCGGGGATTGACTTGCTTTTCCACAGATTACGAATACTCTCTAGCCGTGACGCTGTGCCAATGGACATCCATGCCCTGGGTAGATCACTCACTGTAAAACTATTAGTAAGATCCATCCGAAGAAGGTCAACTGTGCTTACCTGCAATATCTCTCAGTGCCATCATGCATAGAGCTTGAACGATCTCAACCTGCTGTTTTCCTTCACCAGCAAGTTGCTGTATGGTAGTAGCTGCCGAACGGCTGTAATAGCTAGATGCCTCTGCGTGTTGATTCCGGAAATATTCATGAGTAGTGAACTCGAGCATAAGAGCTAGGAAGCTATAAATAAAATACCGAGGACCATTATTGAGTCTCCTTCCCAGGGTCTCAAGGTCAAATAATGGTAGAGGTTGAAGATGCACTGTCTGACTGTAGACTTGTAGAAAGTGTGCCAATACATCTTTTTGCAGTTCAGATCTGAGATAAGGATTAGCCCAACGCATGTTACATTAGCATCAAGATGAATCGTACTGGTTTTCCGAGAAAGAGACAATTTGTTGCTCATTCGGAACAGCCTGGCTAGTTGGGAAAAGATTTCCACCCGGGTTGGTTATTGAAGGAAGAGGCTGTGGAGGTCTTGAAGCCTGAGCTTCACTACTCGTCTGCGAACTAGCATGCGACTTATTAGTGTTTATAGTTATGTCGCTATGGAGTTCTCGACTTGCCTAAGTAATTCAGACAAGGACGCTATTTGCGATTCAAGAACTTGGACCCTGTCTTTAGTGGATTTACTACAAGTTCGGTCAGGCAGGGAATCTAAAATTGAGCAGTGGAAGCGTCTAACTTCTGAGATTTCTGGGCTTTGTTGCTGCCATCCAGTAACGGACTTCCCCTTGCTGCATACTTGCACGGAAGTTGAAGTCGCTCACAAAATGAGCAAATCGGTCGCTCTCCAGTGCACTTTGACTTCTTGCGACTGCAGTTATGTATCAGCTGACCAATTCCTCTTTACAATAACTCTTTAACTTACCGACATGGCTCACAAGCTCGACGGCTTTGGCGAGTCTGAGTTCCTGATGTCATTGGGTTGATGATGTGTTGATTGGGTCATGGAAGAGGGCGGAGAAAGAAAGTTCCGCGGAGTTTGGAGACCACAGATAGCACGTGAATAGTGGGGATACACTGAACTCTCGCCAATCATACTTGTGATCTTTTCCGTGACCATATTTAGCGAGAGACAGTTCCGCTCACATGACAGCTAGCGAGCGTTGCTGATTGGATCAAAATTGTTAAGCAACTTCCTCGGAGATCTGCAAGTCCCGGCATTAGCAGAAATAATTATCAGCATAAGGAGAAGGTGCACACTTAAAAGATCTAAAAACAACTTGATACTTAAATCATTTTTTTCTATCGCTTTCTTTATTACGTGATAAATAAACAACTACTTTTTATACACTGTTATTGCCTAGAGTCACCTTGAATCCTACCAAGATGGCAACCTCAGAAGCGATGAAGGCTGTTGTTTTCGATGGCCCATATAAGATCTCTATCCAGGACAGACCAATTCCTCAAAGTATAAAGCTTCAACGGCCTGTATTACCAATTTTTACTAACTGTTGCAAGTCCAGAATTCTCAAGACATTATTGTAAAGGTCAACATGACTGCGTTGTGCGGATCGTGTGTACCCCTGCCAATAACATCCCATAAACGGAGGGCTGACAAGATACCAGAGAGCTACATTTATACCGAGGCGTTGAACCAACAGAACCGGATTTTATCATGGGCCACGAATTCACAGGTACTGTTGTTGCTTTGGGCTCTGAGGTCAAGACCGTGAAGATTGGAGACAAAGTCGTCTCGCCTTTCACTGCTTCATGGTGAGATTTCCTAGAGAATCTCTCTAATTCAAATGCTAACATCACACAGTGGCGAGTGTTACTACTGTCAGAATGGTGGCTCAGCACGATGCGTCAAGAGCCAAGCCCTCGGTTCTCCCAATCTTGACGGAGCTCAAGCAGAATATGTCCGTGTACCATTCGCAGACGGGACTGTGATCAAGGCCCCCGAAGGAATACACGATCAGGCCCTTATCCTCATGGCTGATATCTTCCCTACCGGTTATTTTGGTGTCCAGAGCGGAGTTGAGATGATGCCAAAGCTAGATCTGCAAGATTCAACTATCGTGGTCATTGGCTGTGGCCCCGTTGGACTATGTGCCCTTGTTGCTGCGGCAGTGCTCAAGCCAAAGCATCTATTTGCGGTGGATAGTGTTCAGAGCAGGCTTGATCAGGCTGCGAAGCTTGGTGCTGAGCCCCTGAACTTCATGGAGAGCAGGGATGGAATGATTGAGCGTGTAAAGTCTGTTACTGATGGAAGGGGTGCTGATATAGTGGTGGAAGTGGTTGGCCTCTCACCAGCACTCCGAACTGCATTTGACTTGGTTCGGTCGTTCGGTGCTATCAGCAGCATTGGTGTTCATAACGCCGAGGTATGTGACATGATACTACTATGGATTGTACTAACATGCAACAGATCCCTTGGTCAGGCAGTGACGCGTACAAGTGAGTTACAACCTCTTGCTATATTTGATAGAGCTAACTGAGTTTAGTAAAAATGTTCGACTGCAAATGGGACGGTGCCCAGTAAGAAGCATCTTTTCCGAGGCAATGGAAGTTCTCAAGCAAGAACAAGATTCTCTCAGGTATGCATTACTTAAGCCACAGATATGCTTCAAGAGCCTGGCTTGAGCTGACTGAGTGCAGCTTTCTATTCGACAATATCCTTCCTTTATCGGAGGCAGTCCGAGGTTACGAACTGTTCAACGAGTCCAAGGTCCAAAAGGTCGTTTTCCAAGTCTGATGTGTATGTGGCCCCAGACTCTTCAACTGTCCGTCACCTTCGGGACTATTAGAGAGGATATCTTAGAGAGGAAAAGTCTAAGTAGTCAATTGTCTAATTCTACATTCTTCTTTTGTTTGCTCGATCTGATGGCTCAGCCATATGTCCTCTCAGCCCTGATTGATACTACCAGTTCCAAACAGTTCCATGTTAATTTGCTCGTGCTTGATCCCCAGACTTTGCAGCTTATCTCTTGTTGCTTCCATCCAAGAAGCAGGTCCACAAATAAAAAATTGAGATGCCTTGTTTTCCAACGCTTCTTTCTTCGCTCCATACACTATATCTAGGTCTAATCGCCCCTCGAAATCATAGTCTTCGCCCTTCTTATCGTTTTGGGCCACGTTCTTGAGCCAGATAAGAATCTCAACGTTCTGATGGTCCGCCGATACATTACGAACCTGTTTTCGGAAAGCCATGTGCTGCGATGTTCCAGCTGCGTGGAGCCAGAGGATGGGTCTGTTTGCCATCTTCGATTGAGGCGAGCTGAGAACTGACTCGAGCATGGACATCAAAGGTGTAACACCAACGCCGGCCGATATTAGAATAAGAGGTGCATTTGTCTTCGTATCATCGTCGATGTCAAGCCAGAACTCGCCACGAGGATAAGTTATCTCAACTTCCTCTCCAACCTGATAGTGGTTGTGTAAGAGATCGGAGACGGTGCCGGGCAAATGTTCGTCTTTTCCTTCCAGATTGAAACTCTCCTTCTTGATACTGACTCGGTAGTAGTCACTATGAGGTGCCTGACTCATGCTGTACTGACGGCATTGGAAGATGCCACCGAGCTCAGGTACATTGACTCGGAGGCTGACATACTGACCAGGACGGAATGGAGGTAAGGGCGTCTTTCCATCAGATGGAACCAGATAAAAACTTGTGATGAGATCTGCTTCCTTCTCGCGCTTGGCAATCTTGAACTTCCTCCAGCCATCCCACTCGCCAGCCTCTTGATATAATTGCTTCTCGCGGTTGATAAAGATATTGGCTAGTTGACCGTAGGCAGCCGTCCACGCATCGGCGATATCATCTGTGAGGGCATCGCCTAGTACTTCTCCAATGGCTTTGATAAGCTGCTCGCCAACAAGAGCATATTGATCTTCCGTAACCTTCAGGCTGACATGTCTCTGGGCAATACGTTCGATCGTAGACGCTAAAAATTCAGGCTTGTCGATATAGGTGGCATAAGCGAGTACAGCACCAGCCAGAGCTTTGGCTTGGGCACCGTCGTGTTGATGGCTGAGGTTGAAGATGTTGCGGAGATCAGGATAGTTACCAATCAAGTTCTTGTAGAACAAGGATGTAATGGTCTCTCCATGAATCTTGAGTACAGGGGCTGTTGACTTGACAATGTCAACTTGGGAGGTTGTCAACGACATAGTGAATAGTTGGTATAAACGAAAAATGAATTAATCTCTGATTGAGCGACGCAGAGACATATTGAGAACGCCGGCATGTCTTATTAATATATATAGTCAATTAACGGCAGACTTTTCAGTGTTCGTGCTTATGATACCTGACTTTGTCATCCTTAACCCCATCGGTAGATGCCAGGATGAATCATGTTTTCTAAAGATTCCATCTTCGTAGTGGGACGTTGTGAGATTTCCGCGGATTTGCTTCAACAGAGGCCTTTAACACAATTGCCCAACAAATCAGAGTCGAGTGAATTATGAAGTCTGGGATTGAGCTTTCCCGAATGGGACTAGACTCCGATCATCCTCAGCGCGCTGACCCGGAGTCGTCGGGTCATTTGTCGGCTGAACTCGGTATTTGAGGGTCACGTGTGACGCTCGAATTGTCGCGTCAGACGTGACGCGAAATTGTCCGGGAAATTTCGGCAAACACCACCGAGCAGGCCCGAGTGGGATGAGAGTTACCCTACAAATCTGCTTTAACAAATTATTAAATGAGTCTGATTGCATCCAGCCTCTTAGAAATGTCTGTTCTGGACAATAATCTTTAGACAGATATCTTTCCCCTAAGTGAGCAGACGTTGCGCTTGCGAAAAGTACGAGAACGCAAGATGTAAATTTGTTTTAACATTGAAAACTTGACTTCTTCTACCCCTTACCGCTGGTTTAATGCCAAAAATACCAAAAGAAGGGAAAGGGAAAACGCTATAGTACAGGCATGAGAAATATTTCACAGAACAGCGTTGTATATTTTAGATTTAAAGAGGAGTTTAAAACGGATAACTATATATTTCCTTCTGCCGGGAATTGAACGATGGTTGTAAGTGCAGAAGACTCCTTGAGGATGTACTGAATTAAATTATGAGTCTTGATTGGCACGTGAGTGAGTTATGCAGATTGTGCACAATTAGAAACCTTTTACATAAAAGCTGAGTGCTTATTAAAGATGTTATTAAGCCCTTTGCAGCTTCCCAATTGCACCAAGAGCGAGGGCTAATTGACTCAAACCGCAGTATTTACTCCGTAACGACATCTCTCAACCAACAGCATGTCGCAAAGCCGGTTGACAAAGTCAAGTTGCCATTATTCAGCATCGCTTGTCAGACTTAGTCAACAAACATTCAGCCATCCAACCATGAGCAATATTATCTAGATCCAATTAAAATGACTGAATTGATTCAGGACCAAATCTCGGCTACAATGCATGCCTCGTTTGGTATTTACACGACATTGAGTAAAGTTAACGACTATTGCGGCTGGAAGACCAGGGGGGTTGTTATGTCTATATAGCTTGCAGCCTTTTCATGAGATTATTTTATTTTTATTACCACTAGACAAGAACAGCAGCTGAATCATCTTGGTAGCTTTCCCTACTCAACAAGTTTCAACATGTTGTTCCACTCTGTCCTAGGTCTGATCGCCTTCCCAGCCGTCGCTCTGGGCACGTCCTTCACCGCAAAGACAATCAGTCAACTCCCTCTCGGCACATGGTTAGAGAATGTTGCCGTACGCTCCAACGGAGATCTCCTGGCAACGGAACTCTGGCCCTCAGCCACTGTCTATACCGTCGTCAACCCAGCAGACTGCAAGTCTGGCCTTGAAGAGCTAGTCACGTTCCCCTCCATCACCGGACTTCTTGGTATCGCCGAGGTACCCAAGAGCCCTGGAAAGCCCGAGACCTTCATTGCTGTTGGCAGCGAGGCTACTGCTCTCAGCCACTTGACGCCAGGAACCTTTGAGGCTTGGGCTATCGAGTTTCCCAATCGACGACACCAACCCAAGGTCAAGGTTAGAAAGATCAGTGACATGACCAAGAAGAGCGCTTTTCTCAACGGCGTCGCCGCCATCCCCGGCAGGTCAGATGCTGTCCTAGTGTCTGACTCTGTCGCTGGATTCGTCGGCCGTCTGGACCTATCTACAGGTGTCTTCGACGATTCGGCATTTGTGTTCCCCGAAATGGCTCCTATCGCAGCTGGTGCTTTCGGAATCAATGGCATCAAGATCCGCGACAACTACTTGTACTTCACCAATTCCAACGCTGTCAAGATATACCGCATTGCCATCACTCCAGCTGGTTACCCGAAAAAGGGAGCCAAGCCTCAACTCGTCGCAGATCTTTCCAGCGGCGTTGGGTTCTTCGATGACTTCGAGTTTGACAAGAATGGCAATATCTATGCCGCTACCAATTTTGATAATTCTATCGTCTTTGTTGATGTGAAGACCGGGAAATGGAAAACTGTCGTTGGTGGTATTCACGAGATGACAGTTGCGGGTTCGACTGCGGCTTCATTTAGTTACGGGAAGAAGGGGGAGAAGACCTTGTATGTTTCCACATCGGGTGCACTTGCAAAGCCTGTCGATGGAACCAAGACAGAGGGTGCCAAGATTGTTGCTGTGAAGATTCATTCATAGAATTGATTATGTCTACCCGAAGAAGAGAAGGACGATTGGAACGCTGGTACTGAGACTGAGGACCGGGAAGTGCCAGTACCTATTCTTCGTATATTTATTTTAGCAAATAGACTTCTCTTAAGGCCAGAATACCTTAGCTCTCATAAAAAAAAGCGCACGTATAGACACGGTATCATTATTATATCGCTAGATACTTCGGTCGAATAATCCATCGCCGTTGTATGCTCCTCTTGAACCGACATATACCACCAAAAATAGCCTCGGCAACCAGGCCCATGCTTGCGTTGGTAGCACTAGTGCTCTGACTCACTGACCGGATCCGCAAGCTTAGATCGATAAGCCATCTCCTCTGTGGCTTCAGTGCCAGTAGCAACTGAGTAGTAAACCTTCGCAGGTCTGTTGAAGACAAAGCCGGGATGGGCAACAAAGAGGCAAAAGACTGCCACAACAATCAACCTGGAAAGGATGGTGAGTATTGGAGTAACGGAAGACTGTATAGAGACTAGACTTACACTCCTTCTAAAGTAACGAATAAGTCCTCATGCTTGATCAGCTCCCCTTGGTAACCCTCCTTGAGCTCATCGGCTCTGAAGACGCAACGAGCCAAAGTAGCAAGGACTGCAATGGCGAGGAAGGCAAAGAACAGCTTGTCTCTTGACCCGAGATTTCGGGACTTCTTCGACCTTAGGTAACGAAACATGTAGTCGCCGAACAAGAGACTAAATGTGACCAGCATAATGACTTGCAGAATCAGTCCTGCCATGGCGACATCAACTCCGACCTGGCTAGCACCGGATGACGACGCGCGACTTTGCCCGCGACTTCATGTGTGCAGCTCAGGATCATGCACCACATGAACCAGGGTGTTTTCCATTTGAAGCCCAGGTAGGCATGCGCGAAAGTCGCCAATGTAAATAAAGCGGTAAAAGCAATGTTGGCAGGGAGAGAAGGTCGGTAACCATAAACGCTCATCTCGATAGGGCAAAGCTGATAGGAGTATTAGCAAGGGACGGTAGCCAATAACAAAGCTTGTGTGGCTTGGCTCAGAGGTAAGTACCAGCTATGCACTGGATCTGATGTAGAGGACACGCACTTCCAAGGTACAGTTGGCCTTGGGCCCAAATATGACAAAGTTACCTGTGTCGTTCATCATGAAAGAAGCTAGCGTCAAGGTTGGAAGAGAGAAAGAGGAAAGGGAATCAGTTGGAGCTAGAAGTTAGATGGAAAGGATCTTGTCGCTGAGAAAGACTTCATCAGGATCTCACATCCATTCTTATACTACCCAAACTGATCAACAAAACACTGCCACTTTCGCATTCGCATGGGATCCTCACTGAGACCCTGACTTGACTGTCGTGTAGCTATTTCAAAGGAATAAGCTCATGCCTAGCCTACATCTAAAGTTATGAAACAGGGAAGGCCAAAGGAACAAATCCCTGTGAACTCAGTTAAGCTTATGTACCTATATTAAAGCTGATCTTGGGCGCATTCACATGAAAGGGCAATCACTGCAAATCTCTTCAAACGTGGCTGCGTGACAAAGTGAAACAGTCGAAGATTTGCAGTATTCGAGGATAGACGTACAAGGATCGACATCCCAGCTCTGTCAAAGCACAGCTGGGCATGAAGGACGGTAAGCGTTGCGGAGCGGCCAATCTACTCCGAGGATACTTGACGCTAGTCAGAAAGATTATCGTGGCTACCTTGCCTCAACCCAGCCTCCTGGACGCATTCTGCGTTAGTCGGGAACAACAATGGGCTTCCTGGATACTGGATGGTATTTAAACTACCGAAATGCTAGGACTTGGGTTTGAATGCTGCCTGGGGCTTTAAATACTTAGACCCAAAGGATTTGACTCTGGTATCTAAGCATTGAGACTATTATAACCGAACCTTTTCTAAGCCTCATTTGAAACCGGCGTGAAGTGCTGTTTAGTAGATATTGTCCTTACATTGTATACCGCCTAAGGAATGCTATGACTTTCTCTGTGAACCATGATTAGCAATCTCCGCTTTGGCTTGGTTTCCTTTTGGATAGTACATCAGATCTGCAGACATCTTCATTAGTCAATGCCCAGTATAACGGAATTTGCCATATTCTCAAGAGCATGAATTTGGAATCATTATAAATTCAGTTTGGCGGATCATGAGACCTGCTACAGGCATACCAGTGTCCAATAATATAGACCTCTAGCCGGAGTACTCATCCAACAGTTGCATCAACCAATAATATTGATACCTGACCGAGGTGATCCGTAACTGCACCCTAACAACGACAAGATACGCGGCGGCCGCTTAGGCGGCCACTGGGGCTGAAATCAACCTTACATGATTGCATCTGACATGGACACTTTTGGCCTTGGCAGATACCTCTTTACAGGGCTGTGCATTGACCCACAAAGATGAGAGTTCTGTAACGCTGATTGACTCTGTCGCATGGCTAACTAGAAATAGCTTTAGCTTGGATAAGTCATCACCCCACTCCACATGAGGAGACCAGGGTGATCGGCTTACGAGACTGTAAGGGTTCGATCCTGTACCGATTTCATTGGATGGTCGGATAGCCCCCTACGAGCAAGGTTACATCATACATGCTGGACAATCACCAAGACCGTCATCAAATTGCGGATGCGACAGAGGAAGGATAGCAGAGGTGTTGCCAACCAGTGAGGCAATGAGGAAGCGGTAAAGAGAATAGAAATGTTATTTGCCTAATTTGGATACCATTCGCCGATTAAAAATGTCTCGCAATTCGAAAACGAAAGATCCTGTATTTCCGTCTCCAACAGCAAATCAGCCATCGACACCGCCAACTGCAAACCCATCCGCACCCCAATCCTCCTCATCAATGCACCAACCCAATGCCTCTGATCCGCAGAAGTGGTTCTCTGTATCCCAGCAAAGAACAGAGGCCAAATAAGTAGGAAACCTCCGGGGGTCGGATTGCTACTAAGATACATTGTCTGAGCAAAACTCTCAGCCATACTATCTTGGGCTCGGTACCCAAGATGATATGCAACGCTGTGGCAGACCCCGTCTGCCATCGCGGCTAAGACTTTGGCCGAGCTTTGCAATGCGTCTTTCTGCTCTGCAGTACCGTGCTTCAGCGTAGCTATGATAATGGACTCGTGAATCAAAAGCCTGACATTGCGGTAACAATTCCACACGCAAGCTATCCAGTGATCTGTATACATGTCGTGCTGTAGATCATACCGACTAGAAGGCACGCCGTTAGGACCAATGGACCTGTAAGACTTGTACACCCAGCTTGGCGGTAGTGTTTGCGCCCAGTCTTCGAAAAGCTTATCGATCTTGAGAAGCCTGTCAGAAATCACAGCTGGGTCTGTAATGTGCTGATACTTGAGCTCAGCGCGGACGCTAGCCAAAACCTCATTGATCTCGGAGAAGCGATTGACCGGGACGAGGTCGCTGTTCTGGCTTCTTTCAGCCCAGCTCGACCATTTTGAGATCTCAAATGGTATGGGTTCCTGCAGCTGGTGGCAAGTTGTGATCTAAATTGGGTCAGCATATGCAGCCCCGAGCGGAAATCCGTCTTACCATGATGCGCCGCATCTGCATGAACATCTTCAAGCCAACAACGGTCTGGAACTGGGCTGGTCCACGCATTTCGATGCACCTCGCTGCAGCGATGATGTGTTGGCTGAAGGCTTTCAGTGAGCCAGTATCTGCAAAAGCAATAGTCTAGCACGAATCAGTAGGTAAAAGTCGAGTTTGGATACGCGAGGCCGCACCTCAAAGGTCCCCATGAGCAATACTGCACCAAGTGTTTCATCAGACACTCTCTGGACAGGATCTTGTAGGGCACTCTGTAGCTGACGAATGGCACTGTCATATAGACGGAATGCTTCTGCCCGCCATTCTGACACGTTGCCCGCATTAGAAAGAGCAGCGAACCCCGCAGCCGCTACTGTTGTGCTGAGAAGCCCGAAAGAAGACTGTTGATTGCGTATGAGCCCTGGAAGAAACTCATGGTTGTCCCTTAGTGGCAAGGTTCCTCCTGCACTAGTCATATCAAAAACGTACTGCCGCATAAAGAAAGTAGTAGCTCTGTCTCGTGCTGGGGGGGATACAGGTCGTTTCCATACTTCAGAGTCTGCGCTCGATGATGCCGTGCTCAGCGCCCTGGCATTCTTTCTGGCAAGATCTGCAGTGGTTTGGTTGCGGAAGAACATCTTACTCTCGGACGACCCTGGACATACCCATCCAGCTGTTTTGCACTGCGTGCACGATGGTGTTAGTTCATCGCACTGCTTCGCGTTAGAGATGCTATCGATAATGTCGAAGTATCCGTCTATATATGTTTACCTTTATCTTCCGCTTCTTGCAGGTCGCGCACCCGCGGCTAGGTTTCCCAGTGTTGACCATGGCTTATGAAAGTCCGATTGAATGATCCAATGCTTATTACAGCTTCCCCAAAGACAGATTGGGGATGCTAAGACATGCAGAAGATATAAGGAATAGTACTGCTCCCCTGGCTCGAGGTTAGAGTTTCACTAAGCCCCAGGAGCCGAGCGTTAAAATGTGACGTATCATTGCATTGCCGCCAATTCTAGGCCCTAATAAAACGATGCCAATGAAACCGCAAATGCACGCGCCTTTTAGGCGAGTAAGTCAAGACTGGCAATGCTGCAATGCACCGGAGTGGGAGGAGGCGATGCAAGATCCCTGTCACAGTGCTGGCCCAGTAAGATTCGAGGAAATAGCGGCTAAAATAGAATGTGAATCACCATTAGTTACACCACGCAACAACTTTCTCGCACTCGCAGCTAGTAAGAATAGTTTAAAAAATGCGAAAGGAGTCCGAGATGAAGGATCCGAACACAGCCTCAATTCTGAATTCGAATCTTATTAAGGATCGAACAATGGTGTGGTGCCCTGTTTATCACTTAATGTTATCCGCTCTGGGTTCACTTCGACCTTCTAATTATGCGCTATTTAGGCCGCTAAATGCTGTGAAGTCGGCGGAGGCGTTATTACTTCTTATCCAATATCTAGACTACAATTAATTATAATACAAGGATCTATACCAAACAATCCGGATATCCTTTTCCAACCACCGTCCCACGAGCAAGTCCGAGCCTCCACGCATATTTAATGGACTCCCTTCCTGATCATATATTTGGCGATGAGGTCATTCGATTAAAATTAGTTGACCAAGTCGCAATGCCCAACGGTAAAGAATTACTTCAACACGCTAAGGAAGCCACGAACCTGCAGTAGATATAAAATGATTCTGAGACAAAATATCAACAAGAGGGCAGCCATGTCTTTTTGTTCGTTACGTAGGTGTTCAGCTGAAAATCTAGATACTTAAGGGTTCTTAGTGACACGCACCGCTATTTCAGATGGGGTTATCGCTGACTGCGACCAACGGCCTCGGTGAGATTAGCCTGAAGCAGGAGCAAGTCTCTACGCTACAATGCACTATCGAATAATATTCACTGAAGTCCAATACTAGTTGCCAGATGCAGGACTTCTCCCGTGACGAGTCTTCCCTATTGACATCTGTGGTGAATACACAATCAATCAACAGAGGGAAGAAATGCACTACTCATCACAAAGTGGAAACACCTCCACAAATGTTATTGAGCCATGAGTGAGTGGCGATACTATTCTAATCCCATGCAGGCTTGTCAGAGCCAAGAGGTTTCGGCATGATATACCAGCCAACCTCTAAACCCTCAATGGTAGCACTGTGCTTGATGGACTTCATGGTGCCGAACCCCGTCTCCTGGATCTCAAAATACTCATCAGGGACATCTTCTGGCTTGTCAAAGTCCCTCGCCTCAAACCCACTGGCACCAGGATATTGTCCCAGACTCCTCAAATACTTCATCATGCCTGCTAATGAGACATCGACTCTCCACGAACCGCCCTTGACAGCACGATGATACACAGCAGCCATGACGCCAACTGCAAGCATATAACCGCCTGAGTGGTCGAGGGCTTGGCAAGGTGTTGGGCGGGCTGCCTCGCCCTTTCCGGCGTGTTCAGCTTCAGAGACATTCATGCCTGAACATGTCTGCACAAGCGAGTCAAATCCACGACGGTCCGACCATGGACCTTCAGGACCGAAAGCAGACATGTTGGCTACGATGATGGTTGGATTGATCTTTCTCAACTGATCTTGGGATAGACCATGTGAGGCAAGACTCCCAGGTCGATAGCCTTGAACAAACACGTCGCAGTCTTTGAGAAGATTGAGAAGCTGCTTTCGATCCTCCGAGTTGTGTATGTCGAGTTGCACAGTCTTTTTCCCGCGACCAAATTCCCGATCAACTCTTGGCAAGTCCGGAAGTGTTGGTGAAGTCACCCAAATTACCTCAGCTCCATGTGCTGCTAAGGTCTTACCGCATAATGGTGCAGCAATTACCCGGCTCATCTCGACAACCCTAAGACCTTGTAGGCAGTTGAGATTTCCGGGCTGCATCCTGCTTGGCAGGCCGGCTGAAGGTGAGTCCGACAGCTGTTTGATGTTGATAGGGAAATTGCTGATGACCTTCGATTGAGGGAGCTTATCCCATTGACGATATGATCGCAGAGCGTATATTGCGACGTTTCCCTCTGCTGTTCCGCAATTCTCCAAGTCGATACTAGCCCAATCTGCAGTCTGCTGAGATACCTGCTGTCGATTCGCACCATCTTCCAGACCAAGCAAGTCAAGGGTGCCTTGAACGTGGTTTGGAAATCCATCGTGGATTCGAACATAGCCATCTGACGTTTTATGTAATCCACCAATAGCGCCGCCTGATGGAGCAGCAAGCTCGTCCGAAACTGTATACAATCTTTCCGACTTGTACTCTACGACAGCGTGCTGGAGCGGTACCGTGACACGCGGAACGGGGATCTTGTTCCGCAAAGCATGAACCTGAGCGGCCGTCAAAGCAGACAGCGCGATAGAAGCTTGCCCGAGGATTCCGATTTTGAATGACGAAGGAAGAGCTGGACCTTCTTCACCAGGAAGACTGACAGATGTCAAGGACGTCTCGGGTAGACCAAGGCCTATCCAAAACTCCTTCACGACATCAAATGATTTGTAGTTTGCTCGGTCAATACTTTGTTTGGTCTTGTTTGCACCAGATACATAAATATTACTCAATTCTGGGACTTGCTCCGGTATCGGCATGATAGCAGGAAGTAGAGGAGTGATCGCCTTGGATACGAAAGCAAGTGAAACTTGAAATATCTAGGAGCGCAACTCAAATCTAGGAGCAAAAATTGCACATATATGTAAAATGGTTGAATGGTTGGATTAATTCGAGAGTGAAGGCATGATGCAGGCTCTTGTCCCTGGCGCCTTCCATCGGCAACCCCAATAGCCGAGTAGCCAATCATGTCGTGATATCGCCAACTTCTGTTGAGCTTCCCCTTTCGATAAATTGTTCATACCCTCCCACAGCGAGCTTTTCCTTTCGGTAAAGAACGAACACAAACTTGGCCTCTAACAACGCGAGCAACACAAAATAGTGACTTACAAGTATGGCTAGAATGGCTGAATGACATGATTGAATGAAGGTGAATAGTTGATGCAGGTCACTCACGCCGCCATTAATCGGCTTCCCGTCAACCCAATAGCCGGGTAGCCAATCACGGCGCGTCATCCCTGCTGTAATGCCAATTCATCGAGATTTCATTCAGCACTTCTCATAAAATCGCGAAAAAGAACAAGGACACTGTTATAAGATTACTAAACGCAAGTTACCTGGCAAAATGGCTGGCTGAAAATATGCATATCGTTTAAGAAACCCAGCCCTCCTGTTTTAGCGGTTTACATGCAGGCAACAGGGGCCCAATAGAACGCTAGGCTTGGCAATTACTCAATCTGAAAATGAGTCCAGACCCAAATTTATAAGATAGGAACCCAAGATATTCATAACGTTGCATACCAAATGCAATGCAGTTAAGAAGATGGCTGGCTGAAAATACGTATACAGTTTCAGCAACTTAGCCAACCTGCTTTAGCGATGTATGGGCATCTGACAGTGGCCTTTTAGAACGCTGGGTTTGGCAATTGCTAACTCTGAAGATGGTCACAGACCCGAATTTACAAGACAGTGTGCCGAACTACTAGTACCATTGCATACCAAAGAACGCTGGAGTGTTTCCGATTGGTTGGGGTCTGATATACTAGTAGAAATAGTAAAAATGGCTGGCTCAAAATGAGGCCATTATTTGATCTGGATAACAGCTTTTGCCCTAAGTAAGATAAGACATATCCAAGAGTGGAATCAAGCTTTTCCTACTCAATCGCGTGGCTTGCAGTAGATTAGGCTAAAATGGAGGCCTTACCGACTGTTAAAGTCAAAGGTAGTCGCGCTGGGGCATTGCCAATTTGACAATTTGGCAAATCACAGATAGCCAAACACCAGATATCAAACTATAAGTAAATGACTGAGTTTTATAAATCCTTTATATAGATATTTAGAGATCTACCTCATGATTAACAACTACGGGTTCCCAATTTGCAAGCGAAAGATAATATACTAAATGTACTAAAGGCTGTTTCTTAAACAACCAGAAAGGGTTAAATCTAAGAGTCTAGAACCTTGAGCAGTGTCTGTGGCTTGCTAATACGAACGCCAGGTTTATCCCAATCCTAATAAGACTAGACCATGAAACATCCAGCGATATTGTGTTAGCGTGGGTAATATGAAGCTTGTCTATCTATAAAAGCTTGTGGTGTATCCTCTCTTAACCAAGGAAACAGACAAAAATTACCTTCTCAGCTCATCAACCACCAACATTACCAATTACTAATATTATCAATATTACCAACATGCAAATCAAGTCCTTCCTCGTTGCCTGTACTCTGTACATATCATTCGGAATGGCAACTCCCCTTGAAAAGAAAGCCTGCGGGTGTTACTGCCCCCCAAACACTACCTTCATTGGCCCGGCTGTTAGCAACATGTGTCCTCGTGAGAACCCTTGTTGCAAGGGAACCTGCAGGGCCAACAAGGGCACCTCTGCACAATCAGGTCCAGCCACATTTAAATGCTAAGATTCCATCTACCTGAAGTAAGTTTCGCCCTTCTATAAATCTAGAAAAGCCACCAATAACCAATACCACAAAGCAGCTTTTGACAGTGGTCACAAGAATAAGTCAACCTTTGAGAGGAATGCCTCGCTTGATCAAGTGAACTACTATATGAACAAGTAAAGGTTTTAAAGACTCTGTTTTATGGAATGTGTTATTATTTCATATGGCTTCTAAACCTATCAATGGCTCTTATGGGGGTGTTGGGAACTGAGTGACCATTCTGTAATATGAAACACTATTTTCATAGTCGTCAGTATATTCAGTCTCTTTGACTATATTATAGCAGATGTGCTATTTGCAGTTGAGACCCGTGGCTGAAATCCTGCATTCATTATGACAGACTTAGCAAACCTCGAACCCAAGGGATAAACAGCTATCGATTTAGCAACTACGAAAGGAACTAAGAGCAAGCGTCTAGAACCTTACGGAATTTACGTGGCTAGCTGCTATGTAGGCCCAAATTTTAGCAATATCAGGATAGACTAGACATATCACTCGCCACGGCCACGGCCAAGGCCATCGAACAAATACGCTGCGTGTATTACTTTGCGGGCGCCAATTACGTCCTGGTCAACTCAATTAGTAGAAGCGGTTATGGCCCCAGAAACGCATATTGTAAGTCCATCTGTATGCTTCTGAAGGGCACCCGAGAAAGATAGGACCACGCAAAACCTCCTGCTGATTCCCAGTCTCTAATGTGGAGCATCCCCTATCAATGAACTGGTCTAAACGAACTTGGTCTCTAATAACATGAGCATATAGGACAGAGGCTTCTGGAATGGCCTCGAAGAGAGCTCGGTCTTTGGGCCGTTGATGTCAGGTGCATGGATAAACGCTCCAAGGGGCAATCAGAAGCTTGAACAACACTGTATTCAGAAGCACGAACTTGCAGCGTTCAGTAGTATTAAATACCGATTTTGCTTATTGGAGTAGTCTATATACATATACTTATATGCTGTATCTGTTTAAATAGCTGACTGAGAACGGACTCACGAGCTCCTCAGGTAGAGAAGACCTCGTTATGCACTTTCAGTTTTCTCAAGTGCTATTGGAGTCACATTAGCTTTGTCTCCTTAATAAACTAATGTTAAATTATGCTCTGTATATCATAGGACTGAGTGAATGCAACTGGCCCTTTATATTCAAGCTGTTGATGAACCTTGGTTTATCTTGTCTTGCAGTGTCTCCACTTTAACTCGGAACAGCTCCACACGCGGAAAGTGGGCATTTAGTCTAAGCCTCCTTGCTAATTTCGGATCGCCACCAGCTTCCGCCTCAATCAATTACTTCGTTCTACTTCTATTCTCTGCAAAGCTATTCAAAATGGAACAGAAACGCGTGACAGATTCCGGGCTCGGACCTATAGGTGACGAAACCGCAGTCGTTGAAGGAGTATTAATCATGAAAGACTCGCGCCGTGTCGAACAACCAGCACCACTCACTTGAACATCACTTTATCGTACTTCGCACTCTCTTTAGAATACTTACCATCATGCGACAATCTTTCGGAGTCGCTATGGCTCTGCTAGCCTCGCCCTCCCTCGGCTCCTCTCTTTCAGAAGTCTGCACCCGCTCAAAGCTGAAAGCCGCGCTACCCTCCAATGGTACCCTTCTGGGGATCAACATGATCCCTTCCACCGTCACGGTTTCCACGGCGGTCTACAACGCCAGTGCCAGTATGGGAGGTGGACCAATGAGGCGCGACACCGATACTTACAGCTATTGTAACGTCACTGTCGCGTACACCCACGGCAGCAAGGGCGACACGGTCAACCTCAAGTATGCCTTCCCTGATCCCGAAAACTTCAAAAAACGGTTCTATGTTGCGGGCGGAGGTGGCTACTCTCTCAACACTGATACTACTGGTGGCCTCAAGTACGGAGCTGCTGCAGGAGCCACTGATGGCGGATACGATGCCTTCAACTACAGTCTCGATGAGAAATTCCTTCTCGGCAACGGTTCCATCAACTGGGATGCGACATACATGTTCTCTTACCAAGCTCTCGGAGAGATGACCCAAGTCGGAAAGTATATCACCAAGAACCTTTACGACCTTTCAAAGTCGAGCAAGGTCTATACCTACTACGAGGGCTGCTCCGATGGTGGACGAGAGGGAATGAGCCAGGTTCAACGATGGGGCGATGAGTATGACGGTGTCATCGCCGGAGCTCCTGCGTTCCGCTTCGCGCAGCAACAGGTCCTGCACGTCTACCCTGCCGCCGTTGAGCAAACTCTTGACTATTATCCCCCTCCTTGTGAGCTCAAGAAGATCGTCAACGCCACTATCGAGGCCTGCGATGATCTCGATGGAAGAAAAGATGGCGTCATCTCCCGAACGGATATTTGCAAGATTCACTTCAACCTCAAGTCACTCATTGGTAAAGAGTACTATTGTGCAGCTGAGACTAGTTCTTCGCTTGGATTTGGGTTCAGCAAGAGGCAGGCTCCCGGCAGCCAGACGAGCAATGCACCAGAACAGAATGGTACTGTTACTGCTGAGGGTATTGCCGTTGCTCAAGCTATTTACGATGGAGTCTTTAACAGCAAAGACGAAAGAGCGTACCTCTCTTGGCAGATTGGCTCTGAACTATCTGATGGCGAGCCAACCTACGACAACAAGACCGACAAGTGGACTATGAACATCCCCGATACTGGTGGCATGTACGTTGCAAAGTTCATTGAACTTCTTGACCTCGATAACCTCGATAACCTCAACAATGTCACGTACGACACTCTGGTAGACTGGATGAACACTGGTATGGTCCGTTACTACGACAGTCTGCAGACTACTCATCCGGATCTCACAACTTTCAAGGAGGCTGGTGGCAAGCTTCTCCACTACCATGGCGAATCTGATCCCAGTATCCCAGCAGGTTCTTCCGTCCACTATTGGCAGTCTGTCAGATCCATCATGTATCCCAAATTGTCCGATGAGAAGGCTCAAAAGGCTCTTTCTGAGTGGTACCAGTTCTATCTCGTGCCTGGAGCTGCTCACTGTGGCACGAACTCTCTTCAGCCAGGACCTTATCCTCAGAACAACATGAACATCATGATTGATTGGGTTGAGAATGGTAAGCAGCCGTCGAGACTCAATGCTACTGTTTCTTTGGGTGATTATAAGGGAGAGACACAGATGTTGTGTCAGTGGCCCAAGCGACCTCTCTGGAAGAACGATAAGACCTTTTCGTGTGTTGATGACAAGAAGTCAATCGAGAGTTGGACATACAGCTTCAATGCTTTTAAGATTCCTGTATACTAAAAACCTTTGGGCCTATAGATGATTCGTATGGAAGTCTGGTGGGTCTGAGATGGGGGTTGCATTGGTAGTTATCTTAGTAGATAGTAGGGTTTGATCAAGACTACACATTCATTAGCCATATAGTTGTTATGTAATTGTAAAAGCGGCGATGTCAGGCCTTCTGGAATGCAAATAGCTCAAGTCTGTATATAGTAAGCTAAGCAACTGGGCTACTAGTCAGAACTCAGTAACCATTCTTCCAAAATCATTAAAGAGCTTGTACGTCACTTGTATCCTTACATCTCTATTAAGTGATCCCTCTTGTCGTCTTGTCGGACCGAAACAAGGGCGCCTTGACTGCATTATTGACGCTCTGTTAGAGTATGATGTCCCCTCGTTTTGTCGGACCCAAGCCAGGGATGCATTGACTGCATTTCTGGAAGGGTATCAGAGTGTTGCTCATTGGCACTAGGCACTCCACACCCTGGTGCACCATCACCTGCTTCTCCACGTTCCTCCTTCCAATCCTGGGCTGTAGCATGCAGTAAGCTGCAATGATCCTTGAAACTTTGACATGGCACCATTTTATGGCGCGGGGTAAGTGATCGGCGGTTACAAACCGGATAGAATGAGGGTCGCAGTAAAGTCATGGTAGGAGCAAGGATTTGAGAACTCATCCCAAACTCTTATATTAAAGCATGGAAGCTCTGTGGAATCTGTAAAACTATATAAGCCTCGAGGCTGACCACTTTAGTAGTATTGATAGAAACGACAATCCTCACCTTCTAATTATTCAACTCGTCAAACATCTCCCCATCTTCATTTATCTTCATTTCTTTTCACCACAACACATCATGATTATACACCATGGCCATAAGGCTTGGTTCACTCCTTATCCCAGTAGACTTGTTTCACTTGTCTTGGTTACTCTTCTCACTTCTTTCACTAAAGCGGATGACTTCCGCCCTTTGTATCATTTCGCCCCAGACCAAAACTGGATGAATGAACCCAATGGCCTCATCAAAATCGGCTCCAAATGGCACCTCTTCTTCCAGCACAATCCTACAGGAAACTTCTGGGGTAACTTGAGCTGGGGCCATGCTATCAGTGCAGACTTGGTTGACTGGACTCATCTCCCAATTGCAATTTCTAGTGCCAATGGAATTCAAGCTTTCACAGGGACCTCATACTTTGATGAAGACAATACATCTGGTCTTGGGACATCTGAAAGCCTACCCTACCTTGCCTTTTACACTGGATACTTTCCAGATACCGCAGTGCAGGATCAGAGACTTGCTTATAGCCTGGACCAAGGGGAGACTTGGATCAAGTACAATGAAAATCCAATCATCTCACAGGCGCAGGAGAAACCACACGACAGTACCGGGGGTTTGGAGACGCGAGACCCTAAAGTATTATTTCACGGTGCAACAAAGACCCGGGTCATGGTCCTCGCCCACGGAGGGCAAAACAAACTATCATTCTGGACATCCTCCGATGCCAAGGCTTGGACATGGAAGATGATCTCACCGCTGCCGATATCCCCGGACTTCCTCGTGATATCACAGGCTGGGAAGTACCCGATCTCTTTGAGCTTCCCATCGAGGGTTCGCCAGACACTAAATGGGTCCTCATTATCACTCCTGCCCAGGGGTCTCCTGCAGGTGGCAATGGGGTTTTTGCAGTTACTGGATCATTTGACGGTACCAGCTTCACACCCGATCCTGTTGATCCAACCAAGATGTGGCTCGACTTTGGGCGTGATTGGGATGGGGCTTACAGCTGGGAAAATGTGCCCACGTCCGACGGCCGTAAGATCCTTGCTTCTGTCATGAACAGCTATGGAGTCGACCCACCAGCCAATACTTGGAAGGAAATGCTGTCATTTCCGCGTACTTTGCAGCTACGGGACATTGACAGAGGAGTACGATTTATCCAGCAGACTGTCCACGAACTCGACTCCCACGGCACGTCTCTTGTCAAAATTGTAAATGAGACTCTCGAGCCAGTGACCAACCTCTTCTCTGAGTATCTTGGAACTGTGTTGGATATCGGAATCTCTTCCGTTCTGACTAGAGGCTCTATACTATCCTTAGCAGTCTATAAAGGAAATCTAAAAGAAGCTATAATCTAGTATACTTAATCCAAAAGTACCTTAAATATTAAAGCTTACTGCCCTTTAATATAATATTAATTAGTCTTAATCTAAAATAATACTAGGACTAAAGTTATTTAAGATATTTAAGTTAGCATTAGGGTTACTAATACCTCCATTTCTAGCACTCCCAGTGCTTCCTCTAGTAGAACCTCCCCCTCCAGCAGAGCCACCAACAGCACCTCCACCACTTCCTCCACCTGCTGAGCCTCCTCCATTACTTCCGCCAGAGCCCCCAGCGCCACCACCTCCTGTACCCCCTCCAACAGATCCACCCCCATTACCACCTCCAGAACCACCAGCTGCACCGCCCCCAGTTCCTCCTCCTGCAGAACCACCTCCGTTTCCGCCTCCAGTTCCTCCAGCAGATCCTCCTCCCGTACCACCACCAGCAGAGCCTCCTCCACCTCCTCCGCCTGTCCCACCAACAGACCCCCCACCTGTACCTCCACCAGCTGAACCTCCAGAACCTCCTGGAGATTCCTGTCTAGAAACAATAAGGAAACCTCTCTTAGAGTGCCCACCTCCTCCTCCACCAGATCCTCCAACTGCACCTCCACCAGTACCACCACCAGCAGACCCTCCGGAGTTTGCACCTCCTCCACCACCACCTGCAGAGCCCCCTCCTGTTCCTCCACCAGCTGAACCTCCAGCTCCCCCACCAGAACCTCCGACTGCTCCCCCACCTGTACCTCCACCGGCAGACCCTCCAGGAGCAGAACCTCCTCCAGATCCCCCAGCAGATCCTCCTCCAGTACCTCCTCCTGCAGAACCGCCTGCACCACCGACCTGTCTGGGAAGTCGAGGAATCTCTGGGATATTGAGGATGGCCCGGATTGCTTGGCTATCAGGCATAAGTTTATTCACGCCTTGTTGTTGAGGACCTTTCTGAGATTTCTCAATGTTAGATGCATAATCTAGCTGCTTGCCACGATGGTCAAGCTGAGACATGTTAGGCTTATTTCTTAGGCTTGAACTATTTTACTCACAATTGGATGCCCAGTAACGCGGCACATAGAGGTAAGGATCAGAGCAGCGACGCAGGTTTTGTACTTCATCTTGGATAGTAGCCCGAAGGTGTTGAGGTGTTTCAATATTAAACAGTAAAGGTACTCAAAAAGGTAATTTAGTCATAGGACTGACCAACCCTTAAAGGCAGCGGGCCACGTATTTATAGATAGCGCTGATCAGATCCTATAATACCCCTTGACCAAGACTTGGCAACCACTACATGCCGTGATATCCAGGCGGGGCCTCTACCTGCAAGCTAGAAGGAGGGCCTTGCGCTGACCCGAAATGAGCCCAATGATCAGCAAGGATTAGAACGTGTTTAAGTGGCTTATCTCTAATGGCTACAGAGTCAAAACTAATAGGAAATCCAGTTAGGGATCTACGGTATGAAGCGAATAAGTTATATTACCAACCTCCTACTATCCAAATATCACCATCCGTCTTATCGTACGGCAGATGCAAACGTATTATAATACAATTTAGTTTGTGTTAAAGAAAAAGTGCCGAGTGATTCATATATCGTGCAACGCTTGGACAATGAATGAACCTTCCACAGATCACATACCGAAAAGAGACACTCTACAGCACATACTATAGGTTATTGGTAAGTGCCGAAACACTAAACAGCGGAGCAGCATAATGACTTCTTATAGTTAAGACTACTGAATTTACTACTTTCCAGACAGTCTTGGTAGTTGGGACATAATATATGTATATATGTAGTCTTTGCAAATGTGTAAAAGATACATAGTTAAGAGCGCCTTATTACATACAAGTAGTATACTTCTCTATGCTAGATATGACACCAACCTATGCCCCCTTTAGACATTCATTGAGGTAAGTCCCCGTTCATATGGCATATTCGCCATCAAGACACCGTATCACCGATCGCAACGGGTACTGTTTAAGCGTTGCGTTGTGACTAGGCTGTATTTCTTAGCGCTCTTGCCCTTTAACCTCATGTTTAGTTTGTGCCGGATTGCCAGTTCTGTTTACTCTAAATTAATTCTAACTTCAACGAAAGTATCAAGACAAAACTAAGGCATGTACTAGCTAACTATATAATAGTTATAAAATATCCTCTTTAGTATAAGATTTAATTATGTCCTAGGAACTGTTTCATTAGCAGCTTAAACTTACTACCTAGTAAAAATAACTTACCTTTTTTACATAACAATAGCAGCAATAGACTGGCATTATTATCACGCTTAAATGCAACGTTATAACTCCATTACGATTCTGTGACGTGCTAAATATATATGCCCCTGTAAACCTAGTACTGTAAACTGTAAATATATTATTACGTCACAGGGACCCACAAATCTTCAGGGTCTTTAGGAGATAGTATTATATATTGCTACATAATATTTAAATCTTACTAGCTAAGATTAAATACTTATAATTATTCTTCTTAAGTTACTATTATACAGGCTGCCTTTTACTTTTTAAATCTTAAAGTCTTTTTTTAAGTAACTTGTTAAAATATTTATAATTATCGCCACCAAACGTGGCTTGTGTATACCCTTGTTAATAAAAGGCCCTGTGACCTCGATGGGTGTAGCCTAGCGCCATTAATATACCAGTATTGAACAAAATTTAAATATCGATAGGTGTTAATAGAACGTGTTAGAATCAATCCAGACTCGGGATTGCCGGTTTCTGAAATTTATAAATTTGCCACCCATGACTTGAGGGAGCCAAGGGACTAATCTTATTATTCCCATATAAACCAAGACCGAAAGCCAGAATTATTAGTAGACCTACAACATCAAGATTAACAAACATTAACAAACATTCTAGAATAACCATGAAGCGATGCAGTGAGGCAGAGCGGGAACGGGAGTCTTACAAGTTAGTACATCTAATAGCTCTATCCTTTCTTCAATTAAAAAGCTTTACCTTGAGACTTACACAGAACACAAGATATGCCTCGAACTTTTTGTCTCAATCCATCCTCAACCATACCGGCCAATTAAATCCCAATTCGAACTTGCCGAAGCGTGGCGATGCTGTCCTCACTGCACTTGCCCAACTTGGCGCCTGTCGAACTAACACTGCTCGGTCCTTGATATCCATCTTCGATGAAAGATATCAGCATTTCATAGCAGAGTCGACTCCGACTTCACCATTGATAGCTGAAAGCATCACCCCAACTGGCAGACAAGAGGATCTCTGGTTATGCGGTACAGCTATACCTCGCGACCATGACGTTTGCGAGCGCGCACTTGCTGAAGCAGACGGGGCTCAAGCGGAGACCAACGGCAACCATCTTGGACTTCCACTGATTCTAATAAATGGCTTTTCGCCAAGTGATCGGTTTTCTTTAACTCCCTTCATTCAAGATGATAAGGCCATTCAATCATACGCCGCTGTTCCCATCAAGACGAAACGAGGAATTAACATTGGAGTTTACTGCGTGATTAATACGTCGCCACTCAAGTCTTGGGAAGATCGACATACTCATGTCCTTAGAGACATTTCTCGGACCATTATGCGGCATCTGGAAGGCGAAAGAGAGAGAATTCCTTACCAACGCAACATCAGCATGAACAGAAGCATTGGAGCTTTACTCGAACAAGAATCCACCTTAGCAGGTCAGAGCTTTGGACTGCAAACCGACATGTCTCAAAATCGAGAGCCTCTGGATCTGGGCCCGAAAGCCTATCAGCACGAAGCCTATCTCTCCAAGCAGTCATCAGTCAAAGATCATCTTACCCCTCAAAGTCGCGAGAAGGCAGTAATTGACGATCCCGTTAAGCTTATCTTCACAAGATCGTCTCGCCTTGTTATGGAAGCCCTTGAGGTTGAAGGCTGTGTCTTCTTGGATGCAGCTACTCAAGCTTTTGGAGCTATGACAAGTCCTACAATAGAAGCCACTGGCCTCGCAGGTGCAAATGTCACTTTGTCTATTGACGGCGAAGATCATGCAGCGCCACCTGCGAAGTTGTCATGCCGTGTACTCGGATTCTCAAGATCAGACAAGACCAGTATCAACGGACACAGAAGTCACCCTGGCTATGACTCTGTACCAGAAAAGCTTCTCGCACATTTGTTAAAGAAGTATCCCTATGGAAAGATTTTCTCCTTCAGCGCCGCAGGAGAATTGCAATCGAGCGACTCATCCGGAGAGGACAGATTAAAGCAAGCAGGTACCTCGGAAACACCAGCAGATGTATCTGGACAACGAAAGCTCGATACACGACCGACAGAAATGGCATTACTTCGTCCCCTATTCCCCGAGGCTCGTTGTGTCGCTTTCTTTCCTATATGGAACCCAAGGCGAAACAGGTGGTTCGCCGGAGGGTTCGTCCACACTAACGCAGCCACGCGTCAGTTTTCAGTGGAAAACGAACTCAACTACCTGAGAGCGTTTGGAACATTGGTTATCAACGAGGTTCTCCGTCATGATATGATGGAAGATGAAAGGTCGAAGACTGACGCATTGAGCTCTCTGTCCCATGAGTTGCGCTCTCCTCTTCACGGCATTATGCTTGGCGCCGAGCTGTTGAACGACACAGTGCTGAGTGTGATGCAGAGAGATATAGCCCATACTATAGAGATATGTGGCCGGACTCTCCTCGATACTCTAGACCACCTACTCGACTTTTCCAGGATCAACCATTTCACATCGTCCGTCAAGCAGGAGAGACAGAATCGCGTCTTCAACAATGGCGCTCCTCGAGCCATCAGCGAAGGAATGATGAGCTTGGCTGCCCATGTTCGTCTTGACCGTCTAGCCGAGGACGTGATCGAAAGCGTGTTTGCGGGTTTCGTCTTTCAACGACTTTCTATTGCCCAGGTGAAAGCCAGGAGAGAACCCGCAAACGACGATGTCAGGTCCAAGGACTTCCTAGATGGGGTGCGAGCTGAGGAGGACCTTTATTCCAAGACTGCGAAGAGTAACAACGACGATGTGTGGGTTTTCCTGATTATTGATCCAGACTCTGACTGGAATTTCTACACGCAACCTGGGGCGGTTAGGCGCATTATCATGAACATCTTTGGAAATTCACTAAAGTTCACGCAACAAGGACGTATTAAGATCTCCCTCAAACAGCGATCTAACGAAGCGTCAAGTCGGAACCGGAACCATTTCATCACCATCACCATCAGCGACACGGGCACAGGTATCGGACAAGAGTTCCTGGAGAACGACATGTTCAAGCCATTTGTTCAGGAAGACCCACTGAAACCAGGGACAGGTCTTGGCCTGAGCCTCGTCAAGCAGATCATATCGCAACTTCACGGCCGTATACATGTTGAGAGCCAGTCCGGTACAGGCACGACAATAACGGTGACTCTACCACTTGCCAGACCAGAGAATCTCCAAGTCGACGACGACGAGGCCTTCAAGCAGCAGGTTAGCAAGTTACAGGGGCTACGCGTCCGTTTGCTCTCCAAGGCCTTTGAGGATTCTACTGCCACTGATGACAATTATACTTTATTGGAGAGTATATGCCACGACTGGCTCCTCATGCAAGTCATAGCAATCTCCGAGATCAAGGCGCTGGCTCCCGATCTTGTTCTATTACACGAAGAAGAGCTTGAATTAATCCACTCATGTGGTATATCAGCTGGTACACCATGCGTCGTTATCTGCAGAAATGCAGTTATAGCATACCAGAGATTCCACTCCTCTTGGATTGAAGGATTGCCAATCGAATATGTAGCCCAGCCGTATGTTAATTGTGTCTCTTCTTCCTACCACCAACTGATCCGCTAACAACTTCATAGGGTTGCTCCCCGAAAGCTTGGCCGAACTTTACTAGCGGCTCTCGACCGTTGGACAGAGATGCAGCATCGACAGACTGCTGGTGAAACTTTTGGGAATGCAGAAGACAAATCTCCCGGCCAGGCCTCAGAGATACCATTGCCAACTCCTCCCACTCCGGATCAGCCACACAATTCCGGATCGTTTGATCTAAAAGATCGTTCGTCGATTTTGTTCTCGACGCCACAACGGACTGAAAAATCCCGACCATCTATGAAAAGATCCAAATCGAGTTTCAAAACAACAACCACCTTTCTCTTAGTAGACGATAATCACATCAACCTTATGATTCTGACGGCATTTTCCAAAAAGATGGGGAGACCATATTTAACAGCTACAAATGGCTCTGAAGCGGTTCAACAGTATATTGAGCACTCACAACATTGCAAGTGCATCTTTATGGACATTTCTATGCCAGTGATGGATGGTTTAGAAGCAACCAGAAGGATACGAAGGCATGAGCATGAAAATGAGCTTGAGCCTGCTCTCATAATTGCTCTTACTGGATTGGCATCAAAGGAGACGCAACATGAAGCATTCAACAGCGGCATGGATCTTTTCCTTACGAAACCAGTTCAAATGAAGGAACTAAGATCGGTACTATCGTCGTATAGAGCTTGAAGTTATATTTAGTTTACATTCGCACAGAGAAATTTTATTTCCAAATTGTTTTGGTAAACCGAGCTAAAAAGATGTGGCCAATGCCGAGTCAGTTAACTATTACTCTGGTGCCAGTAAAATGCCGCGGCTAAAACAAACCAGCCCCCTCGCCCTTTCACTCCACAATTTTCGCTCCTGATTCCTCAATTACTGCAACTCGACAGATTCAGAAATAGGCGATCAACACAGTCCTCATTCTCACATGGGTTCTCAAAGCCCGAGCCACGAGTCGTCACACTCATCAAGGTCCCAGTCGCAATCTCAACTCCAACAGCATCCGAGCACCCAACGGTCACGAGGCGGATGTCAAACATGTCGCGTCAAAAAAGTCAAATGCGACGAGACGCGACCGATTTGCCGACGATGTATCCGCCTGGAATTGCCCTGCGATTACACGCGCCTCCCTCGCAAAAAGTACACCAGGCGCGCTATCTCTTCCCTTGCTGCATCGTCTCCTGCAAACCCGATCGCCAGTACAGATGTGGTGTCAACGCCTAGCAACAGTTCCACGGCCTGTGTTGATCACTCATATACTGGGGAGTTTGGTAGTGGATCCTTCTCCGATACTCAGAGTGCAGATGTCAGTCTACCACCACTGAATACCATTGCCGACGATGGCCTGGCAATTGACCTCTCATCCGACTGTGCCGCTATCCTGTCCCCTTTCGATCACTCGGCAATCCACTTCTTCCGATTCGTCCTCCCAGGGATGGTCGGGACGCGGATATCGATGCATAGCGGACCTGGGCTGGTATGGAAGTTGGCGCAGCAGAGCCCCATGGTTCTTCACATGGTTTGTGCCGTCAGTGGACAAACATGGTCTGAGAAGACGAGCGGCTCCAAGTCAGATGCCGAATCCAGACGGTTGAGAGCTATCCAACACTATAGAGATGGTTTACAGATGCTGGCTGCAGCTACGCAGACCCCCAGCGAGATAACCTATCTTTCACCCGTTCTGGCTACATTATGGCTGATGCTCTTGTATGAACTCAGGTTTGGGGACGGCTGCGGTATTGGCGTTGATGCACATCTGAGAGGAGCCACCTCAATATTATTGGGGCGATCGAGGCTCACCAGCAGCGATAAGAGTGACCCTCATACCTCACAGATCATTGAACCTGAGAGTTTCTGTCCCGTCTCTTGCAGAATACTCGTTTGGCTCTCGCACGCGGATGGAGGTGCTGTTCTAAATGGGTTTGGCGGGTATTTCAACAATCTCCTGGGAACCTCCTCAGTAGACATATCAGAGACTGAAGCGCAAGGTCGCTTGCAACGTGTCAGGCAATTGCAAAAGCGATCAGTCCTTGCCAACTACGACCTGTGGGGAAGATCATATCCTCAGACCGAGCTACTGGAGGATATGCAGTGCAGCGACCTATCCTGTTTCGACGCCGAGTGTGCTCAGCTGAAGTTCATGGTCGGTTCTTTAGCCGCAGCCGAGCATCGCGATAACATACCCCACGGTTCGTGGAGGAAGTCTGTCGCGGGCGCCATTCGCAACGTCAGATCTAGATACGAAGAGTTGATAAGCGTGGCTAACCGCCTCGAACTACCCGAAGGCGGACCCCATAGACGGTTCGTGATGGAGTTGCAGTCGGTCGTTTCCTGCTTCCATGCAATTCATGTCTGCTTTTTTCGTATTATACACGGAAAAGAACCAATGGCACCAGAGCAGCGCGAGGCGATGAAAGAGATCATGTCTCTCGCCTTCAAAGTGTATCGAGATCAAGGAGAGCCAGGTCTAGCCCGCCTAAGCTGGCCGTTATTCGTGGTAGCGATCGAGTCAGACGATATACTGCATAGATCATGGGTCTTAGAACGGTTTAGCGAGCTTGCATCCTATGGGGAGAACTATCGGCAGGCTTATCAAGCTATACGAGTTGCTGTAGGAGGTCGGCCATTGGATGAAAGGACGGTTGGTTATTTCGAAGTCTTTCGTGCTGAATCCTTTCCGCGATTTCTGCTCTGCCAGGGCTGTTGAGTAGAGACTAGTAAAATTTACGAAATTGCCGATCGGCATTAATGGACATTGGCTTATCTTGAATTACCCGATGATATCTTAGCTTGATCTATTTTTTTTCAGAATCTAGCCCATTCTCTCCAGATTTCCTGCACCCCGCATTCTGAACTCCAGACTCTCCAGTAACCAGAATATCGAGATGAGATATACAGTCTAGGGATAGATATCACCAGTCCCAATCAGGAAGCAACCATTGATAAGCTGTCTCGGTCTCAGAATTGTGGCGTTCTCTGTGCCTCTGGGATATCGAGACCTCATTTGATACTTAACCTTCACGATCGAACAGCTTCGATGCCTCCATTCAGACTCTCAAGACCTCAACCTTTACAAACCCCTTCCCCTTGTTCTATTATTACCCAAAATTGCCAGCATCATGTGGTCTCCAACCGGTATCATCGGGCCTTTCCAGCCCAAATCGAGTCGCCTTACAGTCATGCTCCTCGTCGCAAGCGCAGCAGTCTACGCAACGACAGCCGGTTACGACGCGGCGCTCATGAGCGGAATCAACATAATCCCCTCCTACACCGAGTTTCTCAACCTCAACACTACTACCCGTGCCTTGAACGTGTCTGCTAACTTCATTGGATGGGGCATCGCATCCCTGACGATGGGTCCTGTCGTCAACGCCATTGGTCGCAAAAACTCCATTTTGGTGGCTCTCTTGACCAAGCTTTTCAGTATTGGATTGGTTGCTGGGTCCCAGAACTTTGCCATGTTCCTTTCTGGTCGAATTATTCTGGGCGTGGCTTCTGGACTTTCGAGCATTGCTGGTTCGACGTAAGAGGCTCCCTGTCTCGCATGCCTTGTAGCTTTGCTAACCTCTATCCAATACAGCTGGCTTGCAGAGACTCTTCCACCGAAGATTCGCGGACTCGGTCTAAGCATTACCTTCTCCGTCTACTACGTCGGTGCCTTGATTTCCGCGGGCATTACCTATCGCACCGCCGAAATCCCCGGAGAGTGGTCCTGGCGGCTTCCTATTCTTTTACAGAGCATGTTTTCCTTGATTTGCATCTTCTGCCTCTTCCTGACTCCCGAATCGCCCCGATGGCTCTCCCACCAAGATATGATGGATGAAGCTCTCCAAGTCATAGCATCGATTGCGGCCAATGGGGACCAGTCCAACGAGGAGGTTTGTCAGCAATATCAGAGCGTGGTCGATAGCAGAGAAAGAGAGCGAACTGAAGGCAAGACTGCATCATATACCGAGCTTTTCAAGACTCGATCTGCTCGTAGACGACTCATGCTTGCAGTTTCGGTTGCTGTTATCGTCATGGCAAGCGGTTAGTCCCATATTGGCATCCTAAGAGTCTGAATACTGATGGCATCAGGAAACAACATTGCATCCTTTTTCCTTGGCGACATGCTCACGAACGCTGGCATCACTAATAAGACTACGCAGCTGCAGATTGTACGTTAAAATCTCTCAACCTCAGTGTGTGTTACTAACTGTACCCAGAACATTGTACTCCAATCGTGGTGCCTTGTTTGTGCAATGATAGGGACGTTTCTAATGGATAGAGCTGGTCGAAAGACGCTCTGTCTCTCAGCTTGCGTCGGAATGACCATCTTGATGTTTGTCATTGGTGCACTGACCAAGAGTAAGCTGCGACAGACCCTCAACACATTCTGAAGCTAACATCTTCCAAGCTTTCAGTACTAGCCAAGATCTCGCCGGGATCTACGGTACTGTCGCTTGTATCTTTCTCTTTATGGGAGCATACAGTGTTGGCATCACTCCCATCACGCAACTTTACCCCCCAGAGGTTTTGAGCTACTCTACCCGTACTAACGGAATGGCTATATGGGCCGGAACGATTGCGGTATTTGCGTAAGACCCCCTTCAATTCCATTTAATCAAGTGCCTGCTAACAGTAGATTTAGCATTGGAACTACCCTCGTGTTCCCAATTGCGCTTGAGGCTATTTCCTGGCGTCTTTACTTCATTATTGGAGCCTGGGATGTTCTAGAGACCATCTTCGTCGCTATATTTTGGGTCGAAACGAAGGGGCTGTCTCTTGAGGAGATTGACGAGTTGTTTGAAAGAGTGGTATACAACGGTCACGGAGTTATCGAGGTTCGTGAAGATGGTATGGTTACTAAGGATCAAGATGCAAAGGATCGATCTGTCTCTATTGCGCGCTCGGCCACAGAGTAGTTCTCTTTCGTCTAGACTTTGCACTGCAATGTCGCGAGCTCCGTCCTTTCCCTCAATAAGTCATTGTATTCATCAGCTTAGCTTCAATATCATTATATAAATGCTCTCGATAAAGCTGACCGACGTCACCCACGTCATTATAACTTTAAATTGATCTTGCTTCAAGTATCACCATGGATAATGGCAGTCTCAAGTGTAAGCACTAACAAACACCAAGACTCCGAGTTTACATCCGCATCTTCCCACTGTCCGTATCTTCGAGAGCACACAACAAATCAATAGCATTTGAGAACGAAGTTAAAGCTAAGTTGGTTCTGTGCGGTGCTTAGAAGCTCAGGGCGACAGATCTCAATGACCTACAAGCACCATTCGTTCTCACCCTTTTCAGGCAAAGTCAGCTCGTGAGCCTCATACTATGCATATATCATCTCGATAAATTCTCTGATAAAGATAATACGTAGCAAAGACACATAAACCTACTTCTTCTGACCGAGTAGCCATCCCAAACCATCAGCCGCATCCTTGGCAAACCTGGCACTCGCACTATGAGTCGGGTAATCATACCAAAATACATGCGGCAAACCCTCGTATACAACCGTCTTGGTTTTAATACCACTCTCGAGTCGAAGTTCCCTCTCATAAATCAATGCCTCATCCCTCAACAAGTCAGCCCCACAGATCTGAAAGAACGTGGGGGGCAAGCCTCTATGTCCAGTTGGCCAAAGGAGAGGATTCCAAAGTGGCGAAACAAAGTCTGGCTCGACGGCCTTGTCATAGACCTTTGTGGACTCTGCAGTGAGCGCCATGCCATCCTTCAGCTGTTCTCTACTGTTGTAGAGAGGTTTATACTTTTCAGTCAGTGCTTGTGGCATCAGAGCAGGCGGCACACAATGGTAAAGCCCAGTGAGTGGAGGTGAGAGCTTTTCGTCACGAGCTTTGTGAGCCAAGGGAATGCTGAGATGTGAACCAGCCGAAGTCCCGCCAAAGACAAAGCCACGCTTTGTGTCGGCCTGAAGAGTATTCGCGTTCTTAGATAGCTATGTCACTGTGTGATTAGTGAAGGGAGCGCTTCTTACGGGAAAATTGACTTACCCATTTGAGAGCGTCCCAGCAATCGTCATATGCAACTGGAAACTTGACTTCTGGAGAAAGCCGGTACTCCAAGCTCACCGCCACGCAGTCATATCTTCGGACTGCTTCAACGCAATTTGGCATCTCCATCTCGGCGTTGCCTAGAATGAAGCCTCCGCCATGAATAAGGACTACAAGAGGTCGATCCGTCTTCGGCTGGTCAGTCTTGCGACGATAAACAAGCGCTCGGACTTTGAATCCGTCCCTGACGGGAATACGAATCTCTTCCTCAGACACCTCATCTTGCACACTCGATCGAAGATTGTCAGCATCCTGTTGGAAGAGGCTGTCAAACTTGGCTCGCGTTTGCTCTAGTGTAAGATGGTCGGTATCGCCAGTAAACCTCCCCTTTGTCCCATTTTTGATCATCTGTAATTTTTGTTAGTACGTATAAATATTTATAACCACAATAGACGCTCTTAACTGACATTTTGTAGCTCGTTGTCAATCTTCGCTGCCAAATGCCATGTTTCAGGCTCGTTGACGTCAAAAGTTTGAACGCTCATAGCTATGTGTGATGGGGTGATAATGCAAAATCACGATGTTAAAGCGTAAAAGCTTGTATTGGTGAGAATTAGATAGAATCCCACACGCATTAATATGCATGATTAAGATTTGTCTTTAATCAAACCGGTGCAGCTCGGTATACATAGAGTAACAAATTCTCTCCGTGCACTCAAGGTTGAATTAATTCAGGTAGTATCGGGTAAGTTCGCCAACCCGGTCGGCATTTTCAGCTGCGTGGTCGGTTAATCGAGTTGTTGATGAGCGCTAGTAGGATCGGGTTAGTGAGTGGGCCAAGTCATGATATCACCAATTCAGCGATCGGCTAATTCACTCTCGTCGCATTCTCGAGCTGCAAGCGAGGGATGGCAAGAACAGACTAACGATGATAACCTTTGTAGCTCCCTTAAGCGGGATGGAAATGAATGGTGGCCGATTGGAGTTCTCTATCTTGCCTTAATAAATTGCTTTTATATACGAAGTATCATCATGCCTTATCGCTTCCTTTCTGCATCACGTTGAAACAATTAAGTTACTTCTCGTTCCTAAGCAATCTCCGATAAGCCAGTCTCTTATATTTTCTTTAGCATTCACTCTAGTATTTTATCTACTCTATTCGAGATGTCATATACTGAGACAGAGCAGTCAGAGCTGACGCAGCAGCTTGTGCTCGAGTACGTCTACAGATGCTTTGGCACGTCGACAAGTTTGAGTCACTTGACTAACAAGGACAAATAGATGTGACCTGCTGGACCAGAGGTTCGCTGATCTGAAAAGGTCACTTGTAAAGCCTGAGAACAAACAGAAGGTGATAGAGTCATACGAGCGTCTGGTCAAGATTCTGCGCAAGGAAGTCGATCATATCGACAAACATGGAGCTGCCCTGGTTCCAGAAATTGACTTCGACGACGTCCGAAAGAATGGTATGTCACTTTCTAACCAGCAAACTCAGTGGCCCTCGGCAAGTCATGTTCTAACTTTCCGTAGGTGGCAACCTTCCTGATGATTTCATGAAGCTGGTGCATGAGCGAGGCTGTCTGATTCTTCGAAACGTCGTCAGTGAAGAGCAAGCGGTCAGTTGGGAGACATCTCTTAAGGACTACACCAAACGTCATCCAGGCGTAGGCGGTCACCCCCACCATAAGCCAGCAGCTTGGAACGTGTTCTGGACCAAAGCGCAGATGGAAATGCGGACCCATCCAAGAGTCTTGGAAGCCATGAGATGCGTCTCCAGACTATGGCACGTCTCTGATCCAACAATCCCCATTGACCTCGACAGTCAGGTCATCTACCCCGATCGAATTCGCATTCGCTATCCCAGTAATGATCCCGGACAATTTCCCTTGGATCCTCACATGGACAGCGGGGCGATTGAACGGTGGGAAGATGAAGAGAACCGGAAGAACTACGCAGCCATTTTTGAGGGCAACTGGCAAGACTGGGATGCATGGTCTGCAGACCACCGAGTCAAAGCCCAGAGTGATCTCTATCAAACAGGAACAGCTTGTTCAGTATGGAGAAGCCTTCAAGGATGGCTATCTCTTTCAAACACACAGACTGGCGAGGGCACACTACGGGTACTGCCCAGCCTGAAATTGTCTATGGCCTATATCATGCTGCGACCATTGTTCCATACTGGAGAGTACAGCGATTCTCTGCCCACGTTCCCAGGCGCCACTCCAGGCCAAACTCAGTTCTTCCCAACTGTAGAGGGCCATCCTGATCTTGACATCAAGCGGGCTATCGTCGGTATTCCACCAGTTAGACCTGGTGATTATGTGTTCTGGCACTGTGATCTGATCCATGGCGTGGATCCCACGAATCCCGGGCTTGTCGATTCAAGCGTGTCATACAACGCGTGTAATCCGCTGACACCCTACAACATTGAGTCGCTACTTACAACTCGGGACGCCTTCCAGAAAGGAGATGTTCCAATTGACTTTACGCGATCGCATGGTACGTGGGAGAGGGAATATGACCATGAAGATTGCGGAGCCAAGGTTGAGAATATTCTTACCAAGGCGGGTCTTCAGGCGATGGGTCTTGAAAGACTTGATACGAAAGAAGGGGGGTTGACACAGGGTCAGAAGGAGGTTCGCGAGATGGCTAATGCGAAGTTGGGACTATGAATAGAAGAGAGATAGGATTTAGATTGAAATGAGTGTCGCGACTTGCGTCTTTTATTATAACTGTACGATAATTTCCCCAGACCGAAATACAATTATTCCCAGACAACTGCTCTCTCAGGCGCCGGCGTCTAACTGACGGGGATGACTTCACTGTCGGTGCCATTCCATTCTGATGTTTGGGTTGCTCCACCTCGGTACCAGTTCGTCTCGGGATCTCCAAGACATTCCCCCACGGTCACAGCTAAGAAAGGATCAGTCAGACTCGTCTCAGAGTAAGAAGACACACAAAGCCTACCTCTCTTTCCACTTTGAAGAGTTGCCTGAATGATTCGAGGCAGGATATTCTGAACGGTATTCTGATGAACATCGTGCATAAGAACAATGGAGCCGCCATTGTTCAGCCCAGCGTAGAATGAAGCTATAGAGGGCTCGGCACCACCGAATGACGAGTACTGCCAATCGTTGGTGTCGATATCAGCGATAATAACCTTGAAGCCCAATTGACCCAGGACTCCAAGAGTTCTAGCATTGAAGCTAAAATAGGGAGGACGCATGTAAACAGGATACTTGCCGATGATGTTGATGAAATCGTTGCTCAGGAGCGACATTTGCTGCTCAACGTCGAAATCTGCGAGGCCTGCGAGATCTGGATGGCCGTATCTACATAACATCAGTAATTACAATCTGAAGAGATCGATATCTGGACATACGTATGCGACGCGACCTGGTGTCCTTCCTCGATCATTCTGTTCACAGTGGGTTGGTAGTCCATGATATTCCCTATGTTGTAACCATTGAGGAAGAACGTGGCCACGATTCCAGCTGAAGCAAGCTGATCGAGTACAGAGTCTGTGTACACAAATGGACCGTCATCGAAAGTGAGAGCAATGGTGTTTGGCTGGGTACAGCTGTAAATAGCAACCCCGACTGAAACATCTCTCTTCCTCGGGTATACGGGGATCGAGAGGGCGGAGGTAAGATGGCATAGAGAAGCCAGTATAGCAAGACTGCGCATTGTGAATATTTACGTTGAAGAGTATAAGAAATAAAAATAGTAAGGGAAAATGAAAAGTCGCAAATGAACGAAGACGAACTTGCATCAAAGCCATTATTATAACCTACTTATTTCCGCATCCGAGCAGCTGCATCTGTCGAGATTGGCCCAACAACAAATGCTCGTCATCGTGTATGCAAGGAGCAAGAACCAACACGATAAGGTTCTCGGGTTTCCAGAGCGACAGGGGCCTCTCGGGTGATTTTCAGGCGCTAAGAATTAACGCGGCTTCACTAAAACAAACACAATTGGCAGGGCTCAAAAACAGATCCGAAAATTGAGGTGAAGCAGCATAATCTAGACATCATTAATTAAAAAGGCACTTTTGCTTTTTCTGGAGCTATTAATTAATTGGCGCAGCCAAATTGATAGGAGTTCGTTTATCAGACTTCTGTTACTGAGGACTCGATGTAGATCCTTCTCTGTTTATCGTTGAGGGGTTTATCTCGTAGTGGGTGATTAGTGCAAGCCACATTTTTGACTCGTTTGTGCCTTTATCAACAACACGAATAAGGCGTGCTCAACAAACGCATCGCTTTGCTTTATGCTCTTAGCAATTTGGCTTAAGTTCTTCTTACTTTTGCTGTTATTGAGAAGCCCAGTATACGTTGTTGTAAAGAAAGTGGATAGTATCTCGATATTGCAAGCAGGCAAAGCATACTGGTCTAATGCTTTATCTAAAGGTTCAGTCTTATCCTGTTCAATTCACCTCCAGAGGTTGCTACATTTTCAGTATCCCTTCCAATCCTCTATCCGAGACATTTGAGTTGATGGTGCATGAGTATAAGCTTCACATGCTCATCCATCATGGTGTCAAAGGCAGGCGAGCTGCGATCGGCTAATTCTTCAAGGTGGGCAAGGGGGGATGGTAAGCGAGGTACGCACCAGTTACTCAGGTCTTGACGGAACCTTGTTAGGTTTTCCCGATCACTAGACTCTAAAGACTTACTTATTGTCAAAGCAGACAAAAGCCCGACAGGTTCTCAAGCTTGTGTCACCATCTAATTCCGACCCTAGTATATATCGCTTATCTGACTCTGTGATTTGCTGCAGCACACGAAAACATGGGAACCTCGGGCGCTTGAAAGCCTGTCTGTAACACCTTCTCTTACCGATATCTATGCAAGATACTTCAGGTCACTATAGTCTTACCCGCAGTGGTATCTCACCGCCGGGTAGTTACAGTTATCCCAGTAGGCATTCCCTGCGCTTCGCTACTCCAAGCATCACATGTCCATTCCATTAGTGACTATCCGAGATGGAGCATCAAAAACATAAATGAAGGCTCTCCCCAGGTCCCGTCGTCTAATCCCCAGGTTGTCTCAATTTTTCTTCATCTTGCGGCGACTTCTTATTATTCTTTCACTATCCCCAAGGGCAAGTTGAAGCCATGCCAAACGACAGTACGGATAAGTCTGCAATAGTATCGCAGAAGATCACGCAGAAGATCCAGGATGTCTCCCCGGCTTTCAGTAAGTTACGAGTAACTCTAAGCCTATTCCTAACTTCTTTTTGACACAATCAGTTCTAAAGGAGGGGGTCGAATGGAAACTCAAAGGACACAAAACGGAAACACGGGATGACGTTGAAATCAACACTTTGGAGCCCACTATCCAAGGCCCATACGTCCTCCTCAAGGTCCAGTATAAGACGCCCGGCTCCCGCCAAGCTCTGATTCATTGGTTCGCTAAGCGGGATATCCACCGGAAGAATGAGCAGAAATTGCTGTTATATTGGGAAAAGCAAGGAGGTCGACAGAACGACGTAGAACTTCCTTCGGATACTGTACATCTTCTGCAGATTATTGGAGAAAAGGATGTTAAGAAGGACGAGGGATATGGAACCAAGAAATACTTTATGCAGTTTGTTGGATGCCCGGAGAGTGAGGCGCAGTGGTGGCGGGCTTCTATTGTTAAGGAAGCCTATATTGAGCTATATGAGTAATGGGTCTTTTCCACGAACGACTAATTAATACATAATTCGTATTTATATTCGTATCTGGAGCCAAAATAGAGACGGAGAACAAATATTCTAGAATCTAGACTCTGAACACTGGCTTATAATACACATTCAAAACATGCATAGCATATAAATAGAGTATATTTATAGTAACTGCTCATAATGCACTTAATGTACTGTTATATACCTTGCTATTCACACGGATTAATGCTTAGCACAGCTTGATCCAAGACGTTTTCACATTCTTGCCATCGACTTGTACCATAGCACCTTTACCCGACCAGTCGGTGAGTACGACTTCTATCGATTCACGTGGAAGTAAAGTGAAATAGTTGTCCGACCACGTCAGCGGAGTAACATCGTCGCCATTTTTACCTACTAGGTTGAGCTGGACAAACACCGCGGGGACTGTAGCATTGTTCTCAACTCGGAGCTTCCAATCTCCAGAAGTCTTGTTCTTAGAAGCTGATACTGTGATGGTCGCTTGATCCATCTTGTTCAGCGCAGTGAAGTTGGCCGACTGCTTGACATCGACAGAATACCACGTAGTGGTAGTCCAGTCCACTACATCCTTCTGTTTGGATAGCCAGAACGCGTTGCGGCTGAGTACTTTCTCGCTATCATCGTCAACAAGGAGTAGGCGAAGCACGCCGACATCAGTAATATTCCTGATGGCGCTGCTTATATCGCCAATCCTTTGGGATTTATTGGGCTCTGTGGTGCAGTGAAGATTCTGTTGAGAGATATGGTTCCCCTTCAAATCCACCAAGTCGACATGTACTGAGCGCGGACCTGATTGATCAAGGGACTGATTGATGATCCAGATAAAGCTCTTGAAGTAATCGAAGGCTACATGTTCAACACGATTGGCAATCTTGGTGCCAAAATACGATCCAGCAGGGTGGAGATAGTAGTCAAATTGGTTCCAATGGAGACTCGGCCAGGCGTTATTCAGCATCCAATAGATGAGACCAGTAGCCGAACGTGAAGCGCTCCATTGGCTTGCCCAACCCTCAAACTCGGAACGTATTGCTTCGTAGTCCATCATCTGTGCCTTCATCAGGTAGTCGTCTAGAGATGTAGGCTTGCCGTACCGAGCAAACAGCGCCTTGTTGTAAATCGACCGATCGTAGAACTGTGAGGTATTTTGTGACATGTGATAGAGGCCCTTGTTTGGATTTTTCCATAAGTCCTCCATGTCCTTGTCCGTTAGAAACTTGGTGAGACTTCCTTTAGTAGGTGTTCCGACGCCGGCGCCTAGCTCGCTTCCGAATCCAAAAGAGGATCCCGACCTGTTGTCTGTCGGTTCTCTGTCAAACCAATAGACAGGTGGAACCCAATCATAAGGCCCCTCCATCTTCATTCCGGAGGGGCCAAGGGCCTTTGGATAACCACGCTTCGCAGCCGAAGAGATGATGGGGACTTGCCATCCAGCGTCATGTAAGCCATCAAGGTATATCGCCGTGGCCCGGTCATCAGGCCAATAGTCGCTGCCCACTAAGAAGGCGATCATACTTGGATGAGTTTGCATCATGGCCGCCTCGTGTCTTATGGAAGCGTTGGCCGTCTCGTAGTCAACCTCGGACCATTTTTGGGGAGGGTTCTGGGAAATGTCGTCATTGTACAGCCAAGCCTCCCACCGATCGCAGCACTCCCAACCAGCGATGATCATGATACCGAGTTTGTCAGCAATGTCGTAGAGTTCGGGATGCTCCATCTTGCCTTCCAGGCGGATAGCATTCATACCCATGTCCAGGACATAGCGTGCTATATGTCCAAATCGTTGAGGGTCCCAGCGTAGAAACATGTCAGATGTATAGCCGCCGCCTCTGATCTGGATTGGATAGCCGTTCACTTTGAACAAAGTGTCGTTGTGCGCATTGAGCTCAGATGAGATGGTTCGGATGCCAAAATTGGTACGAGGGCTGATGTCTGAAGTGTCGAACCCGATAGAGTATGTCAGCTGGACCGAGTACAGTGGTTGTTCACCCCAAGCTGCTGGCCACCAAACTTGTGGATCTTGAATCTTTGCCGGAAACTCAACCATTGTTGAGTCCTTGGCCCCGAGGTGAATAGCTTTGGTAAGTACCTTAAGGCGTTTGCCGCCTGGAGTCCTAATCTCGGCTCTAGCGATAAACTTGACTAGCTTTTTGCTCAGGTTTCGGGCCTGAGCTTTGATGGTGACGTCCGCGTGAAGGTTTTTGTTCTCCTTCGTCGGTGTATCCATATCAATGAGCACGCTTACTGGACCCATAAAGACGTCGCCTGTCTGTTTGATAGTGATCTCCCTCCAGACTCCAGTGCCATTATCAGGCGGATAAGGGTTCCAATCAACAAATCCGACGGCCAAGTGGTCTTGATAGTTTGTAGGATAGACCTTGACTACAAGTGCATTTTCCTTTCGTGCAAGAGGCGTGATATCAAACGTATGGCCGCCGTAAGAACCAGACTGGGTGACGTTGTCGGCGATTTGCTTGCCATTGAAGAACAAGTCTGCAGCGGGGGTGATTCCGTTGGTTTGAAGGAAGTAATGGTGCTCTGATGACACGTACCCAGTTGACAAGCTGAATTGGTTCCGATACACCCAGGGAACATGGAATGGGCTCTGGTCGAAGTGGTCAAGGTTATCAGAGTACCAGAGCCCATCAGGCCCATCTGTGGAATAGGTGCCTTCGACCAAGAGGCAGGCCATCAAGGTACATCGGGATACAGACGCATGATGCCAGGACGAAGTGTCGATGCCCAGCTCGGAAAGGGCAGCAGGGCTTTTGGAGACTTTGTGCAATTGTTGAAAGTCCCAATTGGGGATTGCATCCTGTTGTCCTGGGACAGTGGCCAGAGGGTTGTCGTAGATAGCGGCCGCAGCCGTGCCAAAGAGGAAGGGCAATGCGATCATTTTATGGCTATCAACTCAATGTTTTCACACAAATGAAAGGTCAAGCGTTGTGGAACACTTACAGCGATACTGATCTGGTGCTTTATCCCCGCACTATGGTTAGGTAATCCGTTGTACTACCCCAAGATTGCTACGTTACATTACCACTAAGCTAAATGTATCTACTCCGTAGAGGCTTATAAGAGTTGCTACTTATAAGTTATATAATAAGGCCTTTCACTACAGCTATAGTTTTAAATCTCTTAATTAAACTGTAGCTTTGTTAAGGACAGCCAGTATTTGTCAAGAAATTTTACAGTAGTATACGGGTTGCTGGTTTGTTATTGGAATGTAAGTAGACGGTATTTAAATAATTACATCCTCAAGGTAGGCAAACAGGTATGCCGTGGCCATAGGCAATATTTACTCCCCCCTCTCCTCCTCCCCACCTAGATACTTCATCATACCGTTCTCTATATTTCGGGTTCCCCTCCCCAAGTTATCGCGTTCCTCATCGCCCTTATCATGTTTAATCTTCCATCTTGTCCCATCATCCACCGTCTTATATGCAGCTGCCTGCATAGATATATGCTTCTAAGTAACAAGAAAAGCTCATTGAACTTTACCATTTTCAGGACCAGGCCTTGTTAAGGTTGTTGCCAAAGTTGGCATCAATGAAAGGGACATTGGCGCTGCCCCAAGGCTTCTTAGGATCACCAGATGGGCCAGTGATCAGGCCCTGTCGGGCTGCAGGAGTCATAGCAGCCCAGTCGTAGATCCATCAAGTGCGTCCGGGACTAGTCTTGAACTGCAGTTCATGATTCTTGCCAAGGCTGGTGAAGTGCTCAGCCATGACATTATTGCCACTTCGCTGGGGTTTCTTGGTCTTCTTGTAGTCGCCGTGTCCCGAGGCGGCCGCAGCGTAGAGTGTAGCCCCGGGAGACTGGTAGTTGTAGATGAAAACAACAACGTTCCCCAGTCGTGGCGATGACCGCTGACAAGGTTGCCATCAGCAGGCTGATCCTCGGGCCAGTACCAAGCGTACATAATTGCAAGCTTGCCGTTGTGCATAGCGGCACGAGCATATGTCTGTCCTTTGGTGGTCTCTTTGCAGCCACCAGTCTTACTGCCGCTGTCCAGGAGTCCACCACTATTAACGAGGTTAGCTACAAGACATATCTCGTATGAAAGGTGACTCGATCACATACCTGACAGTGCCGTTCGTGTCAACGGCAGTGTATGGCTGACAACCGTCAGCAATGTGGAGGAGAGGCTGCCATCTGTCGATGGCGGCGCCGATTGAACCTCCCTCGATTGTCTTCTTGACAGGGTTGAGGGAATCGTGGTTGACTACGGCGCGGGCATGGAGGTGGTTGAGGGCCTCGGAAGGCGCCGCCATGCCCGTGGCAGCAAGGGCAATAAGGGCGTTGAAGATTGTCTGAGGATGGATTTTGTGTAGAAGTAAAAGCTGTTGTGAGCTCGGGTTCGTTTTAATGTTTGATGTGAAAGTGAGGTGATGGAATTGTGATGTTGCTTGTGATGAAGAGGGAGATTTTGATCAGAACGACGAGAGTGACTCTTATTTATAGCCCTTCTCGATACCGAGAACGCTCTCTATACGCCAAGGCCTCACCTTCTTGTGATGTCTATACGAACTTGATTATGCTACGGTGAGTATATGCTTGATAGCATCCACGTATAGTAGTCAGACAGGGAACATCAGAGAGTGTTTATTGTAGTGTGTGTGCAGAGATGCAGTCTCGAGGTTATATCCCTTTATATACCTCTTAGTCTCTTCCCTTTATAATGCCCTAGGGCTTATAATAAGATTTATTAGTTATTATAAAAGCTTATAGGTAAAAGCTTATATTAGGGGGAAAAAAATATTATATTGTTATTTATTATCTGTGTTTGCAGCCTAAAGCTTAACCTTATAGGCCGCAGTCATCCTATAGTTCAGAGAGTGTTTACACACTAAATTTAGCCCTGAGAGGCATATAGGCTAATCAATGGGTCAACCTTGATAGAAAACGAGGCTTGGCTCACCATCAATCGATGGACCACTTCAAAAGTTCGTTAAAGCTTAGTATCAGCATTGGTGTTTTACTTTCTGGTGCGGAATTAGGCTGGCCAGAGCGTGGTTGTCGGCGAGTCAGTGCCTTGTCAGTTTAACGAGAGGCTCGAGCGTCGACATTGCGAGATACGATGCCTCTACGCCGGCTTGACAGGCGCCTGTTAACGTTGTTAAAGCGGTAACGCGAATTTGTAAGGCAACTAAGCGTTCCAATTGCGAGGCTGATATAAGTCTATGTCTGAATTAAGATCTGCCACTTTGTCTTCTCATGTCACTATCCACCATTGAACTCGGTACTAGAAGTAGTCATCAAAACACCCAAGCCCCATATTTCAATTACAAATCACATCAAACCACGGTCGCGCCAGTGCTCAAGTTCCAGTTTCGGAGTTTAGCAAGAACCCGGAAGGACGTCAGATCAGACCACGTGCTAGCTTCTTCAGGGAATAGATTTACAGGAACTGTATGCGCGATCTTATCTTAGTTTAAAGTTTTATTCTAGTTAAACGCCGTGTTAGCGGAACGGTGAAGTGGAGAAAACTGACGTAGAAACAGAAATTAGCAGGGAAGATGAATCTGATCTAGATGCAAAAGTACTTACTGCTCGGCAGTTATACGATATCCGTGTTATAACAGTGTAATTAGCTTTGTCTAGAAGGCAAGAGAGCTAGAGTTACTGAAGAATTTGCTAGAAAAAAGGATACCTATATAAAATTAATATTAACCAGGCTATAGCTAGAAAATAGCTTCTGTTTAGAATCTCGCGAAATAACACCTTTATATAAAGAGAAAAACGCTTCTTTCTAGAAATAACCTAGTCTGGTATATCTTTATATAGTGCTCCAGGCAATCGGTATTTATTCTCGGGATGCGCTACGTCGGCTTTTGTCGACAACTGTCTCCAGCGCGAGCTTCCTATGTATGTATCCAGTTAGTCTATAAAGAGTCAGCCCACCTTCATGAACAAAAAGGGAACAGCGAGTAAGGTTACTTCGAGTCTATACGCGGGTTCGGGATGGGTTTGAGATGTCACTTTCCTTTTCCGTCATCGGCAGAGGGGAAAAACATCTTGAGTTACGAGACTGGACAGTTATACATTTCTATTCAATGGCAGTGAAGTGTCAAGCATATGCGACTACACAGCCTTGATTCTATGGCCATCACTGACTCGTACTTTCTGAGGCTCCTGGCTAGGCGTTCTACCGCATTGCGAGATCCTGAGTGCATGGCTCATCAGCATGGAACCAGGTATCAATCAACAGGCATTGTGAACTAAGAGTCTAGGAATCGGTAAGCCCGGTATAACTAATACTTATTTAGTCTCTAGATGCCGGGAATACAGTCGGAAACGTGGAGAGATCCAAGCATCAAACACAGGCGGGCAGACACATAACGCAGCAATTGCGTCAGAATATGATTCGTCGTTACACGCGTTGATCTCGATGAGAAAGAGCAGTGCCTGGGTTGGACAGTAGTCACTTTTAGTTATCAGCTACAGAGTACAGACTGTGGATATCCTACTCAGCGAAAGTGATAACTACTAGGCAGATTACGACCTGTTAGGCATTTAGTCCGCCTACTGTCCAACTTCCCAATGATACCAACACGAGCTTCCTAAAAAGGATCGCTGGTAGAAGCAAGGATTACTTGAATCCCATCGCTTTTTAGCGAATCAGCACTGAAAAATCTGCCAAGGTACAAGTTTAGTGCCGTACCTTTTCCGCTTCTGCTTTTCCGATCCTGCTGCTTACAGACCATTCAAACATCAGAGTGGAAGCTATTTATCCACCATAAAGATCGCATTGCTTTGCAGATCTGGTGACTTTCAATTAAGCTTAATTTTACCCCGCTCTATCCCAATCTCTATGAAGATCATAGTATGATGTTGCACTGATATTCTCGAAGTTTAACTGGAGGTAAATTAGATGATATTGATGTATGAGAATGTGATAATTCGGAAAAGTCAGGTTCTCAATCTGACTATCAGGTTCAGGCATATATGTAGCAAATAGCTTTACTGTAAAGATAAGTATTTAAGGCACTTACCAACATATGTAAAGTTTATATATTTTATGAAGCTTACCTCTTATTTGTTTTCATGCTCTGCAAGTGATCATGCGGGCGTCCCTCCTTGCTTTTGGCTTCATAGCCAGCACTGCATTTGCATCCCGCACAACTCTTCCACAAGGATGGTTCACTTTCCAGCCCGGTGAGAAGCTTAAGCCTACCCAATTCCACGGCCGTCCACGGTATCTCACTTGGATGGCCGACTCTCAGATGCAGCACGGAGTTGAGCCCACTCTTGCTTACACCGTCTCTGCATACTACTCCGGAATCCTTCGTGCTTATGAGCGAACCGGTAGTAAGAAGTATTTTGACTATGTCAAGCGTGGCGCGGATATCCTTTTATACCCTGAGCATGATGGCACTGTTCTTATGTATAATAATAGCAACTCAATTGATGATATTCGGATCGGTCATACATTCTTGGATATGTATAATGCAACGGGAGACGACATTTATAAGAAGGCGGCAACGCACATGCGGAATCAGATTGATCGCACAGGCCGCACGCCTGATGGAGGTTTCTACCATCGGTTTCCGGCGTATATCGACCAGATGTGGCTTGATGGCTTCTATATTCTGGATTTTTTCTACGCGCGCTGGACCCACGAGTTTGAACCCAATAACAATACCGCATGGGACGACATTGCTCTGCAGTTTGACCTCATCGATGCAGGCACGCGGTCAAGCAACCATACCAATGGTCTGCCTGTTCATGGATTCGATTACAGCAAGACTCAGGTCTGGGCTGATCCTGAAACTGGAGCTGCACCCCATGTTTGGAGTCGCGGTGTAGGTTGGTACATCATGGCGCTAGTGGACACTCTCGATTACTTTCCCGAAAAGCACAAAGGACGTAACCGCCTGCTTAAGTATCTCCGAACCCTCGCTGATGCGCTTGTGGTATCCCAAGACAAGGCCACCAAGGGCTGGTGGCTCGTTATGGACCCTGGTTTGGAACACAAGTCCGGCAACTACATTGAAAGTTCAGGAACAGCCATGTTTGTCGCCAGTCTTTTCAAGGCTTCTCGCATGGGTTATATCAAGGGTGACAGCTATCTGAAAACAGCTTTGGATGGTTATGGTTTGATGACTACTGCCTTTGCTCAGCCTCGCCCGCATGACGGTTCGTTGGCCTGGGAGTGGACTGTTCAGACAGGCAGCTTGAGCTCCAATGGCACATTTGAGGTATGTTTCTCGTTACTACTGCTTTGGCGGCAACTTACATTCTGTAGTACTACACCAGCATGCCTCTATTTGAGAACGATCTCAAGGGCGTGGCCACATTCTTATTTTCAAGCCACGAGTATGAACTATACCGCACTAAGGCTTCGTTGGATGTAAATCGCAAGGCTTTAGTCAGCAGAGTGAAACATTGATCCGCTCATCAATGACGAGCCAGAGAGAAACGGACAGATGTTTATCATTCCATTTATCCGTAAGATGCGGGGGCTTTTGTCTGGAGCAGGGATCGGTGCTGATAAAGGTTATTGTCTAAGTAAATCTGGGCAAGGAATCGCAAGTAAAGTTCGGCCTCAATCTTAAGTGACAAAAAGACTAAAGCAACTTGAGATAAGTTTAGCATACATTTTACGGAGTCTATCTAATACACTGCACTGGGGTCTGATGACTTTTACTCCTTAGGGGTGACCTGCCCTTAACACCTAGTTAGGCGCGGAAAACAGATGGAATCGTCAGAAGAGTCCGGCTCCTGATGACCCGAGCAAAGTGGGCCAAAGACTAACCCCCGCATTAGAAGTCAATTACTCCAGGATCGAGTTCATCGATGAAGACCAGATTAATTGGTGGGAAACTGGAATGCCCAAACAGTTGAATGCCCGAGCTTTACTGTTTAAAAGACGTCGTGACCCATTCTTGAACCAATATCAACCAGTCAAGTTCGGCCGACGTGATTTAATATAAAGCTCTTGCTCTTGGCCAAATTCCGGGTTTACCAGACGTCCCAGGTCACAAGTCTCACGACCCAAGGCCTTTTACTAATGTTAAAAATGGCACCTATCGAGGAATACACTAGAAGCAGTGTAAAGAGGACTTTTTCTCGGTAATTCCTTCTGCTAAGCTTACTGTTAGTAACCTTGACTATATATTATTACTGCTAGTATGAGCAGAACCTTTTTTACTAGCGGTATCCAGTGCCTATAAGTACAGCTCCTTCTTTCTATCTAGCTCGTTTCCTGCATTGCATTAAATTCGACATTAAACCAGAACTCACTAAACTATATTAAGCAAGTCCTAAACCCCGCTGAGGGAGTGTTTAAAGGTATATGAGGCATTTGAGGTATTTAAGAAGTCGAGAACCGGCGTTAGAGATAGAATGTCACCTTTATAAGGCCTCTTAGAAGCTCGTCAATACACACTTTTCATCTATTGCAAAAATGCCAACGTCTCGCCAGGCTGTCGCTAACCGCTATGGTAAAATCGCTGATTACGAGAACACTCGATTAGCGACCCACCCAATGGAACGCGAGCTTACATTGCGTGCTATTCGCCAAGCCCTAAATACCTCCGAAACTGCTGAGACTGAGCGTAAACGTATCGCAGACGTAGGAGGCGGCCCGGGAAAGATAGCTTTTGCACTTGCTGACCAGGGCCATCATGTCGATCTCATCGATTTGAGTCCCGACCTAATCCGTCTTGCAGAACTCGAGCAGGATCAGCGCAGCGCAAGTGCTGAGAACACAGCACTTCTTGCGAGCATCAGCGTAGGCGACGCTTTGGAAGCAAATACTTTGACCAACGACTCCTATGACGCCGTTCTTCTCCTGGGTCCTCTCTATCATCTCTTGGAGGAGCCTGAGCGAAAGAAGGCGGTCGAGAACGCTCTGAGGCTTGCAAAGCCTCAGGGGGGACTCATCTTTTGCGCGTTCGTCAGTAAGGAAGCTCACCTGAGGGATGTCGCAATGCGCGACCCCGCGCGGCTTGTCAAACAAAAGGACTTTTATGCTGCCTATGTACGTGTTATCAACCATGGCACCTCTCAATAACATACCTGACACGAGCACTAACACTCGCCCGTGATGACCAGCTCGCGGACGGCCGTTATGAAAGATTCAACGAGGGCCTTGAGGCAGAAGTACAATCGTTCCACACGGACAGTGGCAGCATACGTAGTTTCTTTCGACATTACTTCACTGACGTAGCAGAGCTCATCAGTCTGCGCTCTACAGAGGGGATTCTCGGTGGTGGGCTTGATGCCAAGCTTATTGATGCTGATAGTGAAGTCATAGAGGCGTGGGCAGATTTATTGTTTAAGGAGTACTCTGAGAAAGAAGAATACCTTGGATGTGCAGATCATTTACTTGCTGTCTTACGGAAGAAGTAAATAAATCACATATCTTTATATTTGTAAATCTCAGTAGCACGGTTGAGAGAGATACTAGAGGAGCAAGTCAATCGAGTATCTCAATCTGGTTAATATGGATATTTATAATCGGTAGTCAGATTAAAGACGTACGTCCGGCATGGTGCATCATTTGCCAACACCGTTGTATACCAATAAGTTTGGAACTCCCTTAACATCTGTGATCTTATCCTTGATCGCCAGCTCCTTGAGTCGCGACCAAATCTGAGCCGGGGTGCGTGAACCTTCCAGTGCGAAGAGATAGGCAATGATGCCTGCAACATGCGGAGAGGCCTCTGACGTGCCGCTTGCAATGTATGTTGCTGAAGCAGATGTGGGCCAAGCTGATGTAATTTCTTCACCTGGAGCAAAAACGTCACACGCTGACCCCCAGTTGGACGAAGCCCATCGTTGATAGTCTTTGTTGCTGGCCGCCACCGTGATAACGTTAGGTTGATTTGCCGGGCTGCTTTTTGAAGCATCTTCGTTGGCATTCCCCGCGGCTGCGACGACAGGAATTCCAGCGTCAATAGCTTTCTGTACCGCCTCATTGAAGATGACCGAGTTGGCTCCCGACAAGCTCATGTTGATCACAGCCTTGCCAGCTCGGTTCTTTGACACAACGTCATTGACTGTCCAGCTAAGTCCAGACAGAACGCCACTGGAGGAGCCACTATCATCGCCTAGGACTTGCACATCCACAACGGTCGCCTTTTTGGCAACTCCGTATGTGGCACCGTTGACGATGGCGGCGACAAGCGTGCCGTGCTGCTTCTTGCTCGAAATACCTGACGTGTCTGCACCGAACACAGCGCGGCCTTGAAATTCCTCATGCTCGCGGTAGATGCCGCTGTCTAGAACATAGACAAATGTCCCTGCCCCAGCTGTTGAATCGTAGGTGTATAAGGCCTTGGAGGATGGGGGATTGGCGTTGGAAATTGCGGAGAGACCCCAAGGAGGAGATTGCTGTGTGACTGGTGAGGCAATAGTAAATATCTGTTCGGGTTCAACATGTAAGACCTATATTAAGTCAATTCTGTGCATTGACACGAGATGTTCACCTGCTTACACTGGAGTTGGCCTTGATAATCTTGATGGTATCCTCATCAAAAGAACCTGAGTAGCCTTTGAAACCAGGGAAACTAAATGTCGTGTCAATTCCATCAGACTCGGCGCCACGACGGGCAAGAGCTTGTCCGTGCACATCCGACACCCATCGAGCGTGCAGATCAAGGTCAACGTTGGCAGTTGGCTTGAGCGCGACGATGAATTTGCTGGCCACGAGGCCCTTGCTATCCTTGTTTGAAGGAAGAGCAAGGGCGACGGTGGCAAGACCAAGGGAGACCACAGTCTTATATAACATATTAGCAAGTTCAGAAGGATTATGCAGCACTATGAATCTGACAGTGGCGGGTTATTCTTTTTTATAGAGGCATGAATTCTTGATCGGCGTCTGTACTGGACCCCGGAGGACAGGTTATCACTCTTAGCTGCCATCATAGTCTATATGTCCGCTCTAACCCTGGTAGTTATCACCGTTGCAATCACTGCCAAGGACGGAGTCCACCTCCTTACCTTCCATTTCAGGACTAGTAACCCTGTAGCTATGGCAGTTGGCGTAAAGTCTTTGGCAATACCCAGTTGATTCGTGCTTTAAATACGACATTACAACATTCCGATACGCGGGTCCTGTTGAACCATGGTTCTCATCATACGAGACAAGTCTGTTAACAGCATAAGACACTTTTCCAGTTCTGATATTGGTGGCTTTTCTTCAAGCTATAATATCACCTTTAACCCAAATCTATTGTAGATATAAACACTAGTTAATGCTTGTATTATATAGGCAAGTTAACCTTTTAAATACTAACTATACTCTTAAGTAACTTATAAGCTTTAGTTATATCTTTTAAAGTCTAACAGGACATATTAAGTTAGGGTTTACTCTTTATAACCATTATCCTATCTGGCTCTACCTAGAGTCTAATTAACTATTCGATGCTAGTTACCCTAGACTCCAAGCACGAGATTTCGTGTTTCATTTAAAAGCCCCACTAAGGGTTCATGCCGGAACTAAGATCTGCCGGGGACCAGATAAGATAAGATAAGCCAGGACAAGACATTTTTCCACCCCGCTCACTCCACGCAGGTCAGGCTCATCGGCGGTCAGGTTTCAACATGGCCAGCCCAAGGCCATCGCACGGCCCTTCAACATCTGACAAAACACCTATTCCCGAGCCTTATAATCGCAGTTCTCGGGCAGTCTGCAAACAGCTGCGTCAAATCCAGAAGGCATGTGGCCAGTGGCCTTGGGAATTTCTTCCTGGCCGGATACCCGAGACACTAGATAAACACATGCTAAGCCCGCTTGTTGCGGCTGTTGAATTCGCGTGTGATGATGAGCACAATGTCACTCTATCTGAGCTGACTGAATGGCTAATGGGTCAGAAGGGAGATTGGGTTTTGACATCAACACAGTCAACTAATGCGCTGGAATGGGTTACGTATACCCACGACAAAAGGGCGAACAGGAGAAGATCTACTCATAATGGGATTGATGGCGGGAGACCATCTTCGCGAACAAGGAAGAGGCAACACTCAAATGACGAGGTGACACTTCCGCGACCTCCACGGTCAAACACACAGTCGCGCCAAAAGAAGCGGGGGACCGAAATCAGATCGCCGACTGCTGACAATGTGGCTGACGTTGAGGCTCAATCTGAGATCAGCCCTGAGCCTGAGCGTGACTCGGAGCCCGAGCCCGAGCCTGAACCTCAACCTGAGATCGAGCTGGACCATGACATGGAGATGGATGTTGATGAGAACAACACCAACCACGATGCTGATGAGAAGCCAAACAGAACCCGCAGAAGGACCGATGATAAAACCCTTGAAGTGAGCCTTCGAGTTCCATTCCCTTGAGAGCAACTAACCATAATCCAGGAAGCCATCGCAGCTTCGGCTCGTCGTCTCGAAGAAGGTCGTGACAAGCTCAAAGAATATGAATATCATCTACATACCGAGAGAGAAGACTTGAAAGTGATAGAAGCCCTGCGATCAGAAGCATCAGAGTCTCACGAAGCTGCCATACAAGAATGGAGAGACGCCGTCCTGCAAGCAGACACAAAGCAGAACGAACTCCAACAGTTCCAAAACCTCGCCCAGTCCTTCTCCCGCGATACACAAGCTGCCCTAGAGCAGCACAGTCAAAGCCTGCGAGAGCTAAGCGACCAAGCAATCGAAGATGAGAAACATGCTGAAGACGAACTCCGAGCACGACGTCGTGAATTCTGTATCCTCGAGGACAAGAAAGATACAAAGGAGGGCATCATAAAGAAAATATCAGCACGGACCAGGCGGTATCAAGATGAAATCGATGCGGAGGAGGGGAAGCATCAGAGGTTACTTGCGGAGCATTATCTGGAGCTTTTGAGCAATGATATCATACAGGGCATTTCTGTTGCTGATATATCATATGCGAGGATTCTGGAGATCAAGTTAGAGCGGGATCAGAGAATTTGGTATGAACGGAGGCAGATGGATTAGCATGGTAGCGATTCCTTTTTGCGTTATGTTTTTGCTCTATAGAGGCGATTTCTTTTTGTATTTCATCACTACGACATGGAGGTAGATAGACTGTCACATTTAATTGAAGGGACTAATCAGCTCAAGGAACTCGATTGTACTGAAATTACCGATCCTCTATATAGCAGGTATGCCCTTTTGAACAGGACATCGTAGATGAGGAACCCGAGGGGTCGATTTAATATCATATACGCAGTGCTTTTGATGTCATCTGATCCCCTCAGCCTACGCCAATACAGACAGCGCTCGTATTACAAGCCAACCGCTTCATTGATGTAAAGGTTTTGTTAACAAGACTGTTCGGTATCTCCATCATACTAGGGTTTCACTAATTACCGATAGTTGAACTTGATGGGAACTGAAGGTGTTGGCCAGGTAGATTTAAGCCGAGCTCGCTTCCGTTGCTATCCGTGAAGTCTTGTTCGCCGATATGCTAGCTTAGTAGCAAGGATCTGTCGGGTCAGTGCTTGAGCGGCCCCGTCCGGGTAAGTCGGTAGTCTAGTACGGAGTAGTGAAGACAGATTGGCTTCGAGAAAGGAGCTTGAGGCTGATCACAATTCACCTGAATGACAAGATCATAGTGACTAGCAATGGACGTGTGATAGGGTGCCATTGTTTTGGAAGCGGATTGACGCAACCCTGTAAGAAAGATATTGCATGGACTGACAGCTTGAGTCGCGTGCTCAATGCCAGGATTCTTTACATGCTTTCATTTGCTAGTCGGTAGTGCCACTAACTGTGTTTCTCTCTGGCCCCTGTTCGCGGCAACACGGCATATCAAGGTTTGTTGAATTATCTAAAGACAATTATCTTGGATCGCAGATATTATGTAATGATAACACCAAGAGTTGATATGCGTGGCGTACCAAATCTTTGACAATAAACGGCCAGCCAGAGATTGAAAATGTCAAACATGATCCTCGCGACTATTGGAGGCTAATTTCTCAAATGGGAAGGTTGTTTATTTCCGTCAGCGCGAGGCTGCTCCAGACTCCAATAACTTGTGTCGATCCCCCTAGATTGTGGGGTTAGTGGCGTCGACCTGTGATGTCGCTGTTGCTAGCGTATTGGCAACGAGAAATTTGTGATGGCTGCGTACGGAGGAAAGGAGCCGGCTCCGCTAACTCGGTTCATTACAAGCAGAGAGTTAAAAGACTGTTAAGTCTCACACGCGTGAAGCACGTGAACAATAAAGTGAATATGCCGCCTTGAACACCCTTTCTCCAGATCTCGACCCTGTCTTCTGCATGCCACCACGGCACGGCGTCTGAACCATGCATCCGTTGCTTTTGCTGGCGACATGGACTTGGTTCATGAGCCAGGTTCTTTGCAGCAATCTTTCCACATTTGTGACTCAGCTTCCCAGCTGCGCGGTACGTGGGTCAACATAACAGGAGCACTCAGACGCTAACCCGCTGATTCCAGGAGAGTTGTGTTCTGGACTTCATCACGGATTCTTCATGCGGGATAAACGCAACATGTCTCTGCACCGATCCAAAGCTCAAAGACGACGTGCTGCCATGCGTTGAGAAGCATTGTCTGCCCAGAGAAGCTCTCGGTAAGGAGTGAATATTGATGTGTCATTTTTACGTACTAATAAAATTGAGTTTTACAGCCGCGATAAATCTGACCTCGGTGGCATGTGATTTCCCCATTCGCGACAAACATGAACAGTTCAATATCCTCACGGTCACGTTAATTGTTATTACTGGAATTACAGTTGCGCTTCGATTTATTGAAAAGATACGATATGGGCCTGGACTCCAGGTTGACGATTACGTTATCACGGGCGCTTTTGTAAGTACTCTTTGGCCATACCGTCTTGTGATTGCACGCGCTTATCGGTTTTATTTATGATTAGCTGGTCAATTTAGGCAACTCGATTGTATGTTTGCATGGCCGTATGTATCAATTTCCCATCTTAAACTGATGATCATCATACTTATACTGCTATTAGTCTCTGGGAACGGCCTAGGGCGAGATGCATGGAGATTTAGTCCAGACACAATTACATCTTATCTATGTGTTCGTATCCCAATATATTGCTTCGGGTATGGTCACTAACGGGCCAAGTTCCTCTACGCTGGTCAAACCCTTTACGCCACAGACGTTTTCGCAACCAAGATCTGCGTCCTCCTCTTCTACCTCCGAATATTTCCTGGAGTTGTAATCCGAAGGTGCTTTTCAACCAACAAAGTCAACGACGAATCGCGCTAACCTCTCCAAGGCTGATATGGGGAACTGTTGGAGTAGCAGTTCTGTGCATGGTTATCTTTGATCTACTAGCACTTACGCAATGTCAGCCCATTAGCTTTTATTGGAAGGGCTGGGACCGATTACATAAGGGCCATTGTATAGGAATAAACGGATTGGCGTGGGCCATTGCTGCAGTTGGGATTATTCTAGATTTCTGGATGCTTGGGATCCCGATCTCTCAACTGATTCATCTCCAGATGAAATGGAAGAGAAAGCTTGCAGTTGCCTCAATGTTCGGCGTCGGCACTTTGTAAGCAGGAGCCCATCCATTCTCTACTGTGCTTGGTCACTGACCTTCTAATAGTGTGACAGTCGTCAGCATCCTCAGACTGCGTTATCTGGTAGCATTTGGCAATTCCTCCAACCCTACATGTAAGCAATCGCGCATTCTCCCCATAATCAACATCATGGTCTAATTCAGGTCACAGGGGATAGCTTTTATACATGCTACTGGTCCGTCATAGAACTAAATGTCGGCATATGGTGCGCTTGTATGCCAAACCTTCGGGTTCTAATGCTCAAGACATTTCCAAGACTGCAAAGCTCAGTCGATGCAACCCCCAGAAGCCAGCAATACAATTCATCTGCAGCAGGGCGGCCGATAAGAGTATCGAGTAATACGCCAGGTCTAGCTGAAAACGCTATGTATAGAGTGAGATCGGATCAGGGGCGCAAGGTCGACGGTTCTTCAAGCACAGCTGAGTTGGTTGAGATGTCGAGGTTCACCAACGAAACCAGAAGTAGTCTAGCATAGGTGGTAGCTTAGCTGAGTTATGGCTCGCGGTTATATCGTCCGCTTTCAATAATTTGACCAAGCACTTATGCCCTTGTGAGTCGGGTCTTCCGAGTAACCTAGGGTATCCCAGGTTCAGCGGAAATTCCGGGGCACACAACCTCAGTTATACGAATTGGTCCTAGCATAGCAGCGATAAGATCAATTTCCCTGTATGGGCGCTAATGCTGACCCCCGCCTTCTTTTGTCTGGGGAAATGACCGTGCCGTGTATCCGTAGTACTGCACTACCCCGCAAAATCAGAAGATCTGCTTTAGGCTTCAGCCTCATGTTGAAATCCTGGAGTTGGGTGCACAGTCTCTTGTGCCCATCTCGGACATCCCGGTTGGATCGATAGAGATAAGCCAGGAAGGGACAGGCTGCTGCAAGTTGTATATAGACTAAACAGCCCCCTCGAATGCACCATTGGATGCAGGCTACTCACCCTTGACTCTGTTTTCACCTATACAACAATCTACATCATCTCAGACAGGATGGAGGACGGCGAAAAAGTCTCCATCTCTCATAATGAGATGCCGTCACCGCTCGTGGAGGAAGAGCCGGCTGGTGACTACGAGGTGCGATGGAAGACGCTCATGGCTGTGTTCGCTCTATCAATGGCGAACTGTTGCGCTGCCATAGCCAATACGGTATGTTTTACCTTTCGAGCATTGCCATTCCTGGCGATACCTGAACTTATCTAATATCTTGTACACAGACCAACACCATTATTCACTTCCAAGTCATGGATTTAGGAGGCGCCACCAAGCAAGCATGGATTTCGAATGCTAATCTTTTGGTGACCCTGGCCTTCGGACCGGTCTTGGTAAGTTCTTAACCTTCATTCTAGTGCTGAAGGTCCAAAGCTGACTATGATAAGGGCTCCTTGAGCGATCGGTTCGGCAAGAAATGGTTCATCGTTGTAGCAAGCATCATCGGGATCGTCGGCTCCGTGGTATCTGGCTCGGCTAAGTCAATCACAACCATTATCATTGGCAACATTTTGACTGGCCTCGCCAATGCGGGATGTGTAAGTCGACCCCATCTCTTTTGCACCATCGCCATCAACACGAATATCCCCATACTGACAACACGTCATGCAGATCATGGGTGTACCTGCGGGCCAAGAAGTGACACCCAACAAGCTCCGTCCTTGGACAATGGGCTTCTCCCAGACTCTGGCTAGCTGTGCTGTCATCGCCGGTACCCTCGGTGCAGGTGCTTTTGTAAAGTACCAGACCTGGCGTTGGTCTTACTACCTCAACGCCTTCGTCTACGGCACCACAACCGTACTGGTAACCTGCTTTTACCATCCTCCGCCCACTACCCTACGCCGACAACAATCCCGCCTAGACGCCCTGTTCGCACAAGTTGATTACTTCGGAATAATGCTGTTCGTGGGGTCCATCGCTTCTATAATGATCGGCTTGACCTGGGGAGGAAACACATACCCATGGAGTTCCAGCCAGGTCCTCGCATCCTTAATCGTCGGCTGCGTCGGTCTTCTTGCTTTTGGACTTTACGAAAGGCTCTTCACGCGCCAGGGTATCTTCCATCACGACATGTTCGTCTCTCGCAACTTCCCGATCCTGTTGTTTGTCTGCGTTGTTGATGGCATGCTTCTACTGGGTGTCAATGTTCTCTTTGCGCAACAGATTGCCTCAATGTTCACCACAGATGCCGTCAAGATAGGCACTATCCTCACTCCGTACCTGGCGACTTCAGCTTTTGGATGTTTGCCTGCAGGTATATTGATGGCACGAACTAAGTCATACAGAACAATTCTGGTAGCTTCACTGATCTGGTGCAGCCTGTTTGTTGGTAAGTCACAGGACTCCTCATTTAGGATGGCCTTGGTCCGACTTATCTGAATGATGTCTAACATTGATGACTTTAGGCCTTATGGCACTGCTTAACCCTAGCAGACTATCCTGGGCATACGCGTTCTCCGCATTGTTCGGGTGCGGAACTGCCGTAACCACAGTCATTCCAGGTAGGAATTCCTTTGTCTCTATGCCAAGCACTTACTGATGTTGATATCACCAGTCGTTGCACTGTCTCTTTCCGTTCCCTCCTACTTGCTCGGTACCGCAGGAACCCTCAGCGTGTCCGGTCGTGCTCTCGGTGGAGCCGTCGGCATTACCATCTTCACATCCATCTATCACAACAAGATGGGCACCGCCCTACCAAAAGCCGTTGGCTCTGTTCTTGCAGCCGCGGGCCACTCACGCCTACTTCCAGACGTGCTGGGCGCCATCAACAGCCAGAACCCGACGGCCTTGTCACACGTTTCTGGTTTGCCAGCGTCACTGATCCCCGATGTCCTCGCCGCCTACGATCATGCCAATACGTACTCGTGGAAATTTGTATGGATTGCTATCTCCGTTGTCGTGGCTGCAAACGCAGTAGCCGCGTGCTTCCTCAAGTCAGTTGCTAGTCAGATGAACAGCCATGTTGAGTCTGCTCTGGAGGATTCGGATGTTCGCCGGAAGCAGCTGCGCGATATTTAAGGCTATCGTTCTGGTGACGGTAGGTCAGGTTGAAGGATGATAGCTTTGGTTTTTTCCTTTCTAATTTGTTTTAAGCAACTAGCAATCTTTTTAAGAAGCATCCGGATGTTTGTTCCCTTTTAGTCTCGGTTCGTCGTAGGTATACTTCATTTTTTACAAAAGACCTGAACCCTATACATGAATGTGAGAAGCAGTTGCTTGTACTTTGGGCCCTGGATAATAAGGGAACGATACGCGCATCCGATGTGGGATGTGAATAGACAAGTACGACAATGAGCGGATTTTCTGAGATATTTGTCCGAGTACGTAGCTTCGAGCGTGCTTGACCAGACGCCACTTTGGTCCTCCAAGCTTCATCAACTAGAATTGAAGGAAATGTGCAAGGGTAGCTATTGCCTCTATGAAATCATGGCTATAGCTTATTGCTCACCCGCTGGTCTTCTAATGCGCATAAAATCCCCAGTCTGATAAAGCAGAGAGGGGGTAATAGTCGCGATCTTCCAGAGGCCACTCACGCGGACAAACTTATGCTGCATGTGGCTCCTCCCGTCGCTGGTCTCGTCGATCCTCGCAGCAGACGCATCCCTTGCGCCCCCATCGTCGGCTTGTAGCCGCCCATGACTCGCCAGTTGCTGCCACTCCACCTCAATTTCATCGGCGGTGACCTTCTTGAAATATGGCTGCGCAAGCAGATGTTGTGTCACCAATGGCTTCAGACCTAGATGTTCCTCTGAGAGCCAAAGTGCCGCGAACTCTGCCGCCTTGTACTGCTTTATTCCCCATGCTGGCACAATCAAGGTGTAGTCCACGGAGACCTCTGGTGCCAAAGCGGCAAGGAGTCGCTCTTCACTCTAGAGTGATAGAAAGGGCAATCAGCAAGAGCTTTACAGAAGTGAGAGAGTGAAAAGAAAACCATGTCCATACCTTTCTATCATAACCATCTGCCCAGACCCTTGCTGTCTGAACCACAGCAATGTAGTCCTGAAAGGTCAGATTGTCTGGAATGTAAATCTCAAACGTCATTTTCAACAAGCGGCTGTTCCGGTGCTTGCTCGATGTAATGAGGCTAGCAATGTTCTATTGATGGATGGATGATATCAGATGGTATTTATCCACTAACAAGAGTTCCAGCATCCTTCATGTTTTGGCCGGGACTCCCGATGTGGGGTCGGTAGATAACGGTCCCCGGAAAACCCGCTCGGGATGTCCACTCGGGAAATCCAGCCGGCAATTTTGATCCGATTAAGTCCCCGACGCGATCGCTAGTGCAATGTCGAAGCTGGTATATCATATAACTCTAGAACAAACAATTGAGCGCCTTCAATGTATCTCATTAATAATTACTCCCATATTCGTAGTCGAGATGATGCAGTCACCATATACCCTCCGCACTGGCATCTATCCCGAGATCGACCCAGATCGGCTCGCTGGCTCGTTGATAGGAAAGAATGCTCTGATAACGGGTTCTGGCAGGGGTATCGGGCGAGAGATCGCCATCGCAATGGCGCAAGCGGGGGCTAACATTTGCATCACGGCACGAACAAGCAGTCAGGTGGAGGAAACGAAAGCCGAGATTGTGGGCTTAGGCCTGAAGAGCAAGGTCGTTGGCATCGTGGCCGATGTGCTTAAACTGGAGGATCAAGAACGCCTCGTTCGCGAATTCCGTGAACAACTTGGCCCCGTCAACGTCTTGGTCTGCAATGCCGGTAGCAATATCTTCCAGCCTTTTCACTTGACGGATGCGACCGAGTGGTGGGACATAATGGAGCTGAACGTCCGGGCACCAGTTGAACTCACGCGACTCGTTCTCACCGAAATGCGCGAGAGGAATCAAGCCGTGATAATCTACACGTCATCACGAGCTGCCACGGCAGATCTCCCATGGACCACGGCGTATAACTGTGCCAAAACGTCCATCACCAGATTTGCGGGCACCCTGCAGGTCGAGCTAGATCAATTGCAGAAGATCGAGAAGGGAGTGGATAACAACATATCCGTCTTTAGCATTCACCCCGGTGAGATCGAGACCAAGCTACATGAGACGGGGTTCCCGGAAAAGACAAAACGAGAGGCCCCCTACGTTATCGAGCATATGGCAAAGATAGGCGCTAAGAGACCTCATTTTGAGGCTGCTTTGCCAGCGTGGACATGCGTCTGGCTTAGCTCTGGGAAGGCTGCAGCTCTGAGGGGGAAGTTTGTGGATTGCACCCGTGATGTTGGCGAGCAGGCGAAAGCGGCCAGAGAAGCAGCTAAAATATAATAGTAAGCCTTAATATAAATGTATTATTTGTACCCTGTTAGGTAGTTTATTGCTACAGAGGGCAATGGTACTAGTAGTAATAAACCTGTAAAAGTAAAGTATTACTTTAAGTAGTTTACTGCTAAAGGTACTGCCTTGCTAGTAAAGGACAATGTTAACAAAGCTGCTAAGATCTTATATTACCCTAAGTAGTATACTAGTAACTAAAGGGCTAAAAAAGAATATATTATAAAGTGTAAATAAAGCTTATTAATAGGTATTAAATAATAAAGTAATAAATAGTTTTTTATAGTAAATATAATTTATAAATTAGTTTAATTAATAAAGAAATTTAAAATATAATTACTTATATTATAGTAATATACTT